CCTAACCCTAACCCTAACCCTAACCCTAACCCTAACCCTAACCCTAACCCTAACCCTAACCCTAACCCTAACCCTAACCCTAACCCTAACCCTAAACCCTAACCCTAACCCTAGGCTGCCTGCAGTTTGTTTGTCTGTAATCAGGTTGCTGCTTCTGCAGGCACCTGGCACCCTTGTGCGCCGTGCTGCTGCTGCTTGTTGACCTTGCACATCCACATGTTTGCATGCATGGCAGCCAGCAGGTGGTGCAGAGAATAAAGGCATGCGCCATTGGTTGCTGCCAAGTGCCATTCTATGCTCAAACTGTGATCAAAAGATGCGTCTGGATCCCCTCTACACACTCATAAGAAAATATTCCCTGGTCCCATGAGCATAGGGTCTTGTGGGTCAGGGATGGGCTTTGCAATCTGTGGCATCTCTCCTGCAACAATGTAGCGCTCAAGATCTCTCTAGTGCCCCTTGCTCTGCACAATAGCCTTGCTTGCTGTTTCCACGTTCTCTTGCCTGCACAACACCCTCAAGTGCAGCATTTGCTCTCAAGCGCAACAGCTGAGCACAGCATTGCCTTCAATGCTGCCTGTGATGTCATCTGCATCCTGCCTGGCTTGCACCATCACCAACGCCCTTGCTGCCCCTTGACGCATGCATCTGCAAGCTTGTCAAGGACTTTGGCCTTGTCAGCTTTGAGACAGGCGCCAGACAACAGGCGCAGCATGCTTGCAAGAATAAGATCTTTGATGAGAGACGCGGGTGAGGTACATGAGGAGGTTTGAGGCTGAATCTTGGTGCGGGCAAGCTACATGAGCTTGCTGTGCTCAAGGCCCCGGTGCAGCTGCTCAACAAGGAGCAGGGCCAAGGCAGCCATGCTCAGGCCGGAGCGGGTCCAGCGCAACAATTGGCGCCTTACGTAAGCGCGCAGACCCGCTGGTACGTGCGGCGGGCGCAGCGCCAACTCCTCGCCGCCCGCCGCGCCTGCCCCGCTCTCCATCACCATCCTTCCTAGTGCTTCCTCTGCCCCGCCTATCTGCCTATTTGCACACACACACGGCAACTGCCGTCTACACCCGCGCGCACGCCTTGCTGCTGCTGCTGCGTCGCGCGCACTTCCACTCCTCACACGGCCCCGCCTCTCGCACCCGCCTCTACCCACCTCTACTCACCTCGCGCTCTCTCTGGCCGGCGCAGCGCCGCGGCGCGCGCAGCCATGACGTCGCTCACGACGCTCTTCGTCGTCGGCCCCGAAGAGTACGTCGAGTTCAACGAGAGCATGGGCAGCAAGGCGTTCCTCGAGCACGTGTGGGACGAGAGCGCGACGCCGCTGGACCGCAAGGGTGAGTGCTGCGACCTGCGACGCCGGACCACACACTCATACTGCGCAGACACGTCGGCGGCCGGCGTGCGTCTGCACTCGGCCGGCGCCCGCATCGCCGGCGAGCCGCCGCAGATCGAGTTCCCGACGGTGCTGCGCCGGCGCGGGCACGGCAACGCATACAAGCGGTCGGGGCGCTTCGTCTCGTGGGCCGAGCTGCACCGCCAGAACCCGCTGGCTGTGGCGCCGCCGCCGGACCTGGCCGAGTACCGCCGGCGCGGCGCGCAGGTCGGGCACGGCGTCAAGGTCGAGCCGGGCGCGTGGCTCGAGCACCGCCGCGTCGTCGTCAGCGACGACGGCTGGCTCGACACCGAGGGCGGCTCGCGCGAGAGCATCTACGCGGCGCCGCGCACCGCCGCAGGAGCGTCTGCCAGCGCCGAGCCTGCGACTCGCGGCGGTCAGGGCCGCCGCCTGGCGCCGGGCAGCATGAGCGAGGCGCTGGGCCTGCAGAACCTGTCGCTCGACGAGCGCCGCCGCTCCGTCGCCACGTCGTCGGACGAGGAGCAGCACTCGCCGCGCCCGGACGGCGCCTCCACGCCGGGACAGACTCCGGCGCGCCGCAACGGCCGCTCGCTGTTTGAGCGCCTCGGCATGGACCCGCCCACGCCGCCGACGCCGCGCCCCGCGCAGACGACGCCCAAACGCCCGACGAACCTGCGCCTGCCGATCCCGTCGCCTTCGACGCTGCCAGCGCAGCCGCAGCGCACGCCCGTCGCGCGCACGCCGCTCTCCGCGACGCACCCGCTGCCCGAGACGCCGCTCAAGTACTCGCACCGCAGCGACGGCCCTGGCGACCAGCTCGAGCCGTCGACGCCCGGCGCAGTGTGGGGCAGTCTGCCCGCACAGAGCCCTGGCCCTGGCCATCCGCGCGGCCTCGGGCTGGGCGGCATCTTCAGCCCGGTCACGGCCACGCGTGCGCTCGAAGCGGCGCCGACTGCGCCCGGCAGCGGCGTGCGCATCGACGACGCGGCGCGCATCATCAAGGAGGACGACGTCACTGCGACCAGCAAGGACACGAACCCCATCAATGCCATGCTGGCGAAGCTGCGCCTGGCCAAGAGCGGCCTGACGTCGCCCGCCGCAGGCTCAGGCGCGAGCCGCTGGGCCGTTGCGTCGCCGTCTCTGGCGCCTCTGCCGGAGCTCACGCCTCACGTCGCGGCGCAGACTGCCGCGCCCGAGGTCTCGCCCGTCCTAGCCACGTCGGTCCCCGATGCACTCGGAGTCCACGTCGACCCGCAGAGCAGCCACAGCCCAGTCGACGCCGGTCCCGCCGAGCCGCTTCAGGACGGCGCTGACCACGAAAGCAACGTCACGCCGGATGTCACAAGCGTGCCGGCTGCGGTCGAAACGCTAGCAGAACAGCGCGTGGCCTCGCTGCCGCCCAGCCCGGCAAGCGTGAACCACTCGCTCCCTGACGAAGATGCGCCTGGCACTCCACCCAGGTCTCCTGACATGCGGCGCGTAGCCAACTGGGGACTGGTCAATGACGAAGCGCCGCCTGCAACGCCAGTCGAGGACTCGCCAGTGCTGGCGCTGCCGCCGGGCTTCACTTCTAATCCGCTCCGCACCCCGTCCCCGCCCGCCTCGCCTGCGGTGACACCTTCTCCCACGCCCAACAGCGCCAAGAAGATCCATCCCACCGCTTGGGCAGACGACGACTCCGACGGCGACTCGCTGCCGGACCTGCCCGAGGAGTGGATCACCACGAGCCTTTCCGTCTCGGCGTCGACGCCAATGCTGGGCACGTCAACCCGCACGCGCGGCTCCACCATCGACGACGACGCATGCTCGAGCGTGTCGGAGAGCATCGGAGCATCCGAGCGGCCCGCACGGCGCAAGAACAAGCGCGGAGGCGCCAAGCGCAAGGGCCGCGCGTCCTCTGGCGAGGCTGCGCTTGCGGACGCTCCTGCGCGCGGCGTCTCCAACCGCGACGGCGGGCGCGCACCTGGTGCTGCCTCGAACGGCACAGACATGGGCCTGCGCATCGCCGGACGCGCTGCTCTGGCCTCGTCGCAGCACAGCAGCGCCGGCTCGATGCAGCCGCCATCGGCGCCCAACAGCATGCGTCGAGCTCCCACGGCGCCGGTCCGAGAGCCCGCGCCTCATCGCGACGGCTCACGTCTGCGCGCTGCCAGCCCGCCGCGAGGCCCGCGCGCAGAGCAGACCTCTCGCGCTCGCCCGTCGCAGGTGCGCGAAGCACCGTCGCACGACAGTCGCGCCAGGCCGCCTGCCATGCGTGGCTCGCGCGCCAGTGCTCCGCCACCCTCAACGTCTCAGGCTGCCGCTCCTGCGCCTCGCGCTCGCCCGCACGGACGTCCGAAGCTCGCGGGCGACGCCGCCTTTGCACGGCTCGCCGGCGCGGCACTGCCGCCGACGTCGCTCGGCGCGCCAGCAGCGAACGAACGAGGCGGCCGCCGGCTCCGCGCTGCTTCCGAGGCACCCGCCGCCTGAATCCTCTCCGTCCTCATCCTCTTGCGCACGCTCCACTCTCCACTGCTCTCTCATACACCGTCGCATCGCAGCCCTCATCACGTCACTCTGTACTCTAACTTACTCTCGGTGCAAGCATTATCCGTCCCTGTGCTGCTGGCTCTATGCGATTGCGATTAGCGAGTCGGGTTGCAGTGCGTCTCTATGGGTGCTTGCCAGGTCCTAAGCGCTCTCCTCCTTCATGGCTCGGTGCGCCAGCTGGCGCACGCCCGGCCCGCCGGCGCGCTCGCCGAGCAGCAGCAGCTCCTCGCGCAGCTTGCGGGCGACGGCGCTGCGGCGCTCCCGCATCTCGGGGCTGTCGCCGCCGAGCGCCAGGCTGCGCTGCGAGCGCGAGCCGGCCAGCGGCAGGGCATACCCTCCGGACGGCGGCGCAGCAAGCGGCGTCGGCGGGGGAAACGACGCGGCCGGCGGCGCCGGGTGCGTGTCGGCGAGCTCGAGCAGGGCGCCGGGGCGCAGCAGCGGCTCGAGGGCATCCTCGACGGGCTCGCCAAAGGTGATCTGCAGGTCGGCGCCAGGGCGCGGGAACCAGCGCGGCGGGCCGCGCGGCTCGGGCATGACCGAGTCGAAGCCTGGCGTGGCGTCAGCATGCAAGCAGCACAGCACCGATCGTACACCGCACGCCGCACATCGCACACCGCACACCGCACACCGCGTTACTCACCCTCGATCCAGATGGGACAGACGACTGGCCGCGCGTGCGGCTCGGCCTCGAGCAGCAGCCGCCCGATGCCCCACTTGAAGCGGCGGCAGAGGGCGCGGCGGCTCATATTGACGTAGCCCTCGGGAAAGAGGTGCACCCAGTCGCCGGCGGCGAGGCGGTCGAGCGCGGCGTCGAGCGCCGGCTGGAAGACGCCGCGGCCGCGGTCCGTCGGCAGCACCTGGCCGGCGCGGAAGAAGTGCGCAAAGACGCTGTGCGGGCGTGAGCACCGGCGCTGCGCCGAGAAGCACGGCCCACTCACGGGTTCGTGAACATGACATCGGCGGCGCCGAGCGTCCAGCGCGTCGTCTCGGGCCGCAGAAAGGTGCGGAACGGCAGACAACCAAAGAGGCCGGGGTCGTCCATGACGGAGATGTGGTTGGCATCTGGCGCAGAACGTGTGAGCCGCCGCTCCGCCCTCTTGCCGCTGCCGCCTCACTCACACGTCAGCAGGCCCCGGCCCTCGGCGCGGCGGCGCTCGTCGTACAGGCGCGCGAGAAAACCGTCAAGGCCGCGCACCGTCACGCTGCGCGCCCACCACGTCGAGCAGAGCGCCTTGGAGAGCAGCGCCACGCTGGCTGTGCGCGGCGAGAGGTGAGTGCATGGGCGGCAGGGCGCGGGGCAGCACACGCACCGACGGCTGGGCGGAACGGCATGCCGGCGCCGTGCCGTGCGAGGGCTGGGCGACGCTGCTGGCGGGAAGAGAGGCCGGCCGCAGACGCAGGTGCACGGCACAGAGCAGGTGGAGCAGGAGGTGGTGGGATGGCGAGAAGCATGCGCCACACAGCGCCGTCAGCGCCCCGAGGCTCGGTCAGCGGCTCAATTTCAGGCAGCGGCACCTGTTCCCACGCTCACGACACCCGAATCCCGAGCCTTCCCGCCCGACCTCCTCCTCAAGGTCGTCGAAGCGTCACTGCTGCAGCACACAGCGTGCTGCATAAGCCTCACATGCTGGCAATGCAGCCGTCAGAGGGCACCACTGCGACACCTGCAGTACTGAGACTGTGGCACGGACTCGCCTGGCGCACCTGACACGCCGGCAGCTCCCCAATGTCATGCATTTTGGCGGCTACAGCAGCTTCTCGAGGCGGGCGCAGACGGCATCGCCGACGTCCTTGCTGCCGGCCTGGCCGTGCAGGTCGCGCGTGCGCACCTCGTCGCCGCCGTCGGCGCGTGCGTCGAGCATCTGGCGCACGGCCGCCTCGATGGCGTCGGCGGCGCGCGTCTCGCCGAGCGAGTAGCGGCACAGCATCGCCGCGCTGAGGATCGTGCCCACGGGGTTGGCGATGCCCTGGCCGGCAATGTCGGGCGCCTGAGGTGGGGTCAGCGGGAGTTGAGGGCACAGACAGGTGCACGCCGCCTGCTCGCAGCATATCGTCCACAGCATCCGCCGCAGACACTGCACACGCCGCAGTTGCCCATTTACCACTCACCGAGCCGTGGATGGGCTCGTAGAGGCCGCGGCACTTCTGCTTGCCGTCCGGCAGGCCCGAGAGCGACGCCGACGGCAGCAGGCCGAGCGCGCCGGGAATGACGCTCGACTCGTCGGAGAGAATGTCGCCGAACATCTGCGGCAGGGGTCAGCACAGGGCGACAGGCTCGCCACGCAGGCACGCACGTTCTCCGCTGCAAGAGACGCGCCGTCAGCACACGCAGCAGCACACACACACCACGCCACGCACTCAGCACAATGCCGTTGAGCTTGCGCGGGTTGCTGACAATGACCATGGCCGCCGAGTCGACGAGCTGGTGGTCGACCTCGACGCCCTGCGCGGCAAACTCGCGGTCGACGGTCTCCTGCACGACGTGGCGCCAGAGGCGGCTGCACGCCAGCACGTTGGCCTTGTCGATGGAGTGCAGCTTCTTCGGCGGGCTGCTCTGCAGCGCCAGGAAGGCGGCGAGGCGCGTGATGCGCTCGACGTCGGCGCGGTTGTAGCGCATCACGTCGGCCGCCTCGCCGGCCGCGCCTGGCGTCAGGTCCGCCTCCGTCTTCTCGCCGATGTACAGGCCCTTGACGAGCTCGCGCACGACGATCAGGTCCGTGCCCTCGGCGACGCTCTCCTTGAGCGGCGAGAGCGAGAGGAGCGACTTGCTGGGGAAGAGCGCCGGGCGCACGTTGGCGTAGAGGTCAAAGTGCACGCGCAGCGCCAGCAGGCCCTGCTCGGGGCGCACCTTGCCCACGCCCCACTTGGGGCCGCCGACGGCGCCTGGTGTGGTGTCAGCGGGAGAGCGTGGCGGCGGCGCAGTGACAGCGAGTGCGAGAGCGGCGCACTGCCGAGGTTGGCCTTGGACGACCGCGGCGGCTCGCCCGGCTGCCATGCTTGACTCCACTCTGTCTGACTCCACTCTGTCCCACACTCACCGAGCAGCATGGCGTCGCTGGCCTCGCACGCGGCAATCGTCGAGTCGGGCAGCGGCTTGCCGTGGTTGTCGATGGCGATGCCGCCAAAGTCGTGCTGCCACAAGTCATGAGCATCCAAGAGCCGCGCATCACACGCCTGCACGCACCGACGAGAGCTTCAGCTCGAAGCCGCACTTGTCGGCGGCGAGCTGCAGCACGCGCACGGCCTCGCCCGTCACCTCGGGGCCTGCGTGGGGTCAGCGCGGGCGGGCAGCAGGCACAGCGCACACGACGCACCGATGCCGTCGCCGGGCAGCACGACGATGTTGTAGGACTTGGCCATGGTGTGTGTGGTGTGGAGTGGTGGTGGTGGTGTGAGTCAGGCACCGAGGCAGCGATGCGGTGCCTGGGCCTGGAAGAAGCACCGGCGGCGGCGGCCGGCCTTCGGATCTCGCCCGCGCATCGCCGACGCGCGCCGGATCGCGCGGCCGACGAGCGCCACGGCGCGGCCAAGAGGCTTCCAGCGGCGGCCGCCTCCTCTGCTCGCCTCCACACCAACCATGGACGTCGACAAGCTCTTCAAGCTGCCAAAGCTGCCGTCGTCGGCGACAAACAAGCGCAAGTGGGCCGAGCCCTCTGTCGACGCCCTCAAGGCGGCGCGCGTCGAGGATGACGAGGCGCCGCAGTTGGCCTCGGCCGCCGCCTCATCGTCGCGCGCGCCGGCCAGCGGCGACGGCAGCGACGACGACGGCGACTTTGCGCCCGGCAACGACGCCGACTACTTTGCCGAAGAGGACGACGAGGGCGGGCGCTTCTTCGGCGGCGGCCTCACCGCCGAGCAGAAGCGCATCCTCGCCATCATGGCCACCGACGAGCGCGACGCCGCCGAGCGCCGCCCCGAAGAGCAGCTGCGCGAGCTGCGCCGTGCGCTGCTGCGCTGCGAGCGCGCCGTGAGCCGCAACCAGCAGCTGCGCGTCAAACACGCCGATGCGCCGGAGAAGTGAGTGCACGCGGCGCGAGGCTGGGCAGAGGCGGACGCCGGCGGTGACGAGGGGTAGGCGCGGTACTGGCGAGGAGTGCGTCGTGGCAGCAGCGAGGCGTATGCACGGCCTTGCGATGCTGTGGCTCGAGAGGTGGCTCAAATGGGCATGCTGCGTGCTCTACGATGCACTCCGCTGCTGGCGCTGACGCCCGTACGCAGATTCATCGAGTCCGAGGCCGAGCTGCACGGCAGCCTGGGCGCGCTCGTGGTGCTCACGACGAACCCGCCGCTCTTCTATCCCGAGGCCGTGCGCAACTCGCTGCCGCAGACGCTCTGCGCGCTGCTCAGCCACGAGAACGTCGACATTGTCGCCAAGGTCGTCGAGCTCGTCGAGGAGATGACGGACGATGACGTGCTCGACGTGGGCATCAGCGGCGCGGCCGGTGCCGACGATGACGATGACGAGGCGCCGGAGCGCGCGGGCGAGAAGGCCGTCGGCGACTTTGTGGACGTGCTGGTGAGTCGCGTGTGCACGTCTCGCTGCTGGCTGTAATGCTGAGGCTGCCATGTGCTGCCAGCTGGGCGCCGACTTTCTTGCGCTGCTCGTGCCGAACCTCACGCGCCTCAACGACGAGGCACCGCCGGACGCCTCGGCCACGGCCGTCGCCAACGCCGAGTCGGACGCCTCGACGATCTACCACATCCTCGGCTGCTTGGAGAACTTTTTGGCGCTGCGGCCACGCATGGCACGCGACCTGGCGTCCGGGCAGTGCCTCGCCTGGCTGATGCAGCGCTGCCGCCGCAAGGGGCGCCACGACCAGAACCGCGGCTACGCGGCCGAGCTGCTCGCCGTGCTGGTGCAGGGAGAGGAGGGCGCGTATGTGTGCCAGCGGCTCGGCCGCGCCGACGGCATCGACCACCTGCTCGAGGTCCTTTCGGTGAGTTGCGGCAAGCCATACATTGCGCAAGCTGCCACTGAGCGCCGCCTGGCTCCAGCGCTACCGCAAAGGCGACCCAAGCGACGCCGAGGAGCTCGAGTTCGTCGAGAACGTCTTTGATGTGCTCTGTGCTGTCCTGGCGCTCAAGGGCAACAAGACGCGCTTCGTCGAGGCCGAGGGCCCCGAGCTGATGTGCATCTTTCTGCGGTGAGGCTCATGCCACGAAGCCACACTCAAGCTCGATCTCACCTTGCTGCGCGCACAGAGAGAAGAAGGCATCGCGCTTGCAGGCCGTCAAGGCGCTTGACTTCGCCCTCACAGGGCCAGAGGGCGCGAAGGGATGCGTGCGCTTCGTCGAGAGCATGGGGCTGGGGCCACTGTTCAGCCTGCTGATGGGCAAGGTGCGTGTTCTTGTGCGCGGCAGCCCGCACTATGCTCACACCGCGCTCTGCCAGGGCGCAAAGAAGCACGACGCTGCGACATCCTCCGACGAAGAGCACATGCTCGGCCTCATCGTCTCGCTGCTGAACAACCTGGAGTCCGAGTCGCCGGCGCGCATCCGCCTGCTGGCCAAGTTCGTCGAGGACGACTATGAAAAGGCCGACCGGCTGCTCGAGCTCTTCGAGACCAGCGAGGGCCGGTTGCAAGCCGTCGAGGCCGAGATCAAGGCAGAGCAAGCAGTGAGTCGCCGTGATTTGCCTCCAGCCTCGTCTTGTGCTCATGCCTGTACGCCTGCAGGAGCTTGAGGGCGGCGACGACGACGACATGGAGACGCTCTACTACTTGCGGCGCCTCTCGTCGGGCCTGCACATGGCACAGCAAGCGGCATACGCGCTGGCGTGGCTCGTCATGGAGGACGACGGCCTGGCGGCCCACGTCAAGCTCATGCTCTCGCGCAAGGGCGGGCGCCTGGACGGGCAGCTCGTCGAGCGTCTGAAGGAGTGGTACGCCAACGTCGGCGACGACGTCGTGGTCAGCGAGGCAGACGAGGCGGGCGCGGAGGACCTGCGGCTGAAGGACGTCATTGTCCAGCTTGTAAACTACCTGCTCGGCGTCGCCTAGACGCCGGCAAAAGCAACATCGATACCACGCGACGCTGCGCGCCAGCGAGCATGCAGCAGAGACAGTGACGGGAGATGCATTGCAGCGCCGCGCAGACCCCTAGTGCTGCTCGCGCTTCGCCTTCTTGTCTTTCCTCCGCTGCTTCTTCTCTGCCCGCTCGGCCTCAGACTCCGATGCGCCGCCCGCCTTCTTGTCCTTTTTCCGCTGCTTCTTCTCGGCGCGCTCGGGCTCGGACTCGGACGCGCTGGCCTCGGCGTCGGACTGTGGCCCGACCTTCAGCTTGCGCTTCTTGCCGCGGCTATCCGCAGAGGGTGCCGCTGCGGCCGGCGCCGCGGCAGGATCGTCCGACACCTCCGAGTTCTCGTCCTGCCAGCGCACACGCCGCGCCTCGCCGGACGGCACAGGGTGCACAACGGCGGCCGCCTTGGCCGGCAGGGGCACACTGAGCGGCACGGAGAAAGGCGCCGGCAGCAGCGAGCCGTGCAGCGAGAGCTGGTGGTTCGCGATGGTCATGCTGCGCGACACTCGTCAGCGACGCCATCGTCCACCGCTGCGGCCGCACTCACCCGATGATGGTGAACGCCACGCGCCCGTCGGCGCCGCCCAGGCGCTGGCCATCGCTCTTGCGCTTCCAGTAGCCCTCGCTGCGCTCGACGTCGGCCTTGCTCTCCGGCTCGGCATCCGCCTTGTCCTCCTCCTCCTCCTCGTCGGCGTCGGCAGCCTCCTCCTTGACGCTGCTCTGCTCGCTGGCGCTGCCGCCCTCGAGGACGCGGCGGCGTGCGGCATCCTCGGCCGCCGCCTCTTCGTCCTCGACGAACTCCCATTCGGCGGCGCCGGCGTTGGGCCGCTGGAAGGACGATGACGGCTCGTGGGCAGCCTGCGCCGAGGGCATGTGTGCGGCCGAGATCGAGGCGTTGAACGTGCCGTGCAGCAGGAGTGAGACGTGCGACGGCGTCGAGAGGGTGATGGTCCCCTCTAGCGAGACAGTGTGAGATCAGCACAGGCAGCAGCAGCCCTCGCAGCATACGCGGCCACTCACCGACGCGCATGCCCACCGTCGGCGCCCACACGAGACACTTGATTGCCGCCGGCGCGACGGCATATGCGCCGTCGCCGTCGAAGCGCGCCGTGCTGCTGAGGAACATGGCCTCGTCGTGCGCGACGAGCACGCCGCCGAGCGGCGGCACGTAGCTGCGCAGACAGGCATGAGCAGCCGCCGCGCCCGAGGGCGTCCGACACTTGCACTCACCGCATGAGCATGCTGTCAAAGGCCTCCTGCACGGCCTGCGCCGGGCGCTCGCTCAGCGCGGGCGCGATGGCCATCTGCATGCTGGCGTAGCGCACGACGAAGGCACTGCGCGGCGGGCGCGGCGCACTGGCACGGGCACTGCGGCTGCCGGATGCGACTGCGGGTGCCGCACTGGCAGCGGCCGGCGGTGCTGCGACAGGTGCTGCCGCCGCAGCAGCGTGGGCGGCGGCCTTGCGCTCGGCCTTGGCCGCGCGGCGCTGCTCCTTGGACGGCGCCGGCGACGCGGCGGCGGACGCGGCGAGCGAGGCGGCCATGCTGCGCGGTGCGAGTGGTGTGCTGCGAGGCGATGCGAGGCGGCGGCTGCGGGTGTGCTGGCGGCTGCTCGGCGGTGCTGGTGCGCAGAGGAAGCGGGCGAGGAGCGTCGTGGAGCAGACGAGCCTCGAGCGAAGGCGCACTTCCGCGGAGCTGCCCGCCAGATTTCTGGCCAAAAAGCGGCGTCACGTGCGCAGCCCTCGCTGGTCGCTGGCGCCAGCACGGCGAGCAAGGCACAGAATGGCGCATTACAACACGCGGCCGCCGCGAATACACGTCGTCGGCGATTGTTGTAGCGCACGCGCAGGAGAGAGTAGGACAACTCGCCGCGCGCGGCAGGTCAGAAACTCGCGCGCGCCACGCCGCCGCCGCCAGCCAGCCGCACCGCACGGCGCATCCTTCTCTCCTCTTCTCCACCCACCCAACACCCCCACACACACTCGTCACCATGGCCGACCCCGCTGCCTCGATGCCCACCTTCAAGCTCGTGCTCGGTGCGTCGCCTGCGCGAGCTGTGCGCTGCTGCGCTGCTGCGACGCTCTGCTGACCGCTGCTTCCTCTGCCAGTCGGCGACGGCGGCACTGGCAAGACGACGTTCGTCAAGGTGAGTTTCGCATTCACGCGGCACTGCAGCAGTGGAGGATGGAGGCGGCATTAGCTGGCGAGCGCAGGTGGGCAGGAGCAGGCTAGGTGCAGTGTGGTGCTCGAGCAGCGTGGCCTCGTGGGCTGGGAGCGGGAACGAGGCACGGCTGGCGGCTGGCGGCTGCGGTCGCAGACGGACGGGAGGCGAGAGTTCGGTCACTGCCGAAGCACTGCAGGCCAGTAAGATGTAGCTGGGCTGCGCTCTTCAACAAATGCGTTCTCCAGTTCAGATCCGCACTGTTCCGCTACAGCGCAGGCGCTGCGCTGCGCCTATGCCATGGCCTGGCCCACATTCGAGAAGCCATCCGCAACGCAGCGGTCCCAGTCCCACATGTGGCTCGTGCAGTGCTGGCGGCTCTACTTGCACTTCTGGCGGGCAGAGCACAGCCGGATGTATTGCTGCGCCTTCGACCCGCCGCGCACGACGCTGACGCGCCGCCGCAGCGCCACCTGACGGGCGAGTTCGAGAAGAAGTACATTGCCACGCTCGGCGTCGAGGTGCACCCGCTGCAGTTCCACACCAACTTCGGCCCCATCTGCTTCAACGTCTGGGACACCGCAGGCCAGGAGAAGGTGCGTCTTTCCCCAAACTTGTGCCTCTGCGTCACGCCAGCTGAGCGTCGTCTAGTTCGGCGGCCTGCGCGACGGCTACTACATCCAGGGCCAGTGCGGCATCATCATGTTCGACGTCACGGGCCGCATCACGTACAAGAACGTGCCCAACTGGCACCGTGACCTCGAGCGCGTGTGCGAGAACATCCCGATTGTGCTGTGCGGCAACAAGGTCGACGTGAAGGTGCGTTCCGGTTTTGCTTGACGAGCGCACAGCTGCTGACGTCCCGGCCTGCAGGAGCGGAAAGTCAAGACGGGCGCCGTCACGTTCCACCGCAAGAAGAACCTGCAGTACTTTGAGATCTCGGCCAAGTCGAACTACAACTTCGAGAAGCCGTTCCTGTGGCTCGCGCGCAAGCTCGTCGGCAACCCGACGCTCGAGTTCGCCGCCGCGCCCGCGCTGGCGCCGCCGGAGGTGCAGGTCGACGAGGCGCTGATGGCCAAGTACAACACGGAGCTCGAGGCGGTGAGTGGGCGTGTGCAAGGTGTGCCAGCGCGGCGACTGACGCTGCTCTGCCCTGCCAGGCTGCCGCTGCGCCGCTGCCCGACGAGGACGATGGAGACCTCTAAGCGGCTGCCGTCTGTGCAGGCTGTGCGCGCAGGGCTGTCTCATCTCGCGCCGCTGCCCCAAGCGCCGCATCCCAACCCTAATGTCGCCCGGGCGTACGCCTACCGGCTGCGTCTCTCGCCCGCTCGCGTCCCCTGCATCGCCCCGCCCGACTGCGTCCCCGTACTAAAATCAAAGACCCGCTTTTACCCTGTGCCGGCGGAAGATGCGTGATGCTGCCGTCGTGGCTGCTCTGCCTGGCGCATACCAGTTCCTCTGCCGTCCTGTGCGACGACCAAATCGTCGGTTGCACTCCCTGCATGGCCTCCGTCGAGGGCCGTCCAGCCTGCTGTCTGTGGACCCGATGTTGGCACCAGAGTGCGAGGCAGCATGCTCGACGCGAGAGCATGCCCCATGAGGCACACGGCGCGCATCTGGGACCGTCGCCGCTTTGCCGAGCCGACGCTGCGTCGCTGTCCACGCAGGCGGCCACGGCCCGCCCGTCGCACGCTGCACCCAAGAGCGAGCCGTGCGGAGAGCCACCACTCGCGAGGCAGCAGCCACACGGTGACGCGGTGCCGATAAGGCTTGCGCGAAGAAGGAGCAAGGACGAGCCGCAGCCGCCAGCCGCCGAAGCGCAGATGCAGGGACCGCCGACGTCGCACCGTGCACACGACGTCGCACGGGGCCCACAAGTTTGCTGACCGTCGCTGCATGGCTAGCATGCACCGCTGTCACTGCCTCGCCTTAGGGTGCAGCGCCTCGGGAAGAGCGACACGAGGCGGCGCGGTGCGGCGCTCGGCGCTCGGCGCCATCGGCGGCGCTGCCACAATTCGCCGCGCGAGCTTGAGATGCTGCCGCTGCTCCTGCGCCTCGCGGCTCGCGCTGCGGCTGCGGCGATGCGGCGCTCATGCTGCATGACGAGATGCCGCGCCGGCGCTCCGTGCGCGGCGGGCGGGAAGATGCAGCGGTGCGCTGCCGCCAAACGGCGCCTCCACGCAGCAGCCTCTGCAGCTGTGGACAGGCAGCAGCGCTCAGAGGCATCGCCATGCGCTGGCAGCGCTTGTGCTGGCAGCAGCATCAGCACAAGCGCAGAAACAGCATCAGGCACAGAGGCCGGGGTCAGGAGACGCGCCGCGCACACGGGTCAGCAGAGAAGGAGCGAGGGCCGACGCGGTGTATGCGCCTTGTCTGTGCGTCGGGCACGCCGTGCACCCTGCGTCTGTTCCACCACCTCCTTCCACCAGCATCGCATCCACCATGTTCCGTGCCACTCCTGCCCGCCAGCTGGGCCGCCTCGCCGCCAGCGCCGTCCGTGCGGCGCCGCGCCGTGCCGCCGTGCCCGCCCTCGCCGCCAGCCAGCCGGCCGTGCGCGCCTTCTCGGCCGCGGCCGCCGTGCGCCAGGCGCAGCCGGCCACGGACTTTGACCCGCACGCGCAGACGGCCATGGACAAGCAGCAGCCACCGGCGCCCGGAGAGGACTTCAACGTCGTCATCGTCGGCGCGTGAGTGCGAGTGTGGTGGAGTGACACGCCTGGCGCTGACCACCCTCTTGCAACGATGCAGCGGCAACATCAACGTGCGTGCCTCTCGCTGCTCTTCCCTGCCGCACCGCTGACCTCTCCGCCCACAGTTCGGTGCGCACGCTGCTGCCACTTCACGCCGCACCTCACTGACTCCCTGGCAGGCTCCGACGAGGGACCCTGGAACCACTCGTTCCGTCTCGAGCACAAGCTCGGCCCGCGCCTCAAGGTTGTTGCGCTCATCGACCCGGGCAAGGCGCGCGCCGATGCCGCGCTCAAGGTCAAGCGCGAGAGCTTCGTGCTGAGCGCATACAAGGACACCGTCGTGTACCCCAACTTCGGCGAGTTTGTCAAGAACATGAAGCCCGAGCAGCGCCCGCGGTGAGTCGCCGCGTGTCCAGTACACTCGGCAGCACTGACACCTTCGCAGCGCCATCTGGGTCGGCTCGCCGCCGGCGTTCCGCGGCCGCGAGTCGGCAGGCCGCGACCTCGAGCAGACGCTCATCGAGGCCTTCCCCGACGTCGCCATCTTCATCGAGAAGCCCGTGTCGACGGGCCCCGTCGACGAGGCCATGAACATCGCCGAGAAGCTCAAGCAGAGCGGCAACATTGTCAGCGTCGGCTACATGCTGCGCTACCTCAAGGTCGTGCAGAAGATGAAGTGGGTCTCGCGGCGCTGGACGTCAGCGGCATGGGCTGACGCACTGCTGCGTGTGCCAGGCAGATCCTCGAGGAGAACAACCTCAAGGTCATGGCCACCAACGCGCGCTACATCATGGCGTAGTGAGTGCTTTCGCTCGCAGCTTGCGCGCAGCGGCTGACACGCCCGGCAGCGAGCACACGGCCAAGCTCGACTGGTGGGACAAGAGCCAGTCGTGCGGACGTGAGTTGCGTGCCCCGCACGTGCCAGCAGCCTGCTGACGCCCGCCTGCACAGCCATCGTCGAGCAGGCTACGCACTTCTGCGACCTGTCGCGCTACTTCGGCGGCGAGGTCGACCTCTCGACGGTGATGGCGCACTCGCTCGAGCACTTTGAGCCGGCCGGCCAGCTCTCCAAGGTGCCCGTGCCCGAGGACACGATCCCCGCCAACGAGCGCATCCCGCGCATCACATGCGCCACGTGGAAGTACGAGAGCGGCGCCGTCGGCTCGCTCACGCACGCCGTCGCCCTGCACGGCTTCAACTACTCGACGGTGCGTAAAGGAAGACGAACGCAGCGAAGCACCTGGCTGACGAGAGCACCGCAGGAGCTCGATGTGTACGCCGACGGCTACAGCCTGCGTCTCGTCGACCCGTACAACGCGCCCGTGCTGTACCTGCGCCGGTGAGTCGCATGCACTGCCGCCGCATTGCTAAGCTGACGCGGTTTCTACTGCAGCCCCGGTGACGACCACGAGGAGGTCGTGCGCTACCAGAGCGACGACCCGTTCTTCTCTGGTGCGTGCCAGCGAGCCGTGACTGCCTTTGTGCGCCTCCCACTGACGCTTCTCGCAGAGGTCGCCAACCTGATCGACAACATCGAGAAGGGCGAGGGCTCGGCCCCGATCCTCAGGTGGGTGCTGCGCAGCTCTCTGATCCCGCGCTTGGCTGACACTGCCCGCAGCTCGTACGAGGACGCCGTCAAGTCGTACGCGCTCACCTGGGCCATCCGCGATGCGTCGGAGAAGAGCGCCAAGAAGGCTGCATAAGCCTGCCGCCTTGCAAGGCAGTGGTATATCTAGAGACGGCCGGCGGGTCGGTCGCAATACAAGCTCGTATATCCAGGCTACGCAGAACTGACGCGGCGGAACACGCTCGCACACGTGTCATTGGCTCTTCGAGTCTAGCTCGCGCTGCACCTGCCGCGTGTACTCGTCGATGCCGCCCTCGAGCAGCGAGCAGCGCGAGTTGCGCACGAGGAACACGCGGCCAGGCCGGCGCTTCTCGTCTTCCTCGCCGCCCGACTCACTCTCCGCGCTCGAGTCGCTGTCCTCGTCCTGCGTGCTGACGCGGCGCTCGCGCTGCACGATGCGCTTGACTGCGTGTCGGTCGTGCGAGACGAGCAGCACGGCGCCGGTGTATGCCGCCAGCGCGTCGATGAGGGCCTCGATCGAGTCGCTGTCCAGATGCGCTGCGACGAATGAGCGGACAGGCGGGCGGCGTGGCGGGCAGCACACTCACTCGTACACTCGTCGAGCACAACCAGCTCTGGACCCGCCCGGAAAGTAAGCGCCAGGCCAAGGCGGACTTTTTGCCCGCCGGAGAGCTTCGACACCGGCACCGAGTCGGCGGCACGCGCGGACAGGCCCATGCTTCCAAGCGTCCGGCGCGCCTCTGCCTCGCTCGCGGCCGGCTGAGCGCGCGCCATGAAGTGCGCCAGCGCCGTCTGCTCCGGCTGCCCTGCGGAGTGGTCTGACATTGCCGCCACGGTGTGCTGGTCGTAGAAGCCCAGGCGGAGGCGGGTGTGCGGCTCAACGATGCCGGAGCTCGGTGTGAGCTCGCCACGCATCAAGCGCACAATCGTCGTCTGACACGGGCGTCAGCACCCGGCGGCGTCTGAGTGCTTCTTCTTCTCACCTTGCCGTGGCCATTGGGACCTACGAGCGCAACGCGGTCGCCCTTCTCGATCGTGATGTTCACGTTGCGCACTACCGGCTTCGCCGCCTTGGCATGTGTGAAGCTGACGTCCTCGGCGTGCAACACTGCTCCCGGGAAGCGCATCGGCTCTGGATTCGGGAACGACCAGCGGGCGACACGATCAGGAGCGTCGATTTTGGGACCCGCGCGCGAACTGAAATGATAGCCTCCGAGGTCACGATGGAGCTGTGGCAGAGATGCGTCAGCTGGTGTAGCAAAGCGCTGACCACGCCGGGTGTCGCGGGCGCGACGCGCGCGTCAGACGCACGCCGCGCCGCGCGACGGCTCTTGCAACGCAACCACCACAGCCCCCGAGAACAGCGTCGAAGCCCACCTTGAAGCGGCCGCCCTTAGCATTCTGCTCTAAGCCCCATCGAGAATTTAGCTTCTCCTGCCGAGATTTGGCCAGACGAGCCTTCTTGTCATCACCCGTCTGCTTTGCCACACGCGTGGCCTGCTCAATCGTCTTCTCGACCTGCGCGACACGACACAGGAGCGTCAGCACTGGCACCGGACGCCGAGCGACGCAACGCACCGCCTCCTTCTTCTTGCCGAGCACCTCCTGCTGCCGCGTCGCCAGCCGGAACGCTCGGCGCTGCTCGCGCTCGTACTCGGTCAGGTTGCCGTCGAAGTACGTCAGCTTCTCCTTGCGCAGCACGATGAGCTCGTCTGCGACGCCGTGTGCGTCCAGAAACTAGATGTAGCAGCAGTGTGAGCATGCGCTGAGCTGCCCAGCGCTGCGTGCCTCTCACCTCGCGGTCGTGTGCAATGGTGATGACGGCGCACGGCGCAGCGCGAATGAAGTTCTCGAGCCACAGCATCTGCTGCAAGTCCAAATAATTGACGGGCTCGTCGAGGAGCAACACGTCCGTCGAGGCGCTCTTCATCAGCGCCGAGGCAAGCGCCAGACGGGAGCGCCAGCCGCCGGACAGCGAGGCGAAGGGTGCCTGCAGCTGCGCAGTGCTGAACCCGAGCCCGAGTAGGATGGCTTCCGCCCTGCCCGCGGCAGTCGAGGCTTCGAGGTCCTCCATGATGCTCAGCGCTTCGGTCTGCAGCGCCAGCGCGTCGCCCAGCCAGTCGCGATCGGACTCGAGCGCTGGATCCGCACTGCGCCGGCACTTCGATCAGCGGGCGGGGCAGTGCATGACTTCACGTTCGAACACACCTGGCCTGCACCTCCTCGATATGCCGCTCGGCTGCGATGAGAGCCTTGCGAGCGTCTGCGCCGCGTGCGCCGCTGCGCTTGATGGCCACTCTGCGCGCCTCTTCCAGGTCGTCGTGTGCGCGGCGAAGGCGGATGGCCGAGACCGCTTCGCGCAGCGCAGTGCCGTCGCCAGTGTCCATGACGCGCGAGAGGCCTTGGAGCGACGTCAGACAGTGGCATGGGGACGCCATCGTGAAGCGCTCACCTGCAGCCTCCTGCTCTGCGCGCAGACGCACAGCGTCGCTGCGCAGCACGGCATCAAGGACGGTGACGTTCGCAGGCTCATCGGCGTCAGACAACTGGCCGGGCCCGCCTTGCTGGCGTGCATCTGCCACGACGCTCTCGCTAGCAAGCTGCGAGACAAGCAGGATGCGGACGCCACGCGGCAGGCCGGGGATGAGCCCGTCCGCGAGCGCCTTGAAGAGCGCTGCGCAGCGTCAGTCCACGCCCTCGATGCTTCTTCACTGCTCGGTGCTTACTACTCTTGCCTGAGCCATTGACGCCTGATGCAGCAGCGTCAGCAGTAGCGCAGCACAGCAGCAGACGGCGCACTGACCGACAAAGCCGTAGTGGACGCCGGCCTTGATGCGCAGGTGCGCGTCGTTGAGCAGCTGCCGCTCGCCGACGAAGAGATTCACGTCCTTGAGGTCGATCTGCGCCCGGGCGTGCGTCAGCGTTGCGCCATGCTGACACAACAACGCGACGAACCTCCTTCGACGCTGTCGTGGTGCTCTCGGTCCAGAAGCGGCTCTCCTGCGAGGTGGCGTGTATGGCCGTGGAGGAGGGCACGGCCGACCCTGCCACCACGGCTGCTGCTGGTGCTGCCGCCGCGTCGTCCGGCGCTGCGTCGGACACGCCGGCCTTGGCTGCCTTGTCGAGCTCGCGCTGCTTCTTGCGCTCGGCCAGGCTCGCCTTGCTGGCTGTGGCTGCGTGGCATGTGAGTAGCAGCTGAGGCGTCGACGGCCACGCCACTCACGCTTCTTTGGCTTCTCCTGCGGCGCTGCGGCTGCCGGCGCAGCGGGTGCTGGCGCAGGCGGCGGCTGCTTGAGCGCAGCCAGCGCCGCCTCGGTGCCCTTCTTGCCGGCGCCGGCGTCGAGCAGCAGCGGTCGTGCCGCAGCGTCGAGCATCTGGCCCGCGGCGGCCCGCTCGTCGTCGCCCGCTGCTGCAGCGACCGCGGCCGCGTGTGCGTCGAGCGCCGCCTCGAGCTTGGGCAGCGTCTTGAGCGCCCGCAGCGTCGCGAGCAGCAGCGGCGGCAGGGCGCGTGCGGCGTGGGCTGCTGCGTCTGGAGCGGTCATGTTGGCTGCGTAGCTGTGTTGATGCTGCAATGGCGTTCACGGCGATGCGGTCGTCTTATGTAGCGCAGCAGCAGCAGGCCGTCCAGGGGGCGCAGCAAGCGGCCTGGCCCTGGGGGCAGTGCGAGCCCACTCGCCGCAGCACTGGCCAGCGGTGCACTCTGCTGCGTCGCTCGGCTAGCCGGAGCGGTGCGGCCGGCGGTGACTGCGAGCTCTGCACGCCGCCGCAGTCAAGAGACGGACTTGCAGGTGCGCCTGGCTTGTTGACGCGGCGAGTCCACGGGCCGGCCGTGCCGAGCTGCAGCTGCGGCCGCTGTGACTCGCAATTGACGCTGATACTGCCGCGGTCTGGCGTGCTGCTGCCGTCGCCGCTCTCCGCTTGATGCTGGTGCTGCGCTCTGTGTTGGTTGGGACGCAGCGCAGGATGAGGCGCGCCAAGAAGCACGCCGTGCATGACTCCCTCGCTGCGCCGCCGGCCCGATGACTCGGCCGCGACGCGTCGGCCCCTCTACACGCCAGCAACGAGCAGCATGCCTGGCGTCCAGCATCGCTGTCTTGTGAGCCACGCTGCACGCAGCACCACGGCCACAGCGACGGCCGGATTTCGCGCCATACCGCTGCCACTGCTCTTGCTGCGCTGAGGCACGCTGCTGCTGCGGCTGCTGCTGTGAAGGACGCTCGGTGCGCGAGCCGCGGGCCATCTGTCAGGCGCGCCGGCTGTGCGGGGTGTCAGGGGGCACTGGCCGCCAGCCGCTGCGGTCCTCTCCGGGTGCCGCCGCTGCTGCTGCACCCCGCACTCCCACAAGGGCCGTGCAGAGTGGAACAGACGGCTGCCGCAGCAGCAGCATGGCAGAAGCGGCAGTGCGGAGCAGGCGGCGGTGTTGAGGGATGCGCGAGGGGCCGTGGCGGCGCGGAGGTGCGGCCGCGGCCCGACTCCGGCGCTAGGCGCGCGGGCGGCGTGGCTGCGCTATCTGGCGCTGCAGGGGCCACGCTCTTCGTGCCTGCTGTGCTGCCGGCGGGACTCGACTGCTCTCCTCGGCCATCTCTTGCGGCGTGCCTATCGCACCCACCCGCCCGGCCCCACAGCGGCAGGCCGATACATAAGGGGGCACGAGCCGCGGCGCACCCTTCGCACCCCACCACCACCACCACACTCCGCCGCCAGCATGTCCTTCGCCACGCCCCAGCTCGGCCGCTTCGGCCTGCCGCCGGCCGTCAACGAGCCCATGGTGCGTGTGGGCGCGGGCGTGGACGGGCGCGGGATGGGACGGGGCATGCTCGGCTGGTGCTCAGGCGAGCGCTGGCGTGCGGTGCACGGCATCTGGCGCATCGCGGGACGGCACACCGTGCACGATGCACAGCCGCTGGCGTGCCATTGCTGCCGCACGCCGGGCGCGGCCTCTCGCGCCGCACATGACGGGTGTGGCCTCTCGCACTGCTCACTGACACGCCGCACAGCGCAACTACGAGGTCAAGTCGGCCGACCGCGCCGGCCTGCAGGCCGCCGTCGAGGCGATGCGCGCCGCCGGGCCCTTCGACGTGCCGTGCATCGTCGACGGCGCCGAGGTGCGCACGGGGCGCACGCAGCAGCAGCGCAACCCGGGCAACCACGAGCACGTGCTCTGCACCTACCACGAGGCCGACGCCGCGCTCACCGAGAAGGCCATCGCCGGCGCGCTCAAGGCCAAGGCGCAGTGGGAGGCCATGCCGTGGAACGACCGCGCGGCCATCTTCCTCAAGGCCGCCGACCTCATCGCCGGCAAGTGGCGCTTCCCGCTCATGGCCGCGACGAGTGAGTGCCGCTGCGTGTGCGCCTGTGCTGCGCCTGCTCACGCTTGCTGCGCCAGTGCTGGGCCAGGGCAAGAACGCGTGGCAGGCCGAGATTGTGCGTGTGCCGGGACGATCGCGCGCAGGCGCATGCTGACCTGCAACACAGGACGCGGCCGCCGAGTCGTGCGACTTCCTGCGCTTCGGCGTCAAGGTGAGGCGCCGCGCTGCTCCGCTGCGCTGCGCTGCCGCTGACCGGCCTGCAGTTCGTCGACGAGATGTACAGCATCCAGCCGGCCGAGCACTCCAAGACGGTGTACAACCGCTCCGAGTACCGCGCGCTCGAGGGCTTCGTCTTTGCCATCTCGCCGTTCAACTTTACGGCCATCGCCGCCAACCTCGTCGGCGCGCCGGCGCTCGTCGGCAACACGGTCGTGTGGAAGGTGAGCAGAGCCGCTGCACGATCTGTGCCTCCTCTCTGACACGCCGCAGCCGAGCCCGATGGCCATCTACAGCAACTACCTCGTGTACAAGATCTTCGAGGAGGCCGGCATGCCCGCCGGCGTCGTGCAATTCGTGCCCGGCCCCGCCGAGGAGATCGCCAGCACGGCCATCGCGCACCGCGCCTTCGCGGCGCTGCACTTCACCGGCTCGACGCACGTGTTCCGCTCGCTGTGGAAGCAGATCGCAGGCTGCATGGACAACTACGTCGGCTACCCGCGCATCGTCGGCGAGACGGGCGGCAAGAACTTCCACCTCGTGCACAAGAGCGCCGACGTCGACGCGGCGGTGCACCAGGCGATCCGCGGCGCGTTCGAGTACCAGGGGCAGAAGTGCAGCGCGCTGAGCCGCCTGTACGTGCCGCAGAGCATGTGGGCCGGCGGCTTCAAGGAGAAGCTGCTGCGCGAGATTGCGTCGATCTCGCAGGGCCCCGTGGAGCAGTTTGAGCACTTTATGGGCCCCGTCATTGCGCGCCACAGCTACGACAAGATCCTCGGCCTCATCGACGCCGCCAAGAAGGAGGGCGGCGAGGTGCTGTGCGGCGGGCGCGGCAACGACGCCACGGGCTTCTTCGTCGAGCCGACGGTCATCGAGACGCGCGAGCCGCGCAGCGTGACGATGGTCAACGAGATCTTCGGGCCCGTCATCACCGTCTACGCGTACCCCGACGAGCAGTTTGAGGAGACGTGCCGCATCATCGACACGACGACCGAGTACGCGCTGACCGGCTCCGTCTTTGCGCGCGACCGCTACGCCGTCATCACGGCGAGCAACCTGCTGCGCAACAGCTCGGGCATGTTCTACATCAACGACAAATGCACGGGCGCCGTCGTGGGGCAGCAGCCGTTTGGCGGCGGTGAGTTGCTGAATGTGCGAAGACACACTCGTGTGGCTAACGCGATCGCCTGCGCAGGACGCGCCAGCGGCACCAACGACAAAGCCGGCAGCATGGCCATCTTCCTGCGCTTCGTGCAGCAGCGCACGATCAAGGAGACGATGATCCACCCGGAGCACTACAGCTACCCGAGCAGTGCGTGATGTGCTGGACTTGTCTAACGCCCTTGGCTGACCGCTGCCCTCGCAGACATCGTCTAGCTCACAGCACGTCCCGCACGCCGGGCGCGGCCCCGCCGGCGCGCCCCGCCCCTTCTCTCGTCTCCGCCTGATCCGTGTCACCGTCGCATCCGTCCATCACGATATCCCCCGCCCCTCGCGCAGCAGGGCTTAACACAGCTGCGGGCCGGCCCCGGCCGCCCTCTCCCACACACATCATCATGCCGCGTCACCCACCCCATGTAGCGTCGATTGCAACGCCTTAACACCTGCAAGCCCACCATCACCCATCATGCTCAGTCGCGCCCACCATCGCCCACCCATGCTCAGTCGCGCAGCAGCGCGCACTCGCGCAGCAGCTTCTTGAGCGGCTGCGGACGCGGCGTCAGCTGGGCAAGCGTCACGCAGACCCGACACACGCACCGCCGGCTTGTGGTTCGGCGCAATGGCGAGCACGGTGGGAATGTCCTCGGGCTGCTCGATCCAGAGATAGTGCGGCGGCTGCGGCGGCCCGAGTGAGAAGAGCGTAACGTGTGGCAGGCGGCGGAGAGGCCAGCAGCAAGCAGTGCCGGGCTGATGGTGCTCAGTCGATGGCTCAGCCGCCGCGCGTGCGGTGGCGATGCTCCTCCTGTCATGTCTGCTCCACCGCTGCCCCTCTCTCACTCACCACCTCGTCGGCGCCCAGGCGTGCCCGCGCCTCGTCGAGCCGCGCCGCCAGCTCGCGCAGCGGCAGCGCCGGCGGCGCGACGAGGACGAGCTTGCGCATGTGCGGCAGCTGCGCCGGCGCCACGTACGCGCGCGTGTTGGGCGCGTCGGCGGTGGCGGCGACGACGGCGCAGGCGGCGTGTGCCGTCTGCGCCATGAGCGGCCCGCGCGGCCAGCCGCCGGCGCTGGGCGGCGCGGCGAGGGCGGCGCCGACGACGAGCTGCATCACCAGCGGCGGCGGCGCGGCGGACGCCGGCGGCATGGCGGACGGGTGCGTGTGTGTGTGTGTGCCTTGCGCTGGCTTGCGCGTGCCAGACGCAGCAGGTGGAGCGAGGCCGGTGCGGGGCGAGGCGAGGCGAGTGCGATGCGGCGAGCGAATGGCGTGCCGTGACGGCGCAGCACGAGGCGCAGCGAAGCGGCACGGCGCCGGCTCGGCCGTAGCATGCGCATGCGCTCGCCGCCGCCGCGGCCTCCACATGGCGCCGGGCAGGCACAAGAGAGCCGCACGCCGCTGAGGCGAGTGCATCTTCCTTCCCAACCACGACGCAACTCGCACGCAGCAGCGACACCACCGCCAACACACCCAGCACACCGCACTATGCCTGACACCCACCGCGCCGTCGTCGTCGCCGAGCCCGGCGCACCCGGCTCGCTGCAGGACGTGCCCACGCCGCAGCCCGGCGCCTCGGAGGTGCTCGTGCGTCTCACCGCCGCCGCCATCAACCCCGTCGACTGGAAGATTCTCGACTCGCCCAAGAAGTACCCGTATGTGCGTGTGCAGTGGCGAGCCGGGGTGCGGAAGGCGGCGCGGCAGCCGTGATGAGGGCCGGTGCGGCGCGCTGCGGCAGCGGCAGCTGCGCCAGGTCGAGGCCGGGGACACGCCGTGCCCGAGAGAAGGAGCTGCATGCCCGCAGCATCGCTGCCGACTCTGGCCTATGCTTCTCTCACTCCTCGGCTGCACCGCTACACCCTCGCACACTTCTGGCGCTCCTGCCCATGCACTGACACCCGCCGCAGATCCCCAAGTACCCGACGGTGCTCGGCTCGGACGCCGCGGGCGTCGTCGAGGTCGCCGGCGCCCAGTCCGGCTTCGAGGCCGGCGAGCGCGTCTTCTTCCAGGGCATCATCGGCGAGCTGTCGGGCTCGACGTTCCAGGAGAAGGCGCTGATGCCTGCCGAGCTCGTGTCGCGCACGCCGTCCAACGTCAGCGACGAAGAGGCCGCCGGCGTCTCGCTCGCGGCCATGGCCGTGCTCGCCGGCTTCTACCACGAGGGCGCCGGGCGGCCCGTGGCGCCGGCGCCGTGGGAGAAGGACGGCGCCACGGCGGCCAAGGGACGCGCGGCCGTCGTGCTCGGCGGCTCGAGCAGCGTGGGCCAGTATGCGGTGCAGCTGGCGCGCCTCTCGGGCTTCGAGCGCATCGTCACGGCCTCGTCGCCGGCGCACCACGACCTGCTGCGCACGCTCGGCGCCACCGCCGTGCTCGACCGCAACTCGGCCAGCGCCGCGCAGTACGTCGAGGCCACGCACGGCCTGCCGCTCGAGTTCGTCTTCGACTCCATCTCTGCGCCCGAGACGCAGCAGCTCGCCGTCGACATCCTCGCCGGCGCGCGCGGTGGCGACGGCGACAAGGCGCGCGCCGTCGTGACGGTGCTGCCGCAGGACGAGGCGGCCGTCACCAGCGGCAAGAAGCACAACATCGACGTCAACGCCGTGTTTGGCAAGGGCAGCGCGCCACACATGCGCGCGCTCGCCGTGCCGTTCAGCCAGGCGCTCAGCGCGTGGCTCAAGGACGGCAGCCTCGTGCCGAACCGGCCCGAGGTCGTGCCCGGCGGGCTTGCGGCGCTCGACGCGGCGCTCGACAAGAATCGCTCCGGCATCAGCGGCCGCAAGGTCGTGCTCAAGCTCACCGGCGACGCAGCTGCGCAGGGCAAGGCCGACGTGGGGCATATCAGCGCGCAGATCGCCCAGCTCAAGGGGTGAGTCGAGTGCTGCTGCCGTGCGCAGCCGTACGCTGACACCGGCGCAGCAAATACGCACAGGTCCGTTGATCGCTGCTGGGCGCGACAGGCGCTCTTGCTGACCCCTCGCACAGAACGCGGTCAACTACGAGCGCAACACGGGCAAGCCGCTCGACGTGCGCCGCGACGACGCCGCATGAGCGATGCAGTCTCGGCGCACGCGGGCCGGCCCTGTGTCCTCTGCCGGACTTGTGGGCCGTGCGTGTGCCAATGTCATGCCTGAGCCTATGCCCATACCATGCAGCCGTGCTTCCTGCACGTGTGTGCTCTGTCCCATCTCGGCGCGCAGGCCATGCGTGCACGAGTGCCATGCTGTCCCATTACACCTCCTTCTCGCCGTCGCCCGCGGTGCGCGGCTTGGAGGCCTGCTGCAGCAGCCCGCGCGGGCCGCTCATGCCCGAGCGCGGCACGGCGCGCTTGGCCTCGGCCTGCTGCGCCTGGAACGCCTCGGCCTGCTGCCGCTGAGCGGCGGCCTCGGTCTGCGGCAGTGCGTGTCAGCCAGGCCTGGCCGATGAACAGCGCCCGCGCGCGGCGAGCTGCGCACAGCCCAGAGCGGAAGCCATGGCGCTGCGCATGGCCGAGCAGATGCCACGCTCTACTCACGGGCGTGATGATGCCGTGAATCTGCAGGGAGAGGCCGGTGAGCGTCAATGGGCGACGAAGCTGCGGTGCCCACGCACCGAGCTGTCGTCGCGGCGGCTCTTCCACACGGCGCCGGTGAGCCAGATGCCCCAGACCTGCACGGGGCGTGCGTCGGCGTCAGCAGCAGGCACAGCAGCAGCGCGGCGGCGCAGCGCAGGCACGCACGCCGGTGCCGACGAGACCGACGACGGCGGCGCGGTGGGCGAGGTCGAGGAGCGGCGGCATGGTGGGTGGAGCGTGGTGGTCGGGAAGGGAGAGGCGCAGCGGCCGCACGGCTGTCAGCAGTGGAGGCAGCGGCCAGCCGCGCGCACGTGACCGGCGCCCCCAGAGGAAGGGCAACGAGCCGCGCTCGAATCCGGCCTGCCTCTGCTCCACCACCACCACCGCAAGCCCGCTCCGCCAGCCAGCGCACTCGTGCTGCTGCCACACACTGCGCCGCAGGCATGTCCGCGCCGGCCCGCCTCGTTGCCGCCCGCCTCGCGGCCGCGTGTGCGCCGCTGCTGCTCGGCACGCTCCTCGCGCCCGCCCTCGCCGCCGTTCCGCGCGGCACGGGCAGGCGCTATGCCACCGCGGCGCCAGATGCTGGGCGCGTGCGCCGCAGCCACACGCCCGTCGACCGCTCGCGCAAGCCGCCGCAGGTCGAGCGCGCCATCCGCGTGCGCGAGACGGCGCGCCGCCGCAGCCGCGCCGCCGACGAGGCGCCGCAGCGGCCCGACGGCAGCGAGCGGCCCGGCGGCGCCAAGGGCCGTGACTTTGGCGCCGCGCGCCGGCTGCGCGAGCGCGGCGACGGCGACGGGCGCCCCGACGGACGCGGGCAGCGGCGAGGGCCGCCGCCGCTGTCGCACCGCGAGGCTGTCTTCCAGCTGTGCATGCGCATGCGCGAGTGCAGCCAGACGGCGCCGACGCCGCAGCGCGCCTTTGACGACGCCAGCGAGCTCGTCGCCGCCGCCGCGCCCGAGCTGGCGCGCTCGGGCGAGGTGTACGCGCGCCTCATCAGCATGGCGCTCGAGGCGCACCGGGGACAGGCCGCGCTGCGCCTCTTCACGCAGGTGAGTGTCGGGCACGTCGCCTCCACACGGCGCCGGCGGCTAAAATGAACGCTCCTCTCCGTAGCAGAAGCAGTACGGCGTGCAGCCGAGCGTGCAGCTCTATCGCACCCTCTTCGCCGGCGTGGCTCGCCTGCCCGGCGTCGCCGAGCAGACGGCGCTGCTGCAGCGCGTGGACCGCTGCTTCGAGCAGCTGCTCGGTCTGCGCCACCCACGCGACAGCGACGACGCCGAGGGCTCGGCAGAGCACAGCGGGCGGCAGGTGCGCAACGCCGCCCGCGACGAGGCTGCTGACCTCAGCTCGCCGGAGTTCGACCTCACCTGCGCGGCGTACTTCCACCTGCTGCGCCGGACGGAGCGCTGGTCCGCGGCAGAGGATGCCTGGGCTGCGTACCGCGACGTCACACCTGAGCCGTCCGTGCCGCTCCTGGACGCAGCCGTGTACTGCCTCTTCTCGCTGCGGCAGGCCGAGCACTTTCCGGCGCGAAGCGGCGCCCTGACGCCCATCGCCCGCGACGTGTTTGCTTGTCTCAAACAGGCCTACACGCGCCGTCAGACCCGGCACTTCGGCAGCCGGCCATTGGGACGGCATCCGGAGAACTTTGGCGACGCACTCAGCTGGGCGATGGTGCTGGACCACCTGATCAGGTACCATCACGTGCGTACATCCCTGCTTGTCTCCCTCTGCGTTCGCGTGGCTGCCTCGCAAAGTGCCTTGTCCCTGGTCTGACACGCTCTCCTTCATGCATGGCAGGCTCTGCTCCCCATCAGCGACGTACGACACGAGGCGCTATCGGAGACTGTTGCATCGTGGTCCGGCTTGCCCGTTCTTCGGTTCTTCCTGGACGAGTTTGCGCCCGCGGCGGGGGCTGGCAGCTTGCTTGCGGACGACATGAAGCCTGACTGGCGCCGGGACGTTGCTGCTCGCCTGTTCCACGAGATCGCATCCGCCGCGCTCTGGGCCTGCAGCGGTTTCAGCGATGCGCCAATCGCGCTACGGCGCTTCATTGACAGCTACGCTGCTCTGCCTTACGACGGGCCGCAGGCCATACACCGAGCGCATGCGGAGACTGTGCTTACGGTGGCCAGAGAGGCGGCCGATGCGCATCTTGCGCTTTCGATGATCCGTCTCATGCTGCCGATGCCACACAAGCCGAACCGCAAGCAACTCGTGCCAGCGACGCAGCATTGGTTCCTTGCCATGTCCGCCCTGCGTGCCTCGAACGAGCCAGTCGAGGACAAGGCCCGCATGGCGCTAGACGTGTGGCAGTTGTACGCTCCCCTGGCCCGGCGCCGAGCAGATCTCGCGACCTCGGTCAACAACAACAACACCTTCGGCCTCTACGTCATACGGCCGGCACTCGTGCTCGAGTTTCTGGCATGCCGGAGCGAGCCGCACGCCGCGCCGGTCGACGACGCCAGTGCGGCACTTGCTGCGCCCAGCGACGCCGAGCATTATGCCGAGACTGTGCGCGCGATCGAGGCCGGCTTCTGGCTGAAGAACATTCTCCCAGAGACTTCGGTCCTGACAAAGCCACCTGCGAAGACGGGCGCACTGTCACCTCGGCTAGACCAGTGGCTCTCGCTGGACGGGAACAATCACGCCTCACTGTCGAGAGCCTGCGCCAGGCAGCTGGCCGATCACCTAGCATACGCACTCGCTGCCGCGTCGGTGACCCCGGACGAGCGCAGATCGTGGACCGCACTGCTCTCACACGCGCGCAAGACAGGCGAGTGGTTCTATGCTCAGGACCACTATGACTTTGGCTCGCGAAATGGGCCAGGCGCGAATCGCACAATGCGGCCGATACAGTAGTGGCTTTCGCGAGAGGGCCTTCATGCTTTAACGAGATGCTGCCGCCGTGGATCAGCTGCACGCGCGTGCTTGCAATGCGATCGCATGTCTCGAAAAGAGCGTTGAGGCCGTGACCTCGTCTACCTCGCATGCCGGCCTCTCGAGCATGGCGCATCTGCCGGCTGCTGGTCGGCCGGACGCACCACATAGCGTAGCGATGCCTCGCTGAGCTTGGCCCCAGCAGCGGCGTCGTGATCTTGTCTTCCGCGGTGCCCGAGCGACTGCTGGCCGCGTGCACACCACACTGGATGGAGACGCCGTGGGCCGAGCCTTGGCCGGTCAGCTCCCGGCACCTGTACGCGCTGCTATGACTCTACCGGCAGCAGGCACACGAGCGCGGCCGTGACGATGCGCAGAGCGAACGCAAAGAACGTGACTGCCGCGACGCCGCTGCGGATGTGGACGGCGGCGCCGACGGCGATGCCGGCGAGGAAGAGGCTGACGTAGATGAGGCGGATGTTGCGCGAGTGCACGCCCTGCGGGTCGTCCTGGTCCTTGCTGGCGCCCAGCGGCGCAAAGAGGCGCGGATGCACGACGAGGTCGACCATCGGCGACGTGAGCATGGCTGAGGGCAAGCGGGGTGAGCAGCCGGCGAGCGACGCGCGTGCGCCAGCCTCACCGGTGGGCACCTCCTGCACGCCCGAGCAGCGCGCCTGCGACACCTGCAGGCCCGCCGTGGCGGCAAGCAGCGCAATGGGAATGGCGTCGAGCGCCGGGTCGACGAGCTCGGGCGGCTCGTAGGCGCCGACGGGCAGCACGTGCACCTCGACGAGCACGGCGCAGACGAGCAGCACGACGGCCTGCAGCGCCAGCGAGAGCAGCAGCCACCAGCGGCTGCGGTGGCCGCGCGCCAGGCCGATGCGCCCAGCGACGAAGGCGGTGAGCAGGAAGGCCGCCAGACTGACGCCCGTCGTCAGCAGTGCCGGGCCCGTCTGCGGCGCGTACGCCTGCCGCACGCCTGGCGCGATGGTCAGCAGCGGCATGGCACAGCGCACGGCGCACGCACCGATGGCGCGCGAGAGCAGCAGGATGGCGTTGCCCGTCTGGTTCGACGAGAATACGCCAAACGCACCGACGCTCGTGGCGTCGAGCAGGCCGGTGCCGAACGTGTTGAGGTAGAGCGGCCAGACGAGGGCGTCGGCGCTGAGCGGCGCCGCGGCCCAGCGCCGCGCCCTCTCGCGCAAGTCTGGCTCGCTGTCCGCTGCGGCGAGCTCGCTCATGGCCGTTCCCGGATGCGCGCTTGCGGCCGCGAGGGCCTGCTTCGTTGCGTGCTTGTGGTGACGGTGCGGTCTGGGTGCCAAGCCCGGCGCAGCTCGGAGGCGCGGCTGCGGCTTCGATGCGCGCCGCCTTCGATTTCGCTTTACCGCCGGCGCCGCGCGCTGCTCCCACGCTCCGCACTCCGCAAGCGCACCCGCCGCGCTGCGAGATTCGCCCGCTCCGGCGTGTTCGCCGGCGCATAGCGCGCCCGCGCCGCATCGAATGGCAGCGCAGGCGGGCGCTGGGAGCGCTGGGAGCGGGCGGTGGTGGCCACAGCGGCCGCAGTCGGGACGGGCTTGCCGCAGTAAGAGTCGCAGCGCACGACCAGAAGCTGCGCAGCGGCGGAGCAGGGATCGCTCGGCTGCGGGAGAGCTGCGATGCGGCGGAGCGCCGATGCCTCGCACACCGCCTATCAGCAGCCAAGGGACGGCCAGCCACGTGCGCGCGCCCGCCGCCGGCGCCTCTGCTGCGGCAGCGCCAGTCCGGAGAGCGCTCTGCCAGCGTCGGCTGCTGTGCTCTTGCGCTGCAGGGGCGTCGTCCGGGGTGTGCGCTGCGGCAGCGAGAAGTGCAGGCATGCTCCGCAGCCGTCTGCGCTCGCTTGCAGCCGCAGGACAGCCATCGCGGGCGCAGCAGCACATCCGCCGTCGCTGCGGAGCCCTCGAGATGCATGCCTGCAGGCCTGCCGTCGCTCGAGCTCACCGGTGCACTGCAGCGAAGGAGAGTCGCTTGGCGGTCTGCCCGCCGAACGAGGATGAGCAAGCCTGTCTGCTCCCTCAGCGGGGCCCCCCTCCGCGCCCTTTTGTCCTGCCTCTGCCGCGGCGCGTGCGCGTGGCCAGCCGCGGCGGTGCAGGCAGTGTGCAGGGGCAGGTGGACAGCCTGCAGATTAAGGGCACTATTGACGCCTAGCGCGCGGAACATCGGCGGCTGGCGCCCCGCTGCATCTCTCGGATCAGCTGGCGCACAGCGCCGCGGTGCCGCGACTCGAGCTGTCATGCTGCCGCTGCCTGGTGCGCCGCAGCGAGCTCCTTGCTTCTGCAGCAGAAGCAGGCCGTGGAGCACCAGCGAAGGCGCACTTAGTGCAAGCCTCGCGGGCAGAGAAGCCAAACAAGCAGCTGCAGCTTGGATGCATCGCACCGACCTGTGGACCTCTCACCAGCCACGCCAGCACGAAGATCAGCGAGGAGCACGGTGGCTCGGCCCCTAAGGCTGCGCTGCGCCGCCGCACCACAGCGGCGGGAGCTCCTCTCGGGCGTCGCTGACGCCGGCGCCGCAGACTGACAGCGCAAGCGAGTTCCTTGAAGTGTGAAGTCTAGTGCTCTTGCTTGGCTGGCCCGGCTGTCGCTCGCTGTCGGGGTGCTGCTGCGCGCTGCCTTCTCACCGAGCGCCCGAGAGCGGCATCGCCATCGCATGCCGAGCTGTGTCTCGTAGCATCTCCAGTGATCCACGGGCCCCGGCCTTCAACAATCTCGCACGGCGCTGCTCGACAAGCGAGATGGCTCTGCGAGGTAGCGCGTAGAAGGCACTTGTTGAGCTGCTCTGGCGGAGCAGCGCGGCCACGGTCCAGGAAGCGCCTCCGCGACGACCGAGCTTCCCTTCTCGGTGGCCACTCGTGGGCGGCGCAAGACGCACAGCTGCCGCAGCCGCGGCTGGCCCACCAGCACTACTGATAGGCGTGCTGTGAAGTTTGCTCGCTGCTCACTGCTGCGGCGAGGCGGCACCCAGCGGCCAGAAGGCGAGGCGACCTCCTCATCCCGCCCTCCGTGCCCCGCGCGCGCCACGCACAGCCGCGGACAGGCTGGCTCCCTCGCGCTGCCTTCTGCGTGCTGGCGAGCCATGCTCGCTGAGCGGCATGTCTCGCAGCGCCCAGCCTTGCCCCTGCAGCTGGAGCAGCAGGCAGAGGTGACCGGGCGCCATACGGCATCGTCGAGAGGGCAGGCCCCACACCAGACACTCGCGAGACGCCGGCGTCGGCTGGGTGACGTTGCGGCGCGGGCGGAGCTGCTGCGTGCTGCGCTCTGCTGCGGGCGGCGTGCGGTGCGCGAGGCGCGCTTGTCCTCTCGCTGCCGCCGTGCCGCGCGCGGACAGCACCGATAGATGCGATGGCGGCGCGGCGGCAGCGAGGAGGCACGCCGCCGGTGCCGCACCTTCGCTGCGTTTGGCTCTGGCGCAGCGTGCAGCATCGCCGCCGCGACGGCGCTGCCGCCGCTGGCCGCCTTCCTGGCGCCGCGCTGCCGATCCGCAGGCCGCCGCTCGCCTCGCGTCTCCAGATTCGCCTTGCCTCGCCGTCGTCGTCTGCGTCTGCACCACCGACTGCGACTGCTGCTGCCCACGCAGCGTCCCGTCGTCGTCGTCGCCGCCTCACTCACTCCCCCACCAGCTCCCACCCGCGCCACCTCTTTTGCCTCTCCCCGCCTGCGACGCGCTTGCACCGGCGCGCGTCTTGCTCCGCACTCGCCGCGCCGCGCTGCTGCTCTCCGCGTCCAGCATCGCCCTCGCCGCCAGCTCGCACGCCTCTCGCGGCACCGCCAGCGTGCCGCACGCCTCGCCCTTGCCGCCGCAGAGCGCGCATGAACAGCTCGCGGCCCGGCAGCAGCAGTAGCAGCAGCAGCAGCACCCGCCCCAGCAGCAGCAGCGCCGCCGCCGCTGCCCGTCTCGTCGCGCACAAGGCAAAGGACGCCGCGTCGACCTCGCCGGCCATCGCCTCGGCCTCCGTGCCGCTCTACCGGCCGGCCAGTCTGGCGTCGCAGTCGCAGGCGCAGTCGTCGTCGGCGTCTGCCCAGCAGCGCTCTGCCGCCGCCGCCGCGCCGCCGCCGAGTGCCGACAGCGCCGCCTCGCCGCCGCTCCAGCGAGCGCCGCCGCGCCGCAGCGCCATCTTCAAGAACTTTGCGCCCATCGCCGCCGCGCCCGCCGCAGCGTCGACAAACACGGCCGCGCAGGTGAGTGCTGCTCGCGCCATGGCCGAGCTGCATGCAAGTGTGGCCGCAGTGCGCCGGCTGCTTATCCTCAGAGGCTGACGCCGCTGCCTGACCCAGCCTCGCGCGAGCTCCGGCAGTACCGCCAGCCAGCTCAGCGAGCCTGCCGCCGGCTCCTCGCCCGCCGGCAGCAGCATGTTCGCGCCGAACATGCCTGGCCGCGGCAACGCCGGCCCTGCTGGCCCGTCTGGGCCCTCGTACCCGCCGCAGCCCTACCCCACCGCCGGCCCGTCTGCCGGCGCCAACGGCATGCCCGCGCACAAGCAGCAGGCGCAGGGTGCGCCGGGCATGGGCGGCGCGGCCAACATGCGCAAGCGGCCGCCGTCGCAGAGCCCAGACGTGCGCGCCGCCGACAAGGACAAGCGCCTCAAGGCAGAGGGCGGCGTGGCGCCGATGCACGAGAGCTCCGAGGCGTATGCGCGCACCATTGCGAATCTGCAGGGCCCGGCACCTGACGCGCGCATGTGGGGCGAAGAGGCGACCAAGTGAGTCGCTGCGGCAGCGGCGGCGGGTGTGCCGTGCGCTTGTGCGAGAGGTGCAGAGCAAGCACGTCGCGCCGCGAGAGGAGCGTCTCGCTGACCTCGCTGTCCAGGCTCGATGTGTACGTCTGGGACTACCTCACGCGCCGAGGCTTCAACCAGGCTGCGCAGTCGCTCGTGACCGAGGCGGGCATGGTCGACATCCCGCAGGTGCCGCTGCGCACGCCGCAGGGCCTGCTGTTCGAGTGAGTCGCCGACGCGCTGTTGCTCCATCGGCCTTGGCCTGACGCCGCATCGCAGATACTGGGCCATCTTCTGGGACGTCTTCGCGGCCCGCACCGGGCGCGGCTCCGCTGAGGCTACAGCGTACCACGAGTACCGCGAGAGCAAGCTGGCGGCTGCGCGTCGGGCCGACCAGCCGGCTGGCGACGATGGCAACTCGGCGCGGCTGCGCAACGGCGCTGCTGCCGGCCCGTCGTCGTTTGGCGCCGGCGCAGCAGGCTCTGCCGCCGCTGCGGCCGGTGCTGTTGCTCGCCCGCCCGGCGCATCGCCGTTCGCCGGCATGCCGAGCCAGGCTGCGGGCGGCCCGTCCGTGCAGCAGCAGGCGCAGGGGCCGGCCCAGCAGGGCGGCCCGCAGCACCAGCGGACCGCCTCTCAGCATCAGCCGCCGCAGCAGCAGCAGCAACGCCCGCAGCCGGCGCAGATGCAGCAACAACAGGCGCAGCAGCAGCAACAGCAGCAGGCGCAGCAGCAGCAGAGCCAGCAGCAAGCGCAGCAGCAGCAGCAGCAGCTCTTCCTCGCCGCGCGGCAGCAGAACATCTCCATCGACGAGCTCAAGAGCATGAGCGTGCAGGAGCGTGTCAACTTGATGAACAACCATGCGGCGGGCGGCATCCCGCTGGTCCGGCCCGGACAGCAAACGAGCCTTGCAGGTGCCTCTCCGCAGGGCGATGCGAGCATGCAAGCCCGTCTGCAGCAGCAGCGCCAAATGCAGGCCCAACAGCAGGCGCAGCAGCAGGCACAGCTGCACGCACAGCAGCAGCAGCGCGGCTCGTTGCAGCAGGCGCAGGCCGGCAACGCAGGACCTGGTGCGCCGGCAGGCATGGCCAATGGCGCGCAGCGGCCCGGCCCCATGCACGCACTCGGCAACGTCGGCTCGCCGAGCAGCGGCCAGCCGGCACAACTCGGCGGCATGGACGGGCGCCGCTCTGTGGGCCCTGCACAGACGCCCGGCAGCATGCACGGCAGCCACCCGGGCACGCCTGCACAGGCGCACGCACAGCCGGGCCCGCACCAGCAGCATCAGCGGCAGGGCACAAACGAAGGCGTCGTGACTGGTCCCGACGGCCAGAAGCAGCCCTACATCTCTGCGGAGCAGATGGCTGGTAAGTCGCAGGCGACCCCTCGAGCGCGCGTCAGCATGCTTACTCTGTGCGGCAGGGCTCATGAGCAACTACCAGAGCCTGAGCACGCAGCTGCGTGAGGAGTTTGCGCTCTTCCAGGGCACGCCGCCGGGCACGCCCCTGCATGCACAGCGCCACCAGCACCTCCTCACGCTGCAGCAGCGGCAGAAGCAGATCGACGCCGTGCTGCAGGCGCAGCCGCATTTCCCGCAGTTCCGCGCCCAGCATCAACAGCAGCAGCAACAGCAGCAGGCGCAGCAGCAGCAACAGCAGCAGCAGGCGCAGCTCCGGGCGCAGCAGCAGCAGCAACAGCAGCAGCAGTCCGCGCAGGGGCAGCCGCAGCAGCACCAGGGTCACCCTCAGCATGCTCTGCAGCAGCATCAACAGCAGCAGGCACAGCAGCAGCAGGCGCAGCAGCAGCACGGGCAGGCTGCCGCGCAGCAGCGTGCCATGCAGCTCAACCAGGCCTCGGGCGCGCGCATCACGCCCGCCATGGCGACGAGCGACCCCAACTTCATGATCAGCATGATGGGCGGCGCGTCTGCGCACGGCGGGGCGGGGCCGGGCGCGGCTCAGCAGCAGCCCGGCCAGCAGCAGCAGCAACATCCGCAGCACCCTCAAGCTCATCAAGCGCAGCATCAGCAGCACCCGTCGCAGCAGCAGCACGCGTCGCAGCAGCAGCACGCGTCGCAGCAGCAGCAGCAGCAGCAGCAACAACAACAACAGCAGCAGCAGCAGCACCAGCAGCAGCAGCAACAGCAGCAGCAGCACCCGAATGCGCAGCCTTTTGCGCAGGCGGGCTCGCCGGGCGACGCCAACCAGCAGCAGCGCAACCCAATGGCCTTTGCGAATCCGTTCGCCGGTGCGGCCGGATCATCAGCGCAGTCAGCCCGCAGGCCCAGCGTGAATGCTGCGGACGGGCAGCACGGCGGCGGGCCGCAGGGTCTGCACCCCGGCCAGCAAGGGCAGCAGCAGCAGCAGGCCGGGCCGTCAAGCTCACAAGGCGGCGCACCGTACGGCGGACCCCAGGCGCGGCCAATGCTGCAACGGGCACCCAGCGGCATGGGACCGCCAGACCCGCCGAGCATGACGAGCCCGAGCCCTCGGCCACCCACTGTCAACGGCACGCAAGGCGTGCAAGACGGTCCCTCGCCGGCTGCAGTGCCCGCGACGCCCAAGCAGACTGCAGCAGAGCGCAAGAAGAAGGAGGCGCGTGGACGGGTGAGTGGCATTCTGCACGCGTCCGCAGCTCGGCGTCCAGTTGCTGACTCCTGCTGTTCTCAGGGCAAGGCCGCAAGCAAGACACCAGTCATCCCGCCGGCCACCGTCCCGTCGAACAACGGGAGCAACGGGCCGTCATCGTCGAGCGCGCCGCACACTGCCTCCACGCCGGTGGCGCCTCCGACGCCGGCCAGCTCGAGCGTACCGACGCCTGGGCGCGAGCGAGACGGCGCGGGCCACTTGCCGAGCGACGCCGCCGCCAAGCTCGGCCAAGTCGGCGGTGAGAGCAGCGCTGCTGGCAACCATCCATCGCAGTCGCAGCAGCCTGGCCCGTCCGCCGGCCTGATGGGGTACGGCATGGGCGACGTCGGCACCAGCCAGAGCGGCTCCGGCGCATTCGGCGACGGCAGCGCGGCCTCAGGCACGGCTGGCGACGCGCTCGGCGGCATCGGCGGCGAGTTCGGCAACTTTGTCTTTGACGGCTCGGCGCTTGACCAGTACTTCCTGCCGGATTCCGGCGACGGCAACGGGCCGTCTGATGGCAGCGGCGGAGGCGGCGGCAACGGCTTCGGCGTCGACGACTGGAACTCGTTCAGCGTCTTCGGCGATCAGTGAAAGACCGTGCCACAAGCCACTGCGCCGAGTCCTCACGCATCTCCTGCAACGCCCCGGCCCTCCGTGTCACCTCGTTTGCGTCTTCGACCTCAGGTCTCGAGCACGTTTCTTATCGTCCCATCGTGCCACGCCGCAGTCACGCTACCCGAGCCGTGTCCAGTGTGCTGCCCTTTTCTGTGCCCACTTCCTTGCTCAGTCTGCCGGCTGCACCGCTGCCTTTCGAGCCCTCGCCCGCGTGCGCCGCGCTCACTCTAGTACCCTGTGGCACCCCTCTCACCTGGACGCCTGAGACAATCAAAAGATGTGAAGCTCCGCCTGACTGCGTGCACGAAAGCGGGTCGCAGCGGCGCTCTGTCGACGCGGTGGCGCCTGTGCCGCTACAGCTCTTCGTTGCACTTCAAGACACGCGCACGCCATGCGAGCGAAACGATCTGCCATTTGAGCAACGCACTGCGGTGTCCGCGTGCCAGCTCAGAGGACGACGAACGAGCTCGGCGTGTAGCGCTTCGTGTTGTACACGCTCTTGCCCGCCTGATGCACCACGAACGCGGTCAGTGCGAGCTGCTACGTCAGGTGCAGAGGCACGACTCACCTCCCAGTCCGGCACATCCTTCATGATCTCCTTCTCGCGTGCGACCATGGCCTTCTCGCGCCGGTACACGTCGCGGTCGGCCTCGGCGAGCAGCAGCGGCACGAGGTGGATGCGCGACCACGCCTTCTCGCGCCGGAGCTCACTGAAAGCAACGAGCGTCAGCATAGAGTACACGAACATACAGAGTCTGAGGGAGTAGCTCCTTCAAAGCCGTGCAGAGCCAGACTGCAGCATCGATCTGCGTGCGCAAAGTGTGCGCTCGTCGCCGGCGGAAGGCGGAAAGGTGCAGCCCGTGCTGCCACATAGCCGAGGGCCCCTGCTGCAAACTTCGTTCTGCCAAGCCGGCGAGCCGTCTGTTCCTGTTCCCGTTATGGCTACCCGAGCAGAAGCGCAGGCAGCCGCTAAACACCGACGAGGCCATGGCACAGCCAGGCCCTCCCTGGGCCTAGATAGCGAGCGTCTGCGCTCGCCGTGCCGATGCGTCGCCTTGCACGGGCCGTGGCTTGGCCCTGCGGTGCTGCTCTCCGGCACCTGCTGCTCCAGATCGTCCACCACATGCGCCCTAGCGGTCCGAGCGGACGCACACTCGCGCTCGGCGCAATCGCCAGCCTGACCGGCTCTCGCTGCCTGCCTGCTGCCGCGGCCACCCACGCCCACGCCCACTCACCGCTGCTCCAGGTTGCCCTGCCCGACGCGCCAGAAGCCGTAGGCGCAGATGGCGGTGACGCCGGCGAAGATGGCGATGCCGCCGGGCCCGCGCGCCGGCAGGTTGCGCTTGTAGCGGATGGGCTGGTAGCCGCCCTGCGGCGGCAGGTCCTGCGCGAAGGGGACTGCGGACGGGGCGGTCAGCATGCGCAGCGGCAGCGGCCCAGCAGGCGCGACGCACGGCCGCCGGACTGAGACATGCTGTGCGGGGACGAGGAGGGCGGAGCAGGTGGAGCGGAGGCAGCAGGTGCACGGCACGGCGCTGCGCTGGCGGCGCGGCGGCCGGGAGCGGCTCGGTGCGACGGCGGGCCACACGTGATCGACGCGCGGGGCGTGGGAGCAGCGCCAGGCAGCAGATGCGCGGCGCGGCGGCGCCGGCCATCACGACCTTCCAGCTGCCGCTCCACCTTCCTCTCCTCATTCTCCCCACCGCGCCGGCACAGAAGCCGCACCACCGCCGCCGCCGCCGCCGCCATGTCCGCCTCGCCGAGCGCCAGCTCCTTCGAGCTCGTGCCGCCGCCTGCGCTGGCCAGCTGGCTCGACGTGCCCGACGCGCTGAGCGTGTGGCCGGCACAGCGGCGCGCCGAGCTGGCGGCGCGCGCGCCCGACCTGCCCGCCGGCCGCGCCTTTGCCGCCCGCCTCGCCGCCCTCGTGGCGCCCGAGCAGCCGGCATACCCGCCCGAGGCCCTCGCGCTGCTCGCCGGCGCGCTCGCGGCCAGCGGCGCCGGCGCACGCAGCCACGCCCTCGTCTACTACCTGCTCCTCGACATCGCCGCCGCCGCCGCCGCGCCGCAGCCCGAGTACGGCGCGGCGCAGCTGGCACCCAGCGAGCGCACCGAGCTGCGCGGCCGGGCAGCGGCGTTTGCGCGCCGCACCGGCCTGCCGCGCAAGTTCCGCGAGGCCGTGCAGGGCTACTGGTACGTCGACCACGGCATGTACAAGGTGAGCGGCAGCGATGTGATGCGGCAGGCATGGGAGCTGACGCGCCCGCTGGCAGGACGCACTGCCGTACCTGGCACAGGCCGACTTCCGCCCGGCGCTACTGCGTGCCTTCTCGCCGCTCTCGCCGCTCGCTCCGCCGCCGGCCGAGCGTGCCGCGCTGCTGCTGGCGCTGCGCCGCCTCACTGCCACGCCGCCGCCGCAGCAGCTCGCCGCCGAGCCTGGCAGCGAGCTCGCGGCCGAGGAGGAGCACGCCGTCGAGAGCGACGTGCTGGCGGTGGCGCACGTGCACGGCCTGGCCGCTGCCTGGCGCCGCGCCAGCGAGCTTGGCCTCGGCGCGCCCACTGACGCCGAGCTGGCGCTCATGGCCCGCTGCAAGGCGCGTCTGCTTTCCTTCTGCTTCGAGCGTGAGTCCTCAGGCGACGGCGCAGCAGTCGTGCCGCCGCTTACCATGCTACCCGCTGCAGCCGAGGCCCAGACCACTGCTGTCGCGGCACTCGTGGCGCTGCCGCTGACCGACGCCGACGAGACATTCCTGCACGACTTTGTCACCGCCTCGCCGCCCGCACTCGCGCCTGGTGCCGCTGCGGCGGCTCTGGACGTGCTGCTGGTGCGCTACATCAACGCCGGCTCGTACCTGGCTGCCGTGCGCCTCGCCGACGCGGCACCGCTGCCCGAGTACGCCGCCGATGCTGCACGCGCTCGGCAGCTGCGCGAGGCACGCCGGCGCATGATCGAGGGCGCGCGGGCAGTGCTGCCCGAGGTGCAGCGTGCTCTGCTCGATATCAATCTCGAGGCCGCAGCATCGCCCGAGTCGGCGGCCGGCGGCGATCTGGCCATGTCGTGGGAGCAGGTGGACGCGCAGCCCGCACGTGCGGCGCCTGAGCCGCTCTCTGCGTCCGTGGCGCTTCGCAAGCCACCGGGCGCGCTCGAGAGCCCTCGCGCCGCTTCGCATGCCGCCGATCCTCTCGGTGCCCTGCTCCACGCAGTTGTGCGCGCCAGCCCGACCAGCAACGGATCGCCACGGCGCCTGCAAAGCCGTGCCTCGCTGACTGGCCGCCTCAGTCCGGCTTCGCCAGCACCTCGCGGCGCCGTGCCTGCAGGCGCTTCTGCTTCTCCTGCCGCGCTGCCTGGCTTCTTGGCTCGTCAGCGCCCGGACGGCGATGCAACCGAGCCCGCAAGCGCTGAGCTGGCTAGCGATCTCGGAGGCGCGGCACCCAAGCGACCGTACGCGGCGTCCTTTGCAGCCGGCATCAGCGGCAGCCCACGAAGCGCATCGCCAGCAGCTTCGCGCCCGGCCCCTGTTAGCACGACGCCTCAGAAGCCGACCGCGCTCATGTCGCAGTCGCCCTTTGCCGGCCCGCCACGGCTGCTGCCCAGCAGCGCGACAGCGGGATATGCGTCGTCGAGCCCCTTTGCACGACAGGTCGCCAGTGCCTCGCAAAGCAGCGCACCGCCTGCCAACGCGGCCTCGACGCCGACGCCGCTTGGGCAGAACAGTGCGTTTGCGCCTGCACCAAGGAGATACGAGGCGCGCTACGAAGCTGGCAGAGCGCAGGGCTCGCCATCGCAAGAGGCGTCCGGCGCCGCAAACGCAGACACGGAGATGCTCGAGGGTGACACGGGAGTGCCGAGCCCGGCTGTGACTCGCCGCCAGGGGCGCGCAAGGCAGGCGGCGCCTGCCAAGCGGACTGAGCAGATCAAGGAGCAGGAGTCCGAGGCTGGGCACGAGAGCGTTCCAGGCGGCTTCCCAGAGGCGCAGGACGCGACCATGGCCGAGGCTGAGACGCCGTCAAAGCCACGGGCGCCGACGCGGCGCACACGCGAGCCGTCCGCACCGCCGGCCACGAAGCAGCCGATGAAGCGCAACACGAGGTCGCGCACCGCCGATCTCGGATCCGAAGCGGGCTCCGACGGCGAGAGTGCGCCGCAGAGGACCATGAGCCGTCCAGTCAGCACAAGAGCCATCGCCAGCAGCTCTCGCACCCAGCGCGCCACGCGCTCGCAGAGCGTGCTTAGCGTGAGCAATGCCGAGGCAGAGCAGGACGCTGGCGATACCGTCGGCGAGCTGCTCGAGACGCCCGTGCGCCGGACACGCGGCGGCGCCGGCAAGCCTGCGGCTGTGCGGCGCAGCGCGCGCCTCAGCGTCGAGCCCGAAGAGGCGGCCGCCAGCACGATGGCGCCGTCCGTGTCGATGCGCTCGCTGCGAGCGCGAGGCACCACGCCGGCAGCCGACACGCCAGGCAAGACGCGCACTCCCGCACGCCGACGCGCCACCAGCACAAAGGCCAAGGCCGACACGAGCATGGCCGAGGCGGCCGAGGAGAACGAAGAGGAGCTCGAGGCGGGCATCCGCACACGCAGCGGCAAGTCGACGATGCCAGGCGGCATGTGAGATATGCGGGTAGAATACAGATGCGGGTGAAGAGAGTCGTGCTGTGTGTCTGTAGGAGGTGTCGATGACGAAGATGACGAAGATGCGCGGGCCATCATGCGAAGCGTTCCGAGTTCTTGCGCCGGCACTCCGGACAGCCGGCACGCAGGACGACGCGCAGGCGTGCCTTGTAGGTCATCTTGCGCGTCAGCGCTGCTGCGGCTTCGTCGGCGCGGCGAGCGGGCCCGTAGATGCTGTCGGCACCCACGGCGCCCGCCTTGGCGTACGCCTGGGTGGCACTGAGCGACAGCGGCGGCAGTGGCGCGTTGCCTGCGCCTGGCAACTTGGCCGTTGCTCGCGGCACGTTTGCGGCGGGCACGAGGCAGGTGAGGTGGAAGGCGTGCCGGCACAGGAAGAAGACGCCCGGCGCCGGGCGTGCGCGCGCAGCGCTGAATGTGTCGAGCGGCTGGGTGAAAAGCGGCTCGCTGCATGCTGAGCAGACGGAGCGGTCTGCAGCAAAGGGCAGTCGTCAGTGCGTGCGTCGCGGCGAGAGCGTCCAAACTCACCGTCACAGTAGTGAGCCTGCGTCTGGCAAACGTGCAAGTCGTGCGACAGGTTGCGTCCGTCGTGGTAGAGGATCGCGGCAGAGCCCTCCAAGAGCGAGATCTGCGACGCGTCAGAAGGGTTGAGTCGAAGGGCGCTCGCTGGATGCTCACCTGCAGGTTGAAGTCCGACAGGATCTTGATGAGCGCCGGCTTGAGGCCTGGAATCTCGAGGCCGTTCTTGATGCGGCGGATGAGCCGGATCGGGTCGATCTCGGCGCCGACGTTCTCGAGCAGGCCACGGATGAAAGCTGCAATGGCGTGAGCATGGCGCGAGAGGACGTGCGACCTGCGTGTCTCACCAGGCTTGGTCTCCGAGTACTTGAGCAGATCCTCCCAGAGCTCGTCGTCGTTCTGCTCCTTGGCGAAGTCGATCGCCTGGCGGGACGGACAGGGTCAGCGGGGCGGCAGGTGAACGCGCTTCGGCGCGGCTCACCCGTTCGACATCGCCAAGCCGCGAGATGATGAGGTTCAGCGCCTTCTTGTTGTCGCCGACGCGGCCCAGCAGGAAGACCATCTCCGGCACCAGATCTCGCTCCTTGCAGACGTTGTACGCCTGTGCATCCTGCGTCAGCTATGTGCGGCGCTCGACAACGCCTGCTACTCACGTCCTCGAACGAGTAGTAGCTGCTCATGGCACGCAGATACGGCATCAGCTTCTCGTAGTCGTAATCGGCGTACAGCTTGACCTGGAGTTCGGCAGCGTCAGCAAGAGACCGAGACAGCTCGGCGGGCGTACGCACTTGGATGTTCGAGAACTCGACGGTGAGCTGCGGATCCCGGTCGAAGAGGGCGTCGAGGTACTTGTGCAGGTGGCGCGGCGACTCGCTGAGCTGCGCGACGACGCGGTGGATCTGCATAGCGATGTGAGCTTGAGAGCGCGACGAGAGCTGCGCCCTTGACGTACCGGGATGGAATGCGTGTGGTCAACGAGAAGGTCGATCGCTGCGCCGTGCTTGCTGGACACCGGCTCAACGTGGGAGGCGCGGAAGGAGGTCGTGCGACGTGCCATCGCAGGCGGGCGTAGCGTAGCTTGCGAGCTGGTGGGCGCCTTGGGCTCGTCGAGCTCCTCCTCGAACTGCACGAGAAGCAGTGCTTGGTCCTGCACCGCGGTGAAAAGGTTGTGGTCGCGGATGAGATCGAATACGCCTGGCCGTCGTAGCCGCAGAAAGTAAGGCAGTGCGCGGCCCGGCTGGCGGTGGGCGAGAAAGAGCTCGACGAGGCACTCCATCAGGACAGGGCCGTTTGCCGTGGCGCCGGCTGTTAGTCCTGCGCTGCCGTCGCGCTCGAGCCGGTCCTCGATGGCAAGTACGACGGCGGAGTAGCTGTAGATGTCGTTCGGCCAGCGCTTCAGCGTCGATAGCAGCACGGCAGGGTCAGCGCGCAGGAAGTGCGCCAGGATCATGTCGTAGACGAGCCCGTTCAGAACAGGCTCGCGCGTCGGCACATAGGGAATGATTGTCCCCAGTCGGCTCTTCTCGACGAAGAGGAAGACGAGGTCCTCCCAGGCCTGCGCGTCGAGTCCCAGGTGCTCGGCGGCGACGCGCGCCGCCTTGGCGTACTCGCGCGCCTCCTGCACCAGCCAGAAGACGTATTTGCGCCCGATGACAGCCTTGTCGAAGCCCGCAGCGACGACGGCTGGTGGCGACATGGCGTCGATGCGCTCGAGCGCTTCGGCGTAGCGCTGTCTCTCCAGCAGCCAGTCCACTGCGTCCTTGGCGTCCCGCCGTCGCGCAATGACGACGTCCCGCGGCGAGACGATGTAGAAGTATTCTCCGTCGGCCAGTTCGGCTACGCGTGCTGACGTGCCGTTCGCACTGCCCTTGGCGGGCGTCTGGAGAGCACGAGCGCCGGCAAGTGCCGCATCGGCCGACGGCACCAGGAGATAGTCGTTGCATCCGAAGCGCGCCACATTCTGTAGGCTCAGCACGTCGGAGCTGAGCTCCTCGCCGACGTGACTGATGATGCGCAGCTCGGGCTGCAAGCCTTCTCTGCGGCGATGTTGGGCCTCTGCGTCTCCGTCGCCCTCGGCTGTCGCTGAAATGTACGCGAGAACGAGATAGTCGCGCCCGTGCGGCGCAATGCCGCTGATCATGCAGTCGAGCTTGAAGATGGAGGTGATCTCGACGTAGAGCTGAGCGGCGGCACCACCTGCAGCAGCACTGAGCTGCGCAATGGCTGCAGACGCTCCTGCGGATGAAGTTGAGCTCTTCGAGCTTGCAGTGCCAGCGCCCCGATTCCGAGTGCGGACTTTCGCGATCTTGATGTGGTCTGCCCACGCGATCAAGAGCGTCGCGTCATCCTGCCAGACCAGGCTGCAGCGGAACAGATCGGCGCGACCGTCGGTCGACGGCGGCGAGATGAAGGTGATGCGCTGCTTCGAGGCGTTGTCGTAGATGCGCACACCCTGCGAACATGCGTCAGCCAAGCGTACTCTGATGCGCGTGAAGCTGCTCATACCTTCTCGTTGCTCCAGGCTATCAAGTTGCCGCGCCACTGGATGGTCGAGATGGCGCCCTCGCCCTGGTGCAGCACCGTCTCGCGATGGCCGAACCAGCTCTTCTCGCGCAGCACGAGCGTGCCCGCCATACCGCCGCAGACGAAGGCGCGAGACGAGCGGCGTCCGAAGCTTGGCTCAAGCGCCAAGCTCCGCACTGGTCGCGCGAGATCGAAATTGTACACCTCCGCAGAGGACAGGCCACGAATGGAGACGATGCCTGAGCGGCGTCAGCGTGCGGTTCAGGCTGTACGTGGCGTCTTGAGCTCACCATCCATGCCAGCGCTGCCCACGAACTCGTTTGAGTCGTCGACGTGCAGGTCGAGCACTGATGCAGAGTGCGCCTTCCAGCCGCCGATGCGGTTGCCCTGCTCGTCGAGGATGTGCACGTGGCCGGCATGTGTGCCCATGGCCTGCGATACAGAGGTTCAGCCCGCCGGACTACGACGCTGACTAGGGTCTGCACTCACCACGACACGGTCGGAGACAGCCATGGCGCTGGCACTGTCCTTGAGCAGCACCTCCGCTGCGCCGTTCTTGAGCCGCGAGTACTTCAGATGCGGCTCTTCCTCGGCCTCTTCTGACTCAGTGTCTTCTGCCACCTCGTCGTCTGCGGGCGCATCCGGCTCGTGACCCGGCAGCCCTTCTGGATGTCTTCCTTCGGTATCCGTCGCTTCAGAACCTTGAGCTTTTCGCTCGTCGGCGCTGTCGCCTTTGCCAATGGCACTGCCGACGACTGCATGCAACGCCCGGTCCACGGCCTCCTTCTCGCGCTGGACACGCTCGCGCTCCTGCGCCTCGGATTCTGCGGTGCGCTGTGCGAGCGCACGGCGGGCAGTCGAGTCGCTGCTCTCGCCCTCGGCCGGCGGCGGCAGCGTGCCTGAGCGCGAGACGGAGCCAGATGCGGCATCGTCGTCCACCTCGGCCTCGAGCTCGCCATGCACGCCGTCGTCGAGGCTGAGGTCGCCCGGTGCCTCACCGCTGTCGGCGTCGAGCGGCGCAGCGGACGCCGCATCGGCGTCCGGAGCGGAGGGCACGAGCTGCTGCGGAGATTGCAACTGGGGCGCTGCCTCATCGTGCGCTGGGCTCGGCAGCGCCGCCGAGCTGGGCGTAAGCTCCTGCGTCGGCGACTCGGCGGCGGCAACGTGCGGAATGGCACCTCGCGCCGCCAGGCGGGCCGTCTGCGCCAGGAGTGCGCGCGGCGAGGTGTCGCTCGACGGCTCTGCGGGCGCGGCAGGCGATCGAGGCGGCGTGCTTGGCTGCGACATGGCGGACGGCGCGCCGCGCGAGGGAGAGCGTGCACCGAGAGCCACGCGCGCCGGCGACAGTGTCGATGCAGCCGGCGGCTCGCAAGCAGGCGGCTGCGGATGACGATCCAGACGTGAGATACTGGTACGCGCGGGTGTCCACGGCGATGCGAGTGGAGTGAGAGGCGGTGCTGAAGGATGCGGCAGCGTGTGGAGTGGAGTGACGGTCGGGAGCGAGGCGTGCACGGCGCACAGACTAGACGGCGCATGCGGCTCGGGGGCCTCGAGATGCAGCGTGGGAACAGCGCGCGCTGCTCCACTTGCCGCTTCTTCTTCGCGGCCAAGTCAGCACGCTTCGCCTCACACCCTCATCCGCAATCGACTCGCCGGCCGCACAGCAGTGCCTTGCTCCGCAGCATGGCCTCCTACCTTCTCGCCGCCGCCTCGCCGCCGGGCGCGCCAGTGTGGGCCGTGCAGCCGCTGCCGCTCGACGCCGGGCCCACCGCCGTGCTCGCAGCGGGCGCGGCCGGCGAGCTGCGCCTGCTCGCTCCGCTGCCGTCGGGCAGCGCCGCCTGTCTGGCTGCACATGCACACAGCAGCAACGGTGCCAGCAGCAGCAACGGCGATACAGGCAGCAGCAGCAGCAGCAGCGCAGGCAGCGGCATTGGCGTCTTTGCCGTCGCCGTCGCCGGCGAGCGCGTGCTCAGCGTCGCCGCAGACGGCAGCGTGGCGCTCTGGCAGCTCGACCTCGCCGCCGTCGCCCAGGCGGCCGAGCGCGCCGCAGCCCTCGAGGCACAGCCGGAAAGCGCCGAGAGCGCCTCGCCGTCGTCGTCGGATGCGCCGACGCTGCTGCGTGCTCTCGCCGCCGTGCCCACGCTGGCGCCACACCTCGAGGCACACGTCGTGGCCCTGCATCCGACGCAGCCGCTGCTGGCCGCCGTCGGCGCCGGGCCACGTGTGGCGCTGTGCAGTGCTGCGCCGGAAGACTTTGGAACGCTGCAGCGCATGTGCGATGCACCAGACGCGCAGGCAGGGGCAAGCCGCGGAGGCAAGGGCGCGTCGACGGAGATGGCGACGTGCGTGGCATTCGTGAGTCGGCTGCACAAAGGACGTGCGGCCAGGCACTCTCGTGCGCTGCAGTAGCTCGCTCACACCCGCTGCCACAGAGCCCGAGCGGTGAGCTGCTCGCGTCGGGCACGTCCACCGGCCTCCTGCTGGTGCATGCTGTCGCCTCGGGACGTCTGCTGGCGACGTTTGCAGGTGCGTGCCAAGATGTGCGCTGCATTCGCCGACAGCAGGCGTCTGATCTTCTGCACCGCTCGAACAGACCACGCATTGCCCATCCGCTCGCTCTCCTTCTCCGCGCCGCACGTCGGCGCCGAGCGCGACCATCTGCACGTCTGCTCCGAGGACCGCACGCTCACCATCCACGACGTGCGCAGCCTCGAGCGCAGCGCCGCCTCCGCAGCGGCAGCGCAAGACGCAGCGCCGGCCGAGGCAGCCGGCATCGCGGCGGGTGCCACGGTGGCCTGCTTGCGGCATCCAGGCTGGGTCACGGGCGCCAGCGCTGGGCCCCTGCTGGCCACTTCGTGCGTGCCCTGCTAGGTCTTTTACGCGCAGCTAGCTCACACCCTGGCCTCTCACAGAAGCACCGACGGAGCGCTGCGGCTGTACGACACGCGTGCCGGGCGCACATGCGTGGCGACACTGCGCGAGGGGCCGCGCATCTGGGCGTGCGTGTGGACGCCGCCGCTGGCCGGCCTGCCGCCGAGCACCGCCATGCTCGTCAGCGGGAGCGAGTCGGGCGAGGTGCGCTGGTACCGCGCCGCCGGCACGGGCCTGGGCGCCGCCGACTGATGTGCCACGCAATGCACACAACTCAACGATCAGACAACGGCGGTCCATTTTGGGTGGTGGGGGCGAATAGAGAAGCACAGAGGCGCGGCCAGCAGTGGTGCCTGACTCGTCGTCGCAGCGTCTACTCCTCGCCGAGCTCCTCGTCGTCCTCGGTGCCCCACGTCGCGGGCACGCGGTAGAAGCGCAGCACCTGCTTGTTCGGGTCCTTCATGAGCACAAACTTGCTCGTCATGCCCGGCTCGGCCGTCGCCTTGCGCGCCAGGTCGGCAATCGTGCGCACGATGCCCCAGCCGTTGGCGAGGTTGACGTTGATCTGGGCGGCAAACTCGCGCGGCTTATACCACTGCGTGCCGAGGATGACATGGCGCGAGGCGTCGCGGGCGTTGGCGCGCGAGATGTAGCTGCGCAGCGGAGTGTCAGCGGCTGCGTGGTTGCGCTCGGATTAAGCAGGCTCACCCCATCTTCATGTTGTCGGCACCGGCAAGGATGCTCTGCACAGCGAAGCGAGCCAGCTTGGCGCTGTTGTTCTTCATCTCGGTCGCCACGACAGCACCGCGCTGCGCGTCGAGCTTCGAGCGCCAGTCGGGCGCGCCGCCGGCACCCTGAGCACGCGAGTCGAACTCGTTGAGCGTCTTGATGGTGATGTACTGCGGCGCGGCGCCCTTGCTCGCCGGCGGCAGCAGCGCATCGACCTCCGTGCGCACGTAGATCTCGACGGGCTCGTCGGCCGACGACGAGACGTCCCACTTGCGGTAGCGGTAGCCGCACGACGCCAGCGTGTCCGTCTCGGCGGCGGCGTCGTAGAACGGGTTCGGGCCGCCGGGCAGCTGCTTGCTCTTCTTCTCGTTGACGACCTGGAAGGCGAAGTTCTGGTTGATAAACGTGGCCTCGAGGCTGAGGTTGCCCGGCGTGTTGATGCTGTTGACGGCCGTGGCGCTCTTGGCGTCCTTGCCGTCGGCCAGCGCGGCCGCCTCGTTGGCGTCCAGCGGCGGGTCGGCGGCGTTCTCGTTGACCGAGACAAAGTCAAAGGCGCCGCCGTCGCGCTTGTCGAGGAAGATGTTGCCGACGGGGTCGACGGTCACGACGACGTCCCACGGGTAGAGCGAGCGGTTGGCCGTCATGAGCAGCGCAAGGATGGAGTCGGTGGCGAAGATGCGCACGGGCGCGGCAGTGCCGTCGGCGCCGGCCTGTGCGGGCTTGGCAGCCTCGTCGAGGAGGATGGGGTCGTCGTGGGTGGTGGGGTTGTAGCGCACGCGGTCGAGCGGCTGCAGCGGCTTCTCGAAGCGCACCGACGAGATGCGGTCGTAGGCACGGTCGTACTCGTACAGCGTGCCGTGTGCGGAGCTGCAAGGGATGCGGTGAGCATTGCAGAGCATGTGCCGGCGGCAGAGCTACTCACATCTCCGTCGGCTCGCCCACCTCGAGACGCAGCTTGCTGAGGCGGCTGAAGTCGATCTCCTCGAGCTGCTCCCACTCGGCGCCCACGTCGACGGACGGGTCACGCACGCGTTGCGGCTGCACATGGGTCAGCCATGTGCGCGAGAGGGTCGAGTAGAGAGGCAGAGCGGGCGCAAAGGCGTGCACAGATGCAAGTCCTTGCCCGCATCTCTACGCCGCTCCTATGCCTCGCCTCCCAAGCATCATGCACTCGCCACTCTGCACTCACCTTGTCCCAGTCCTTCCAGCCGCCCCTCCGTGCAGCACCGCCGCGCGCCGCCACGCCGCCCCGACCTGTGCCCCGGGCACCGCCGCGTGTGGGCGCCGCACCGCGAGCGCCGCCACGGGCACCGCCGCGGCCGCGGCCGCGCGAGAAGCTCGCCAGACCGCCACGGCCGCGCGGCGCCGCCTTGGCGTTGTCGACGACGGAGAAGGTGGCCTCGTCGTCGCCGTGGAAGTAGGCGAACGTCGAGGCGGCCGCGCCGGCGCCGTAGCTCTGTGCGCCGCCGTCGCGGCCACCGCGGCCGCTGCGGCCGCCGCGCCCGCGGTCGCCGGCGACGCTGGCGTTGTCGCTCGTGGCGTTCCAGTCGGCGATGCGGCCGATCTTGTCGGACTTGGCGAAGGGCACGAAGGGGATGCCCTCTGCAGGAGCAGGTTAGCCAGGCACGACCGGGGTGCACACGCGGCACGCACCAAAGTCGGGCGGCAGCACGCTGTGCGAGCCCGACGGCTCGGCGGGCGGGCCCCATGCGTCGGGCGTCTCTGCGAGCGCGGGCAGGGTGAAGGAGGCCATGGTGTGATGTGGTGGGAGCAGGCGAGGCGGCGGCCGATGCGTCCTTGTCCGTGTCGCCGCTGCGCTGCCGCGCGAGAAGAAAGCGTGTGCGAGGTGCAGCGCAGCGGGCAATACAACCGCCGCTGAAGCCGAGCTTGAGCCGGGGTTGTAGTCGCCCACGTGATGGGCGCGCCTGCTCCCACGGCGCGTGTGCTGGCTCACGCCGCTCTCACACGTCCGGGCAGCACCGCCTCGCACTCTAACTCCTAATCGGGCTACACAACACGCAGGCAGGCGGCCGCAGAGCGCCTGCCTTGCGCTCAGAGCGGCAGGCTGCGGCTTGCCCTCGATGCGGAAGATAGCGGGCCCGCTCTCGACGGCCGCGCTGGGCCGAAGCGTGGTCCGAGCGCGCGGCGGGCACGACGTCTGGATCACGCCCGCATCGCGCACGCTGGCCGCTGCCTGCCACCTCCATCTGCCCCTCTGCGCCATCACTCGCACATGCCTGCGTCCTCCGGCGGCAGCCAGGCGCCGGCTCAGCCGCGCAGCTCCCTGCGCCCACGGCCGTGAGTGTGGCCGTGAGGGTGTCGCTCGGCTGCGCCGGCTGACGCGCTCTCCGTGCGCCTGCGCCAGGCACATCTCGTACGCGCCGCAGCACCGCCCCGACGGCACCTCTGTCAACTCTGCACGCCGCCGCAAGGAGCTGCGCGGCTACGACGCCGACGAGGAGGAGCCGACGAGCTCGAGATCGAAGCGCAAGAAAGGCGCAAAGGGCAAGGGCAGCAAAGGCAGCAAGAAGCGCGCACGCCGCGACAGCGACGAGGAGAATGACGAGCGCGAGCCGTCGGGCAGTCGTCACTCGACCCGCACGCAGACCAAGCGTGGCGCGTACAAGGCGCCGTGGCGCGTCGACGGCAAGGTGCGGGCGGGTCTGCATGCGTGCGCTCGACTGCGCTGACGCCGCCGATGCAGCTGTACCGCCACAAGGGCGGTCCTGCCGAGGAGGCACACGCACGCATCCCGCTTTTCAAGCACGAGCAGGCGCGCTACGACAAGCTGGCCGCCGAGGCTGCAGCCGCAGCAGATGAGGAGGAAGAGGAGGGCTCGGATGCGTCTGTCGTGGAGAGGCTGCTCTCCGAGAGCGAGACGTCCGACACCGCCGCGCCGCAGACCCCTCCGGCCACGCAGGCCAAGGTGCTGGTGCCCGCGACGCCCGAGGCAGACGCAGCTCCTTGGGCCAAGGCTGCCGCCGAGCAGCGCCGGCAGTCTGCGGCGCAGAGCGCAAAGGCTGCGCCGCCGCGCTCCAGCAGCTCGGCCATGCACGCTGCCTCGCGTTCCAGCGCCTCGGCCATGCGCTCCACGTCCGCCTCGAGCGGCTCGTCGCACCGTTCTGCCTCGCGCTCTGGCTCAGCACCTCGACTCGCCTCGGGCGCGGGCACGGCACCTCGGTCCGCCTCGCGCCACAGCTCGGGCTCGGCACCTCGACTCGCCGTGAGCTCCCGCTCTAGTAGCTCGGCCTCGGGCTCTGGCGCGGCTCCTCGGCCTGCCACGGGCACCGCCGCTAAGCGCGCTGCTGCTGAGCGGTTTGCAGACGACACCGACATTGAGCTCGCCAGCGGCACATCGGAGGAGGAGGACGACGATTGAGCTGGACGGCCAAGACGTAGCCCGGCTTGCGCCTCGCCGCCTCCCTCCTGCTCCACGCCGCCAGTGTGCCCTCGGTCCGCTGTAGTCCAGTCACCCTGTCTCGCCCATGTCACCCTCGCTGCGGCGCTCGCCTTCCTTCACTCATGAGCAGCATGCAGCAAGACGTCTCATTCCCGCTTCCGTTGTGGGCGGCGGCGGCACCGCGGGCCGTCAGAACAAGTCCTCGAGCGTGAGCTGCCGTGCGATATCTGTGTTGGCCACCTGTGCAAGACGCATCAGCACCGCCCAGCACAGCCGCGCTTGCCGCGCTCACCATCTCCTGGAACTCGGCAAAGTCGAGCTTGCCATCGCCGTCCTTGTCGGCCTCCATGATCGTCTTGTCGACGATCTGCTGCAGCTGCTGGTCCTTGAGGTTGTTGCCGACCATCATCTTGAGCACGAGGAAGAGCTCGCCGTTGGAGATGGCGCCGTCGCGGTCCATGTCGTACACCTTGAACGCGACTGGCGGGAGGGTGAGCATGCTGGCGGGCGCCTCGCGCGGCAGGGACACTCACACCGCAGCTTCTCCTCGCGTGACCCTTGGTTGCTGAACGCGCTCAGGCCGGCGACAAACTCCTGGAAGTCGACAGTGCCGCCTCCGCTGCGGGCCGTGGTGTGAGCAAATGACCAGGAGAGGCAATCGTGCGACGATGCGCTCGACTCAACATGCGCGGGAGGATATGTGCTGCATCCAGCGCTCGCAGGCTTCCAAGAGCGCGGCACCTGCGCCCTCAGCGCACTTTCCGCAGTGATAGCCAGCCTCGGCCTCCACTGCTCTCCCTCCTGACTACTCTGGTGCGCGCTCCCGCAGCCCGCCTCCTCACGCGCGCTCTCCATCCCACTCGCCGCCACTCACTCCTCGTCGAAGATGGCAATCATCCGCAGCGCCAGCGGGTTATTTGCGATGGCGGGGATCTGCAGGAACTCGTCCTTGTCAATGCTGCCGCTGCCGTCGCGATCCAGCTTCATGAAGCGTTTCTTGAGACGGTTGATCTCGGGACCGGAGACTGCCGGGAATGGGGTGAGCAGACTGTGGCGACACACTTCATGCAGCGCGCACGCATGCGTGTCCAACGCCCCTCGTGGTGCGAGCGCAGATTGCGCTGCGCCTCTTCGGTGCTGTCTCGCCGCGCTGTCACTGTGCGCTCGAGCCCCACTCCAGCTGCAATTTGCACACTCGAGCGCACTGCTTGGCACACAGCGTAGCTCTAGCAGCAGTCTCGCAGCCGCAGTGCGTATGCGGCTCGGCACAGCCAGGCGGAAGCCAGGAGCTCTGGCGGTGTGATGCTCTCGCACAAGCAGTGTATGGCTGACCAGCGGCCCGGCGCCAACGCGTTCCTGCGCAGCTCGGCGCTGGCCAACATGCCAGCTGCTCCGCCTGCCCCATCCGGCAGTTCCACCAGCATGCGTCCTCTACCGGCCCAGCCATCGCCCTGATCGGCCCGAGTACCGCCCGTGCGCGCCTGTGCGCCGCAGCCCGCACTCACAGTTGGAGTTCTGCTCGATCTCCGAGAGGAGCTGCGAGCCCTGCTGGCCCATGGCTGCGAGCGGCTGCGCTGCGGCAGCGAGCGAGGAGAGAGGTGCAAGTGCTCGAGGCGCGGCAGGCGCGGCAGCGGCGTGTGCGCGTGGGTGACGCGCGGCGCGTGCGAGAAGGACGTGAGGCGTGAAGTGCTCGGCGACGAGGGCGCCGGAGCGGGTCGTGAGGCGGACGTGTGCGAGGGTCGTGGCGCGCAGGCAGGACGGGCGGGTGCGTGTGTGTGATGCGGCTGCGGGTGCTGAGCGTCAGGTGTTGGGTGGCCGGCGTGGAGGCAGGAAGGAGCAAGGGGCAGCATGCTATGGAGGTGCGAGCTGGTGGGCTTGGGCCTCCTGGCGGCGCGCGTGTGCGACTCCCCGCGCCGCGCTGCTCCCTGAGGCTCGCGGCGCACGGACGACGCGTCACTCCCTCGAGGCTTGCAGCTCAGCAGCCAGAGGCACGCCTCGCTCCACTCCACCGGCACCGCACCCCTCTCCCGCCGGCACACCGCACCAAGCCACACTCAGTCGCACACCCTGCAGCGCTCGTGACGCATCTTCCCCCGTACGCCCAGCCTCTCGCATCTCCCACACACGCAGCCCGCCATGCAGGCCCTCGACATGGCCCGCCTCAAGGCCGGCGAGATGGACCTGGGCGTGAGTGCCGCACGAGGCCGGCTGCGGCCGCGGCATACAAGGGCCACAGACGGTGGCAGTGTGCAGCCTGCCGCACAGAGGCGTAGCAGCACAGCCAGCACAGCACGCAGCGATGTTGCGGGCCTGCCCGACGTGCCGCCGCAAGCCAGAGGCAGATCTGCAGCGCATGGCAGGGCGCAGCGCGCAGGGCAGCCCTGTACGCAACAGGATGCTGGCCGCTGCGATGCACTTGCATAGCGTTGCTGCCCGCTGGAGCTGCCGCTGCGCTAGAGCCGCAAGCGAAGAGCGGCAGGCTCGCCGCCCGCGCGTGCCGTTCGCTTCTCGTCCCGATCGAGGCCGCCAGCCTTGCTTGTGTTCTTGCGCTGACACCCTTCGCCGATCTACAGACGTCGATCATGGCCGTCGCGTATGACGGCGGCGTCATCATGGGCGCCGACTCGCGGACAACGATGGGCTCGTACATCGTGAGTGGCCGTGCCCGCTGGGTGGAGCTGGACAGCAGTAGCGGAGAGGCAGCGGCTGGGTGTTGTGCAGAGTAGGACCAGAGCTTCGGTGGATAGCGATGGCTTGCCTCAGCAGCAGCCGACGTCGCAGATTTCAGCAGCTGTGTCCAGCACTCCACCTGGACCTCTCGCTTGCACACAGGGCATGCCTTGTCTGCAACTGCTGACACTGCAATCGCAGGCCAACCGCGTGACGGACAAGCTCACGCACATCTCCGACCGCATCTACTGCTGCCGCTCCGGCTCCGCCGCCGACACGCAGGCGGTGGCCGACATGGTCTCCTACCACCTCGGCATGGTCTCAGTGCAGCACGACGAGGCGCCGCGCGTCGCCGTCGCCGCGCAGCTCTTCCAGGAGATCTGCTACTCGAACAAGGACCGCCTCAGCGCCGGCATCATCGTCGCCGGCTGGGACAAGCGGAGTGGCGGCAGCGTGTACAACGTGCCGCTCGGCGGCGGCCTCTTCAAGCAGCCGTGGGCCATCGGCGGTGCGTCTGGCGTGGCATTGTACACGGCATGTGCTGACCTGTGGCGGCAGGCTCCGGCTCGACGTACATCTACGGCTACTGCGACGCGACGTGGAAGGAGGGCTGGGGTCGTGACGAGGTGCGTGTCATGTGCCGGCGGCTCTCGACACTTGCTGACGAGCGCTCCCTCACAGACGCTCAAGTTTGTGCGCGAGGGTGAGTCTCGCGCCTCTGCTTCCCGACGACGCGCCGCTGACCCCGTCTCTCAGCTCTGGCGCTTGCAATGCGGCGAGACGGCTCTTCAGTGAGCACAGCGTCAGCCTTGTTTGCACAACCCCGCTGACGCATCCTTGCCCAGGGCGGCACCATCCGCATGGTCGACATCTCCGAGAGCGGCGTCAAGCGCTTCTTCCTGCCGGGCGACGACCTGCCAGACGCCGTCGGCAAGGACTTTGTGCCGCACAAGTTCGTCTAGACGGGCACGCGGCGCAGGGCGATGGGCAATGAGTGAATAATTGATGCACAAACGGGCGTGGAGGTGGTCTCATGAGCGGAGTCGGCGGCAGGTGGCGTGGCGGGTCATAGCGAGAGTGTTGGAGTGGTGTGCCCGGCTCGAAGCGTCAGATCTGGCTGGCGTCGGAGCGGCGCCGCCATGAGAGCCGCTTGCCCCCCGCTGCCGGCGCGGCGTGCAGCACTGGCACGGGCGGAATGTGCTCGGCCGCCAGGCGACCCTCTGAGTTGCGTCCTTGCGAGTGCGGACGCGGCGGCAGCGAACGCTCGTGCGGCCGTGCGGCCTTGCCCTTCTCTCTCGCCTCGCGCAGCGGCACCTCGGAGGGGCTGATGCGGCGCCCGAAGAAGCTGGCGTGCGCGAGCGAGCGCATACCGCCGGCCGACTTGGGCCGGCTCAGACGGCTTGACTTTGGCGTCGGCGGCGGCGGCGAGGCCTCGTCGGACGAGGTGGAGAAGACGGAGATGCTGGGGCGCGTGTCATGCGCCAGCTGCGCCGGACCGAGGTTGCCGGAAGCACGCCTGGCTCTCGTGCTTTCGGCAGCCTTCTGCTGCGCGCCCAAGCGATTGAAGAGCTGCAGACCGCGACCGGCTCCCGGCGCGAGCGGGGGCGTGAGCGCTGGCGTGTGCGGTCCGCCGGGCACTTCGAGCGTGCGCGGGGAGACGCCATCGTGCGAGAGCGGTCGGTTGCCGGGCAGACGCCGCCACGAGGCTGGGCGGTATGTTTCGTCTGCAGTTGCGGCACCCGCAGAAGTCGGTGCCCCGGAGAGCAGCGAAGCGCGGCCTTCGATCGTCGTGGCGAAGCTGTCCGCTCCCGGCGAGTACGGCGCCGCCACCTCTGGCACCCAGCGCCGGGCACTCTTGAGCGGCGCCACGTCGTCCTGCTCGACGGGTGTGGGAAAGCTGGCGGGCGTGAGCTCAAAGCCGGACTCGCCGTCCTGGCGCAGTGAGAACGTGGCCAGGCTCTTGCGCTGTTGGTGGAGCGGCTCGAGCTTCTGCTGCTGCTGCTTCCAGAAGCGCGAGTTTGCCGGCTCTGGCGACGTCGACTTGCTGTCGTCGGGCGACCATCTCTGTCCATTCAAGGGCTGCAGGCCGGCTGCCTTGCGTGCAGTGGCCAGCTGGTCCGCGATGAGCGCACTGACCGCGCCCATCTCGCGTCGGGTCTCCCAGGGACGAGGCGTGGACTCCGCCGACGACGTTTTGGCCGCATCCTTAGGTGGTGGTGACGGACCTGTTTCGACTGTTGGTGTCTTCTCGCTGTCGAGGACTGGGCATCCATGCAAGTCAGCACGCAGCAGAGACGCGGCTTGTGTCTGGCCCTCACAGTCATAGGCATCCAGCAGCTGAGAGCTCGCGAGCGGTGAAGAGTCGGCCTGCAGCTGGGAGCTTGCCAAGGGCGACAGCTCGGCGATACGATGATCAGGCGGCGAGCGAGCAGATGGCAGAGCAACGGGCACTCCTTCCGCCCAAGCACTGCGCAGGTTTGTCAGCAGTGTTCCCGTGCCGTGATCTGACCCGGCTCACATCTCCACGTTTGTGTAGTTGCCGCCGTAGTAGCCGGCAGCGCGCGCGTCTGGCGAGCGATCCTGGTCGATCGCAGCGTGCTGGCTGGTGAAGAGCAACGGCGCCAGATTGGCCGCATTCTGAGCCGCCGTCTGGAGCGCCCGGGCGCTGCGCCCTCGCAAAGACGACGACGAGGGCTCGCGCTGCAGGCTCGATACCTCGATGGCCGGCGCGGAGCCTTCTGGCTTCTCGCTCGGCGGCGTCATGCGCCGGCGTGTGCGCACGAGCGAGGTGTTGCTGCTGCTGGCGGAGCGCGAGTGTGCGCCATGACCCGAGCCCGAGCCGTAGTCGCTCTGCTGACTCTGAGTGCGCTCGTGCAGGGATTTGGAAGACGAGCGGCTGCGAAGGCCGCCCAGCGCACCCACGGCGCTGCGCAGCGACGAGGTCGACCTGGTGTGCCGCGTCATGCTCTCGCCCATGGCGCCCATGTTGCTGCGCTGTCCGCCGGCGCCCACGCCTGCCATGCCGGCTCGGACCAGCGCGTCTTGGCTGTGGTGGGGTGAATGCACGGGCGGCAAGGCAGAGAGAGGCAAGGGTGAAGAAAGAAAGCCAACGTACCGCATAAAGCGAAAGTCAAAGGTCGAAGTCGACGACAACGAGAGAAGAAGGCAAGTAAAGGGGTGATAAGAAGAGAAAGCGTGAGGAGGCTAATCAAGGCAAGGCAGAGGGCGAGGCAAAGAACAAGGACGGCACGAGACGAAGCTTCCGAGGCAGGTGACGGAACACCGGCGGAGAGGCGCGAGATGCGGAAAGAGGGCAGAGAGGGCATGGCAATGTATGGGGTGCGTGCGAACGTTTGCGGAGCAGGAGCGCCTTGGCGGGCACCTCCGCCTGGCCGAGGCGAGCAAGGCCGAAACACAAGAGACATGGAACGGCGAGCAAGCACATGCGAGGCCTGGCACTCGCATCGCTGAGCACGCCAAGGGACTGCGAACAGTGGGAGAGACAGAGAGGGAACGCTAGCGCGGATGGGGTAAGAGACGCGGGAAAAGGGCTTCTTGCACGCGCACGGGGCGCTTGGTGATTGGTATCGTGTGCAGAAGCCGCTTGTGACGAGACCGAGGCGCGGCGAGGAACGGGCGCCGAGAGGTTGCAGCTGTGGAGGAGCCAGAGGCACACTCACTATGGACCTTGCCGCAGGTTTGCCGGCTGTCCGAGGCCCTGCAGGGGTGTGAGCCTTGGCGGCAGATCGCGGCGCGGCACAACGCACCATCAGCACGCTCGCGTCCTTGGCCGTCAGCTGGTCCTTGTTGGCGCGTGCGGTCGCGCGCTGCGCCCGGGCCCGGCTCGTGGGGCTTGGCGGCCGCGGCGGCGGGTTCATGCGCTGCGCCTCCTTGAGCGAGATGGTGGCGTTGTTGTACGACGAGATGACGGGCACTGTGAAGGGTGAGCGTGTGCGGCAAGTGACACAAGCTCGCGCAGACTCACGCGTCGTGTCGCGCCCGATCGTCGACTTCATCAGCGCCTTCATCCATGCGCGCACCATGGCCGGGTCGTCGCTGGAGAAGTAGTGCGGCTTCTCGGTCTCGTGCAGGATCTTGAAGCCGTACTTGCCCGGGTTTGTGTTTTCGTCGGCGATGACCTTGTAGCCCTTCATGCTCACGTAGCCCTTGATCTTGGGCGCCGTGGGGTCGCGCAGCAGCACGAGGTCCGAGCCCTTGAGCGCGAGGTAGCGCGGCTTCCACGAGTTGTAGCGCTCGCCCTTCTTCTTCATCCAGCCCTCGAGGTCGACGGGCCGGATGCGCGCCATCACCGGGCCCTCGGTCGGAGCGGCACCGGGCGAGCGCAGGTCGCCAGACTTGGGCCCGTGCCACTCTCCCGCCGCCGGGCCAGCACTGCCGACGCTGGCCTGCTTCGAGTGGCCCATGCCGAAGCCGCCCTGGCCGCCGCCGAAGCCTCCGCCGTTCGAGCCGCCAGAGGCCCGGTTGCGGCGCGCCGTGTCGCCCATCGAGTCGTACGTCGGGCTGCTCGTCGGCAGGCTGATCTTACCCTTGAGCGCGTCGGCCGGCTGCGGGTCCGACGCCTGCGAGCTGCGCTCGCGCAGCCGGCCGAGACCCAGGCGGCCAAGGGTGCCCTTGCTGCTCGGCTCGTCACCAGGACTGAGCGAGCTGCTGGCGACCTTCGGTGCCGGCTTGCGCGCGCGGCGCTCAGCAAAGCCGCCGAAGAAGCTTGTCCGGTCGCCGGCGCCGGCACTGCCGCCCGACTCGCGCTTGCGCGGCGAAGAGGCGGCAGGAGCGGGGCCGTCCTTGCGCAGCTTCTTGTCGCTGACGAGCTGCGGCGAGGTGATGGGCGTGTCGAGGTCCGCCAGTGCGGCACCGCTGGATGCGGCGGCCGGCCCGGCGCCAAGTCCGCCAAAGCCATCGCTGGCAGACGTGGGCGGCCAGGCGCCGTTGGTCTCGAAGCTGGCCGCCGAGCGAGCCGACGTGCCCGAGACGGCGCGTCCGGCGAGCACCTCGGACTCGGTGCGAGGCGCGTCCTCATGCGTGCCGTAGCTGTTGACGCGCGCCATCGAGGAGGCACCGAGCATGCCAGCGCCAGCGCCGTAGACTCCGCCCGACACGCTCGGCGGGCCCATGTTGCCGGTGCTGGGCGCCGGGCTGCTCGGGCGCAGCGAGGCCGAGACGGGCGTGACGGGCAGCGGAGCAAGCGCGGGCGACACGGCGCTCTCGCCGCCGAGGCTTCGCTTGAGGTCCTTGATCGCGTTGGCGACCTGGAAGCGCTTGCCGAAGGCGGTGATGTCGATCTCCTTGAGGATGTTGACGTCCATCTCCATGAGCACATCGCCAGAGATCTCGTGCTCTGCATGCCGCATGTCAGGATGTGGTAATCAGGCAAGGCGCAGCTAGGCTCACCCGCGAACTTCGAGACGACGGCGCCCTCGTCCCAGCCCTTTGCGCGGCCCCACGCCACGACTTCCTCCACGCTCCACTCGTGCGGGTCGCCGCCAGGGCCGACGCGCTGCGAGCCCGAGAGGTTGCTCGGCGCGGGCGACGAGGGCACAAGGCCGGCAGAGCTGGCGGCCTGCGGCATGAATGCGCTCTTGGGCGTCTCGGCGCCGCCAGCCAGGCTCGTGGCAGCCGTGCCGGGCGCCGTCGGGTCGGTCATGCCGCTCGTGCGTGGCTGCGTGCTCACAATGCTCGCCTCGTCGTCGTAGCTGCGGTTCTGCACGCCGTTGGCCGAGTTCTGTCGGCTGCGGTTCATCGTGGCTGCGGCACCACCGGCAATGGCTGCACCTGCTGCGAGCGCAGCGGCGCTGCCCATGCCGGTGTGGCTGTGTCCTGACGCGCTGGGAATGGGCGACAGCGAGCGCGGCGGGTCGAGGGCGTCGGGCTGCTTGGGCGCAAGCGAGCCGAACAGCGGCGCATGCGTCGCAGTCGGGCCTGCAGCCTCTGAGCCTTCCGAGTCGGACTCGTCGCTCATCTCGACGCCCTCGATCGGCGCGATCTTCTCCTCCTTGGGCGTCTCCTTGAGCGTGCCCTGCTCGAGCTCGCGCTTGCGCTCGGCCTCCTTGGCCAGCAGCATGAGGCGCTGGCGCTCCTCCTCTTCGGCAAAGACGCGCGCCGCCTCGCTGCGCCGGCGCTCGTCCTCGGCCTTCTGGCCGGCGCTGGCTGCGTCTGCAGCCTTTTGTGCGTTGACGGCGAGCGCAGCACGAGCAGCGGCGCGCGACGCGAGGTCCGCCTCGACGTCCCCGTTCTCGTCGGTCTCGCCGACGCTGATGTCGGCGCTGCGCTCGCTCTTGAAGCTGGGCGCGCGGCGCGGCGTACCGCCAGCGGCTGTACGTGCCGTCTGTGCGCCGTTAGCATCCGACACGTCGGCCAGCGCGGCGTCGATGTCGGCCATCGTGTTGCCCATCAGGCCAGGCGTGCCCGCCGGGCTGGCGCCAGCCGCCGCCTCGGCGACGGCCTGCTCGGCCAGCGCGCGGTCGAAGGTCGTGTAGCTGAAGGGAAAGAGGCCCGTCTCGCCGTTGACGTTTGTGCCCTGCAGACGATGTGTGAGCAGCGTTCACCACTGCACGTTCACCACTGCAGTGCCAGCACAGGCGCCGCAACACCACACCCGCTGCCCGCTATCGTCGCCGCTCTGCATCCGCACTCACCTGCCACCAGCCGTCGCCGTACGCGTCGTCGCGCTCGACGACGATGACCGGCTCGCCGGCACGGAAGGAGACTTCGTCCGGGTTCTCGGCGTCGAAGTCGTGCAGCGCCCAGAGGCGCTCGGCGTCGGCGGCCGACGTGGCGGCGGCGGCCGAGCCGGCGGCGCGCGGCGCCGGCGAGAGGGACGCGTCGGCCATCGCAGCGCGCAGGGGTGAGGAGAGCGGCAAAAGTGTGCGCAGCGGCGGAGCGAGGCTGCTGCGCGTGCGGATGTGGTGGTGTGCGGGGAACGGCGGCGCGCTGGAAGGCGTGCGATGTCGGCGTGCGGGAGCGCACGCGGCACGGCGAGGCAAGGGCGCCACGCAGCGGCGGGAGACGGCCGCTGGGGTCTCCTCGGGGCGGCGGGCGCGCGGTGCGGCAGGGCGCGACTCACCTCGCCTCCGCGCCGCGTCCGGCAGCCACGCGCCGCGCGCCTGTGCCTCGCTGGCCGCCTGCCTCACACGCGCTGGCTCGGCAACAGGCGCCACGCCCGTCTGCCAGCACCAACACACGCTCCGCCGGCCGTGCGCGGGTCCCACGCTGAACCTCGCTGTGCAAGGCTGCTTCTCAGCATGCAACGCTGCGCTCGTGAGCCTTCGACTCGCCGTAGTCAGCCGGTCAGCACTCCTGACAAGAGAAGCATCGCGGAAGCACTTGTGACGCAGCGGCTAGAGGTGATGAATCGCGGCGTGGCCTGAGGGGTGCGTCCGCCGTCCGTGCGGGTGCGCGCCGCGCATCGCTACCACGCTGCGTGCCTCTCGCTGCCGCAAACACACACACGCGACAGAGCTCTGAGCCGGACGCAGCTCAGATCTCGTCCAGGAACGGCGTTATGCTGGACGACGTGCGGCCGATCAAGCTCGCCTTGCCCTTGGCGCGACTGAGCCCGCGGCCGGATGCGGAGACGCGAAGCCTCCTGCTGCTGCGCCGCGCCGCGCCGGCGGTGCCTGAGCTCGCCAGGGGCGTGCGACCAGCGCGCGCTAAGAGTGCCAGGGGGCGCCGTCGTCCGTTGCACCGGCAGCGATAACAGCTCCTGCGGCACGCTCACTCTCGCACAGGGGTGGCTATGATCATCACAATTCAGGATGGGGTCGTCGTCAAGGTCTGTATGGGTACAGGCGGCGTGAAGTGGAAGCGCGGCGCGGCGGCCCGGCGCTTAGTCTGAGAAGGCTCAAGTGTCAGCCCAAGGTCGGAGGCTCGCAGCACCAGTCAGCGCCTGGCATTCTACTCACGGCCAGCAGCGGCGGGCGCAATCGTGCCTCTAGCCCTGCGCTCCTCGAGCGTGAGCTTCTCGTGCGCGTACAGCGGCTCGCCCTTGTCGATGTTGCGGCGGCCCACGAGGCGGCCGGCGTGGTACGGAATGAGGCGCGCCTGGTACGCCGCGTGCTCGGCGTTGCTGACCGAGAAGACGGCGTCGAGCTCCTCGAGCGTCAGGCTCTTCGTCTCGGGCAGCAAGAAGTACGTAAAGACGGTGGCAGCCATGTTGCAGGCAGCGTAGAAGGCGAACGCGCCCGTCGGCGTCAGGTCGTTGCGCATCGCCGGCCACGTGAGCGACAGCACCTGGCGGAGACCCATTCGTGAGCCGAGGAAAAAGAGAGAGGCACAGATGTGGACTCACGCCGTTGAAGAACCAGCACACGGCGACGGCGAGGCTCATGCCGCTCTCGCGGACCTTGAGCGGATAGCACTCCTGCAGGGCGCAAAGACGCGTCAGTGTCGCGTCGCTAGCCATGCATTAGATTCTTGATCCTGCTTACCGCGCTGTATGTGAAGGGCTGGATGCGAGCGAGCGTCAATCATAGTCTGATGCTACTTTCCGAGCTTTTTGAGACTCACGACTGGGCCTGCGGTAGGCGAGTAGAAGAGGCAGTGCAGGTACGTGCCGAGAGCAACGCCAGCAACGCGGCCCGTCTCGCTAGGCGCAAGGAAGGAGAAAGCGGTGATGAAGAGTGCGCAGCCCATGAGGGGGTAGCCGATGAGCAGGAGCGTGCGGCGGCCGAGCTTGTCGATGGCCCAGAATGCGGGAATCGCGCCGAGCCAGTTGAGGGTGCCCCAGCCGAGCGACGCGGCCAGCGCGCCCACCTCTGTTGCTCCAGCCTCGAAGAAGATTTGACTGCCATAATAACTATCAAGTATGGTCAGCCCTGTCCGCGGTCCGGCCCGGCCTTCTTCCCCCACACTCACGCAACCACATTGACACCTGGAGAGAACGGTGGGCTGTTAGCCAAAGCAAGTGACCGCCCCGATTCTCTCCAAACTTCCCGCAGAACTGTTGCATTAGCATCGTCCAGCTGCTGCTCTGAGCGGCCAGGCGGTTGCGAGGAGTGGCGAAGAGCTCGAGGAGTCCGATACGCGACTTCTGCCCGTGCATGATCTGCGAGCGCCGCGCGAAGGTCGTGTCAGTAAGAGTGCTGCGCTCCCGCAAAAGCAGTCCCGCGCTACATGCAGTCCCACGCTACGTGGAGCAATTAAATTTGGCAGACCACTTACCTCGCGCTCTGCCTGGAGCAGCTCGCTCGCGAAGTAGAGGTCGCGCGCGGCCTCGAGCGGCGTGTTGCGGATCCTGCGCATGGCGTAGTATGCATCTGCCTTCCGGCCCTTCGACATATACCATCGAGGTGACTCGGGTGAGAAGAAGATCAGGGAAATGACGAAGAGCGGAGGAATAGCGGCCGAGCCGAGCATCAGACGCCAGCGCAGGCCTACGATGCCGCCCTGGTCGGGCACGAAGTAGAAGGCGATGGAGGCGACGTATCCGAGCATGATGCCGAATGCCGTCCAGGCCTGAGCGCACCTAGCGTGAGCCTGAAGCATCGCAGGCTGAGCGCAGGTATCTCACCTGCCACTGCGATCCCAGAGCGCCTCTGATCTTCGCAGGTGCGGTCTCGGCTGCGTAGATCGGAGTCGTCGCGCTCTTGGGAGCAATGCCGGCGCCGAGAGCGATGCGAGCGATCATGAGGTGCCTGTGGAGTGCTTCAGTGTTGGCTCTCGCTTTTCTGGTGCTCCCGTGGTGACGAACCACCACGAATCCGTGACCGCGCTCCAGATACACGTGATCGACGCGATGGCGCAGGTGATGGCGATGGTTCCGCGGCGGCCGAAGTAGTTGTTGAGCGGAGCAGTGAGGAACGAGGCCAGCAGTGCGCACGAAAAGTACGGTGCGGCGGCGACGATGCCCGTCACCCAGCCGCCGTACTCGTCCTCGATGCCAAACTGCTCGGGAAAGAAGAGGAGCGCGCCGCTGATGACACTCTGGTCCATGCCTGCGGCAGAGCGCGGAGTGTGAGCGCAGCAGATCACACCGAGGCGAGGAGGACATACCCTGCACGGCGGCGGAGAGCGAGACGGAGAGCACGAGCAGCCAGAGTGCCTTGGGCTGGCGGTACGGGTGGTCGCGCTCGCGGCGCAGTGCCTCCTTGTCCTCCTCGGTGAGCTCGGGCGCCTCCTCGAAGAGCGTCGGGTTCTGCGCCACGATGGCGGCGCGCGCAAAGAGGTCGCGCTCCTCGCTCAGGCCGGCCTCGTCGGCCCACTGGCGCGCACGCTCGGCACACTCGGCACGAGTGAAGCCCTCTGCGACGGAGAGTGGGTCAGCGGATGCTCGAGCGCCGGAGACATTCCAGGCGATGTCCAGGCGTTTGGTCACTTGGCACGTGCGTCGCGGTGCAGCAGTGCGCCCTCGCCGCCGCACCCGCGAACATCACTCTCTACCACCAGAACCTCGTCAAATCACTGCGCCTTCTGCCGGTCTCGACTCGCGAATGCCGCCTGTGCCCAGCTCATCTCGTTCATCAATCTGGACGCACTCAGCGGGTTCGCAAGACGCGCATTCTCGTCCTGAACGTCGACCTTGCGCGGCAACTCCTCGTGCGTGTCGTGTGCGGCGGACGTGCCGAGCTGCAGCGACGTGCGGCTCAGCTTCTTCTCGCTCTGCGGCGGCGTGGACGGCGTCGACGCGGCCATGGTGTGTGTGGTGTGTCTTGATTCGGAAAGGTGGGCCTGCCTGCGTCCGCGACGCCTAGCGAGCCTTCTTATACGCAGCCTGCGGCTCGTGTGAGGCGGGCACACGCTCCAGGGCCAGGCACAATCGGACCGGGGACCCCGCACTCTCCTCGTGCTCAGCAGCGGCAGCGGTGCAACTTTAGTCCCTTGCCAAGCCGTGCGGAGAATGATGGCGCCGGTGCAGAGTGAGTGCCCTGGGGCCGGTGTCCTCTCTCTTTCCGTGCCTGTCCGCGCCATGCGGTCGGTCTCCCCACTCCGCCACGGGAGAGCATCTTGCCATGCCGCCCCAGCCGCCTGGAGCGGCTGCGGCGGGCGGCAGCAGGCGGCAAACCGAGCATCGGGCCTCCGAAAGCGCTCGCACATGACGGAGCGGCGGCGGGATGCACGGAGGATGCACCGCGGCTCGGAGTGCGGCCCGACGGTGCGTCATGCGACTTCACCTGTCCATCCTCTGCGCTCCCGCGCTGCGATCTCCCTCACGACCGAGGCTGCGGCGGTGGACTGGCGGCGCATGCATGCTGCGCGGCGGCCGCAGCGCAAGCAGAAGACGCCGGCTGCGGTCACGGCGCAGGCGCACCGCCGCGCGCGTTCAGCGCCCGCCGCAGCGAAATCGCCGTCGGGGCTTGGCGTTGACGTCGCGTGCCGGCAAGTGCGCTTGGCATCCTGCGGCCCCGCGCGGTCGCTCTCCTCTCCTCTTTCTCCTCTTCCCCTCTCTTCCGAAGCACCCAGCAGCTGCAGAGACACTCAAGATGACCGCGCGTCACGCGCTACGGCTCTGATGCCGGAATGGGCGTGGGGCGCCATGAGGCCTGCCGCCTGCTGGTGCTTGCTGTCAAGGCTCTCTTAGCTCGCCGCCCGATCGGCTGCCGGGGGCTGCGCCTGCACCTGCCTGCATCACCAGCGAGAGCAGCGAGCCAGCGCTGCTGCTGTTGATGCAACCCCAGCGCGCAGCCCGATCTCGCCTTACCCCGCACCCACCGCAATCACTAGCTGTGGGCGCAGTGAGACAGCTCAGGGCCGCCATGTGCTGGGCGTAAGGAAGTTGCTCAGCCCCGCTGGCTTAGCCTGGGAACGCATGAACCTGTGCTTCCTCAGCGCTCAGGTGGAGGCGACACCAGGCTGGGCAGAGGAAGCCAGAACGCTGCTGTGCAGTCGAATGGCAGGCCCGACACGCCGTCACACCCTGCACGTGCTCGTAGACGGCATGGCATTGTGACAGGAAGGGAAAGCGTACAGGTCGGCTCGCAGTAGAACGACTCTCTGCCGAGCGCAGATCCAAAAGAGGACGGCAGACTTCGTCAAGCGACATGGCCGCCGTGCTCGCTGCGTGAGCCCATGAGCTCCCGCGCGCATGAGGCCTGCTCATGCCGAGAAGGGCGCGAGCCGAGCCTGGCTCTTCTCCGACGCCGTGCGCAGCTCGTAGCCGGGGCCGGCGGCCTGTGTGATGTAGCGCACCCATGCTGTGGCGTGGTGTAAGTGCAGGGCCACGCAGATGGCTGACAGGGCCACTCACGCAGCGCCTGGTAGCCCGACTTCTCGACGATCTTAAGATACCGCACCTGGATGCCCGAGACGGTAAAGTACGGAATCTCAAACTTGATCGTGATGGGTGCTTTCCGGTCCATCGTCTCCTCTGCGGGGGCAGTGAGCAGTGTGCTAGAGGACAGGCGCAGCGCTACGCACCGTTCTTGACGGACGGCAGGCCGAAGTGCGCCCGCATCAGGAACTCGCGCCCGCCGCCGAGCTGCTTGATCTTCCACACCATCGCCGACTTCTCGGGCGCGTAGTGCACCGAGCCCGTCGCCGCCTGGAGAGACGTGTCAGCGTGAAGATGCTACGATGCACGCTCGGACACGCACGCGGAACTTGGGCGAGTCGGCGTCGTCTGGGACTGGCACGTGGATCTCGACGTTGTTTGCCGTTGACCGCCGCTTGAACTGCGCCTTGACCTGGAGAGGCGACTGTCAGCATCTGCCAGGCGCGGCACTCCACGCACTGCGCACCTTGACCATAAACTCGATGCGGCTGCCCTCATGCCGCTCGACGACGGCCTCGGCCCACACCAGCGGCTTGACCTGCGTGCTGAGCCGGTAGCTCATGAGCTCAAACTCGCCGTCGGGCGGGATGAACGAGATGGTGCGGTCGTTCTCGAAGCGCGAGAGGCGCACGCATTGGTGGAACTTGACGTCCTCCATCTCAATGGCCTTGCCCCGTGCCGCTGCGTGCAGAGTCAGCGCAGCGTCGCCAGGCTGCACACTCTCTGCACTCACCCCGCCCGGTGCTCTCAAACATGACCTTGTCGTTGAGGCCGAGGCGCAGCTCCGGCATGCCCGACAGGTAGCACTTCATCTTGACGGCGCCGAGGATCTCGGAGCGCACTACGTTGCCGTTGGCGTTGACGAGCAGGTTGACGCTCTCGACGACGTCGAGGAACACCTCGTTCTTGCGGTAGCGGATGCCCTCGCTGCGCCACGACACGGCGTTGGTGACGGCCATCGGTGGCCGCACCTGCACCTCGAGCTTGTGCGATTCTTGTGTGATGTACCTGGGCGCGCTGTCAGCAGCAGGCCCACACCGGCACGAGTCGTGGCCCATGTCTTGCTCTTGACCGCCAGAGCTGTATGTTGCGCGCAGGGCGCAATAGCAGCGCAGTCCTGTGCGTCTCTCTACTCCGCCCCGCGCCGTCCATTCCTCAGCCCCCGCAGCCGTGGCACCACTCACTCCTGCAGAATCTTGCTCTCCGTCGTCTGCGGGTAGCCAAAGTCCATCATCTCGTCGAGCAGCTCGTAGATGATGACAAAATTGTCGCGGATGCTCTCCTCCTCGAGCTCCTTGAAGTACTCCTCGAGCACGGCGGCGAGCTTGTGCAGGAAGAGCAGCAGCTCGGCGGCGTTGGAGTTGCGCCGCGAGAGCGCGAGCACTGCGGCGCGCGTCAGTGTGCTGCGAGGGATGGGGCCAAGCGAAGGACAGGGCCAATCGCTGCGGTGCGCAGAGCACTGGCAGCGCTGCGTAGAGCGCCAGCGTGCGTTGAGCCGCTGGGTGACGGGCCAGCCAGTCCAACGCTGCCAATGCGTGAAGGGCCTGCGCAACGGCATGTCCCTCTCTAGCCGCTCCGGCCCGGGCTGGCTGCGGTGCCGCAGCTCTCCCTCGTGCGAGTGCCACGCTGTCCAGTCGCGCTCGCATCGCTGTATGCCACCTGCCAGCCGCGCTGCCGGTCCGGCTTCATGCCAGTCCCGCCAGTCTTCGCCTCTACTCACAGTACAGGTTGTTGTGGCGGATGAACATGTAGTTGATGCCCTCGCTGGTGAAGCAGGGACACACGGCCGCGCCGCCGCTCTCCTCCTCCATGTCGAGCAGCAGCGGCAGGAAGCGCTCGACATGCGCCGGCTCAATGTCGTCGCGGTACGAGCGCTGGATGAGCGACTTGCCCTTGATGTCGACGATGGCCACCGTCGACGCCATGCTGGGCGAGGTGGGGCCGCGGCGCGGCGGCGAGGTGAGGTGAGGCGAGGGGTGAGCGGTGCGCCGAGGGCGAAGAGCTGCGGCGGTGCAGCAAGTGCGAGCGAGTTAGAGCAAAGAGCTGTGCACAGGCTGCTGCTGCTATGCGTGTGCTGTGCTGTGCGCTGGGTGAAGTAGCTGCAGAGAGTGTCGAGGTGAGGGTGAGAAGGCGTGCAGCACGACCTGCAGAAGCACACCTCGCCCTGGCGACGCGCACGGGGCGCGCTGTGTGATGTTCCCACGCCCACGCGCCGCCAGCACACCGCCGGCGACCCGGCGGCTCGGCGGCGCGTCCACGCCAGCAGCACCCGCTCCCGTCCCCTTTTCTGGCTACGGCTCAAGCTCGTCGCGCATAGCGCCCCGCGTCCACTGCAAACAGCGTTGAGTGAGGCAAGACAAGACATTCAGACTGCAGCCAGCCCTGCATACCCCTTGTCTAGGCTGGCAAGGTACCAGCGCGCACCCTGCGCCCAACATCGTCCCCTCCCCGCCCCTCGGTCGCGCGGGAGCGCGCTCTGCCGATGCGGGAGTGGGACTGCGGCGACCGCTGGACGTTGGACAGCTGAGAGGACACCGTCGGTGGCAGGCGAGCAGGGACCAGCTCTCCGCCTGCGGGACAGTCGAGCACCCTCAGTTCCGACCATGCAGCATGCTCTCCTTTCTTGCCAATCCTTGACCCATGATCAAATGGGACACTTCGAGACCACCGAGCTCTCTGCATCGGCAGCGGTAGGGCGGCAGCTCCGTCGTCGTTGTTCGGGCTGCTCTTCGCATTCTGACGCCGAGCTTGTGTGACACGTAGAACGAAGGCGGCCGCACGAGGCTGTTCGCCAACATAGGCTGCATCTGCACATCGGTCGCAGTAAAAGTCACCCGGCGTAAGCATCGATGCCTGTTGGCGTGGGCACCGAGGAACGCTTCGCCTCGTCTCGATGCTGGCATCTCGGAGGCGCGCGCAATGTCGGGACGACCTGCGCTCCGGCCCCAGGGAAGGGCGCTCCGGAAGCGGCCCGTTCGAGAGGGAGTCGAAGGCCTGCGCCTGCAGATCAGGCACACCCGCCGTGGGCGTGCAGCGGCCAGCGGCACCCTGTCCGAGGCGCTGCAAGCCTTGCTGCGCCTGCGTCTGCAAACTGCGGCTGCGGCATGAAGCGAGAAGAAAGCAGACGGCGGCTCGAGCGCGGCAGCGCGCAGCTCGAAGGGCGATGCTACGGCGCTGGCGGCTGGACAGCTGCGCTGTGGCTGTGGCAGCGGCAGCAGGCGTGCAACGCAGCGCTGCAACTCGTCACCGCATGTCGTCGCCGTCGCCGTCAGTGAGCAGCATCAGCGCAGGAGGGCCGGGATGCTGGCAGCTGTCGCTGTCTGGCCCGGCCTCAGCGCGGCCGCATCCAGCCGAGCGCTGGCCCGCGCCGCGCCGCGCGTGAGGATCGGCCTGGCACGGCGGCACGGCGAGAACAGCGAGGCCGCAGCATCGCAGAGCACCACGCCGAGCACCGCTGCCGCGCTGCCCTGCGCTGCCGGCTGGCATCATCATGCGCGATGCCGCGGCCGAGGGCGCATCGCACCGCACACGGGGAGTGTCGGACGCGGCACCGGGCGTCAGCCACAGGCCGCAGCGGACCCTCCCGGCCGCCGCGGCTTGACAGCGCTCGTGCCGCGCACGCGGTGCGACCATGCGAGCGCCGGCACGACGGCACTGACGCACGCTGCCGATCCCTCGCGCCAAGCGCGCACGCGTGCAGAGGTGCAGCGAGAGCGCAGAGCGCAAACGAGCGGCAGAGCGGCAGCGGCAGCAGAGGAGCACGACACGACGCTCTAAAGCGCCGAGCGTCGGCGGAGCAGCGGCGCGGATCAGCGGCTCAAAGGCGTGCATCGCCTCTGCGAACCGCGGACGGCTGCGCTAGGACGAGGAGAACCTCGCCGGTACGGCAGCGGCAGAGAGTCTGATGCTGCAGCGCTGCGGCTGCAGGTGCAGAAGCAGGATGCGGTGCTGGACGTTGCAGACGCAGCACGGGTGCAGCAAGCGCGGCGCAGCGTGCAGTGCACCCGAGCCTTTTGCGAGAGCGAGCACGACGTCGCTACGCAGCCGGAGCGATGCGGCGCGAGGAGCCGCAGCCGGCCACCGCCCGCCTCGCCTCGCCTCGCCTCGCCGCCGCCGCCGGCCTGCTCCTCACCGTCACTCCATTCCGCTCCACTCACACTCGCTCCCTGCTCCAGCTCATTAGAGAAGCACTTGCGCGCTTGGCACACTTCCGTGCTCCGGCGTCATCTCTGCAGCACGCTTCGCCTCCTATCCTCGCGGCGCACGTGTTTCGGCACTGCCCGCCCGCAAACTCCACAGCCTCTGCGGCGCCCGTCCGTGCTCCAGCGTCTCGTCCATCACCTCGACAGCTGCGTCGCTCGCACCCGCAGCGTCTGTCTTGCCCACACGCCGTTGCCGTGGCGCCGCTCTGCTGTCCACCGGTGAGCCCCAGCAGCGCCGCTCGCTGCTCCGCACGCCATGGGCCAGCCCGGCACTGCGGCCGGCGCCGTGGCCGGCATCTTTGCCGGCCTCGCCGTCATCTTCTTCGGCTACAAGGCGTACGTCAAGTGGCACCACCACCGCGTGCGCAAGCTCAACGAGCAGACGCTGCCGCCGATCCGCGAGCCGCCGCCCGCCTACGTGAGCCACGGCGGCGGCGGCTCGCCGTACGCGCCGCCCTCGACGATCGGCACGCTGTACGGCGAGACGTGGCGCAGCAGCTGGCGCGGCAGCAGCGGCAAGGGCAGCCCCGGCGGCACCAACGCCTCGCTCTCGGACATGCGCCGCCTCAGCTCCAGCGGCCTGCTCGTCGCCAGCCCGACGGGCGGCAGCAGCCACTACGGCCTCAGCGGCGTCGCCACGCCTGCTGCCGAGAGCTCGGCGCCCGGCTCGCCGCTGAGCCCCGCGGCCGACTTCCTGCCGCCGCAGTTCCCCGGCGAGGCGCACGAGGCGCACCTGCGCAACTCGAGCTCGAGCAGCACCAACGCGCTGCAGCGCTCCTACGCCGGCTCCATCTACTCGCACTCCAACGTCGGACACGGCAGCTCCGGCGGCCAGAGCTATGACGCGCAGCAGGGCCCGCCGCCGCGGCGCCACTCGTACCTGCCGCATCTGCCGTCGAACCGCGAGTCGATCCACATTGTGCCGCCGCAGCCGCTCGGCTTCGGCCTCGGCGGCCTTGCGCAGGCCGTCGACCAGAAGACGCTCGCCTTCTCCAAGGGCAGCGGCATCGGCGACGGCGACGAGTTCACCACCGGCCTCGTGTGGGAGGGCAACGACGGCAGCGGCGGCGCCAACGACTTTGGCGCCGCGGGCGGCAGCGCAGCCGCAGCGGCGCGCATGCGCGAGATGGAGCGTGCCCGCTACCTGGCGCAGGGCCCGGTGCGCTCGGCGTCCAACACGACGGCCGGTGCTGCGGGCGAGGGCTGGTCGACGCCAGACCACCCGAGTTCGCGCAGCCTGAGCCCGGCACAGCTCGCCGGCTCGTCGTCGCTCTCCTCCTCGTCCGACGCCGGCAGCTCGCCGCGCCCGACGCGGAGAGCACCGGCGAGCAGCTCGCGCGACCCCGTGCTGGCCAAGCCGCTGCCCTCGCAGCCCGGCGGCGGCTCGCGCTCGTCGCACACCGTCGCGGCGTCGCACCTGCAGTCGCCGCTGCAGCTCGTCTCGCAAGGCGCCGCGCCGTACGCCACTGCAGATCGCTCGACGCCGCCGTCTCTCGGCTCGCACGGCGGCTCGCCGATCATCGGCGCCTTCCGCTCCAGCCCCAGCGGCGGCCCGCTGAGCGACACGCGCGGCTCGACGCCCGTGCGCAGCGCCGGCACGCCGGAGCTGGCCTCGCGCTCCGACTCGGGCACGGGAGGCAGCAGCCGCACGACGGCGTCGAGCAGCGTTGTCGACGGCGCCGTTGACGTGCCGTCCGAGGAGCTGCCGGCGCACCGCGGCCGCAGCTTTGCCGTGGGCAAGGATGGCCAGCTGCGCATGACGGGCGCCGCCGAGGAGGCATGGCGAGCGCCCGGCGTGGCAGCGCAGGCCTGACGGCCACGCTTGCTCTCCGCTCCGACGCTCTGCCGATCCCTCCGCTCTCCGCTGCCTGCGATGCCAGACCGCCAGCGCGGTGCGCTCGCCGGCTAAAAGCCGCTCTTCCTTGTGCATGCTTGCGAACATACATCACTCTGCCTCTTGCCTCGCCATTCGCCACGCCCCCAGGACTCCACACTGCCAGCTTCCACTCAAGCGCTCGCCACCCCTCTCTGCGCCGTTCACCCACTAACACACACCCCACTGTCTCTCTCCACACCCTCCACTCTAGCACATTCTTCTCCCCCCACCCAGCGCCTACTCATCCCACCTGTCTGTCGACCCCCACGCCAGCGCCGTGCCCCCCTCGTGTGCGAGGCGCGCGCTCTGCAATGCCACTGCTGCGCCATCCTGCCGAGCGTGTGCAAGCGGCATGCACCGCGAAGCGCTTGCTCTGCCGCACCGTGCCTGCGCTTCCCCGCACTTCGGCCCGGGCCGGACGGCGAGGCGCGCGCCGAGGCGCCGCACTGCTCCGGTGCACGCATCTTCCCTTCCCTTCCCTCCACCGCGCCCGCCATGCCGCTCTGCACGCTGCACCTCCTCGCCCTGACGGCGGACGCCACGCCCGAGGCCTTCCTCGCCGCCCTGCGCAGCGCCGGCGTCGCCGCGCCGCTGTTCGCCGCACGCGTGCACGCGCCCGTCATCCGCGCGCTGGCGCTCGACGGCGTGCTGCTGAGCTGGACGCCGTGGTCGCTGCTGCTGCTGCTGCCCGCCGCCGCCACGCCCGTACGCCTGCGCGACGACCCGGCGCTGGCGCGCCTCGCCGACGTCGAGTACGTCGTCACCTCGGGCGTGCCGTCGCGCCTGCTCGGCGCCTACGCCGCCACGACGCGCCGCCTCAACGCGGCGCCCCGCCCGCGCCTCCAGAGCGACGCACGCAGCCCGGCGCGCACCGTGCCGGGCAAGGTGCCGTCGACGTCGCAGGTGCGTAGGCAGTGCGGCGGCAGAGCGAGCGTCGCTGAGTGAGCCTGCGCAGAACCTCGAGCCGTCGCCCGAGCTCGATGCGCTCATCGAGCGCCTCGACCGCGCCGGCACGGGCGCGGCGCCGGTGTGCATGCTCAACCTGCTCGCCTTCCGCAAGAGCAAGGAGGACGTGGCGCGCTACCACGAGTATGGGCAGCAGTTCAACAAGGTCGCCGCGCCCTTCGGCGGCGAGCCCAAGATTCTCGGCAGCGTCGTCAAGCCGCCGGCGCAGGCGACTGCCGCCGGCTCGTACCCGGACTCCCGAGGCCGCCCGGATCGCACGGAGCCGTGGTGGGACGAGATCTCCATCGTGCACTATCCATCGCTGCGGCAGTTCAACGACATGGCGAGCAGCAGCGCCTACCAAGGCATCAATCGCGAGCTGCGGCTGCCTAGTCTGAGGGTGAGTCGGCGTCGCCTGCCGCCGCAACGCGCCACGATGCTGACTCTGACGCGGCGCAGGACACGACCATCATCTGCACGCAAGAGATACCCCTGTAGCTCACTTTCACTGCGCACTGCATAGATCACGCCCACTGCTCACCGGGTCCCACTGCCTGCTGCCCCGCCGAGTGTTGTCACTGTGAGGTCGCGACAGCAGAGGTGGAGGTGACTTGGGGCGCATGGCCGCCGCGCGGGCACGAGGCTCTCGCAGGCGCGCCGCGTCTGCCAGCCTTGCTTTCGCACGTCGACCATCAAGAAAGCGGGAGCGCGTGCCGTCGGCTACGCATGGCCACACCCGCACAGGCGGCGCATCGCTCGGCGCCGCCCATCCCCGGACTGGTGCTGCTGCCGGACCTGCTGCCTGCCGCCTTGTCTGGCGCCCTGCTGGACGACGTGGCGGCGGCGCAGTACTTCGATGCCAGCGCCGGGCGTGATCAGGTGATGCTCTTTGCGCGCGCTGGAGCTGCACTGCCGCAGTGGGCGGCACACATGCTCGAGAGCGTGGCGGAGCTGTGCCGAGAGAGACTGGAGCCCGAGCTGTGGACGCTGCTATTTGACGCGGCGCCGCTCGACGGGCGCACCGACGGAGCAGGCCGTGAGCCGCTCGGCGTCCAAACGCCAGGTGCAGGCGCAGGGCCGTCCAGCAGGTGCGAGTGCTGCTCATGCATCTGCCGCATCTCTGACCTCTCGCTTGCAGCGTGAAGGCCCGCCAGCTCATCCTCAACCTCTACGCGCCGGGCACTGGCATCTCGGCGCACATCGACCTGCCCGCGCGCTTCAGTGACGGCATCCTCGCCCTCTCGCTCGGCAGCGGCTGCGCGATGGACTTTAGGCGCGGCAGCGAGCAGCGCGCCCTCTGGCTGCCGCCCAACTCTGCGCTCGTGCTGAGCGGCGAGGCGCGCTGGGAGTGGAGCCATGGCATCGCCGCGCGAGCGGGGGACTGGGTGTGTGATGCGAGCGGCGAGGACGACGACGATCTGTGGGGCTCTGACGAGGAGGAAGAGCAGCGTGCGTGGCCTCTCTCGGCACTCACATGTGCTTCGGTGTTGACGCTTCAGCAGCAGACCCAGCCGCAGGCGCCACTTATGTGCCACGCGGCGGCCGGCTGAGCATCACCTGCCGTTGGCTCAAGCCGGGCGCGGACGTGGTGGGCGCGGCAGACGGCGACAGTGCAATGGCAGGCCCCTGATTCACTGGGCGTATGCGCTCCGTCATGTTCTCGACACAGTGTCTGTTGTGCTGCTGCCTCTGGCGAATGAAGAGCGCAGCTCGAGGTGTGAGGGCCCCTGCAGCAGAGCGTGGGAGCACGGGGCGCGCCTCAGCCTCGCCTCGCGGCCTTCGCGGCGCTTCTCTCCGCGCTCAGCGCGCGTGAGGGCCTCTTCATGCCCACCACGACAGCAACTGCTTTCCAAAACCCTTGGCGCTCGCATGAACGCAGCTCTGGCGAGCAAATCCGCCGCAAGCTCATCAGCGGCGCCTGCGCAGCCAGCAGACGGCGCCGCGGCCGCGGCCGAGCTCGGCGAGCTGCTGCGTGCCGCGCGGCTGCTCGCCGGACATGCGGATAGCTCATTGCGCGCGAGCAGCAATGCAGCAGGGAGCAGCGAAAGCACAGAGCAAGGCACGTAGCTTCGGCACCGAGGGTGCTTGCTGCTGAGCTCATCCCGTGCTTCTGCAGTGCGTGAGCGGCTGCTTGCACGCCGCTTGACTGCTGCGCAGGCGCTGCTCGATGGCCAAGGCGTCTCGATCAGCTCGGCAGCGGATGCGAGCGCATCTGAGGCAACGGCACAACTCGCGCTGCGCCTTTTGAGCGCCCTGCACGCCTCTCTGCAAGCGTTTGAGGCGTCGCGCGCCACAACCTCCACCGCCGGCTCCTCAAAGCGGGCGGCAGAGGCGTTCGCACCGCCGCCGGCACTGGGCGCGCTCGACCTCAAGGCTCTGCACACCGTCGTGGCGCTCGTCGTGGCGTGGAAGATTGCGCTCGTCACGCGGCGCTACGATGCAGCCATGGCCACGCTGCGCGGAGCGCCGGCAGCCAACTCTGCGTCGCGCTTCACCGAGCTGCCTGATCCCGGCGTCGCGCGAGCCGCCCTGCGCGCGGCCAGGGATCAGCTGAGCTCTCTCCTGCGGGACGTATCGCCACTGCTGCCGCCTGCGATGCTTGCGCGTCCAACAGACGCTTCCGCATCTGCCCCTGCGAGGCCGCAGCCTATGAACGACGTCAGCTCGGCGTTCGTGCGCAGCGCCATCCCCGCGCTGCTTGGCACCTACCTCAGGCTCGGCTGCGGGCCGTTGTGCGTCGAGAAGGGCGAGCTGCGCGAGGCGCAGGCGAGAGCCGAGGCTGCTGCTGCCGAGCGCGACATGGTCGCTATTCTGCGCAAGTGCGTTGCCGAGAGCCGGCTGCCACGAGACTCGGTCGCTGACTCGCGCTGCTCAGCCTCTCAACACGCTCAGCCTTGACTGCACTGTCGGGCAGCACGGCATTGCCCGCGACGCAAACCTCATCAGCCCGGATACCAGTCGCTGCAGTGCCGCCCTTCGTGCGCACGGCAACTGCGCGCCTCACGAGCGCTCAGCTGCTGCGGACCGACGGCGTGCGGGCGCTGCTCGAGGCGAGTCTAGGTTCTGCGGATGGCAGCGACGAGGATGCGTCAGCACAAGCTGGCGGCAGAGGCAACGGTACGTACCTCGTAAAGGGCGGTCTGCCCACGCGCCAACTGGCTGACTTGCGTCTTGCGATTCCTGCTCAAAGCTGGATTGAAAGCGCTTGAACGCGTTGCACTCTTGCTTACGACTCCTCCGGCTGGCATGCCCAGCGAGGTGCGTGCATATCGGGAGTCAGCGTCATAGATTGCTTGCGGTTGACGCTCTTCGCAGGTATTTTTGGAGGTTGTCCTCCCGCAGCTCCTGACGTGTCTGTCGACTGTGCCGCCGCAGACGCCGTCCGAAGAGGCGATGATCGCCACGCTCGTGACGGCGAGGCAAGCACAGGCATGCGTCCTTGCACTTCAGCGCCTTCCGACGGCGCTTCTGCACAAGACAATGCGTCAGCACGCGTACCGCGTGTTTGAGCCGGCCGAGGAGCTCACAAGTGGCTCGATCGTCGCCTCGCCAGCTCAGGTCTTGTGCGCCGTGTCGTTGCTCAAGAGCATCATCGACTACGCGCCGCCCGACCCGGCGTTCATCTGCACGGTGCTGCGGCCTGTTCTGCCGCAGCTCTTCGTGCTGCACGCCTTTACGGCGTCGGCTGCAGCGGGTAAGCACAGGGTGCGGAATGCGGACGCATTGGACGCAGCAAAGGCAACGCGCGAGCTGTTGGGCACATGGCTGCGTCTTGCCGAGGCAGACGAGGCGGCGGCATTCCTCAGCGACGGCCGCGACAGTCTGCTCAGGCGCGCTCGCGCGGGCATCGGCGAGCCTGGCGCGGAAGAGGGCGCCGCGGAGCAGTGCTACTGGGCCGCGGGGCCTGCTGTGCAGTTTGGGTGAGTCATGTCGAGCTGCGATCCGTGCAGGCAGTTCTGACCTGCTCCCGTCCTTGCAGCCCGCTGCGCAAGCCCACAGCAGACCTCTCTTCTGCGCTCGCCTCGCTCACGCTGTCGCGCGACGCAATCTTCTCACAAGCAGAGGGCGACGACGACGATAGGCGAGAAGAACTGCCCTCTGCAGAGCTGCTTGCCATGATGGGCCTGCGCCCCGATCCCGCAGTCATCGTGCAGCTGTTGCAGTCGGCGCGACGGACCGACGTGGCCGCCCAGCTGCTGCCCAAGCTGTTGCACGCTTATACTGCAGGAGAGGCACGCAGTGCTGCAGACGGCGACGGGCCAGGCTCGACCAGGTGAGGGCCGGCGATGCACTTGCTTGCGCTTTGCATCTGCTGACAGTGCGCGAGCAGGCTTGTGCTCCTGCTGCAGCTCATCGTGCTGCTCATCGACGCCTTCCAGGAGGACCTGCTGAAGAGCAAGCCGCGAGACGTCTTGATTTTCGTCGACTTTGCGCTGGGCGAGCCCGTCGCGGATGCGCTAAAGGAAGAGGCAGAAAAGGAGAAGAAGCCGCTCATCACGCCAATGGACGGCGGCGACTCGCTCTTGAGCGCGCCTGAAGGCGAGAGCCTCTTCAGAGCTGCTGCGACGACAGACGACGGCACGCAGCGTTCGGAGCAAGCCGGCGAAGGCAGCGAAGAGCTGCTCGTCACGGCACTCAATCTATTGCTCGCGCTACTTGAGGGTCAGTCTACAACGAGCGGCCACGAGGCTCACATCGCTGACGCTGCGCTTCTCTAGGTCAACCGGACATGTCGCTCTCTTCGGCGCCACTGCTGAAGGTCATCGACGCAAAGATCGCGAGCCATGTGCGCCACTCAAGCAGCGACGTACGCGCTCTTGCGCGCGAGGCTCGCCTCGTGCTCACCGCCAGGGCCTCGCAAGAGCTCTCGGGCTCGAACGAGGCTATAGGAAGTGGAGATCCGCTAGTCGCCGGGCGCAAGAAAGGGCGCGAGACGTATCAAGAGGCACTGCGGCTGCTGCAAGACCCGATCGTGCCTGTGCGCGCTCACGGCCTCATTTTGCTTTCGCAGCTCGTTGCAGCAGGTGACGGCAGCGGCCCGAGGCCGTCGACGCCGAGCTGTGGCTTGATGGACCCGGCACTCGAGCCCGCGGTCCTCGACATCTTCATACAGGCCGTGCAGAACGATGAGAGCTTCCTCTACCTCAATGCCGTCAAGGGCCTGGCGAGCCTGGCGAACAGCGGGGGCCGACGCATGCTCCGCCGGCTCGTCAGCACGTATGTCGGCGATCTGCGCGGCGCAGCGATGCAGCAGACGGAGCTCGATATGCGTCTGCGCGTTGGCGAGGCGCTCCTGCAGGTGGTGCAGCGGCAGAGCCAGGCCCTTGCGCAGTACTGTACGTGCCCATGGGCGTCCGGCGGCACGCATGTCTCGCTGACGTAGCCGAGCGCAGTGCCAGACGTTCTGGCGCCCTTACTGGCGGCGCTGCGCGATGTCAAGGTGCCGACGACGCTGCGCTCCTCGGTCATTGCGCTGCTCGGCACGCTGGTCGAGGCTGTGCCGCTCGACCTCGCTGCGCAAGGGCACTCAGCCGAGCTAGCCTCTGCGATGCTCGACCTCCTCGCGCTTGAGATCGTCACCCGCAAGCCCGCTGTGCGGCCGCGCGAGCGTGACGGATCGGACTCGGACGATGAGGCGCCCGTCGAGCCTGCAGCGACGAGCACGGACACGAAGCTGCCGCAGCTGCGGCGCGGCGCCATGCTGCTGCTTGCGCTGCTCGTGCGCGGCACACGGCACCAAATCGAGGCACAGCTCGAGCAGCGCGCGAGTGCCGAGGACGACGCCGCAAACGGCGGCGGCAGGCTGGCAGGCTTGCGCTTGCCCGGCGGCGGCGCACTGCCTGCGCTCGACGGAGGCCGAGCTCGTAGCGTGGTGCAGCCGACGCCGCTGCTACTTCCAGCGCGCCTGGTCGAGCAGGCGCACACAGTTGCGCAGTTTGCGGCGTCGCGTGACATCGATCCGCTGCTGCAGCACCAGGCGAACGATCTGCGCGAGGAGTGCGAGCTGCTGCGCGTCGCTCACGCATCGCTCTGACGCGGCTATGGTCTGTAAAGAGGCAATGTCATCGCTCCCTGCACGTCCCGTCCGCGAGACTCGCAGAGGGGGGCCTCGCGCTGTGGCGAACCTGCGACAGATGTGACGGAAGCTGATCGATCGCTGCGGGACGCGACTCACCCGAGCGCTCGCTGAGCAACCAGGCCCACCCCATGCTGCGGGCACAGGCACCCATGCAGCCGCTCAGAGCTCCAGCTCGACATCGAAGAGGCTCGCGTCGCCCGCTGCGAGCAGAACGCTGGACAGACGAAGCTCCACAGCTTCGTCGACCGCAACGACAGCGGCCATCTTCTCCATCGCCAGCTCCTCCTCCTCCGACAGAAACGCGAATTGCGCGTCAAGAAGGCTCTCCTGCCCGCTTGCCCGCAGCATCGTGGCCAGACGCCGCTCGAGAGCAGCATCCGTCACAGCGAGGACGACGGCAGCAGCCTTCTTCCTCGCTTGAGGCACAGACACCGCAGCGACCGCGACGGCTGCGACATCCTCCTCCCCGTCCTCCTCCGACGCAACAAGCTTCACATCCCCGAGGCTCTCGTCCCCCACGCGCAGCAGCTCGGCGAGATAGTGCTCCACAGCATCACTATCGCCGGGGCCCGACTGCGCCTCTTCAGTCTCCTCCTCGCCAAGCTCGGGCATTTCCATCTCCATCAGGCTCTCCTCGCCCCCCTCCTGAAGCGCAGCGAGGCTAGCATCCGCCGCCTCAGCGACGGTGGACTCCGGCAGCACGACATGGATCAGACTCTCGAAGTCTCCAGCCTCCCGCAAGATGCTGGCCAAGCGACGATCCACTGCTGCGTCCAGCGCATCACCCTCCGCGGCGACCGTCTGCTGCTCCTCAGCGGCAGAAAGAAGCTCGATGCTGCCATCCACCAGGCTCTCCACGTCGCCCGCCGCACGCAGGATGCAGGCAAGGCGACGCTCCAGCGCTACATCCTCTTCAGCATCCACTGCATCCAGCACAGGCACGTCCTTGACGTTGCCTGCAGCATCCACAGCGGCGAGGACGACGACAGCAGCGGCAGCCACACTCGCCTCCAGCTCCATTTCCGCCTCCTCGTCGATGCGCGTGAGCACGTGGAACGAGTGCGCCTCGACGGCCGCCTGGATACGCGCAACGACGGCGAAGAAGTCGGATGTGGGGCTCATCGTGACAGATGGGCGGGACGTCTGGGCGGAGTGGACGGCAGGAGTGCGGTGCGGATGAGGCAGAAGCACGAGAGACAAAGGCGGAGAGCTGGTGCGGGTGAGGCAGCGGCTGGCAGGGCGGGTGGATGTGGATGGAAAGTGGGCGCTGCTAGCTGGGGCGCGGGCTGAGGCCCTCTACTTGTGCCTGTGGGCGCGGCCAGCGGCGGGCGAGAACGCGACGCGTGGCCGAGGGCGAGGGCGGACGCGACGCGGCCGGCGCTGAAGTAGCCGCAGGCCGCAAGAGCGGCACGTGAACGGCTGCGGCAGGCCACAGGCGGCCCGTGCGGCCGGCCACAGGCGGCCCGTGCGGCCGGCTGCGCGCCGTGGGGTGTCCGGCGGGCCGGGATGGACGAGGTGTGCACGGTGCGGCCGACGACGACGACGCCGCCGCCCTGCAGCGCATCGGGCGCCGTGTGGCATCACGCGCGGCGCTGGCGGGTGGGAACAGGCGGCGGCATGACAGCTCATCGGGGCGGCGGGCGCGAGGACGCAACACTCGACTGGCGGCGTGCCCGGGGACGCGTGCGCGTCGCCCCGAAAGGCGCATACTGCCGGCGTGCCTGCACGGCGCCGGCGGCACTTCTGGGCATGACGACGGCGGCGCCTCCACTTGAATTCCGCGGCCGAGCAGGGTCGAGCGCCGCCTTCCTCTTCCCGCTCGAGCCGGCGTCTTCGCACTGCGCTCCCCATCACCCACCACCGCACACAGCATGACTTCCAGCCGCTTCTCGCCCGCACACCTCTTCGACCTGACGGGCCGCGTCGCGCTCGTCACCGGCGGCGCCACGGGCATCGGCCTGATGCAGGCGCAGGGCCTGGCCGCCGCCGGTGCGCGCGTCTACGTCGCGGCACGCCGCGAGGAGGTGCTGCGCAACGCCGTCGAGCAGTACGGCTTTGCCGGATACGTGACGGTCGACGTCACCGACAAGGAGAGCCTGCAGCAGCTGGCCAAGGAGATGCAGCAGAAGGAGGGACGTCTTGACATTGTGTGAGTGCGCAGCGGGCGGGGAGCATCGCCAAGGGAGAGACGCAGTCGGTCGCCGAGCTCAGACCGAGCTTCGAGCGTCGTCAGCCCTGGAGCAGCGCTGCTTCAAGGCAGTCGATGCTGCACGCGCAGCTCCCACAGATGCCTCGGCACCTTCGCCTGTTCCTCAACTGACGCGCCTGCAACAACAGCATCGCCAACGCCGGCGGCGCCGGCCCCACGCACCACGGCGCCGACACGAGCTTCCCCGACGGCTCCATGGACCCGGCCAAGAAGCTCGAGAAGCTCGCGCCCGAGGAGTACACAAAGCAGCTGCTCGAGGCCAACAGCTTCCAGAACTGGACCGACCTGTTCAAGTGCGCGTGCAGACGGCAGAACAAGCGGTCGCCGGGCTGACGTCCACCTGCCGCAGCCTGAATTCCCACTCCGTCTTCTTTACGGCCGTCGCGCTCCTGCCGCTGCTGGCCAAGGGCAGCGAGCACGCCAAGGCCAGCGGCAAGAACTACACGTCGTGCTTCATCACCACTGGGTGCGCAGCACGTGAGGACTACGCTTCTGCCTCCGCTGACGTGCCCTCCTCTCAGCTCGATCTCCGGCGTGGTCAAGCAGTCGCAGATGCACTACGGTGCGTTTTGCTCGCTCCAGATCAGTTGTTATGCCTGCTGACCATCCTTGCCCACAGCGTACAACGCCAGCAAGGTACGCTGCAGCGCTGCGGCGCAGTCCTCTCCTATGCTCATCCCCGCTGTAGGCCGCCGCGAACCACCTGACCGAGACGCTCGCGTTCGAGTTCACCAACACGACGACGGCGCGCGTGCGCGTCAACGGCATCCTGCCCGGCGTCTTCCCTTCGCAGATGACGGCCGACTCGAAGGACTCGACGACGAACAAGAGCGACCTGAGCGACAAGCTGCCGACGATGAACGTGCCCGTCGGCCGTCCGGGCACCGAGGAGGAGATGGCTGCCGCCACGCAGTTCCTCGCCGCCAACGAGTACGCGCACTCGATGCTGCTCACGCTCGACGGCGGCTTCACGGCGCACGCCCCCTGAGCGGCAATGCAATCGCGAGTGATACCACACGCGGCTGAGAAGGCGTGCAGGCGGCTCTGCGCAGGCATCTGTCGCGCCAATGTCCACGCGGTTTGCGAGACGTACCGCTTGGTACTGGATCCAGATTCTGGGCCCAAAAGCAAGCAAGCATGACGCTCCTGTGCGCTATGGTCGTCATGGAGGTGTGAGCGCACCTCGCGTCGGGAGACACGCGTCGCTACAGCGGGCGCGAGACACGCGCTCCGCGGGAACCTCTCGCCGCCGCAGCGAAGCTCTCCGCGAGCCGACGTTGGGTTAGCGGATGCTTGACGAGCGGGGCCCCATGCGTGTGCGACTTGTCCCGACGTCGCCTGAGCCTGTCCGATCGCAGCCGGGCGGCCTTGCCTGCGCGGTCGGCCAGCTGCCACGCCGCCTCTGCCGGCGCTGCTGCGTAATGGCAGACACGTCAGGCGCTTTCACGCCTGGCAGCAGCAGCAGGCAGCCGCCCGCGCGAGCGCCCCGCTGCCATTTCTCCGGCTGGCGACGGCTGCCGCTGCGCAGCTCCGCAGATCCACGCTGCTGCGTGCTGCGCAGGCTGACAGATGCTGATGGATGCAGGACGACAAAAAGGCGACGAGTCCGAGTGGCTCGCAGCGCTCTGACTGGCCGCTCGTGCGACCAGCGCTGCGGGGCGGGCTGGGAGGCGCCGGCGGCGGCGTGAGTGGTCGTGCGCGCCCTGGCCAAAGATCGGCTGCCTCTTTCGCTGCTTCACACGGGGTGCTGAGTGGCATCAGCCTGTTGCTGACGTCGAGAGCTGGATTCCGAGGCTGACCCGAGACCGGCTGCGCGGCGGATGCTCGGTGGGGCGGGCGGGGCGCAAGCCGGAAGCACCGCGGCCGGAGCGGGCTGCATGCTGCGCCGCCGTGCTTTTGCCGCCGTCAACCTCAAGCGTGGCGCGCGGCCAGTCACAGCCGGCGCGCGCGCGAAGCGATTCACTCGGCGCAGCGTGCAGCGCAGCTTGCCGTGCCACCACCACCTTCTCCGCTCCATCCACGCCGCCGTGCCGCACCTGCCTTCGCTCTCCACTCTCATTACACACACCACACCATGTCCGAGTCCAAGACCATCACGCAGGCCGAGCTCGAGGAGCACCAGAGCCAGAAGGACCTCTGGCTCCTCATCGACGGCAAGGGTGAGCAGCCGCGAAATTCGCTTCGGGAGTGCCGCACGGCGGCGCATTGGCAGCCCACACCCGCTGGTGCCACAGGCGAGGCAGCGGCATGGCTTGCGAATGGGCAGCTTCGGTGTGCCTCGCCGCTGCAGCCGCACGCCGCGGAGCGATGGCTGTCCTCCAGCCCTGCGCCTTCTGCGCGGCCCCCGTGCGGACGCAGCAGGCGGCCCTGCATGCAGCACCAGCATCTTGCTGCGGCGGCTGCGGCCCCGCACACACGTCTGCGAGGCGACTGCGTTGCTGCGTGTCCTTCAAAGCGACTCAGCAGGGCATGCGCAGTTGGTCTCGGGCTGCCGAGCCGCCGAACCGCGCGGACCGGCCTTTGCGCCGGATCTCCTGTTGCTGGTATGCTGCTGGCACGCAGTGCTATTCCGCCGCGCTCGCACCGCACAGCTCTGCCTGCCAGCCTCGTGGGCCTCAGGTGTTGTAGCCAGCGTTCAGCTGCGAAGACGCTGCCTCAAACCGCGCTTTTCGGAGCAAAGCTGCTGCATCGTTGCGCGCAAGCATGCGCCACCGCGCAGTGCTGCGAGCACGTTGTGCCACGAGGCAGCTGCGTGGCGTGGGCAAAGCCCAAGCGGCGCATGTCCCGGTTCACACTCCACGGTCTTGACCACACCGAGACTGACGCGCCTCGCGCAGTGTACGACGTCTCCAAGTTCATGGACGAGCACCCGGGCGGCGACGAGGTGCTGACGTCCGAGGGCGGCAAGGACGCCACGGAGGCGTTTGAGGACGTGGGCCACTCAGACGACGCGCGGAGCCTGCTCGGCCCCATGCTCGTGGGCAAGATGGAGGGCGCCGTGGAGAAGCCGAAGACGAAGACGAGCCAGGTGAACAAGGACCCGACGAGCGCGACGAACAGCAAGTGAGTGTTTCAGCGCGCGTGGGGCCGCAGCTATGCATGCAACTGCGGCAGTGCAGCCGTTGGGCCTCGTGTCTGACCTTCTCTGCGCAGCCCGCTCTTCATGTTCATTCCGCTCATCCTGCTCGGCGTGTACGTGGCGTACAAGAACTACGCCTGAGCGCGCTGTGCTGGCGCTCGACGGGCCAGTGCGTGGCGGTCTGCGGCGACAGGCGGCAGACCAGCCCTGCTTGCGTCCGCACGCAGCGCCAGTCTTCGCTGTGGAGCTTCTCGCGAGGCTCGCGTAGAGTAATGCACCCATCTTCGACAGATCTCGGGCCTGTTCACTGAGAGCGCAGCAGCGGCTCGCCGCCCTCGCAGCGTGTGCCCTCCACTTGTGTGTCAGATGCTTCGATTGTCGCGAGGTGAGCGCAGCAGCCAGAGGCCCTCAGTCCGTGTCCATGGCCTCGGCCGGCTGCTCCTGCGCCCACGTCACAAAGTCATCAATCACAGACGGCCATGCCGCTGACGGGGTGCAGCTGTCAGCTGTGCTTGCTGTGTTCCTGCATCGCGCCCTCCTCTCACCGTCAAAGTCGTGGCTCTTGAAGTCCGGGTCGATCTCCCGCGTGAACTCCAGAAACTGCTCGTGCTCAGAGGTCAGCGCCGGCAAGCTGGCCTCATCTGCTCGCAGCCCGGCCTGCACTGACCAGCGTCCATGTGTCCCGGCTGATGGCGCGCCCGCCCGTCTGTGTGGTCAAAAACTTCTCCCACATGTCGAGCTGCCGCTCCGTGAAGCTCTCCGGCCCCCACGTGGGCGAGTACGGCATCAGCAGGCGCCAGAAGGCCAGTGCTGTCTCCAGAGCTGCGGCGCGCGTGTCAGCACGTGGAGCAGCAGCTGCGACCACCAGCCTTCCTTGTCCTGCGGCCACTCACACAGGCTCTTCTGTCCCTCGTCCCGTGCGTAGGCATAGCACCACTCATACACCCGCGCGAAGAGACCGCCCTTGCCCTCGCCCGCCAGCTTGCCCTTCACCGGCCGGTCGCCGCGCAGGTCCTCCAGCAGCGGCGGCAGTGCCTCCTTCATGCTCTCGAGCGAGTCGGCGCCCAGCTCGCGCCAGCCATCGACGAAGCCGCTGCGCGAGAAGTGGCCCATCGACGGCGAGCGCAGGTAGAAGGAGAGCGGCAGCATCACGACATCCTCGGGCGAGATCTCGAGTGAGGAGCAGAGTGCGATGGCGCCGCTAATGCCGATCTCCTGCGGGTCATCCTCTGCAGGGCGTGGTGTCAGACTGCGTCGTGCGAACCGCATACAGAAAGTGCAGGTAGGCCGGCACCTAAGAGCGGCAGCCGAGCCCAGCGGTCGCAGCTGGCCTCTTCGTCTCCAGCGCCGCAACACCTGTGCTGCAGCTCAAACACATGTCGCCTGCGCTGCAGCATCCGGCCCTCCGACCGCCCTCACAGGCTGTCCTCGCACTTACCGGCGAACTCCTCAAACACCTTCTCGAGGCGCCGCTTCTTCTCCTTCTCCTCCTTGGAGTCGCCCTGCGCCGCCTCTGCGCGGCGGCCGGCGTCGGCGTCTTGGTAGAAGGCGTCGATGGCGGCGTCGAGGCGCCAGCCGGCGGCCTTGAGCAGGCGCGTGGCGTCGGCGGCGGTGGCGTTGGTGAGCGCCCGCAGCTGCTTCGTGGCCGCGTCGCGCGTGGCCGTCTTGCTCGACTGCCGCGAGCGTCAGGCGGGCGAGGTGGAGGTGCTCGGCGCGACGAAGACTTACCATGGCGCCGGAGTGCGGCGGCGGCGGCAGGCAGAGGTGCAGGCGCGCGGCTGACGTGTATGTGTGAGCGGCGCGGTCTGTGCTACGCGATGCCGCTGTCGAGTGTCGGGTGAAGGGCTGAGGAGGGAAAGGAGGAGCGGGTGGTGATGCACGAAGGCCGGACCGGCGGCGCAAGGCAGCGAGCGCTTCATCGCGTCGCTGTGGCGCGTGCACGGCCAAGTCGCGTCACCGCACGCTTGCACGGGAGTCGCCCGCTCGCGCGCATCAGACCCCCTGGCGCCCTCGGACGCTTGCCCGCCCGCTGCTCCCACGTCTTGGCGGAGGAGCTTGAGAACCGCCGGGGCTGATTGCGATGCATCTGCATGAGCTGGACGCCCGGCGAGCTGATCAGGCCAACAAGGATGGCGGCCGGAGCCGAGACGTCCATCTCCGGCCCGGCACGGCTGCGACCGGTCTCGCAGTGTGGCGCTGCTCGCCAAGCCTGTCCGTTGTACCCCATGCAGCCCGAGTCATTCGCACCCCGAGGTCGCTGCGTCTGCGAGGAGGCACAGATGAGGCATGCGTGACGTTGGCGAGTGACTCAGGCGCCGTTTGCGCCTCCGCGGATCCGCGGCTTGCTTGGCCGGCTGCCAAGTTCGCAGCGCTGCGTGCCGCGGGTAAACCGCCGGCTGACCATAAAGGCGCAGCGCAGCGGCTGCTTTGCCCGGCCGCACGTCAGATCTCGCTCTCGCACCCGCGCTCGCTCCTCTTCGCGCTACCACATCAAGCCTACAAACAGCAAAGAGCCACCGGCAACGCACGCTCGCGGTGGCACATCGCACCACAGCCTCGTGCACGCTCGCGGTGGCACGTCGCACCCCAGCCTCGTGGCTTCAGCAGCACCGTCCTCCACGCACCGCCCGCGGCGCCGCAGCATGGTCGCCTCGCCCGATGCGGCACCCGTGCCGGCGCCGCCGCAGACGCAGGCGCTGCTGCAGACGCTGCACCGGCACCACTCGCGCCTGCCCGGCGGTCTCTACCTGCTCTCCTTCTGCCCGCCCGTGCCGTCGCCGTTCAGCTCGCCGCGCGCCTTTGTGCAGCACCCGGGCGTGCTCTACGCCTGCGGCTTCGTCTCGGCCGTCATTGCCGGCATGGGCATTCTCTCGCTCGACATCTTGTACGGGACAGTGTGGACCGCAGGGATCACTGGCCCCGGCGTCACGCCCGAGCAGATCCGCTCCGTCAGCACGCGCACGGCGTGGATCATGGCCATCGTGTCGGGCATCTACTTTATCTTCTGCTGGCTCTTCCTCGCCTGCTTCACCGCCGCTTCGGCCGCGCTCACGCAGCGCCTGCGCCACGCATACATCGCCAGTGTCCTGTCGCAGGACGCCGCCTACCACGATCGCCACGGCGCAGGCGAGGTGGCGACGCACGCCGGCAAGGAGTGCGGCACGATCCGCGTCGCGCTCGGCGAGAAGCTCGGCTTCGTCGTCTGGTCGCTCTCCACTCTTGTCTCGTCCGTCACCGTCGGCTTCATCAAGAACTCGCGCGTCGCTGGCACGCTCTTCGCCTTGATTCCTTTCTGCGTCATCCTCTTCAGCTTGCTCGCGATGCTGACCGAGCGCATCGGCGGCCCGATGCTGCGCCTCGAGGGGCGTGCCAGCTCCTTCCTCGAGGAATGCCTGGGCGGCGTGCGCGTCACACAGGCCTTTGGCATGCGGGAGCACCTCGTCGAGCGCTTCGACCACGCCATGCTCAAGCCGCTCGCGCGCCTCGGCATGAAGCGTGCCGCCATTCGTGGCGGCGAGAACGGCACGTTCTACACGACGCTGATGCTGTCCTACGCAACGGCGTTCTTTGCCATCGCGCGCTTCCGGGGAGAGACGGGCCCGTCGCTCACGGCGTTCTGGAACTTCCTGAACTCGCTCTTCTGTCTGGCCAACATCGTGCCGATGCTCTCGGCGCTCATCGACGCGACGACGGCGACGAACCACCTGCGCCGGACGATCGAGCGCGTGCCGCTCATCGACGTGCGCGACCCGGGCGGACTGCGGCTGCCACTCGAGCAGCCGCCGAGCATCGAGCTCAAGAATGTCGTCATGGCCTACCCGTCGCGGCCGAATGTGCCGTCGCTCGACGGCGTCAGCGTCACCTTCCCCGCCGGCAAGGTGACCGCGCTGGTTGGCCAGTCGGGCTCGGGCAAGTCGACGATCACCGAGCTCCTCATGCGCGCCTACGACCCGCTCACGGCGAATCTGCGCCAAGCTTCCGACGAGGCAGACGACGCCGCCGACCGCGCCGCCATGGGCGAGAAGCTCGAGCCCAAGGAGGGTGAGCAGAAGCCCAAGAAGAAGCTGTTTGGCGGCCGCACGAAGAGCATCAGCTCTGCGGAGGACCCTGAGAAGGCTGATGAGAAGACAAAGCCGATCAACGAGGTGCCGCAGGTGCAGGGTGCCGGCGATGTGTACCTCGACGGACACGACCTGCGCGACCTCAACCTCTCGTGGCTGCGCAGCCAGATCGCCATCGTGCGTCAGATGCCGCAGATCACCACCGCCAGCATCTTTGAGAACGTCGCCGCCGGTCTGACGGGCACGGAGCTCGAATACCGCCCGCAGGACGGCGGCGTCGAGGCGATGGACGCAAGCGAGAAGCTGCGCTACGAACAGATCCGCGAGCGCGTCAGTGCTGCGCTCGTCAAGGCGCAGGCCTTCGACTTTGTGTCACGCCTTCCTAGCGGCATGGACACTCAGGTCTCCGGTGGCAAGACTGGCCTGCTGTCTGGTGGCCAGCGCCAGCGCATCGCCATTGCCCGTGCGCTGATCCGCGAGCCCAAGCTCCTGATCCTCGACGAGGGCACTTCGGCGCTGGATTCACAGAGCGAGGCACTTATCCGCGATATGCTGCAGGAGGAGCAGCGCCGCCGCGGCATGACGACGATCCTCATTGCTCACCGCCTGTCGACCATTGCCCATGCGGACCAGATCGTCGTCATGCGCAACGGACGGATCATCGACCGGGCCAGCACGACAGACGAGGCCAGCGCACACACGCAGCTCATGGATCCGAAGCGCGACAACGATGTCAATCTCTACCGCACCATGGTGCTGACGCAGCGGCACATCGCCACGGCAGAGAACGACAACTCGATTAAGACCGCCCTCGCCGAAGAGACGGACGAAGATGAGACGTCCTCGCTCGAGCTCCTCGACTCGGACGGCGTTACGACCCGCGTCGCTGCGCAAAGCACTCGCGCCCCTAGCCAGCCTTCGTCGTCGTTGCAGCAGCGCCCAGTACCACTCAAGCACCGCACCAGCCGGGCATCCGACCACCCACCAGTGCAGCTGGCGGGACGTGGCGCCACCACCATGGCGCACGTGGAGCAGGCGACTGCCGAGGAGGGCCTGAAGGGCGTCTCGACTGAGGAGGAACACGCGGAGCTCAAGCGGCAGAGCAAACGCGAGCGCCGCCGCCTGCTCGTGCACTTCGGCCGCCTCCTGCGCCGCTACTGGTTCTTGTTCCTTGTCGGCCTCATCGGCGCGATCTTGGTCGGAGCGGCGTTCCCGATTGCGGGCTGGCTGACCGGCGGAGGTGTCAACGCCCTTACGATCGACCGAGTCACTGAGAACGACCGACGCGTGCGCGAGTCGAACCGCTACGCACTGTACTTCTTCCTCCTCGCCATGGCCTCCCTCGTTCTCGTCACCCTTCACTCCTGCGCGCTCGAGTTCGCTTCCGAACGGCTCCTTCGCCGGCTGAAGCGCCAGTCCTTCGCCGCCGTACTGCTGCAAGAGATTGGGTTCTTCGACGCGCCTGAGAACCACGCGGGCAGCCTTACCGCCTCGGTCTCGTCGAGCCCTGCAAGCGTGGCCGCTGCCACCGGCCTGACGTCCTCGCAGCTGATCGTGTCCTGCACCAACCTGGTCGGCAGTGTCATTCTCGCCTTCATCCTCTCGTGGAAGGCCGCCGTTGTCGTCCTGGCGCCGCTCGTCATCCTCTTCTTCTCCTCATGGGCAAACGTCGTCATGCTCGAGCGCTACGAGTCGGAGGTCTCGGTGCCCGCGGGCAAGGCTGCGTCGTACGTGGCCGAGAACGTTGATGCGATGAAGGAGATCGCGGCGCTCGGCCGCGAGTTAGAGGTGATGCGGCGCTTCGACGAGCAGGCGCGCACGGAGCCCAAGCGGACCCAGTACCTTATCTGGGGTGCGGGCGGCTTTGCGATCTCTCAGGTGAGTAAAGGCAGCAGCACGCGCATCAACGACCCCCTGACACTGTTCCAGATGGCCGTCCTAGCCGTCTCCGCGCTCATCTTCTACTGGGCCGGCGCGCGCCTCTACGCCGACGGCGAGATCTTGCAGACCAACCTCTACGCGCTCTTCGAAGCGGGCGTGATAGGAGTGTTCTCCGCGGGCCGCCTACTCACTTTCGTACCGGACCTAGGCCGTGCGTTGTCGGCGTTCAGGAAGATTGTGGGCTGGTCGGAGCGCAAGCCACGCGTCGCGCAGCTCCCATTGACGGATCAGCCCTTCACTGGCATCGGCGACATCGTGTTCAGCGACGTCGAGCTGCGCTACCCGCAGCGCCCCGACCACCCGGCGCTGACTGGCCTCAATCTCGTCATCAAGAGCGGCCAGACGCATGCCTTTGTCGGCCCGAGCGGCGCCGGCAAGTCGACGATCCTCCAGATGGTCGCGAGATTCTACGACCCGGCATTTGGGACGCTTTCTGTCGGCGGCATCGATGTGCGCACCGTGCCGGTTGAGGTCTTCCGAGAGAAGATCGGCCTCGTCTCGCAAGACCCAGTGCTCATCAGGTGCGTCTTCCCGGAGCTGCAGTGCAGCGCGCAGGTGCTGATACGCTTCCAACAGCGGCTCGATTGGCTGGAACATCTCGCTCGGCTCGCCCGATCCCGCGAGCGTGACGCGTGCCCAGCTGGAGGAGGCATGCGAGCAGGCGTGCATCCTAGACTTCATCCGCTCTCTCCCGGATGGCTTCGACAGCGATGTGGGAGGGAAGGGCGCGCAGCTCAGCGGCGGCCAGAAGCAGCGTCTCTGCATCGCGCGGGCACTCATCCGCGACCCCAAGGTGAGCAGCGCTGCGCGATCTATGCCTGCAATCATGACTGACGGCGCCTCCCTGCCCAGATCCTGCTGCTCGACGAGGCAACGAGCGCGCTGGACGCGGAGGCCGAGGTGAGCGTGCAGCAGGCGCTTGCACGCGCCTCGACGGGCCGCACATGCGTCACGATTGCCCACCGGCTCTCGACGGTGCGCAAGGCACACTGCATCCACGTCGTCGAGGACGGCCACATCATCGAGTCGGGCACGCACGACGAGCTGCTGGCGCGCCGCGGCCGCTATCTCGAGCTGATCGAGGCGCAGCTGTAGCCGCGCTCGGCCCGCGCTTGTCCCCACTCCGTCACCCGATGTACTCTAGATGCTCGCCCTATACACTGTGGAATGCTTGGAACGCCGTACACATCGCTGATTGCCCTCGAGTCGAGCTGTCTGTGTCTAAAAATACATTCGCCGCAGGGCCGCGCTCAGCGAGGCTCGCAGGCCTCGGCGTAGCCGGGCGGCAGCTCGTCAGTGCCAGCGTCGCCCGCTGCTGACGGCGCTGCAGCGCCCAGCGTCTCCTGTGCCCATGCCTGTGCCTCGGCCTCCTCCTCCTGTCGGGCCACGGCAGCTGCCTCGAGGTCCTCGGCGGCCGGCTCGGCGGCAGCAGAAGCGCTGGGAGCGGCCGCGAGCGGTGCGGCGCGCGTGGGCGGAGAGAGCGCCGCGATGGACTCGTTGGCAGCAGCACTCGAGCCTGGCGGAGGCGGCGAGTATGTCGCTGCGAGAGGCGATGGCAGATGTCAGCACGCAGAATCAAGCAGCGGAGCAGCGAGCTGCACACACGCAACGCCTCGAGGTGGCCCTCTGCCGCACCGCCGATCTCGGCGCGCGCCTTTGCCTCCTCGACGGCCTCCTTGAACAGCGTGCCGCCGCCCTCGTTGAACCAAATCTTGGCAAGACCGGACGTGGCGGGTGCTCCCGGCACATGCTGCGGCAGGCCGCCGTCGCGCACGGGCAGCACATGGGCCTCATAGTACGGTGCAGCAAAGATCGGAATGAGATAGCGCGTGTCGACGAAGTTGCGCAATGGCACGGAGAGGGAGCGCAGATGCGCCGACGACGCCTGGCCAGGCAGCGGCGCAGGCAGCGCCGGCTGCCGCAGGAAGAGAACGCGCTGGTTCGACACGACGGCGCTGCAGAGACGAGGCGGGACGATCAGCCTCGCGACAGGGCACAGCTGTCGGCGGCGCTCACTTGCCGCGCGCCTCCCATTTGACGCCCTGATGCTTGAAGTCGAGCCTGCGAAGCAGCAGACGTGAGCGCACGAGCATGCAAGACAGCGCCGTGGCGCCTCACGAGAGCTGGCAGTGCTCGATGCTGCACAGGATCTGCAGGTGCGGTGAGCGTGTGGAGAGGCATGCCCGGCCAGGCGCCCAACGCTGACCTTCTCGTTTGGCAGCGGCACGGGCCGCGCGCCGTCGTCGGAGAGCATTGCCCAGTTGAGCGCCATGGCGGCGTGGCTGTTGCAGGCCGATGTGGTGGGAGGGCGAGAGCGAGCCGCGGCGCCCCCTGACGCCAAGGCTCCGTGCGCAGCAGCACACCCGCCGCCGGAGTAAGTGCGCCGCGGGGCGGGCAGCAGCACGTGACGCGCCCAGCGTGCGACTTCGCGCGGCGCCGCCGCTGCGAAGGCGCTCCTGCCTGCCCTCAGCCTCTCACCCCCCTCACTCAGCATGTATCTGCTCGGCGCACACCTGCCCGACCACAAGCTCGTGCGCATCGCGCTCACGGGCTTCTACGGCATCTCGTACCACGTGGCGCGGCAGCTGTGTGCGCGCCTCTCGCTGCACGACTCGGCGACCGTGGCGTCGCTGAGCGATGCGCAGATCAACCAGCTCAGCGCCTACCTCAGCGCACCCACCAGCGTGCCGGCGCGCGCCGCCAGCCCCACGAGCGCCGATGCCCAGGTCGTCTTCGCCCGCGACGCCGCGCCGTCCTCGTCCTCGAGCTCGGCCGGCTCCTCTTCCTCCTCGGCGCCCCTGCCGCCGTCGCAGCGCGCCAGTCCCTTCGAGGATCCGCTGCGCTCCATCGTGCTCGAGGCCGACCTGCGCCGCCAGCACACGGCCAACATCGCACACCACCGCACCGTCGGCACGTACATCGGCCGCCGCCACGTGCAGGGCCTGCCGGTGCGCGGGCAGCGCACGCGCCGCAACGCCCAGACGGCAAAGAAGCTCAACCGCATGGAGCGGAGACAGTACTCGAGCTACACGTGAGTGCTTGGGCAAGGCGAGCCGTAGCCATGCGTTGGCTGTCATACAGCACGTTTGTGGTTGGTCGGCACTGCTGCTCTGCTGCGAGTCTGCACCGGGACCGATCGCGACATGCGCTCGCAAGCCTCGAGTGGCCGATGCAGACTGACCGCTGACGCACACTCCCTACAGCAGCGCTGCCGCCTCGGCCCCACCACAGGCGCCTGCGCCAACATCCGCCGGGCCGCTCTCGACTCTGCTGCGGAGTCTCGCCGCGCGGCGCTTCGGCGCGGCATGAGGGAGGCGCCGACGAGGCACAGACTTGACGCGGCAATGCAAGTGTCACCACTAGCAGCTCAGGCGGCGTCATGCACATTAGAAGTGTCTGATTGCGGTGCGGAGCCAGTGACACGTGCCCTGGAAGGACGAGGGGTAACGCGAGTGTGATTAGCGGGTACATGAGGGGTGGCGCAGCGCATTGGGCGGCCGGGATGTGTCTGATGCGGTGGTCAGTGCGGAGGGCGATTGAGGATGCGGGTGACGATGTCGGGTAGGTGACGCTTGGATGCAGGACAGGTGACGCAGATGGTGAAGAGACAGAATGGCGGACGAAGCCCGACGCGAGAGGCAAGCTGGAGCGCATGTTGCGCCCTGCCGAGACGCCTGCGCCGCGAGGCGCGACTCAGGTGTCGATGACGAGGTGCTCGTTGGGCAGTTCGGCGAGGAACGGGTGCTCGAGCGCCTGGCGCGCCGTCCAGCGGCGCGTGCAGTCCGGGTGCAGCAGCACGCGCGCCAGGTCGATGACGGCCGTCACCTCCTTGCTGTAGGCCTTGGGGTCGGGGTGGCCCTCGGGCACGTCGTAGATGCCCGGGTTGAGGCGTGTGATGAAGTCCGGGATGCGGTAGCCGTCGTTGGGCGGCAGGCCGCTGCCGGCAGGCATGCTCGACGTGGGGATGTTGCACTGCAGCGTGCGGTCTGGGCGCAGCGAGGCAGGGCGTGTGAGCGATGCCCAGGCCGGGCTCAATCTGCGGCGGCGCCTCACTGTGCAGCAGCGCGCACTGCGTCATCTTCTTCTTGCCGAAGATCATCATGAGCTCGAGCAGCGCCTCGGTGTCGTCGTTGGAGTTGAAGAGCGGGAAGCGCTTCGTCAGAAAGGCCAGCAGGATGATGCCGGCCGACCACATGTCGAGCGCTGGGGCAGGCACACGTCAGCGAGAGGCCCTCGCATGGAGCGCACGGCCGCCTCTCACACGTCGTCTGGTCGACGCATTTGAGGAGCACCTCGGGCGCGCGGAAGCCACGCGTGCCGGCGCGGTTCGCACGGACGCCGGGGCTGCAGACGATCTGGGCTTAGCAGGGGTGCTCGATGTCATGGGCCGCGCGCCACGTACCGCGTGTCGTCCTTGAGGTAGCCGATGCGCTCGGGCGGCGCCATGATGCCGCGCGACGAAGTCATCGAGTTGACGCCGGCACTGCGCGGCGGGCCCTGCTTGGCGAGGGCGCCGCCGGGGTTGAAGTGGGATGAGGGCACGGTGCGGTTGACCTGCACCTTGCCGTGCGGGTAGTCGAGCGTCGGTAGCATGTGGTGGCACTTGCCGCGCCAGTCGCGTGGCTCGAAGCGCTGCGGGAGCGTCAGAGTGTGTCACGCAGGCAGCTGCAGCCCGCAGGCAGACGCACCTCGGCCAGACCAAAGTCGCACAGCACGCCCTCGCCCGACGCGGGGTCGTAGAGGAAGTTGGCCGGCTTGACGTCGCGGTGCATGATGCCGTAGGAGTGGCAGCCCTCAAGCGCGCGGAAGAGGCAGCGGAAGTAGCAGCGCATGTCCTGCAGCGGGAAGGTGCGGTAGAACTCCTGCGAGCGCAAGGCTGTGAGCGACGCTGAGCGGCCGGACTCTGCTCTGCCAACGCACGCGGAAGTCGCGGTGGCGGCTGTACGGCATGACGGCCACGATCTGGTCCTCCGTGCGGAAGGCGGTGATGAGATAGGCGATGTTGGCGCAGTCGCTGCGTTGCTGCGTCAGTGCGAGGTGTGCGTTCGTTTGCGGCGACGGCACGCACCGCAGCTCCTCCATCAGCTCGAGCTCGTTGAGAATGCGCTGCGGGCTGCTCGTCACGTAGATGCGCTTCAGCGCCACGTAGACCTTCTTCCTCGGCACGTCCACGGGCAGCATGGCGTCGTCGCCGCCGGCCCAGGGGTGGTTGTCGTAGGCGTAGTGGTTCAGGTCGATGGCCTTGTAGACGGACGAGAAGGTACCTTTGCCGCGAGGCGGTGTGAGCATGTGGCGGCCCGAAATGCGGCAGTCTGCGCTGCTCACCCTCGCCCAGCTTGTCCACCACCTCGTACTCGGCCAGGCCCTCGATGCTCTCGTTCATGATCGCGATCTCCTGCTGAATGCGCGCGATCTCCTGCGGCAGCGTTGAGCGCATCAGCCACGCTGCCGCTGCCGCAGCGCCTGCACACATGGCGCCATGGCTCTCACCTTGGCCTCGCGCTTGGCCGGCGCCTCGGAGCTCTCTGCCGGCTCGGCGAACTCGGCCTCCTGCTCCGTCTCCTCGCCCTCCTCCTCGTCGTCCTGCTCCTCTGCCTCCTCGTCCTCTGCCTCATCGCCCTCGGGCGCCAGGTGCATCTCGTCGTCCTCGCCGTACTCTCCCTCTTCCTCTTCGCCCTCCTCGTCGGCCTCCTCGTCGCCGTCGTCGTAGTGGCCGTGCGCGGCACGCATCTGCTCCTCGTGCTCGGCGGCGGCGGCGTGCTGTGCGGCGTAGCGCTGCGGCTCGGCGGGCGGTGCCGGGCTGGCGAAGCGGCGGCGCGGCGGCATCTGCGGCAGCAGCGAGGCCATGCTGCGGAAGCGGCAAAGGGTGCGGATCGGTGTGGGGTGGGAAGCAGGGCAGCCGCGGCGCTCCCGCTGCTCTGTCCGCGCCGCCGCCGCTATGCGCGGCGCGGCACTTCTCGGCCGGCGGCACGCGACGCGTTGGGCGAGCAACACACCAACACCCGCGCCGCGCCGCCCCCTCTCGCGCTTCGCAGGTGTGCCAGGGTGATGTGCCGCAGCACTCGCTGCTCGCCATGCTGGAATCACGATGCACCCACAGAGATGGCCCGCTACAGTGCTCCACGCCAGGCCAAGCGAGGCAGAGCCCGCACTGTGTTTGCCAGGCGTCTGCCCTGGACATCGCGCCGTTCCAGCACCGTGCTTGACCTAGACAGGCTATGACGACCTCGAGCAGCGCCCGGAGCAGCCCTCAGACTTGGAGACGGTCGTGCTCGACTCGTCCAAAGGAGCGCGGCGCGGTGTGCCGGGTGCCGCAAGGTGCTGCTGCGAGCGCTGCTGCGACGCTCACTCTGACTGAGAGCTCTTACTGTCCGCCGACAGCGGTAGGGTCGTGTGACGCCCACCAGCGTCATCACGCAGCACCGATGCGTGATCGACGACGTCGGACGACGTCCAAAGCGAAACGGCTGGTGCCACGGCCGCACTCCCGGCGCGCTTGACAGGACGCTTGGCCCGCTGTCTTGTCGCGGCGCTGTGGTCCGACTGAGCAGCCGCACGCCTCGCCGACGTTGATCCACCTTCGCTCGTCCGCAAGGACCAGCGGCTTGCGACGAGCTGGTGGGCCAGCATCAGCGACACGTCGCGACGAGCGCGACGTCTTCTCGGGAGGGGGTCCAGCTGCAGGCACAGCCCACGCGGTGCCGTCACTGCTCCCGCGCCCCTCGACGCCGTCTTGCTGCGCCGTGCCGCCAAGACGCCGCACAGACGCGGTGCGGCACGGCTGGCGCCTTTGCGAGATCCGAGAGAGTTGCGCGCACCGCCCTCGAATCTTGACTCAAGCCGTCGGGCGCAGCGACCTTGCCGGCCCGGCGCTGCTCTGCCGCTGCTCGCCCGATGCCATGCGTCATCCTTGCCAGCCGTTGAGGGTTGCGCGCAGCATGCAGCAGCGCAGGCCGGCGAGCTGTTGACGGCGCTGGTGCAGCGGTGCAGCGTGCAGGGGTACGCCGGGCGCGCCGGGCCGGCCGTAAGGCGCGGTCAGCGGCAGCTGGGCTGCGGGCGGCGGAGCAGTGTCGGCGCAGCGCTGCGTCTGAGCGGCTGTCCCTCTCCTATCTTGCCCTCCGGCGCATGCCTCGGCCCATCCCCGCCACTGCCCGTGCGCCCGGCACCCTCTCGCGCCCTTGCCGCTTCCGAGAAGCTGCCTCAGCCGGCATCGGGACGATTCCTGCGCTTGCCGCCGGTCGCTGCCTGCTTCTGCCCGCTGCGGCTGACGCTGCGCGTGGCGCGGCGCGATGGACGAGGCCTCCGCGAGCGCACGTTGCGCGCGCGAGGCTGCCTCCCGCCGCATCCTCCGCCGCCGCTCACCCCTCCCCGAGCCTGCCCAGCGGTCGTCCACCTCACCCTCGGATCTCCCTGCGCGCCGCTACATGGCGCAGCCTGCCGCACCCGCTGCCCCGCACACGCCCCCGCCGCCGCCGCGCTTCGAGCTGCTGCCGCCCGCGTACCCGGCGGCGCTGCTGCTCTCCTTCTGCGTCGCGCCGCTCGCACTGCACACGCCGGGCCTCTACGCGCGCTGCGTGCGCCCCGCCCTCGCGGCGCTGCTCGTCTCGACGACGCAGGCCGGCAGCTCGCTGCGCTCCCTCGTGCTGCCTGCGCCGCCGCCCAGCGACGCCCCCACGGCGCGCCCGCCAGTGCTCGACGCAGCGCACGTGCCCTCGCTGCCGAGCCCGCGTGCCGCCAGTGTGAGTACGACGAGCCTTGGCGATCGGGCCGGCGCGCGCGGCTGAGGAGAAGGGCGGGCATTCGGCGCACCCTTCCCATCCGGCGAGGCCGTTCGTTGCTCCGCCGCGCCTGGCGCAACGGACGGCGGCGGTGCCGTGTGGGGAGAGGGAGCGGTGCGGGTGCGGATGCGCGGCAGGCGCGGCGCGTGCGGCGACAGGGGCGTGCCTTGACTTGACGCGTGCGCTGCGCCCTCATGTCGCCTCGCGCCCGCCCGGCATCTGGCATGAGGGGCCCCTGAGAGCACGCGCGCTCCTCCCACAGGGGGATGGCACAGCGCAGCCACTCCACACACAGCTCAAAGAGCAGCCCGCAGCCGCGCAGCCATGCTTACCCTCCCGCCTCCACTCCCTCCCGCAACCCACCCACCCCGCGCCCGCCATGCCGTGGACAAAGTCGTTCAAGATGACGGGCCTGCAGCCTGCGATGCCCGAGTGCTGGTGCGTCGTCGTGCATGCTGCGCTGCTGTGCGTGCATCCGCGCCGAGGCTGACCTCCACCGTCTACAGGGGCCACCGCGGCGCCTCGGCCACCTTCCCGGAGAACACGATTGCCTCGTTTGAGCGTGCCGTGCGCGACGGCTCCGAGGGCCTGGAGAGTGGTGCGTGGCTGGCGCACCTGGCGCCTCGCCCCCGGACCTGACACCCGCCCACAGACGTGCACGTCACGAGCGACGATGTCATCGTCATGTTCCACGACCCCTCGCTCGAGCGCACCACGGACGGCTCGGGCCTCATCCGCGAGCAGGCGTGGGCCGGCGGCATCGAGCACCTGCGCACCACCGCCGAGCCGCGCCAGCAGATCCCGACGTTCAACCAGGTGTGCGACCTGCTCATGAAGCCCGAGAACATGCACGTCAAGCTCAACGTGCGTTAGGCGCTGTTGTGCGGGTGCCGGGCAGCAGTGACTGACGCTGCCCTCTTGCCACTCGCAGATCGACATCAAGCCCGACAACGACCCAGAGCGTCTCTTCACGCTGATGAAGCAGGTCGTGCAGTCGTACGACAACTACGAGACGGCGCTCTCGCCGCGCCTCATTCTCGGCATTTGGCACCCGTGCTTCCTGGCGCCGGCGCTGGCGCACGTGCCGACACTGCGCCGCGTGCACATTGGCGGCAGCCCCACGGCGGCGCGCACCTACTTCTGGGAGCACTGCGACGGCTTCTCGATGTGGTTCGCCAGCCTCGTGGGCGCCGAGGGCCAGGCGTTCCTGCAGCAGGCGCGCCGCGACGGCAAGGATGTGTTTGTGTGGACGGTGAACCGCAAGGACGAGATGGTCGAGGCGACACGCTGGGGCGTCAAGGCCATCCTCACCGACAAGACGGACCTCTTCCAAAACGTGCGCGCCGACATGTCGCTCGACTACGCCTCGACGCGCAGCGAGGAGGTGGGCTTCTTCTTCCGCTGGGCCAGCTGGCGCTACTGGATGCTGCCGCAGTTTGTCATCCAGAGCATGTGGATCGCCAACCTCGAGAAGCGCGCCGGCACGACGTTCGAGACGAGCTGGCGCGCCAGTCAGGCACAGCTGGCCGCTGCCAACTACGCGACGCCCGCCAGCGAGAAGACGCCGGCGCCCGCTGCTGCTCAGCAGCCCGTCGCCTCGCCGGCCGCGTACGACCTCGACCTCGAGAAGGCGCCGGCAATCGCTCACGCCGCGCCTGCCATCGCCGCCACTGCATGATCCTTGAACCCCTCCTCAACTGCCTTCGCCACCGTCGGCTCTACACATCCATAGACGCGCCTAATTCTCCGCATTTCTTTCTCGCCGTCTCGTCTTCCACCGCTCTACGACTCGTCCGGCCCTCCTCCACACATGGACGCTCCGCGCCTTCACACCGCGCAACGCTGCAGCTCAGCTGCGTGCTCCCGGCCTTCTCCTCTCTCGTTCCTCTTCCTGCTCCCGTGACGACCTCCTCCTCATCTCCAGCTTGAGAAGCGGGCATGAAGTGCTCGCTCCCGCCTCTCAGCTCGCTCCGTCCTCCTCCCCCACTCATGGTCCCATCTCTCCGCGCCTCGCTCCCCCACACTATGCTCCATCCGCGATCCACGCATGTAATTCCCCTAGCCCCATCCCGTCCGCACGTGCCAACCACATCCCGCCCCTGACTCGTTCAGCATCTCGCCAGCCATACATCTTTTCGAGGCGCGCGACTTGCCCTTATGGCACGCGCGCCTGCCGCTGTGCTTTTTCTCCGTGCGTGCGTGCGGCTGCTTCTGAAAGGGTGGACGGGAAGCATCCGAGCCCGGCTCGGGTTGGCGTAATAGCGTGTGAGCGGCGCCGTTGCACGGCCAGACGAGTGGCAGCGGAGCGAATGAAGCCGCCACAGAGCGGAGCAGGACCAAGCGAAGAGCGTTGCCGGGCCTGCCTGCAGTAGATCTGCGTCGTTGTGTCGATGGATCTCAGGCCCGCTGCAAGTCGCGCTGCACCTTCTCCAGTGCCTCTTCGACGCTCTGGACCACCTCCGCGCCCGCCTCGCTCAGCTCCCTCACCGCGCGCTGCGTGCCTGCCTCCTCGACGCCCGCGCAAGCCTCGAGCACGACGAGCGGGCGCAGCCCGAAGCGGCAGGCGTCGAGCACCGTGGCGCGCACGCAAAAGTCCGTCGCGACGCCTGCGATGAGGACGCGGGTGACGTGTGCGCCGAAGAGGGCGGCGGCGAGCGGGGAGAAGAGCACATCTTGCGCCGTGCTGTACCGCGGCGCTAGTCAGATGGCCGCGTGAGAGAAGGAGCAATGCAAGGCTCACACGAAGCCCGAGTAGCTGTCGACTTGCCGGTCCGTGCCCTGCGATGAGGTGTGCCTCAGCAGCTGCAACACGGAACTGACCACTTGCCGGCACGCACCTTGTGCACCTCAACACACTCCACGCCTCTTTGTTCCGCCTCCTGCATGCCTTGCTTGACGACGCCCAGCAGCTCGGCGCCTCGCGTGCCAGCAACACAGTGATCCGGCCAGAGCTTCTGCCGCACGCTGCCGCGCGCGGGGTGCGGCACGTCGAGCTCCTCGAACGCCTCGTGCCCGGCGTGCGTCGAGGCAAAGGAGATGTGGTCCGCAGGATGCATGTCGCGCGTGGCGCAGATCTGCGAGAAGTGAGAGCTGGAGAGCAGCTGGGAGAGCGGGCCTTGGAGCCTGTCGGCGCCCGGCACGGCGACTGCAGCAGAGACATCAGGCGCTGCGAGGCGAAGACGAGACGGGCCGCTGCTACGCACGCGAGCCGTCGACGAAGTCATGCTGAACGCAGCAGAGGGTCAGCCTGCCGTTGGTGGGATGTCAAACAAGCACACCCACCTGCACGTCGACGAGCAGCAGCGCCCAGCGCGACGGAGCCGTCTGCGGGTTGAAGGCCGGCATGGCTGCGTGGGCGCCAGGTGGAGGTGTGCAGGTGCTGTGCGCACTGGGGCCTCAGCGTATCGAGCTGCGTCCGGCGCTGTCTGTTCGCAGAGACAGCTGTCTAGCTTGCGTGTGCGTGTCTGATCCGAGCGCTGAGCGAGTCGAGTCGCGCGGCTCGACCTTGCTTGCGTTGTGATGAGGGAAGCGAGCATCTCGGCGCGGCGGCCGTCTGGGCTCGGCGCTGCTCCCGCGCCCTCGACGTCATCTGGGGTACGCTGCCGGCGTCCGAGTGCCGCGCGCAGGCGGAGCGGCGCCGCGCCACGTGGGCGCGGGCGCCGTGCGGTGCGTGTTGGTGGCCACAGCCCGCCGGCCGCGTGCGCCAGCAGCGCCACATGCCGCGGCCGCGCTGCGCCCGCTGCGCCGCGCGTGCCGCCGTCTCCAAGGGCGCCCAGGCCGCGCGGCAGCAACCTTCGTTCCCCACCTCGCCCTCCGCTCTCCGTCCCGCGCCGCGCATCCGTAGAGTGCCCGGCCTCATCTCCGCTTTCTTCTTCTTCTTCTCTGCGCCTCTCCCTCGCCCTTCACAGCCCGCTCTCCGCCGTTCAGCCTCGCTGCTTGCCCAGTGCCCGCCATGTCGTCGCTCTTCCGCACCGCATCCGGCGCGAGCAAGACGAGCAAGGCCAGCCGCGCATCCAAGAAGGAGCTCAAGATGGCCGCCGCGCAGAACGCCGCCGAGGCGGGCCGCCCGGGCAACCTCGACCCGGGCATGGAGCACAACAAGAAGAAGTTCGAGGCGGCCGTGAGTCGTGTGCAGGCTGGCAGAAGCGGCGGCTCGGGCGGCAGCAGCGCGACGTGCGAGCGAGCATGCGGTGGGCGAGGACCATGGCCAGCGGGACGGATGCGGCTCGGCAGCTGCTGCAGGGCCGATGGGTGCGCAACGCATTGCGGGCGGCCCATGGAGGCTCTATCCGCAAGCCAGACGCACCCGCGCGACAGTGCGGCAATCTCATCGCGGGCGGGCCAAGCCATTTCGCTGCGGCTGCCGCCTTGTCGGCGACTGTCCTCAAGGGCAGAAGCGCTCTTGTGGTGGAGCGATGCGCGCGGCAGAGCGGACAACGCCTCGCCTGCCGCCGTGCTTTCGCTCTGGCTGTTGCGCGTGTCGTGTGCGAGGGCTTGCGAAGCGTGCCCGGCCCGGGGTCCGGCCGCTGTAGACTCCGCACACACCGCACACACGTCGCCCTCTCGCGACGAGCGCACGCTGCATAGAGTCACTCGCCGTCTCTCCAAGAGGCCGCGGTCGCGCGAGAAACGCCGGCTGCTGCGCGCCTAAGTGACTGCCATGACGGAGCGAGACGCAGCAGTCAAAGCGATTGGGCTACGCCTCTGAGGACTGCGCAGACGTCTCTCCGGCGTGCCGCCGCACGTGTGGAACGAGACACGATGGCGTCTCGGGCGACACGTCGCGAAGAACGTTCTCAGTGCTGCGCCCCGAGGCACGTGTGCATAGGGGCGCGGCCGCGCTGCTCGCCCCAGATCTTGCCCCAGATTGGGCGCTGCATATTGCTGTGAACGAGGAGCTTCCAGCCAGCTGCCAAAGCTGTCGCTCGTCCCCGCATGACGCTGACACGTATCTGCGCTGCTCAGATCAAGGAGAAGGGACTTTTTGACCCGATCCGGCATGACGATGCCTGCAGTGAGTCGTCCCCGCCTGATGGGCTCCACGGACTCCCTCTGACGTGCGCCGCGCAGTGTGCCGCTTCCTGCGTGCGCGCAAGTGGGACGTGCCGGCGGCGCTGGCCATGTTCGAGGCGGCCGAGGCGTGGCGCAAGGACTTTGGCGTCGATGAGCTGTACAAGAACTTTGAGTACCCGGAGAAGGAGGAGGTGGACCGCTACTACCCGCAGTTCTACCACAAGACGGACAAGGTGCGTGGAGCTCGAGCGCACTGCGGCCTGCGCGTGTCGATGCAGATCGCAGGCCGCGCACACATGTCCTCTCGCAGCATTGCTGACGCTCGCTCGCTGCGCGCAGGACGGCCGGCCAATCTACATCGAGCAGCTCGGCAAGCTCGACATCAAGGCGCTGTACAACGTGTGCGTGCCTGCGTGTCGCGCGTCGCACTGCTCCGACAGCTGATGTGCGTATCTGCTCTGCTCAGCACGACGCCGGAGCGCCAGCTGCAGAAGCTCGTCGTCGAGTACGAGAAGTTTCAGCGCGAGCGGCTGCCGGTGTGCACGCACGAGCGCGGCGAGCTCGTCGAGACGAGCTGCACCATCATGGACCTGAAGAACGTGGGCGTGGGCCAGTTCTGGAAGGTGCGCGCCCGTGTGAGGAGGCGCTGCGCGGTGTACCAAGACTGACCCCGCGTGCGTGCATCAGGTGTCCACGTACGTGCAGCAGGCATCGAACATCGGCCAGCACTACTACCCGGAGACGATGGGTGAGTGGTGCTGCGGGCTCCCTCAGAGCGGTGCCTCGCTGATCCTCGCGCCTGCCTCCTCGCCCCTCAGGCAAGTTCTACATCATCGTGCGTGCACTGATCGCGGTGCCGCACGCACAAAGCTCATCGCTCTTCTGCAGAACGCACCCTACATCTTCACCACCGTCTGGTCCGTCGTCAAGGGCTGGCTGGACCCCGTCACTGTCGAGAAGATCAAGATTCTCGGCAGCGGCTACGAGAAGGAGCTCACCGGACAGGTGCGTCGTTGAGCGATGGCATATGCCTTGCCCTCCACTGACAGCCGCTCTCTGTGCTACAGATCCCCGCCGAGAACCTGCCCAAGTCGCTCGGCGGCACGTGCGACTGCCCCAACGGCGGCTGCAGTCTCTCCGACGCCGGGCCGTGGAACACCGAGGAGGGCCGCCAGATCCTCGAAAAGGTCAAGGAGGAGAACTCGGTCAAGCTCAACGACTCGGGCCGGGCGCAGCAATAGAGCGTCCTGCCAAGGCCGTGTATATACGCCCAGAGGTCCCTTTCAATCGAGTTTCATTCACCGTTCGCAGCCGCGCGGAGCAGGCACCCGAGAGCGCTGCGATGAGGTGCAGCCCTAGACCAGCAGCCGAGGCGAGCTACAGAGACTGTGTCGTGCGAGTCGTGGGCACTCGGAGCGTGTGCCGATGACCGTGGTATCGGGCCTGTCGCTGGCTGCACCGAGAAGACGTGCCAAGAGCGCAATCGGCGCATCCGCACGGCGGTGGCAGAGCATCTGGAGGCCTTGCGAGCGTGGGACTCTGCCCGTGGGTCCGCATGCGTGGTCGACAGCCTTGCACTGGGTGCTTCCACGCAGCTCCGCCTGCCACACTGTGCAGCAGCCGACGACCGCATGAGCCCGCGTGAGTGAAGAGGACGGGTGCCTGATCGGCAGCTGGTGCTGTGGCTCGGCGGGCCCTGCAGTGCTGAGCGCCTTTGACGTCGTGCCTGCAGGCGTGGCCAGCTCCGCGTGCTGAGCGGACCTGCAGTGCTGGTCACCCGGCGAGGCGGAGCGTTGCACTCAGACTGCGACGTGGAGGCCGGCGACGGACGGCGCAGGAGCAGAGAGCGAGCCAGCTCTGCGACCCGAGGGCCCGATGCTTGGGTGGAGGTCGATGCTGCCGGGCGAAGCTGCCGGGCCATGCCGCATGCCGCCGCTGTCTCTCTGACACCTCGGCGCGGCGCAGCTCCGCCCATCGGAGGCCCCATGCATCCTCGCTGCCACGCCGCATACGCTTCCACCGAGCGGCACCGAAGAAGGCGCAGCTGCACCGGCATGCGGCTGCGCATATGCACTGCCGATCATCCCTGCTGCTGTATCTGGCAGCGCCAGCACGGCAGAGATGGAGTTAGAGCGCGAGGGCGCCCTCGCGGCCTCGCTGCGAGCATCGCATCGTCTCGCATCTGCCAACGCCCGAGCGCCGCTGTCGAGCCGGTCGTGATCGCCCTCTGTTCAGCCCGCGTCGCTCCGACGCCGTGCTCCTCGCACATGCGTGTGCAGCCGCTCCATCGCCGGCTCGCTCGCCATCTCGCTCGGCGCGGGCATGCAGGCAAGGCCGTCGTTCCTAGCGCGGCACGAGGGTGCGCCGCATGGGAGCGCGCCTCCGAGCGCCGATCGCCGCCGTCGCGAGGGCGATCTGCGTGCGATGGAGCCTTGGCTGGCGCCGTGCCTGCCGCGGCATCGTCGCCGCATCTCGGCGGCGGCGGCGGTCCGGTTGGCCCGCGCTGTGCGTGAGGTGTTGTGCTAGAGCCACTCTGCGGCCATGTGCCTCGCCACGCGCCCAAGCCACAGCGCGGCAGCTTGCAGCGGAGGGCGGGCACGGGAGCAAGAGCGGAGCGACAGGGTCCAGGTGCCACCGCACAAAGGAGCGCGCATCGTGACGGCATCATGCGCATGGCCGAGAGCTTAGGCGCGCTCGGCCATCACACCGCGCTGTGCGCTCCCGGCGCGGGCGTGGGCTGCGCTTGCGAGAAGGAGAGAAGGAGGTATCTGCGGCCTTTGAGCGCCGGAAGTAGGCCGAGGACGGCACCCGGCGCGTGGAAGTGGCAGCCGAGACTGCACGTCGGTGGGCACCCCTGAGCACGATCATCAAGCAGCAGCGCGGTGAGCGCGTTGTGCTCCTGCGCATGTGCTCAGGCTTCGATGCGATGTTTCGACGGCGTGGCGGTGACGCTCCGTCGCTCCTCTGCGCTGCGCTGACATGTGAGCGAGGCGGCTGCGGGCTGCGGCCGTCAGAACGTTTCTCCCTCGCGCGGCGGCGGCGTGGCCCAGACGCTTTGCGCTGCACAGCCGCGCGCAAAGCGGCCCTAGACGCCCGGAGTACCGCAGCACGCTGCGGTCGGTGCGGTGGCGGGCGGCGAGGGTCGCATTCTGCTGCGTCTGCGGCGGCTGCTGCGGCTGATGCTGCCGCAGCGGCATATTTGCTCGTGCTCGCCGCTGAGATGATGGGCTGCTCGCGCGGAGGACGGCGCTGCCGTGCCGGACAACGTACGACGGCGGCGAGGCTGCTCTCGCGCCCACGCATCTGGCGCCTGCAGCTTAACGAAGCGCCGCACTTGGCACGCACGCCGGAGACCCGTCGCGCGCCGGCCCCGATCTTCGGCCCCTCTGCGCGGTGCCCTTGATCCCTGCCGGCGCGCGCCACGCGTTGCTGCCTCTGCGCCGCGCGCCGCTGCTGCGCTGCCTTGCCCTTGCCCTGCTGCCGCCGCGGCGCCCGCCGACGCTCTCTGCCGCTGCTGCATCTGGCCGGCGCCGCCGTCGTGGACCCACGCTCGCCTCTCCCTCTCCTCACCACCGCCCGCTCTCGCACCGGCTTCCTCTCAAGCAACCCCTCGCCGCCGCCGCCGTCACCTACGTCCAGTTCTCGTCGTCTCTCGATCTCTCTCTGCGCCGCCCGTCACTCGACCCTCGCCGCGTACACACGCGCGTCTCCCGCGCCTCCGTCTCGTCCAGCGCTCCCTCGTCCCTCGACGCCTCTCTGCGTCTCCTCTTTTTGCTGCGCAGCTTCGCCACTTTCGTGCCGCACGCACAGCCGCTGCATACCTCTTGCGACCTCTTCTGAACGCGCATAGGAAGAAGAGCGGCATCGCTGGGAGCCCTGCTTGGTGAGTGCTGGGCAGAGCAAGGATGAAGGAGGCGCGCGCGCTGTGCCTCGAGGGGGAGAGTGGCAAAGAAGAGGCCGTCTCGGATGGCAGGGCGGCAGTCCCGCGGAGATCATCTGCCTGCTGGCAGGGAGAGGAGAAATCTTGCAGCGATGCGTCAGCAGGCCGGGAGTGAGGGGCCGAAAGAAGCGACGAAGTAGACTGCTAGGGGTCGCGGCGACATCTGCACCCTCCTATTGCGCGCGTGCGGATGAGCGGCGGCGCTTGCGCGCTTGCAAAGCCGCGCCGCAGCACGCCGGCTGTTGTGTCCGTGAATAGGTGACAGGAGCGCCAAAAGGGTGCATGGCGTGCGCATGCGGTGCGCCGCGGTCGAGTCTGCCATTTGCGGGCCTGTGGCTCGGCCGCTCTGTTGGACAGGACTCTCTCGTGCTGACATCCATGTCCTCTTTTTCGCAGCCCGTCTACGGTCAGGCCTGGCATGGGCACAGTTGTCCTCAGCGACGCCCCAACGACCTTCACTCCCGTGGCTCCGGCCCTCTCTCTTCTCGGCGAGCTGCCTGTGCAGGCCAGCGGCGGTCCCTGCGCCGCGAGCTGCTCGCGCACCGCTGCAAGCCTCTCCGAGCTTGCGTCTGCCGTCCTCACGATGCAGTCCGCTGAGCACTACGACGAGACGGCGCCCCTCGCCTCGCCAACGGGCGAGAGCAGCCAGAGCGGCGCAAGCACGCCCAGTGCCAGCCGCATGCTGCAGGCCTCGCGCGACCCAATGGACCAGGCAGCAGCCGGCGCGCCGCAGCAGGTCCTCATGAGCCGAGGCATCAGCGCCGAGAGCTCCTCATCGCCCTTCGTGACGCCGCCGGGCGGCGAGGCCGTCGACCTTGGCATTCTTACGCCGCCAGTTCGCCCGGCCACCCCGCCGGCGCCGCGAAGGCACTCCACCGCCTCGTCCGTCGCTTCTTCTGGGCGCCGCTCGCTCTGCGACGGTGTCGCTGCTCTGGCGTCCCACATCCTGTCGGTGCGAACGAGCCCCGAGCAGCTCGCGCGCGCTGCCACTCCACCGATCCTGGCACGGCGGCGGTCACGAGAAGCGGACGTGGCTTCCTCCAGCTCCGGACGGTCACAATCTAGCGCGATCGAGCGGTCAGAACGGCGCGGCGGTAATCGCAGTCTCTCGTTCTCCGAGTCCGAAGAGGTGTCCTCTGCGCTTGGCCTGGCCAACATGACTGCCGGCTCCGACGACATGCAGCAGACAAGGCGACGTGCCAACAGCGAGGCGCCGCAGCCGTCTGTGGCGGTGAGCGGCAGCGCGAGCAGCAGCACGCCGGGCGATCGGTCCGACGCGCCAGAGATTGGACGCACGCTCTCGACATCAACGAGCACGACCGACCGCTCGAGCAACGTCAGCTCGCTCGACACGTGCGCCACCTCGACGGGCTCGCTGTCCGACGCCATGCCGCCGGGCAAGGAGCTGCACATCGACACCGTCAATGTGCCGGCGCCGTCCGTGCCTCAGGCGCCGCACTCGCCCGACGGACAGGGCGAGCGGCCGCATACGACGCCGCAGACGACGCCCGAGCTCCTCTTCCCGCCGGCCGGCAGTCGGCGAACGTCGGACGGCCAGCGCTTCTCGAAGCTGCGCCGCCTCTACGCGCTGCACGAGCTCGTCGAGACGGAGCGGCGCTTCGCCGAGGATCTGTCCCTCCTGATGGTCTTCTTCGACAACCTCAGCGACCAGCCGTATTTCAGCGAGCACCCCGAGCGCGTCGCCACCGTCACGCGCAACGCGCGGCAGATGCTGCTGCTGCACACCAAGGTCGCCGACAAGCTCGAGGCCATCCTGCGCGACGCCGGCGTCGACCCAGCCGATGGCGTGGGCGCAGATGCTGCATCCAGCGAGGCGGCCGAGTCCGCTGTCGTGGCCGTGGCGCAGTACTTCACGCAGATGGGGCCCAGCCTCGCGGCTGAGTTTGCCTTCTTCTGCTCGCGCCACGCCGAGGCGCTCGCCGTCGTGCGCGAGGCCGAGCGGCGGCACGGCGGCGACGACTGGAAGGCGTTCGAGCGGTCGTGCGGCAACATCCTGCGCGGCCTGTCTCGCGGCATCCCACGGTCTACGCACTCGCACTCGCGCTCGCACTCGGGCAGCGCCACGCCCGTCTCGGGCTCGCACTTCCTCACGGGCCTCGCACCTCTGACGCAGCTCAGCGGCGGCTTTGACTCTGCGTCGCTCGCGCCGCTCACTCCGTACGGCACGTCTGCGCCCACGACGCCAATGTCCGAGTCGGCCTCCTCCAGCATGCTTCGCGAAGGCGCGGCCCGCCTGCTCTTCTCGGACTACTTCGTCAAGCCGATCCAGCGGCTGTGCCTCTACCCGGTGTGTCTCAACACGCTGCTGAAGCACTCGCCTGAGGACGAGGATGCACACGCGCCGCTGCTTGCGGCCCTGTCGACGATGCGCAAGGTCGCCGAGGACGTCGACCGCGCCGGACGCGAGCGCGAGAAGGATCTGATGGCTGAGCTCATCAGCTCGCGCATCGAGCCGCAGATGAGCGTCACACCCGCCTTCATCGGCTCGCTCGGCCACTGCCTGCTTGCAGGCGCGCTCGATGTGTGCCACCACCACAGCATCGTCAACCCGCTCAGCGCGCCGCTGCGCTTCAAGTACCAGGCCGTCTTTCTCTACCGCGGCTTCCTGACGATCGCCAAGGTGCGCAAGCCACACACGTACGAGCCGAAGCACTGGTTCCCGCTGTGGGCTGCTCGTCTTGACGACGCAAGTCTCACGCGAGGAGAGCGGAGCGCGACTGCGAGCAGCAGCGTCCTGCCGCTCTCGTTCCGCATCATCTGCCAGGGCGGGCACTACTTCGAGCTGGTTGCGTCCAGTGCGCGCGAGCGCGAAATCTGGATCGACCACCTCTCACGCGCCATTGTCGACGCGCCCCTCACGGCGAACGTCAGCACGGGCTTTCCCTCCAGCCTGGGCTCAGCTTCGCGCCTGGCCATCGACCTTGGTGACCCCGGCGCGCCGACACCTGATGAGTACGATGTGCTCGATCCGCTCTCCGCCTTCTTTGCCGAGAACGCAGCGTCGCCGACACCCGTGGACATTACGGTGCGCTACGCGCCCGCCTCGCAGCGCGCCACGGTGGACCGCGCCACCGTCTTCTCCGACGTCATCTACCAGGTGCGCTCCGGCTCTGCGTTCGGACAGCGCACCGACGTCGACGGGTCCCTGCCATCGTGGCACAGCGCTACACCCGCGATTGGCGCTGCCGTCGGAGCCGCGATGGGCTTTGCGCGCGCCGCGGCGCGCAAGACTGTGTCGCGCCGGAGCAGCGCCATCCTCCTCAGCGACGAGGAGTTGACGGCGGACGGTCCGCTCGGCGCTGCGGGAGCCGCCCTTGCGGCTGCCGAACTGCGGCTCAACGGCAGCAGTGCAGACGGAGCCACCTGGAAGCAGAAGATGCGCACCTCGCGCTCGCGCCCGGCACTCTTCGTCTCGCCGTCTTTGCGCGGCAGCGCCGACCAGCTCGTCTCTCAAAGCGCCTCGCCTTCGTCCATCTTTGGCAATGCCACGCTGCACGACGAGCCAGTGCAAGCGCTCACCCCGGTCACGCCATCTTCGCACGTCAGCGAGTCCAACGGGCAGCGTGCAGCAACGCTGCGGCCGACGCATGCCCGCACCAAGGCGAGCGTCCTGAACGTGTGGCCTGCTCGTGGCCGCTCGAAGTCTGCAGAGGCGGATCTGGCCGTCGTGTCGGCGCTCGCCACGGAGCCCGACTTTGGGCCCGTCCTGACGCCCTCGCCGGGCACCGAGACGCGCACAGAGGCCGGCGGAGAGCTCATCTTCGACGACGCCACCTTCCAGGCGGTCGCCTCGGGCGCGGCCGCCGCCAAGCCCTCGTCGCGTCCTGGCTCGCTCCGCCGAGCATTCAGCTCTCGCCGCAAGCGCACCGACAGCACTGCATCAAACGCCTCGTCGTCCGGCGCGACTTCGCCGTACCCAGCAGTCGACTCGGTCGCTGGCTCGCGCGAGTCTCTCGCCTCCAGCTCTCCGCTCACAGGGTTCGCCGCACTGGTCCGGCGGCCGTCTTTCGGCTCGCTGCGTCGCTCTTGGACGATGAGCTCTGCGCGGAGCCCTGCGTCGAGCTCGGCACCGCACAGCTCTTCGCCGTCCACACTGCTGTCGGACGGTGAGCTGTCGAGCCCCACGAGCCCGGAGTGCACGAGCCCTCAGCCGCGCGAGGACCGCGAGCGGCGCCGCTCTGCGCCCGGCGAGGTCGTCACGCCCTCGACTTACCAGACATCGTCCTTCCAAAATGCCACGCTCAAGGCCTCGCGGCGCCTCTCGCTGCGCTTCCTGCACAGCTCGCGCGCCGCCGGCAGCGCTGCGCCGCTCGTCTCGGTTGCCGAGACGACGCAGGAGTACGCGCAGAGCGCCGCACACCACGACTCTGCGCCGACCACGTCGTCGCCGGCTCGGCCCGACCTGCCTCGTCGTCCGTCGACGGCTGATGGTATCCGCCGTACTTCCTAGCCAGTCACTCTCTCACTTACCTCCTCCTGTCCTTTCTCCCGGCGTCGACTTCGCTTTCACCGTGCCGTGTTCCCATCATGCATGCCCCACCGCCTCTCCGATACCCAACACCTCTCCCCTATACATCTTCTCCACGTTGCGGCTTCTGTAACAACAACAGCACCCACGGCCCCGAGAGGGGCACGCAACTTGACGCCTCGCCATCTTCCATGTGTCAGAGGAGCCGTTGGCCGCGAGACAGATGGCGGATCCGGCCCATTGGCGACGCTTCTTGCAGGGCGCTCACGCTTAGTTTGGGACGCCGAGCCACCGCCGACGACCCTTTGGGCGGCACTCTCGGTATAGCGCAAAGCGCCGATGGCCGAGCTGCGCTATTTGCGCACCTGCGATGCACGGCCTCAATGCGGCACACCCCCTGGACAGCGATGAAGGGTGTCCGCAGCCCCACACACACGTGCCCACGCCCGGTGCCGGCTGTCGCGCTCCACGCGCAAATCTCACGCACAGCAACACCAACCTCCTCGGAGCGGGAGTCAGCAGCGAGATGAATGGTGCGGAGTCGGCCTCCGAGATGAGGCTTGGGGATCGGCAGCACAGACGAGGCGAGGCTCACCCCCTGGGAGCGCGAGCAAGCACGAGCCATGCGCTGCATTTGCACCTTCTCTGCCTCTCCAGAATAGCCCACGCACACGTCACGCTGACGCAGCAGCAGCACAGCCGAGCTGCGAGTGCACCCCAGAAACATCCAGCGGATGGCTGGGCGTCACCCGGCTCTTCCCGCGGAGGAGGGACAGGTGCGACGCCCAGGGCGCAGCGGCGCGCCGCTTACTGTCGCGGCGTGCGTGCGCCGCTTCGAGGGTGTGAGTGCTCCCTCTCTCTCTCTCTGCTGCGCCGTGTTCCTGCAGCAAGAGGCGGTGAGAGTGGGGTGCACTGCCGCTGCGCCCGCAGTGTGTTGTCGTCGGCAAAACCCTGCGTTGATGAGGCAAGCACTGTACGGCTGCGGCCGGATGAGGCCGCCAGTCAGGCACCCGTCCCCGAACTAAGCGACTCGCGGCTGCGGATCGGGACGCCCTCTGCTGCGCAGGCACAAGCCAGTCACCCATCCTCTGCGCCCACCTTCGCTCATCGGACAACATGTGCCGCTCTCGACTGCTCTGCGTCTGTGCTCAGCACCACCAGCACCCGCCGCTAACCATCAACTCGCCTGTAGAGCGGCACCCTCCAACCCGCCAACCCCCTCACGCGCCTCACGCCAACACACATGCAGGTCGCCCTGTCGCTCTCACCCATGGCCGGAGGCGTGCGGCGCTTCGAGATTGGGCAGGTGCGCGCCGTGCGCTGCTCTCGGCTTGCAGAGCGGCACTGACTGCCCTCCTTCTCAGGAGGTCTGGTTCTGCATCGGCGTGAGCCTTGCCGCCGCCGTGCACTCCTCCCTCGCGCTGACAGCATGCTCGGCAGGGCTCCACCGTGCGCGGCATCGTTGAGGTGCGCCGAAGCTCTGAGGGCCGTCTGGCTGTGGCAGCCGGCTGACCGCTGCGAGCAGGGCTACCGCAGCGAGACAGTGAGCAACACGCGCTGCCGGCACTCGTTCGCATCTCGAGGTCATCAGCTCCTGCTCACGCGCTGCTGTGTTCCAGGTCGCGTGCGTCAGCCTGATCGGCGCCTTCAAGAGTGAGTCAGGCGCGCCCCAGCGAGCTGGCCCGAGGGACTGGCGACATGCTGACTGGGTGGCGGCAGTGTTTGACATCCACTTCGAGGATCTCAAGCCCGTCATGGATGACTGAGGCCGCATTCTCTCCTCCTCACCGGGTCCCCACGTCACCTGAATGTCGATACCCATCCCCGCGTCACGCACGTCGGCCATGCGCCGGGCGTTCATACGTCACTGCGCTCCGGAGCCTCTCTTTCATACCTCCTCGTCCGCGTCGCTGCCGGCAGCTCGCGATCAAGTCACGCACTGCTCGCCACTTGTCACCTTCGCTCTCGTGCCTCGACCGTCTCGCGCCAAGCAATGCAGCGGTATCTCGTCCAGACGCAGCACGCAGAGAGTGAGAGACTCTTGGATGGTGTGACATTCCCAGCGCGAGGTGGGAGAAACAACGAGCACAGAGAGCAGAGCAAAAGGTAGCAAGAGGAGGGTACACGACGGGGGGCCGATGACGGCCGATGGATGAGGTCTGGGTTTCTATGAGATGTGAGGAGCAAGTGAGCTGGAGAGAGGAGGACGCGGGTCACATGGCATAGCCATAGACGGCGTCGTCATCCTCGGGCGTCGCGGCCACGACGGCGGGAACACAGCGCGGCGCATCGAGCGCGAGTGCGTTGGAGAGCGAGAAGAGCACGGGCGACTGCAGGTCAAAGTCGAGGGCGCTGAGTGCCGTCGTCTTGCTCGGCGTTGCCTCCTCGCTCGCCAGATCGAGCCCACCGCGGTCGAGCGGCGTGAGCGGCGTGAATGGGCTGCTGCCGCTGCTCGTGGCCGAGTCGCAGCCGTAGCTGAGCTCTGAGTCGCCATAGTCTGAGATGGCGGTCTGCGTCGAGGCGCGACTGCGGCTGTCCTTCGTCTCGCCGCCAGCGCCACTGCTGCCCGACGCCGTGCGCGAGTGGGCCGCGGGACTTTGCAGCGCCGAGGAGCGCGCCGAGAAGGAGGCGTACTCGAATGCAGGCGTCAGGGGCACCTCGGGCAGCGGCGTCGACGGCGGCGGGCACGGAGGTGGGGAATGCACGCCATGTGGCGAGCGCACCGTCGTCCGACGCCGAGAGGAACCGCCAGCGGCGACTTGCGCCAGCGAGATGCTCAGCGGGTCCACGCCACGACGCGTGCGCAGCGGCAGGGGACTCGGAGAGATGGTGTCGGCCATGATCTCCAGGCTGGTGCGACCCGTGCCGACGCCGCCGGCCATGCGGTAGTTCTTGCGCAGCGCGCCCACCGAGCTGCTGCCGCGCAGCTGAGGCCGCACGGGTGCGCTGACGGGCGGCGGCGGAGGAAAGTCGAGCGCAAGCAGCTCGAGACTGTCCGTCGAGCCGATGCGCGGCACGCCGCCTGCACCGTGGTGCTGCGAGTAGACGCTGCTGCTGGCGGCGACGTCTGGAAAGGGCGCGGCGAGCTGGCTGGACCATGGTGACGCCTGTGCAGTGCGCGACGCGCGCGGTGTCGGCATGGAGGGAGCGGCGGGCTGCAGACCGCCTGCCTGATCGATGGCCGCCTCGAGGTTGCGGCCCATGACCTGGTTGCTGTTCAAGCCGAGCAACACCGAGCCTTTGACGCGTGCGCGGTCGCCCACAGACTCGGAGCGCTGGCGTCCCGAGCCGCGGCCGGCGCCGGAGCCAAAGAAGCCTCGCCGCAGGTCGTTGTTCTCGTTCTTGCGCGGCGAGCGCTTCAGTATCCGTCCCGGGCCCTTTGGCGTCGCCTCATCGCCCTCCTCCCACGACTCAAACATCGACGTGGTCGGCGCCACGGGTGCCGGCTCGGCGTCGTCGAACGGCGACGAGCGCGTCGAGCCGCTGCTGCGCGAGCTGCTGCTGGCGCCGCGGTTCTCGCTGTTGCCGAAGCTGGCCTCGCTGCGCTGCTTGCGCAGCAGGCCCGCGGCACGACGGAAGCCGGCAAAGGGCTTGCTACTGCTGCTGCTGCTACTGCTGGCCGCAGAGACAGCACTGCGCGAAGACTCGGCCATCGGCATCGGCTCGTCGAAGATGGGCATGGCAGGCATCTTGCGTGCTCGACGGAGCACGGGGATGCGCACTGGCACGTGCGCGAGATCAAGACTGGCGCTGCGTGGTAGGAGCGGCTGGGGCGGAGAGGCGGTGACTACGCGTGCCAGACTCGTGCTGTGACGGCCGAGATCGAGACTGTTGCCGCAGCTGCGGAACGACTCGGGGAGCGGAGGCCGGCGAGGCGTGCGAGTGCGCCGGAGAGGCAGCTGCTCTGGCATGGCGGCAGTGAGCAAGGAGTGGGAGAGCGAGAAGCGCGACGCTGCTGCTCACCGAGAGGCGCTCTTAAGCCTCACCCAGCTGCGACGCGGTCGGCTGGACCGCACTGCAGAGTCAAGATCAGACCCGGGCGTGTCTCGCCGGTGCCTGGCGATACGCGGCCAGGGGGCGCTTCGCGGCGCGCCAGGAAGCCTGCGTGCGCAGAGATGCAAGCAGAGCGCACAGCAAAGTAGCTGGGCGCGAGCAAAAGGCGCGTGCAGCGCGGAGAGGCTAGAGAGCGAGCTGATGGTGTGCGAAGAGAGACGAGGATGCCGGGGCGTGTCTCAGATTAACGAATGCGGCGACGACGAGAGCGAGCGAGCGAGAGGGTGGGTGAGAGGATGCAAGGAGGATGCGACGCCAGCGAGCCGGACCGAGTGCAGCAGCGAGAGTGCGTCGAGGACGGATGGGGACCGAAGGAGGGGGCGAAGAGGCACTTGGCGCTCCTATGACGGCGCCCGGCTGCCGGGCGGGCGCTATTTTCGCCGCGAGCGCGAGAACGGCATGCGCCGTGCGGTGAGGGAGCGCACAGGCGCGGCGGCGAGGGTGACGCTTGAGGGTGTGCGCCGCGCCGTGGCAGCACAGCTGCAGCCCAGCCCAGCAGCTGTTTCGGGCACCACCAGCACAGCACAGGAGCAGCACCTCCGCCTCCTCTCCCAGCCAGCTGCTGAGATCAGAGGCGCTGCTGTGCTGCATCGCGGCCGCTGCATTCTTGCGTCTGCATGCTGCGGCTTCTCTCGCACGCTGCAGAGGTGCAGCGCGCCGCAGCGAAGCACGGCGGCGGCGCTGGGTTGAGCGAGGTCCCAGCACGGCGTCAGCAGCAGCAGCACCCTGCCACGGCGGCGGTGCCGCAACCGCCGCCCGCCCGCGCCCGCCCGCCCGCCGGTGCGGCCTGCCGGACATCTCGGCGCGGCGGCCTGCCAGAGCAACACTCGGGCGTGGGCGCGTGCCGGCGTGGCTGCGGAGGTGCCGCGGCGCGCCTCGCGGGTGAGATGGCGCGAGTGACAGGCGCAGAGGGGCAGTCGAGGCAGCGCGCATGTCGGCCGTGGCGGGCGGGCGGCACACGGTGCGTGTGCCCGCCCCGTCGGCACCGCTCGCGGAGTCGCAGGCAGGGCATGTGCCGCACAGCCGCAGCACCGCAGCACCGCAGAAGCACAGCAACACGCAACACCGCTGCCGGCCTCGCCGTCGTGCTGCGTCTCTCGCTCTCATGCGCGTCCTTCTGGTGCGTGCGCCGCTGTGCCTGCGCCCGAGCGCCGCATCCCCGCTCGCCCCGCCAGATCGCCTGCCAGGATGCCAGGCGGCGCCCGCATGAGAGCAGAGGCGCAGACAAGACGCGCTCTGCCCTCTGGCCGCGCCCATGCGAGATGCGCCGGGCGCGCTGCATCGTCGCTGCGTCCTCGGCTGCGAGCCGCTGCAGCATAGCCTGCGCGATGCAAGGCATCGAGGGGCCTGCAGCGCAGATGCAGCGCCGTGGCCGGAGTGTGTGAGCGTCGGCGAGCTGATTGTCCCTCGCTCGGACAGTCGGACTGCCAGGTCCCAGCTCGGCGACAGAGGCGGAGGTCGGTGCAAGGGATCGGCGCGCGGCATGAACATGAGACGCCCACCCCTCTCTGCGCTGCTGCACGCCGAGCTCGGCGGACTCCTTCGGCGAACAGTCTTGCGAGGGACGGCATGATTGGTCTGCCTCCGACGGGAGCCTGGGCCACCTACAGCAAGGCGAGAGTGACGACCGAGAGGCAGAGGAGGCTACGGCATCGGCATGGCACATGGACGGCGTGGCGCTCCCTCTCATCCCGCTAGCGCACAATTAGGCTACCACCCCCACGTCCGGCGGCCGGCTTTGGCTAGCTCATGAACAGCAGCGGCATGTACACCCACCAGCACGAGGACAGCTCAGCCTGCTGCGGGGCACGGGCTTTCCCGAGCTCTCATGCCTGTTCCCGCGAGCGTCTCCACGTCGCATGCCAGTCGGGACGGCGGACTGTGCCCGACGCTGCCCTGACAGCCGCTCAGCCCCGTCTCGTGTGACAGCAATCCCCGGCCTGACCGTCACGTAAGCGCAGCGGTGGACAATGGGCGAGCTTGGAGCGACACGTCCCGGCGTCGACAAGTGCGGGCCGTGAGAACGTCCACGGTGAGGCCCCGCGAGTCTCATCCCTGCCGGCGGAGCGGGCCAGTTCGCCCGTGTTGGCGCAGTCTGGAGCGCTGCTGCTGCGGCGACCGTCTTGGCTGCGAATCTGAATGTCACACGCGGAGATCGTCGCAGGCCCTGCTCTGGTGCTGGTGCCGGCGCTGCACAGGGTGCCACGCCGCGCAAGAATCCGGCTGCGCGGCATACGCGGCGCACGCGGCGCGGAGGCGGAGTCTGGTGCGGCAAGGCAAAGGCCCCGGCGTCGGCCAGCCTGCTCGCGGACGTCGGGGTGCTCTGCTGCTGCAAGTGGGCGGTGATTGCGCCTCCTGCGGCCTCGAGCGCTGGTGCTGCATCGCTGCACAGCTCGGCTGCGAGAGAAGGAGACGGCGGAGCTCTGCGCCCGCTTTGGTGTTGCGCCCTCGCAGCGGTCCCCAGCTCAGCGACCGCGCGATGCCGGGTACGCCGAGCGCCCGACGATTGTCCCAGCGCAGTTGGCGAGGCGGACGGCATGAGCACGCCCAGCACGTCGAGCAAGGCTCTCTGGGGGCGCGCACCGCCGCTTGACGCTGCCTCAACGGATGGGAACGTACCCGTCCACCTGTCCGCCTGCCGCTGTGCCGACGCCGAGGCCCCCTGCCGACGGGAAGCCGCTGACCGACTCTCCGCTCGCACCACTGCCCATCGCGACCGCTGCGGATCTCCGCGTGTCGGGCGCCGACCGCTGCCAACCAAACGAGCTCTGCAAGACCCAGCATTGCTCAGTGCTGACATTTCTTGTCATCAGCAAGCCGGAGGCCGAGGAGAGCGGGTCTTGTCCTGTCATCAGCCCGACGTCTCGTCCGTCAGGCACGTCGTCGTGAAGCAAGCTTGGACCGCTCGCTGCGGTGCAGCCGGTCGTTGCTCCTCGTTCTACCCGTCCGTCGACGTCGTCTCATGCGCGCGCCTCGAGCGCGGGCGTCGCGGCTTTCCTGCAACCCGACGATCCCACACGCAGGCACGCACTTGCTCAGCTGCTTTTGCCCGGGAAGATGTATTGCGGAAGAAGGGACGACGCTCGGGCTCACGGGTGATGCTACAGGTAGTGTGTGTGGGGGAACAGAGACGACGGCGCGGAGCGCTCGGGCCCACGCAGGGCTTAAGCGCCGCCACACGGGGAGATGGGACGCGGTGGAAACGGTCGGGCCTCACGCTGCGTGCAGGGCGCGGAGGGATGGCTAAGAAGGGAGAAGGAAGAGCGGAAAAGGGAGGGACTGAGTTCGCATCGTGGGCGCCTGACAACTCGACGACGAGGAGGCGCGCTGCTGCAGTCGCGTCGAGACGTTTAGTACACGCGAGGCCCGAGGTTGACCTCGTGGAACGCGGTGCGGCCGTGGTTGAAGCGCAGGAAGGCGCGCGCCACCACCTCGAGCTCCTCGCCCTCGCCGTCGTTGCTCCACGAGCGGCCGTGGCCGCGCTTGCTGGGGCTTGGCGGCGACGTCGGGCCCAGTGCCGGGCTGGGCGGTGCACGCTGCGTCGAGAGGACGAGGGCAATGGACATGCCGTCCAGATCCTCCTCGTCAAACAGCCCATCCGGCGGCATGCCCGACACCTCGAAGGTCCGCTCGTTGAAGCTGAGCCACTCGGAGAGCATGGCGGGCCACTGGCCGTGGAACTGCGGCATCGACTCGTCGAGCACGATGAGGTGGTACGTCTGGCGCCGCGAGCCGGAGCGCTTGCCGGGCGAGTCGGGCGCGCCGCGCAGCGCCGGCGGCGGATTGGGGTGCATGGTGAACAGCGTGTGGCGGCGCGGCGAGACCTCGACGAGCTGCGGCTGGTGCACGCGGTGCGACGAGGTGCGGATCGAGGCGGGCCGCGGCGTCGGGGCGACACCGAAGGGAGCGTCGAAGGGCGACGGCGTTGGTGGAGGTGACGCCGACGGGTTCACGGCGCGCATCGTCGGCGCGTGGTCCGGGAACGTCAGGTGCGGCTGCAGTGCGCGAAAGTCCTGCGTCATGTTGCTCATGGCACTCTCGCGGTTCGGCGCGCGGCCCGTGTGGCCGTACGTGCCCTCGTCGTGGCCGTTGAGCGTGCCTTCCTCGTCCTCGGCATCCTCAAATGCAGCGTTGGCATCCATGGGATCGACGGAGCCACTGACGGCGCGCGCAAAGGTGCTCGACGGCTGCCGCAGGTCGACGCGCCGCGCCTGGCTGATCTCGACGGCCTCCATCTGGTCGGCGTCGCCCGTGCCCTGGCTGTCCTCGAAGGTGTCCGCCTCGTGGTCGGTGCTGTGGCCGTCGCCGCTGACGCTCGTCGTGGCAAAGGCAGCGGGCGAAGGGCCAGTCTGGAAGCCGCCGGTGGAGAAGAGCGGGCTGGCGTTGATGTGGCTGTTGCGGTGACGCATCGGCGTCGAGCGCTTCGCCGTCTCCGTGCCGCCGCGCCGCGTCGGCTGCTCGTACCACATGTCGTCCTCCCAGCTGGCTGGCCGCGCCATGCCCGTGCCGTTGCCGCCTGACCGCGTGCTCAGGCCCGAATGCCGCGAGCGCGAGTGCCGTGCGCTCGAGGACGGCGAAGAGGCATACGCATCGTCGCCCGTGTTGAGGCCGAGGCCCTGCGTCGCGCTCGTCGTCACGGCAATGGCACTGTTGAGCGCCGCCTCGCGCGCCAGGCTCTTGTTCGACGCTGCCGCCGCACGCTTCTTCTTGCCCCACGGCATGGCGCCCATGATGGAGTGCTGCACGGCGCGTTCCGGCGAGGCGCGCTGCTCGTTGGCGCGCGACACGGCCTCGGCCGCGGCAAAGGCCGTGTAGGCGTCGTTCATCGCCGGCGAGGTGCGTCCGTCGGCGACGTGGTGGTCGACAAAGTCGGCCGGCATGCCGTCCCACGCCACGCTGCTCTTGTTGCCCGCCGCGGCAGACTTGGGGTCCAGCCATGGGCTGCCGCCCGTGAGGGTCGAGGGCGTGTGTCCGCTGTCGCTGCCCTTCTTCTTGCCCCACGCCGCCGCCGCAAAGCGCGGCGACTTCTCGTCGTGCAGCGTGCGCTCCTCGTCGTAGGCATCGTCGGCCATGACGCCGCTCGTGTCGTGCGACTCGACGGCGCAGCAGCGGCGGCAGATGACCATGAGGATGATAAGGCCCACCAGCCCGCCCGCCGCGCCCAGACTGGCAATGAGCGCCAGCTTGCCGCGAGACGAGAGCCCGCCGGCGGGCTTGTCGCCGTCGGCAGCGGCGCCAGAGTCGCCAGCCGGCGGCGTGTCGCCGTTGGCGGCGAGGAAGAAGGTGGCGCTGCTGGTGCGATCACTGTCGCCGCCGTTGGTCGCCACAAGCGAGACCTTGACGCGGTCGTCGGACGCCTCGGCCGGCGGCTTGCCGGCAAGCAGGTGCGTCTCGTCGTCGTCGAGGCTGAGCCACGCCGATGCGCTCGGCGGGTCGTACGTGATGTTGAGCTTCGACACGGCCGGGTTGCGCAGCAGGCCGGCGAGCGACTGGTTGAACATGTGGCCCGGCTCGATGAAGATGTTGGGCAGCGTCTCGACGTTGAACGCCGACGGATACACGGCCAGCGTCAGGTTGGCGGGCAGCGAGTTGTTGTGCGTGTCGTGGAAGGTGAGCGGCACAAAGAGGCTCTGCGGCTGCGAGGGATCGCCCTGCGCGGCGTCAAACGGCACCTTGCCCGAGACGGTGTTCGTCTCGGCGTCGTACGCCAGCCAGCTGTACTGCGAGGCCTCGACGTGCGTCGTGATCGTGTTGCTCTCGGGCGACTGGCGTCCGTCGAGCTGCAGGCCCGTCGTGGGGATGCGGTAGCGGAAGTTGTCGCCGGCGGTAATGTTGACGGCGCGCAGCGGGCCGCCGAGCGTCAGTTCGTGCGAGCTGACGACGACGGTCATGGAGCTCGAGACGCCGCCGTAGCCGCGGCGGTTCGAGCCCGTGAGCACGAAGTCGAACTGCTCGCCTTCTGGGCCAGGAGACGTGGGCGCGACGCCCCACAGCGTGTAGCTGTTGGCGTCCCACGTCATCCACGACGGCAGCGCACGGTTGCCCGCCAGCTGCGCCGTCCAGTACACGTTGTCGCCGTGGGGCTGCGTGAACGTGTCGCCGGCAAAGCCGATGCTGAAGGACCAGCCGAGCGGCAGGTGCAGCTGGTTGCCCGGCAGGATGTTCTTGATGCCCAGCGAGCTCGCCTCGGGCAGCTGCTCGGCGATGGGCTTGTGCAGCACGGGCGCTGCCTGCGAGAGGACGAGGAGGTTGAACGCTGCAGAAGCCGCCGAGCCTGGCTCGGATGCTTCGACCGTGATGCGCGCCTGACTCTCATCGCTCTCGGCCGGACTGCCGCTGAATGTCCTGGACGCCTCGTCAAAGTGTGCCCACTGCGGCAGCCCCTGCACCGCGTACGAGATGGCGGCGCCCACGTCGGACGCAAAAGTGGCGTCCGAGAAGGCCCAGGTGTACGGCTGCCCGACGTGCGCTATTTGCGGCAGCTGCGCCATGAGTGGCTGCGCCACGGTCACTGCTGCATCTGCCGCGGGGCTGAGGGCCAGCGCTGCGAGCGCGAGCGCTGCTGCGAAGCGCATGCTTCGTCTTGGCGTCATCGTGAGACTCGAGAGAGGACGAGACGCGCTCTGTGTGGTCCTCCGTCAGACGCTGTGCCCTTTCGCTCACCGCGACTGCACTCACTTTGGCCGGATGCCGGATCTAGAGAGACAGAGCGCGTGCCAGAGAGGCAGCAGCGCGATGCGCGAGCTTGGCCGGCAAGGGAGAAGGGAGGCGACACGAGAGAGTGAGAGTGAGAAAGGCCGTGAATACAGCAGCGAGGCGCAGGCAAGAAAGAGTGTGAGGCGACGGCCGAGGAGACGCGAGAGAGAGAGAGAGAGAGAGAGAGAGAAAAAAGAGAGCGTGGGTGTCGGAGAGTGCGGCACGAGACGAGAGAGTGTGTGATGAGCCGAGGCCTAGCGCTGACGAAGGGGACAGAGGCGGGAGAGAGGAGAAGGGGAGAACACAGGCTGGAGATGGTGATGGTGAGAGCGAGAGAGAGACAGAGAGGAGCGCGAGGATCAGCAGCGAGGCGCCGGCCAGCGCCAGCGGTCCAGCGGCGGGCAGCTCGGGTGGACAAGCTTTCTCGCTCTGACAGCATGCAGACGAGGCAGATGCCGGCCTCGGAGCGGGCGCCACAGCAGCTGCGGGCCGGCCGGTGTGCGCAGCCGAGCTGCGTGCGCCGTCGAGCGGCAGATCTGGCGGCGAGAGGGGCCAGCACGCAGCATGGCCTCGAGTCGGGGCAGCCGCTGCTCTGGGCCGGCTGGCTGCTTGGGTGCTTGGGTGCTGAGGTGCGCGACGCCGCCCTTTGCTGCCGCCGAGCGAGGGTGCAGCAGCATCGGGCATTTGCACACCTGCCGCACCGGGCGGGTGGAGGAGAAGCAGAGGCGGAGAGCAGGCAGCCGCAGAGAGGGCGAGGGATCGGCGTGGCGCGCGCGCGTGCAGCGTCCATGCACCTCGCTGCGCGCCAGACGCTGCCCCTGGCAGGCGCGCCGGGCGTCGGGCCCACGAGGGCGGGCGCGGGCGCGGGCAGCTGCTCCTGCTCCTCCATCTCGGGCCCGCACCTGCCTCTCTCGGCAGCGACGCTCCTGCTCCCACGCCTCGTCGCCGGCGGCACTCCGCTCGGCAAGCAGCGTGACCGCCGGTGCCGCCCGCAGCTGACCTGCCCTATGCGTGCGGCCCAGAAGACCGAGAAAGGACGCAACGGGCACACGCTACCGCCTCGCACGGCAGCTGCGGCGCGCAGGGCTCGGACGAGGACCTCGCCGTCGTCTGCGTGCTGAGGCTGTGTGCTGAGCGTCTGCCTCGATGCTGGTGCTGGCTCTTGGAGCTGGCGCGCGCCCAGCGCTTGTCAGGCCAGGAGGCTCGACGCCAGCCTGTCGCCGCGTGCCGCGTGAGGTGTGATCTGCGCGGGTGCCGCACGCCTCGCCCTGGAGCCGTCACGATGCGGCGTGAGCGGACCAAGAGGATGCGGGGATGGCCGCTTGCCGACGACGCCGCGAAGAGCGCTGGAGGAGGCGACAGCGATGCGTGCCTGCGTGTGGCGCCGACGGTGTGGCGCGCTGCAGACGCACGGGGCGCCAGATGCAGCCGCGACCCCTTGCCGCGCGCGCGCGGCGGGCGGAGGCGACGCGGCGCAGCCAACACCTCGACGCGTCGACATCGCCGGGAAAAGACGCGTCGCTGCACCCTTGGACAGCGCAGCGCTCGCCAGCACCTCCGCTTGAAGAGGGGCGGAGCAGCACACATGTGATGGCGCAGCGGATGCAGCAGCACACAGAACGACGTCGCACGACCATTCTGCGCCTTCGCAGCATGCAGGACCATCGTTGGCTCTTGGCTCCGGCACAACGCACCGCCCCGGGCGCAGCGGTAGCTAAATCAATGATTGGACTCGTGAACCGATGCAGAGAGTGAGAGTGAGGCAACAGATGAAGTGTGGAGGGGAAGCAAGATGTCTAGTGGGGGCCCGGAGAGCAATCGACGCTCATCGTCGCTGCCGCTTCGCCGCCCGCATGGCCTTCTTGCTCAGCGGGTTCTCCTCCTTGGCATCCGCCTCTGCCACCGCCTTAGCCAGGGCGTTCTTCGGCGCAGCCGGCGCCGCACGCTTCCGTGCCGCGAGCGGCTCGTCGGCAATGCGCGCCGTCTTCTTCGGCGCGGCCACGGCTGTCGCCTTCGGAGGCGCACGCAGCATCGCCTTGGCCGCCGCGGCGGCGGGAGAGGGACGCTTCTTGGATGCGGCGGCGGCAGAGGCGCCCTTGGAGGGCTTCTTGAGGATCGACCGTGGCTTGGCAACGACGGGCTCGGGGACGACTTCCTCCGCCTCCTCGTCTTCCTCGTCCTCCTCGTCCTCACCCGCCTCGTCCGACTCCCACTCATTCTCCTCGTCCTCGTCAAGGTCCTCCATCTCCTCGTCTTCGTCGTCGTCCTCCTCCTCATCCTCCTCATCCTCCTCCACGACGACTTCCCGCACCTTGCTGAGCGCCACACGCTCGTCCAGCAGGCTCTGTCCCATCGAGCGCAGGCGCACTTCACGGCCCTCGAAGCGCTTGCGCCACTCTTTCCGCGGCTGCATGGCGCCGCCGAGCGTCTGCGCCAGCTGTGCCTTGGCCGCCTTGACGTCGGCCTCGCTTGCGGGCGCGCCTTGTGCGGGCGCCGCAGTGTAGTAGCCCAACGCTCCGCTCGACCAGTCGCGCAGCAGGATGCGCGAGGCGGCAATCGTATCCGGAATGTCGCCCTGCGGCGTATACATCAGCGGCGTGCACGGCAAACGTCTTTGCGTCGCGGCCCTCCGACTGCGCCAGCACTCACCTTCTTGTTGCGCCCCCTCGCGCGCGCCAGGCCAATCAGGAACTCCTCTGCGTCCTTGGCGGCCTTTTCGCTCAGCGCGCGGTCTTCAAAGCCATCGACGTGCTTGCTGGGCACAAAGGAGCCAAAGGCAGGCACGTTGTATGCCAGCATCAGGTCCGTCGGGCTGATGACGCGGCGGACGAGGGCGTACACTGCGTACCCTGAGTCAGCAAGGCCGCTGTGGTCTTGCTGCAGAGCTGCAACTCACCCAAAGGCAATGGCTCCTTGATGCGCTCCACGGCGCCTTGGTTGCGCATCAGGATGCGCATGGCCGCGCGTTCATCGCGTGCCCGCTCGCGCTCCAGCTCGGCCTCTCCATCCTCCTCAGCCTCGTGTGCTGCATCCTCTGCATCCTCCGCCGCCTCAACCTCCGCCTGCTCTGCGGCACTGAGGTGCGCCGCACGCGCAGTGGCCGCGACCAATGGCGGAGAGTCGTACACTGTCGTGGCGGCGTGCGCTGCGTCGGAGGCTGCGACACTCAGAGAGGCGGCCAGGAGCTTGGCAAGCGTCGTGCGGCCGGACTGGCGGCACAGCGTCAGCTTGAGTGCATCAAGCTTCCGTGCGCGACGCCCACTCACGTGCTCCATGCCCACCACCACGACGGCATTCTTGATGTCTGCATCCTCCTCCTCGCCCTCTGCCTCCTCCGCCTCGACAGCAGCAGGCGGCGCCCTCTCGGCGGCCGGCACGAGCGACATGAGGAGCTCGATGAGCGGCTCGCTGCCCTTGCTCTCGCCCGCTGGCGGGCTGGCAATGGGGAAGACGGGGAAGCCCGAAGATGCGGCAATCGACGCTTGCCATGCTGCGAGCGTCTCGAGCGGCACGAGGTCTGGCACACAGCGTTCGTCAGGACACTGGGGCGGGGCGGGGCGCATTGTGGCTGCAACTCACCGGCACGGGTGAGGGCAATGATCTTCTGCGCATCCACCTGCTCCTCCTCGAGCAGCGGCGTGCGCCATCCAATCGGATCTCTCGCATCCACCGCAAACACAATGGCGCGCAGACGCGGCTCGGCGGCCGGCTGCGTGGCGGCGTAGAGGTCCGCGAGTGTGCCACGAAAGGTGAGCGGCACGGCGGGCTCGGCAAGCGCGCCGGACTGCGCCAGCAAGGCGGCAATCGACGCCTCGCCTCCCTCGCCCGCATCGTCCTCGTCGCCCACTGCGGCGACCTCGTCGGCTGCCTCGGCGTCCTCGTCGTCGCTCTCTGCTGCCGGCAGTGCGCCAGTCTTGCGCGCCGCCTTCTGCGCTCTGCGTTCCTCCTCGGCCTGCCACAGTGAACCTCAGCCTCTGCACAGCAGCCGCCATCAGCCACTTTGACTCACGCGATTCCGCTTCTCCTCAATCTCCTGCAGCAGCTGCTCCTTGAAGGGGTAGGAGTTGGGGATGCCCGGGTCGACGCGCTTCTTGCTCTTCCACGTCACGTCCTTCTTGGCGGCGCGGCGCGCCTTGCGGTGGTGCTCCGAGACCTTCTTCTTGATCTTCTCGCGCTGCTTCGTCGACGTGCGCTTCGACGCGCGCTTCGGCGGCTTGACCATGGTGTGTGTGTGTGGGTGCGAGAGGGGGTGGTGGGGTGAGGCGGAGCAGAGGTGAGAGGCGCCTCGAGGGTGCAGCCCAGCGGCGAGAGCTCCGCACACTGCTCCAGTGCCCGCGGCTTCTTCTCGCGCGCGGCCGCCCGCTCGAAAAATCTGGCGCGCCGCGCGTCACGTGCGCGCCGCCCTCTGGCCGGGCCGCCGGCCGCCGCTCAGGCTCTGGCTCCTCATCACGCTGCTGTCGCTGTGGAAGCAAGGACTGGAGTATGCTCTCAGAGTTCGACTGCCGCAGTTCCACGTTTTCTGCAGCCCAAGAGAGGCGTGGCCCTCGCAGCGCACGAGCCGAGCGTCAGAGATGCCGGTGCACGACGCGCGCGGCGCGCGTGAAGCTCTGTGCGGCTCGGAGGGGGGCAAGCTCGTCTGACCTTGCAGCTTCAGCTCGTCGCTCACTTTCAGCGTCAGCCTTCTGCGTGGGCCGAGCTGCGAGCGTTGACGAAGCTCCGGCGCACCGGGTGCGTCCCAGCCACAGAGAAGCGCCCGGATAAACTCCAGACTGCGAGGCTGTGCGCGCGGGTCGCCCGTCCACGATGACGCGCCGAAGGGCTGCAACGCCCTCAGTGCAGGCCCGGCAGCCGGGCCCTGCAGGCGAAAAGCGGCAGAAGGGATGCGGCGAAGGGCGTGAGGGTGCCGCGGAATGCGGCTCTCAACACCCACGATGATGCGGAGGGTGCAAGGAAGCCCGCGGCCGCGACGGCGGAGCGAAGCAGCGTGTGCGCGGTGACCCTTCACGCGCGCCCTCTCGCAGCTTGTTCTCACGCCTGCTCCACATCCACATGCGTCTCGCCGCTGCCGCCGATGCGCCACGCTGGCCTTGCCCGGTGCTGCTGTGAGCCTTGGCGAAGCACGCGTCTGTCTGCTGTCTGCTGAGAGAGCTCGGGCTGCGCAGAGGCGCTGCTTCTGAGGTGAGTGGACGAGCCCGTCGGTGCGGGTGGGGCGAGGTGCTCGGCAGACGCTGCCGCAAGCCACGAGGCGCGCGGCGGCGGCGCTGCTGGCCGCGCGCGGCGTTCTGCCAGGCACGAGGCACGCCGCCTGCGCCCACACGGCGGGCGTGCGCGTCATCGCTGCGCGCACTGGGCTGTGCCACGCCACGCCCGAGGGAGCGGCCGCCGGCGGCCACGCCTGCTGCGCCTGCTGCCCTGCGGCGGAGCGCAGCGCTGTGTGAGCAGCAGCGGGAGCGCCTCCTGAGCAGCACCGCTCCCGCTTCTCTTGCTGCTCAGCTCCACCACCTCGCCGCCATCCGGACCTCTCTCGCTCCGGACCTCTCTCACGCTCGCCCGCACGCACCCGCGCCGCATCTCTGCTGCTCGCCGCGCACGTCCCGCCCGCTGTCGCGCGTTCGCCGGCTCGCTTGCCTCCCTCCACCACACCGCACCGCACCGCATCGCCAAGCGCTGCGACTTTGTCTCGTCGCGCCCTCGTACCGCCGCCCGCACGTTGTACGCGGATCCGCCTTCCGAACCACGACCTCCTCTGCTCGCTCGTCGCGACTAGCTCCACGTCCCATAGCCCCGGTGTAGCCGCACCCCCACAGGGCCGCCTTACATGCCTCGTGCGTGCCGTCTCGGCCACTTCTGCTTGCGCCGCAGCTGACGTCCCTCTCCCTCGCGCTGCAGTGCGCAATCAGGAAGATGCGTCAGTCATGCCGCAGCGCAGGCAGCATGTGCGCAGACGCAGCGGCTCACGCCACGCTCCCTTTCTCTCCCCTCCACAGCGACAGTCCTGCGGTGAACGCGTCGTCCTCGCAGACCACGACTGCCGACGGCAAGGACACGCATGGCGTGCGTTCCTGCTCTCACTTCTCCCGACACACGCAGAGGCGCTCACTCTCTCTGCCTGCCGCCAGATCGTGAACCAGCACCCCGCCGCGGCACACCACGGCACGGCGCCGTTCCGCGTGGGCGTGTCCGAGGACCGCAACAAGCGCTGGCGGCGCACGATGGAGGACTCGCACGCCTTTGTGTACGATTTTGGCGGCGTGCCCGGCCAGGGCTTCTTTGGCGTGTTTGACGGCCATGCGGGCAAGCATTCGGCGGAGTGGTGCGGGCAGCACTTTCACGAGGTGAGTCGCGGCGAGCGCGACGCACGCAGCAGGCGGCGCTGAGGCGCACATGCGGGCAGTACCTCCTGGACACGCTGGCCTCCAACAGCAGCAAGACGGTGCCCGACGTCTTCAACCTCACCTTCCACGCCGTCGATGAGCGTCTGAGTGAGCTTGCAGACAAGGAGGGCACCTCGTCGGGCTGCACGGCCGTCACTGTCTTTCTGCGTCTCGAAGACGAGAATGGCCGTCCAGTGCAGCATGCCCAGAGCGGTGGTGTGCGTCCGAAGCAGGGCGCTGCCGACTCGGCGCCCGCTGGAGAGACACCGGCCAGCCCGAAGAAGGAGGACGAGTCAAAGGGCGGCCTGTTGGGCTGGGCGCGGCGCATGAGACACCCGAGCTCGGGCAGCGGCGAGGGAGAGGCGGCAGCTGCCTCGGCTGCTGCTGCGGCGACGTCAAATGAGCCGCCTGCAACTGCGGCCGAGTCGAAGACACCGGCGGAGGACAAGACGCAGGAGCAGCAGCAGCAACAGCAGCCTTCGAGCAAGAGCGCAGAGCCAGAGCAGGCAAGCAAGTCGAGCACGGCGGCGGCCAGACGGGTGCTGTACACTGCAAATGTGGGCGATGCGCGAGCGGTGCTCTGGTGAGTTCCCCAGCGTCTCACTCTCACTGGCAGCGCGCCGCTGACGCGAAGGTGCCCCGACCCCCCCGCCCCTCCCTTCTCCTAGCCGCGGCGGAAAGGCAGTGCGTCTCACGTACGACCACAAAGGCTCGGACGCGCAAGAGGCCAAGCGCATCACGGACGCCGGAGGCTTTGTGATGAACAATCGTGTCAATGGTGAGTGGACTTGCGCGCAGAAGACAGACGGCCGCGCTCTGTGGGCGATCTCTGACGCTTCGACTTCGCGCGCAGGCGTGCTGGCCGTGACGCGCTCGCTCGGAGATGCGGCCATGAAGGAGTTTGTCGTTGGCTCGCCCTATACCACCGAGACGAGCCTGAGTGAAGACGACACGCTGCTCATTGTGGCATGCGATGGGGTGAGCAGTTGATCGCGCAGACGCGCAACACTCGTGCAGCGCAGCCGCTGATCCCGCTCTTCGTTGCGCCCCAGCTGTGGGACGTCGTCGATGATCAGGACGCGGTCGATCTCGTCGCCAACGTTGAGGATCCGCAAGAGGCATCCGAGATGCTGCTGCAGCATGCGCTCAGGTGAGGCGGCCCTCTTCCGCCCTCTTCCCCCAACCTGTGTACTCACGCTGCGCCCACCAGCAACTTCTCGACGGACAATCTGAGCGTGCTCGTCATCCGCATGCCCACGTCCAACGCGGCGGCCGTGGACGCGCAGCCGGCGCCCGGCGAGAAGGCCGGCGACTCGCAGGGCGTGGCGCAGAGCACGGGCGAGAAGTTCGAGCACCAGGCGTAGCCGTGAGGCCGCATGAGATGCACGACGGGACAGAGGGAGAGAGCAAAGGCGAAGGACGACAGGCCTTGAAAGGCGACCGCGATGGGCAGACGACGTCGAACCCACACATCTTGCCGACGCAATGCATTCCTGGCACCTTGTGCCCCGGTCGGAAGGTTGATGAGCAGGATCCTGCGGAGTCATGCGACGAAGAGGAGAGGCCGGCCGAGTCATGCGCGCGCCTCGGGTTGCGGGCGCGGGCGCAGCGGCGCGCCGGCGCCGCGCTAAGAGATCGCATCGCGGCTGGCGCCGACATGCGATAAGATGGCGCGGCGCCGCGCCGCGCACGGCGCTCCTCGCTGCTTCGCCGCACCGCGGCTTCTTCCTTCGCCTCCACCACGCCGACGTTCCGGGTGCAGCAAGCAAGCGCACCTCTTCACTCCGCCGCCGCATGGTCTACGCCGCACCGCCGCCACCGGCGGGCGAGGCGGGCTCCGCAGCCGCCTCGGCTGTGCAGCCGTACGTCGATGCGCTGGGCGCGTATGCCACGTCGCCCACGCCCGCCTACGGCCTCGCCGCTCTCTGTGCGTGTGGGCCTGTCTCCACATGCGCCCACTCTCCCCCAGCTCACGCACACGCCGCCGCACACACAGTCGCAGCCGTGGCGCCCTTCTCCTTCGTGTCGGGCCGTGCGCCGCTCGCAGCGGCAGGCGTGCCCTCCGCCTCGGCCGTCGCCTCGTCGGCCGCACTCAGTGCCGCCGCGCCGCGCGTCCTGCCGCCCTTCTGGCAGCTCGCCGGCTTTGCGGCCTTCTTTGCCGGCGGCGGATACATGATCGAGCAGGGCGACGCGCTCAACGGCGCAGGCACCGTCACGGGTGAGTTGTGCTCCAGCTGGACAAACGGGGTTGGTACGCGGAGCGTAGCGTGTGCACAGCGCCTGGCGAAAAGGTCGAGCAGGCATGGCCGCCGGGCATGAGGCGCCGCATGAAGTTGTCTGCACTGCCGGCACGGTCCGCATCGTCAGCCGCAGGAGCTGACATGCAGTCTCCCTTGCTCCTTCGCAGCCTGGTCGCTGACGTATCTCTTCTTCCACGCCTCGTCGACGCTGCGCGCGCCCACGCCCGCCAATCTCGCGCTGCTAGCTTCTGCCGCCACCGTCGGCGCAGGCGTGCACGGCGCCCACTACTTCAGCCAGTCCAACTGGCTCTCCGGCTCGTCTGCCTCGACGGCGCACACGGGGCAGCAGACGCTGCAGGCGTGCTGTGCGCTCGGCCTCGTCGGCGTGGGCGCCGCGTCGGGCCGGCGGGGCGGCGGTGGCGCCAAGGGCATCCTTTCGCGTCTCTCTCGCCCGTTCGGCAGCTCTGCCTCTCGCAGCTTCGCCACGTCGGCAGCGGCGGGCGCCGCGAGCAAAGCACAGCGCTTCGTCACGCCGCTCGACGCCTCGCACCTGCCGCGCGGCTTTGCCGTGGCAGGCACGTACGCCGGCGTCAAGGCGGCCATCTCGCCCGTGCCCACGCCGCCGGGCGGCAGCAAGAAGGGTGCGGCGCCCAAGCCTGACCTGGCGCTCATTGTCTCGGCCACGCCTGCGGCTGCGGCTGGCTGCTTCACGCGCAACGCATTCAAGGCCGCGCCCGTCGTGCTCTCCAGCGACGTGCTGCTGCGCGGCGCCGCGTCGTCCGCAGGAGCGCGCGCAAGCAGCATCCTCGTCAACAGCGGCTGTGCCAATGCTGTGACGGGCGAGAAGGGCATGTCGGATGCGCGCCGCTGTGTCGAGCTGGTCGGCGAGCTGCTGCCCAAGCAGGCCTCAGGCGGCGCTTCGGACACGCTGCTCCTCTCGACGGGCGTGATTGGCGTGCCGCTGCCCATGCCCGTCATCGAGCGCTGCCTGCCGCACCTGGCCAGCGGCAATGTGCTGCGCAACGATGAGGAGGCGTGGATGGAGACGGCGCGCGCCTTCATGACCACCGACACGTTCCCCAAGCTGCGCGCGCGCAGCTTTGAACTGGCGGGCCGCAAGGTGGGCATGGTGGGCATCGACAAGGTGCGTGAGGGTTCGGGCCAGAGTTGCCGCGCCGGCGTGCCCTGCCTTTGTTTAGCTGACCACCGCTGTCTGCAGGGCGCAGGCATGATCCACCCGTCCATGGCCGGCCCCGTGGCCAGTGCGCCACGGACGCTGCATGCCACGCTGCTCGGCCTCGTGTGCACCGACGCGCCCATTGCGCCGGCGTCGCTGCAGGCGGCGCTGGAGCATGCCATGTCGCGCTCCTTCAACTGCATCAGCGTCGACGGCGACATGTCGACCAACGACACCATCCTGGCGCTGGCCAACGGCGCCGCGCCGGCGCTCGAGGGACAGCAGGCACTGCCGCAGGGAGAGGAGATCAGCAAGGAGAGCCACCCGGAGGAGTACGCCGTGTTTGTGGCGCAGCTCACGAGCTTCTGTGAGGAGCTGGCGCACCTCATTGTGCGCGACGGCGAGGGCGCCGAGAAGTTCGTCGAGATCAAGGTCAAGGTGCGTTTGCATGTTGCAAGCCAAGCAGTCACTGCGCCTTTGGCATTTGCTGACGCACACTCCGCACACACAGAATGCACCGACGTACGAGCACGCGCACGCCATTGCCTCGTCCATCTCCACCTCTGCGCTCGTCAAGTGCGCGCTGCACGGCGGCGATGCCAACTGGGGGCGCATTCTCTGTGCCGTCGGCTATGCGCCGCTGCCCGTAGGCAGTGCGTGGCAGATTGAGCCGTCGCGCGTCACCGTCTCCTTCTCGCCGCCTGCGGGCGTCGAGGGCGAGACGCTGGTGGTGCTGAAGAACGGCGCGCCGCAGCCGGTGGACGAGGAGCAGGCGGCCAAGCTGCTCGCGCACGAGGACATTGCCATTGAGGTCGACCTGCAGGGCGGCAGTGCGGGGCAGCAGGGCTGCACGCACGAGGCAAAGTACTGGACGTGCGACTTTAGCAAGGAGTACATCTCGGTGAGTGGCGCACGAGGCACGAAGGTTGCACGCGGGCGCATGGCTCACCCGCTGCGACGCCAGATCAACGGCGACTACCGCTCGTGATGCACGCGCTGCGCGCTGCAGCTGTGCACGTCGCTCGCAATTGAATGAACAAGATGACATCTCGCTGCTGACTGCTGCAGGAGGAGCGCCCTGCGGGGGTGCGAGTAAGGGCGCGGCGAGGGCGGCCGGCGCGACGCTGGAACATTCGCGCGCGTGCCGCTGCGCCTCCACTGCGCGCCCCGGCGCCGGCCGGGCCTTGCTGCCTCCTGCTGCTTCCTCTCTCTCTCTCTCTCTCTCTTCCATCCCCCCTGCCCGAGCGTCGCCAGCTGCCTCAGTGCGCCGTGCTCTCACCCTGTCTCCGATGCGCCTGCCGCTGGCGCGTGCGCCTCTCCGCTCTCCCTCTCGCGCCGCGCTCGTCGCCCCCGCGCCGCGTGCCTTTGCCTCTTCTTCGCGCGCCGCCGCCCCGGCCTCCTCCTCTTCCTCGGGCAGCGCCGCGCCCAGCAGTGCCGCCGCCGACGCCGCGCGCGCCCGCAAGCGCGCCCAGACCAAGCAGCGCGAGTGGGCCCTCGTGGGTGCATCGGGCGTCTTTGCCGCCACCGGTGCCTGGTATCTCTTCTCCGACGGCAGCAGCGGCAGCAGCAAGGCCGCCGCTCCAGCGTCCTCCAGCGGCAGCCGCAGCAGTGCAGCCACGGCTGCACCCGTGTCCTTCGAGATCACCGTGCGGGGGCCAAGCGGCGCGCACTCGCGCACCATCACCGCCCTCACGCAGCGCGATGCCGATGCGCGCCTCAAGACGCACGAGACGAGCACGACGGTGGGGCGCGCCGCGTGCGTCGTCAGCCGCTACGACACCAACGGCGTCGCGTCCAACGAGCCCATCGAGGACCGCCACGCGGAGGCCGTCGTGATGCGCGATGCGGAGCTGGCGGGCGCAGACAGCAAGGGCGACCTGGCCTTCTTTGCCGTCATGGATGGCCACGCCGGCTGGGCGACGAGCGAGCTGCTGAAGCACCAGGTGAGTGCGGTGCGCTCCGCTGGGGGGCAGGCATGCAGGCTCTGTCCAGCGTCTCTCGTTCGCACTGGCTCACTCCTTCGCGCGCCCAGCTCATCCCCTCCGTCGCGGCCGAGCTGGACGCCGTCTTCCGCGCCTCGGGCGAGTACGCGGCGCTGGCGCAGAGCAAGGCCGCGCTGCCCGCCAAGGCCTGGCGTGCGCTCTTTGGCGCGCCCAGTGGCGCACCTACGGACCGTCTCGAGGCAGACCCGGCCGTCGTGGCGCGTGCGCTCTCCAAGGCCTTTGTCGCGCTCGACTCGAGCATCACGGAGACGCCCGTGGCGCTGATGAAGCAGTACGAGGCGGCGCGCATTGCTGCCACTGCCTCGGGGCACGGCTCGGAGCTAGGCCCACAGCCCGCGCCCACGCCGGGCAGCTTTGCCTCCATCCTGCCCTCGTCTGCACGCGCCCTGTCGCCCGAGGCAGAGCGTGCGGCAGCCCTGCGGCGCCAGGGCTACGAGGCGCTCTTGCCCGCCATCTCGGGCGCCTGCGCGCTGTTGACGTACGTCGACTCGGCGCGCGGCGACGTGTATGTCGCATGCACGGGCGACAGTCGGGCCGTGGCAGGCTGGTGGGATGAGAAGGCGAAGCGATGGGAGGTGGAGGCGCTCAGTGAGGATCAGATGGGCCGCAATCCGAAGGAGGTGCAGCGGTGAGTCATGCAGCACGGCCTGCACCATCTCAGGCCACAGCCCACCAGCTAGGCTCACCCGCCGACTTGTCTCTCTCTCCCGCTTCCGCAGCATGCAGAACGAGCACCCAGCCGAGGAGCGTGACGCCGTCATTATGCGCGGCCGTGTGCTCGGCGGACTGGAGCCGACGCGGGCGTTCGGCGATGCGCGCTACAAGTGGAGCCGCGAGCTGCAGGGGCAGCTCAACACCTCGCTCATCCCCGGCGGAGAGTACACGGTGCGGCCGCCGCCCCGAGCGCTGCTCACGCCGCCATACGTCACGGCGCGCCCGGAGGTGACATGGCGGCGCACGGCGAGCAAGGAGGGCAAGCAGCTGCGCTGGATCGTCATGGCCACCGACGGCCTGTGGGACATGCTGCCCACGCAGGAAGTGGGCAACCTCGTCTCTGCGCATCTCGACGGCACGCGCGGCACCTACTCTGCCACGGCGCTGCAGGCGCGCCTCGAAGGCGCCGCCACTGCCGCACAGAGTACAGCAGCAGCCGATGGCGACGAGGCGGCTGCGCAGCAGCAGCTGCTGGCCAAGCGCCGGACAGGACACCACCCGCTCAATGCAGGGCGCGAGAACCAGTACACCTTCGAGGACGCCAATCTCGCCACGCATCTCATCCGCAATGCCCTCGGCGGCGCAGACACGGACCGCCTCACCAGTCTGCTCGCCATCCCGGCGCCCGAGAGCAGACGCTACCGCGACGACGTGACCGTCTCGTAAGTGCCAGCCTCGCGCTGCCTTTGGCCCCACTGAGCGCTGACCCCTCTGCATAGCGTCATTCTGTTCAACGGTGCGGACACTGCCGGCGCCTCCGCCCCAGCCGCCGCCGACGACAAGAGCGCGGCGCCTGCGCCAAAAGCCAAGCTGTAACGATGGAGGGAAGCAAAATGATGCATTCGGGCCGCTCCGCTCAGTAGCCCACGCGTGAGGGGCGCGCAAAGCTGCTGCCCAGGTCGTCGGCGCCGCGCGTCGCCGAGGCTTCTCTGCGCCGGCCAGCGGCAGCAGGCAGCGGCGACGCGGCGGGCGTGGCGCCCGGACTGGTGCCGAAGTGCGCCGGAGAGGTGGCGAAGCCGCCCGTGGAGGAGGAGCCGCTGGGCGAGCGGGAGCCGGCGGCCGAGCGTGCAGCGGCCAGCGAGAGGGCGGCTGAGGACGTGGCGGGCCGCAGCGAGGGAATGCCGAGACTCAGGCCGCCGGTGAGGAAGCCCATGGCGCCTGCAGCGCGACCCTTGGGCGCCGCGGAGGCACCCGTGGTGGAGCTCGAGTCTTCAGAGCGCGTGTCGGGCGTGTGTGCGTCGGGCAAGTCTTCGACGCGCACGGCGCGCGCCGTGGTGCTGGCGGGCGCCTGCAGCGAGAGGGTGCTGGGCGTGATGAGGCGACCCATGGGAGGCGGCCGCACCTGTGCCGACGCGCTGCCGCTGCGCGCATCCTCGAGGAACGTCGAGCGGATCGACGAGTCACTGAGGCCGCGCGGACGCAGCTTGCGCTCCGGGTAGGCGTTCGCGTGGTGCAGCGACAGCTCGTCGTCGTCGACGATGCGGCTGAGGGGACGATGCCCTCCGCCGCCGCCATCGCTGCGCTGCAGGTGCTGGTTGCGCATCAGGCCCATGCGCGACGGACCCGCTGCTGCAGCGAAGCCAGAGGCGCTGCCTGCGGATGCAGAGCCCTCGCGCCGGTCGATGACGTCCCAGTCGTCCGCCATGGCGCCGGCAAAGAGGCCTGAGAGATTGCGGCTCTGCGTGCGGTTCAGCGAGCCGCCGGCACGCCCGAGCGCCGGTCTCGGCCCCGCACGCAGCATCGAGCCGGGCGGCGAGCCGGCATGTTCGTCTGCGCCGCCGGTGCTGCCTGCCGAGGCATGCGAGCCCTTGACCTCGACGGCCACGGCAGTCGAGGTGACGGCAGCCGATGCGCGCGGCGCCAGGGCGCCCGACGTGGTACGTGGCGCACTGATGCGAGCCAGACTTGGCGCTGCCTGCGAGGGCGCCGTCGCAGCGGGCGCCGCGGCGCTCGGTGCGCCCGCCACGCCGCCGGCGACGGCGGAGAAGAAGCGGCCCGCCCACGCGCTCACGCCCTTCTCCTCGGCAATCGCGGCGCCCAGCTGTTCCTGCAGAATCTTTGCGGCGTTGGCCGGCTGCAGATGCACCTCGTTGACAACGTTGCGCAGGCGCGCCATCTCGAAGAAAATGTCGCGCAGCAGCTTGACGAGGGCAAAGAAGTCGCGGCGCGCAATGAGACTGTCGAGCTCTGCCGCGGCAGCGCCGGGCTTGTTCGCCGAGCTGCCGGAATGCACACTTGCTGCATCATCCCGCGCAGCAGCCGCCGTCATGCCGGCGCGAGCCTCGGCCTCGATGAGGCGGCGAAAGTGCTCGCGCAGCCCGTCGACGTCGCGCATGATGCCGTTGACCGTGGTGCGCGCGAGATGTCCCACGTCGCCCGTCAGATGCTGTCGCTGCAGACGCTTGCTGAGCGTGTCAACGTCGGCCGAGGCCAGGCGTGCAAAGACGCGCTGAATGTAGTCGAGCAGATTGACCAGCTGCGCGGTCCGCGGATCGCGCGCCTTGGCGGGCACGCTGGCTCGCAGATGCGAGTCGGCCTCATCGCCTGCTACCGTGGTGCCGGGCGTCGTAGCAGCGTCGTCTGTGGCGCGTCCGGCGGTGCTCGGCGTGGTGGAGAAGGACGCAGAAGTGAGCGCCGGCGAAGGCAGCGAGGCATGCTCGACGCGCGGACTGCTGGCTGGCAGTTCGCGAGCCGAGGCACGCGAGGCCGTACGAGCTGGATACTGCGGCCGCTGAGTCTCCCGCACCACCTCGTCGGCCAGCGACGGGCGCGGTATGCTGTCGAGGTCCGAGAGCATCATTGAGCCGCTGGCAGCGCTTGCACGTCGGCCGTGCTGCGCCGCCGCGGGTCGCCCGTACGACTCTCTGAAGTCTGCTGCGCCAGACTCGGTGCGCTGTCGTGACGACGGTGGTGGGGCGGCACGATCCTCGCTGCCGCCAGCGAGCAGCACTTGCTCGCGCAGCGAGCTGACCTCTTCGTTCGAGGCGTCCAACAGCGTCCTGAGCTGCGCATTGCCGGTTTTGAGCACTTCATTGTCGGCGATGAGAGACTCGAGGATCGCCATGACCTCGCCCGAGGAGGCCAGGCCCTCCGTCTGCGCGGTGCGCGCACGTCAGCATCGCCGGACTGGCGCAGTGGCCAATGAGCGCAAGGGGCACGCACCTTGACACTGCTCAGACTCTGCTGCAGCCTGGCCTTTGCCTTTTCCCAGCCCTCGCCCGTCGGGCCTTGGCGCTCCGCCGCCGCACGTTGACTCTCGGCCAGGCCGAGCTGCGCCTCGCCCTTTGCGGCGCGCAGGCTCTCACTCAGCTCGACGTTGCGCACGCCCAGCTTGCGCATGCGTGCCTCGGCGCCGTCGGCACGCTTGCGCTCCGCCGAGAGCTCCTGGCGCAGGTCATCCATGTCCTGCTGCATGCGCGTGGCGCGCTCCTCGGCCGCCGCTGCCGACGTAGATGGGCCTCACATCAGCGACTCATGCCCTCTCTGCAGCTGCTGCTCTCCCACACAGGCACTCACCGCAGCGAGCACCCTTGATGCGCAGCGTGCTGGCCTCGCCGCGCAGCTCGTCGAGCTCATGCAGTAGGGCACGATTGCCTGCGTCTGCCGCCTCGAGATTCAAGCCGCACTGCTTCAGCTCGCGCTCCAGCTGTGCGCTCTCCTTGATGCTGCCCGTCAGGCGCGCCATCAGGGCGTCTCGCTGCTGTTCATGCGTAATCTTGGCGCTCGACAGACTGGCTGTCAGACTGTCGTTGCGCCGCAACAGCGCCTGTCCAATCTCGGCGGCCAGACGCAAGTCGCTCTCCATGTCTGCCCATTCGCGCGTGGCGCGGCGCATGCTGTCGCAGTCCTCGCCACGCCCACAGCAGCATGTGCAGCGCACCTGTACGCGCATGCCTCCAGGCCCACCGCCTCCGCTGCGCGTCGTGACGATGCTAGCTGCATCGTCTGCGTACTCTGGCCCGTAGCTCGAGTCGTCGACGCTGTACATGCTAGCCGGTCGTCCGCCGGCCTGGCCAAAGTGGCCCGAGCCACTGCTGGGCAGGCCAAGGTGCACCTGCGACGAGCTGGCGTCGGCATGGCTGCGTCCGGAGCGCCGTCGCCGCTCGAGGCGGAACTGCCCAATGATGCGCGTAAAGTCGTCGGTGTTGCGGCTCTGGCGCACGCTGTCCTCGAGCTCCTCGAGCTCGCGCTCGTGCTCCAGCTCCTCCGACGCCGCTTCGGAGCCGAGGCGCGAGTGCCCGCCGCCGCCGCCGCCGTCGAGCATCGAGGCGCCGTCGTCGGCGAGCTCGCTGCCGCCGCGCCGGCTCAGCAGCGGCGACGTGCCATACACGCTGAGGCTCTGGCGCGGCGAGCGGGGCGCGGCGGGCCTGGCGGGCGAGGGCGATGCGGCGAGGGCGTGTGGGAATGCATGTCCGGGCGCGAGCGAGAGCGGCGTCGAGGAGAAGAGTGCCGAGGAGCCTGCGGCGCCGGCGCTGCTGCCCGCCGTGCTGCTGCTGCTGCCGGCAGAGGAGGCCGAGGCACCGCCGCTGGCATGTGGCGGCGCCCGCAGGTGCTGCGACTGCTCCATGCGAGGCAGCGGCGGCGGCGGCGGCGGCGAGAGCCGGGAGCAGCGATGCGGGTGCGGAGGTGGCTCGAGGGGACGGAGGGATGGTGGTGAGAGCGGCAGCGGCGCATCAACGCGCAGCGTGCGCGGCCATGCGAGGGGCTCGCTGGGGCTTCGGGGCGCGTCGAGTCGCACCGCCGCGCGTTTTGATGGCAGGGCGCGCCGTGCGAGGCGGTGCTGCTGGGCGAGCGGCCGTTGCCCCTGGCTTGGCTGGCAGCGCCACAGCACCAAGGCTCTCTCACTGTGTCGTGCCTGCGATCTCTACGCAGAGCGGTGCTTGAGTTCGACGCTGTCTCTTCACTGTCATGCCGTCAAGTCTCCGCGTGCCCTCGCAGCATCGTCCGGGAACGGCTGATGGCGCGCGCCGCGTGCTCTGCCGGGAGCGGCGCGAGAGCGAGAGAGCAACACGCTTAGCGCGTCCGTGGGAACGGCGAGCGAGGAACGAAGTGGTGCGCCGCACCGCCAGCTCATCCGTCCCGACCACGCCCTCAAAGTCAAGCCTTCGGTCTTCAAGCACAGGCAAGTAGCGTCGCTCGCCAGTGAACACCGCGGACCCTTGGCAGCAGTACGCAGCAAGGCTCGCCCGGCATGGCGTCGACCTCTTCACTCGGCGCTTCCTCTTCCACTTCCGCCGGCGTCGCCTCTTCCTTCTACGACTCCTTCACCTCTCGGCTCGCCGCGCTCAGCAGCGCCATCGAGGCCTGCCCCTCCGCCGACGCCCTCCCTTCGCTCCTGACACGCATCACAGACGCCCGGCACGCCCTCGACGCCGTCACCGAGGCCCTTCCCGCGCGCGACCGTGCGTCTCACGAAGCTCGCCTGCGGGAATGCACGGCCTTGCTGACCCGCAAGCGTGCGGCATTGGCGCCGCCGACGGGCTTTGCCTTTCGGCGCAAGGCGCCTGCCAAGGCAGCTGCTGCCAAGGCATCGAGCGCAGAGACGCCACAGACCGTCGTGCCGCAGCCGCAGTGCGATGGCGTCTCCACCGCGGCGTCCTCGTCTAGCGCGCATCTCAGTCTCTCGGCTCGGACGCGCGAGCACTTGACATGCCTCGAGCTCGCTGCCATCGCTCCGGGGGCCGACGTGCATCTCTTCGACCTGCAAGACTGTCTCGTCGACCTGCGCGGCAGCGATGCCTCGGCGCCTCCGGCGTTCGCAGCGATGCAGCTGCGCCGCCTGCGCCGCTGCGTCGTCTTGCTGGGCAGTGTGGCAGGCGCGGTCATGGCGCACGAGCTGCAAGAGTGCTTGGTGCTCGTTGAGTGCGCTCAGGTGAGTTTCTCCGGGCGTGTGCAGCAAAAGGCTGGCAGATCATCCTCACCACGCCATGCTCACACGCTGCTCGGACCGGGCCCGCACAACAGTTCCGCATGCATATCTCCCAGCGCATCGTCGTGCTGCTAGCTCTTCACTCGCCCACCAGTCGCGCGACGATTGAAGAGTGCTCATCCATTCGCTTTGGCGCTCTGCCAGTGGCGCTGCGTGCCGGCACGACGGCAACAACTGAGGAGCAGGCAGCGGTGCCGGCCGTGCAGGACTTTGACTTTCCGGGCGTGCCGCCTGGCGAGGAGAGCGAGAGCTGGAAACGCCTGGATGAGGCGATGGCAAAGGAGGTGGCAGTGCGGCTACTGGACGAGCCAAGCCTGGACGACTCGCAGCAGACTCTGCGCCTCGCGCGCGTGCTGCCGGGAGAGAGCGAATGAGAGCGCAAAGGTTGCATGGCATACAGTGGCTGAGAGGGAGGCAGTCGTCTAGTGTTACAATGTGAGGCAGAGCGAGAAGCAACGAAGAGGGGAGAGAGCAAGGCCCCGAGGAAGAGACTAGAGAAAGTACTCTGGCGTCGTGCGTTTTGCGGGGATGGACTGGCCTGCAGAGGACAGAGGATGAGCGGTCGGGCACACGATGGCCACCATCGCCAAGCTTGCACGAGATCCTCGGCCAACTCACTCTCCTGCGCCGCGGCGTCAAACGTCTCGTACTTCGAGTTCAGTGCCTCGTCCAGCTTGAGGATGCTGGCCACGTTGCCGCAGCGATAGCAGTAGTTGGGCGCGCTCCACACCGTCACGATGGTGTTTTCAAACATGAGCTTGTAGCCCTCGAGCACGAGCTGATGCGCGCGGGCGATGAGATCGAGGCCGTTTGCATGCGCGAACTGCAGCGCCACGTCGGCACCGAAGAGATAGCCGGCGCCGCGGGGCGACATGCCCCAGCCCTGGATCTCTGTGAGGGGGGAAAGGGCGCCAAGCTTGGCTCAGCGACAGGGCAATAGGGCGGAGACAGCGGCGACTCTGGAAAGGCTACGACCACTCACCGTCCGGATCGGACCAGAGCAAATCACACATGGCGCCGTCGTGCGGCACCTCTTGCTTGCGATCGATTTGCCGGATCTGCAGTGCCGTGGGCAAGAGCACGGGCAAAGTCAGCCCTGTGTGTGTCGCCTTCGATTGCACCGAGGAGCGGGCAGGGTGCAAGGCAGACGGCAATCGCAGGCAAGGATGAAGCCCTTGCTCGCCGACGCCCTCGCTCTCGCCGCTGTCCGTGCCTCGACATCGCACCCCTCGCCCATTGCTTGCGCAGACGCAGCTGCCCAAGCAGTGCCTGCTCGCCCGGCCTCCTGCACATCTCCGTCTCAAACGCCCGATGCCGCCGTCCGCTTGGCATCTCTCGTCTCCCGCAGCCAGATGCACTCACCTGATCAATCGACCCCACATTCGGCGACAGGCCACCATGCACGCAGAACACTCTGCCATCCACCACGGCGCCCAGAGCCAGATAGTCGAACACCTCGCAGCAGTAGCGCCACACGTTTGCGCTGCCGTACTTGCGCGCACACTCGTCGTAGAAGCCGTACACCTGCGTGATCTGCCGCGACTCGTGGTTGCCGCGGATGAGCGTGATGCGGTCCGGATAGCGGACTTTGTACGCCAGCAGGAGGAGGAAGGTCTCGACGCTGTAGAAGCCACGGTCGACGAAGTCACCTGATGGAGCGTTGCCAGACTCAGCGGATGCTCCACGGTGAGGCGGAGGATGCGCCGGCCGCACAGCGCCAAGGTGCTCGCACTGCCTCTTCACGCGACTAGGACTCACCCATGAAGAGATACTGCGTCTGCGGGCACATGCCGCCCACGCGAAAGAGCTCCATGAGGTCCCAGAACTGGCCGTGGATGTCGCCGCAGATCGTCACGGGCGCATCGACGTGCTGCACATTGGCCTCCTCGACGAGAATCTCGCGCGCCTTGAGACAGAGGGTGCGCACCTGCGCCTCGGAGATGGGCTCGCAGCGCGAGAGCTGCTCTATTTGACTGCAATCGCAGACATGGAGTGCATGAGCGATGGACATTGTATGGTGTGCGAGGAATGAAGCGTCCAGTGTGCTGCGACTCTCACCGGTCAAGATCGGACAGCATTGTGCAGCACAGCTGTGCGCGCGCCGGCGCAGTGCGGGGTAGAAGAGCCCTGCGACTCGGCGAGAGAGAGAGAGACGCGCTGCGCCGGCGTGTGCCAGGGTCTCTCAGTGCAGTCCTCCGTGCTAGCTGGCGGCAGAGACGAGCAGGCGATGGAAGAAGGAATGCGGCGGCAGAGGGTGCCCGCTGGAAGGAGGCCGCGGCGGGCTGCGACAGAGGTGGCGCGGCGGTCGGCAAGCCGCAAGTGGGTATGAAGCTGGGCTTTGCGCGAGGTATACGTGTCTCGCAGTGCCTGGCGAATGCAGCGCGCGACTGAAGCAGGCAGCAAAGAGGCGGCGCGCGGGGCAGTGGGCAAGGCAGAGGGCGCGAGGGAGGTGAGAGGCTGAGTGGTGGAGGTCAAGAAGATGCCGCGCGTACCGGTAGCGCCGCAGCCGACGGCGACCGCGCGCGCGGCGCGCGCCGCCGCGGCGCCGCCGCCGCTCGCGTGAGCCCTCCGCCTCTCCTCGGCTGGCCTTCGTCTCGCACGAGGGCAGAAGTGAGGGTGTCTCCCCGCAGCTGTGAGTCCCACTCATGGCCGTCCACCGACCCTAGACGGCCCCCCTGTCCCAGCGTGCGCTCCTTGTTGACTCAGGACTGGGAAGGCATGACTGAGAGAAGAAGCACACATGCTAACACGCGAGGCAGCAGGCTAGGAGAGAGGGCGAATCGATCGAGTCTGATTTCCAGCGACCTTTGGATATATACATTCACTCCCTTTTCTCCCCTCTCCGCTCCACGCCAGGGTAGCATAGCAGACCTACGCAAGGCGAATCGCGCCGAACATCCTGCGCCGCACCGCCGCCGCACACACCACAAGCGCCTGCAGCAGCGCCGCGAGCGCGAGGAGCAGCGCCGCGTGTGCCTCGGTGGGCAGTGCGGCGCCGCGCAGGCCCAGCGTGGCGTACAGGGCGCGCGCCCAGCGGCGGCGCAGCGCGCCGGGGAGGAGGCGCGAGGGGGGCGAGGTGCCGACTTTGGACGGGGCGCAAGGTGTGAGCCAGGGGAGCAAGGGGGGAGGAGGAGGAGGGGGGGAGGCGACGACGACAAACGCACTGTATTTGCCAAACACGAGGCGCTGGCATGCCTCGTCGATCTGCATGTGCACACCGCGGCACAGCTCCAGCAGCAGGCCGCCACGCTTGTCGATGCTCTGCAGCCCGAGGCGGTCCTCCGTGTAGATGACGCTCTGCCGCAGCGGCGTCGGCTCCAGCGCGGGATCATGCGCGAGCGTGGAGGAAGAGGCGTTGGCGATGGGATACGAGGCAAACCAGGACGACTGCTTCGGCTCGACGGTGATGTCCTTGTCGAACATGCTAAGCACCACCAAGTGTTCCTCGATCAGCGCTGCTCTCTTTCCTGCGCTCACCGTGCCAGTGTGGGACGCAAACACACTCACAGCATCACAAAGCTCTCCAACGCCTGCATTCTCTCCTTGTACTCGCCCTTGCGCTCGCGTTCATTGTTGATGTCGGCGATGAAGTGGTTCGTCGCGAGGTAGCGCGCATAGCCCGCGACGGACGTGGGGTCGCGATAGTACTGCGCCGAGACGAGGTGCGTCTGCGCATAGTCGGAGTACACGCCGCCGCGCAGCGCGCCCTCGGCCAGCCGGCAGAGCAGGTCCGCCGGCTTGCAGGCGGGGAAGTCGGAGATGCCCATGTGCTGGTAGTTTGCGTGCAGGAGAGATGTCAGCGAAAGGGGACAGGAAAGAGGCCCCCCGCAAAGCCCCACCAGGCACACGAAGGCACGGCGAAGCAAGAAAAGTGTGGTGATGCCCTGAGCGCAAAGAGAAGACAGCAAGAGCAGCTTTTCGCCGAGTGGGGGAGCTGGGCGCCCACTTTGCGCCTCCTCCAAATTCCTGTCGTCCAGCCCCCCTTTCTGCTCCCCCCCACACCCGCCGGCCACGCAAGCGCTGCGAGGGCATGAGCCGTAGCAAGCTTGCGTCTGGGGAGGAACTCCAATGAGGGGGGGGCAGCAAAAAGGCGCCATCGGCCCACTGCCTTCATGGCAAACAAGCACACCACACCTGTCTCTGCGTGGATCCCCCCCCCCCCCTTCACTTTCTTGCTCCCATTGTTGGGGCTGCTCTCCATCCTTGCATGATGGCTCTCAGAAGCGCGGCGACAAGCAACTCACCTGGCTGCCAAACGTGACCAAGTTGCGCACCTGCACGCCCTCGCAGCGCTGCACGACGGCGCGCAGCAGCTGGCCTCCCTGGCTGAAGCCCACGGCATCAAAGCCGCCCTGCAGTTCCTTGACCTGCTTTAACTGCTCACACGCCGCGTTCACCTGCTGCGTCGTGTCGCCGAAGAAGCCGGCGCGCTGGTCGGCCGCCAGGTCGTCGGCGAGGTGGACGAGATGGACAAAGATGCCCGGGAAGGCATCGCGCAGAGAGGCGGCGAGGGAGAGCATGCCCTCCGAGTAGGCGCTGTCGCCCAGGCCGTGCCAGAGCACGACGGGGTGGAAGGCGCGGCGGAAGGGCGCATGGAGAGGAGAGGCGGATGCGCAGAGCGCGAGAAAGGGGAGGAGGGAGAGAAACTTCATCTTGCCCGAGGAGAGGTGAGGGTGCGGAGACAAGCGGGGGGAGATGTGGAGATCGGCTCAGCTCATCACCCGCCGCGCCGCGCCGCGCGCGAACTTGAAGCGGGGCTACAGGCTGGGGGCTGCCTCGGACCCTTATGCGCGTGGGAGCACGTTCACCTCTCTCTGCCGCGTCCTGCCCAGCGTGCGCCCTGGCGCGCCGCCGCATCGCTGCCTCGCTTCGTTGGCCGAGGATGCATCGCAGAGATGCATTGCTTCCGCGTCAGAGAGAGAGAGAGTCTGAGTCTGAGTGTACTCCGTGAATCGCGCGCGCTCGCCCTAGCTCGCTTCGCCACCGCGCGGGACCGGCCAGCGAGAGGCGGCAAGAGCAAGGGTAGAGGGGAGTATGTGAAGCGAATGGGGGAGAGGAGAGGGGCAAGAGAAGTGTGCTGTAAGAGCGCTTCGACTGCGGCCGAAGACGTGAGAGGGTCCACACGCGTTACAGACGCGCGCGCAAAGACGTGGGTGGGCGCTGGTATATGGGGAGAAGAAGACGAGGGAGACATGCTGCGTGAGAGAGGGTTCGGCGTCGAGGGCGCAAGTGAGAGAGAGGGTCGTGCAAAGAGAGAGAGAGGCGAGGGGTCGACGTAAGAGTGACGGCGCGAGTCGGCGAGAGAGAGAGAGAGGAGGAGAAAAAGCCATCGCACGCATTGTTTTGTGTTCTACAGCAGCTTGCGCTTGGCCTCCTGCTCCCATGCCTCCTGCTCCAGCACCGCCGTGTTGGCGGGGAAGATGCAGGGGAGGAGCAGGAAGGCCAGAATCACGCCCGCGACGCTGCCGCCGAGGAGGGCATAGCTGATGATCTTGTGCACCGGCGTGGCGAATGCGCGCGGCGGCGGATTCTTCACGGGGCCCGTGTCATTCTTCACCTTGTCGCCCGGATTCTCAAGGTCGGTGACGTTGGGGTTGCGTGTCGAGTAGCCGTCGGCAAAGAGATGCTGCAGCGTGCTGTTGGCCGAGAGCATGGCGTAGTCCTGATGCGAGGCATTGGCGACAAAGTTGGCCGTGTGCTTGGCCGGAAAGGCATCGCCGTACGCCATGATGAACTGGCAGCCGCGGTCCAAGTGGTTGCCGCCCTGCCGCAGCGCCTGGCAGTGCGTGTCGCCCGGGCCATTGTCGAGCAGCGCGAGCGCGTAGTGCACGTTGCGCCCCTCGAAGCGCTTCGTCACCGCCGTGCGGTTCGCCACGACGTCCTTGCGCGCGTACTTGGTCACGCGCGTCTGGTTGCCGCCCAGGCCGTACTGCCACGAGTCGTACGTCGCGTCACAGCTCGAGTTGGCCAGCGGCCGCGAGTCGGTGAGCCAGGCCCACGAGCCGGGATTGCCGATCCAGAAGTACATGTTGTCGTCGTAGTACTTTGCCTTTTTGAGCAGCGAGTAGCGCATCGCCGCCTGCCCGCCCATCGAGTGGCCGCCGACGGCGACGGAGGTGAGCGCGGGAAAGTTCTTGGTGTCGAAGAGCCAGTCCATCATCGCGTCGAGCACCTCGTACGTCGTGACGCTGGTCGTGAGCTTGGGCGAGCGGCTGTAGCCGCCCGACTGCCACGTGGAGCCGTGGAAGACGAGGTCGGTGGACAGCGCGGCGCCGTATTGCTGGTCCCACTGGTTCAGCCACGCCACGCTGATCACAATGATATCGTCGACGACGACGGGGGTCGTGCCGTCGGCCACGCCGTTGGCCACGGCGACGTTGAGCGCGTTGCGCACCAGGCTGGCGTACTTCCACGAGTCGCGAGGCTGCGCAGATGCGGCTGTCAGACGCGGCAGTCGTGGGCGATTGCGCCCCTCTGCGCTGCTCACCTTGCCCGGAAAGACGAGCACGGCGCGCTTGATGGTGCTCGCCCGCTGCTGCCAGCCCGAGGTGATGTAGAACGGCTGCGCGCGCAAGTAGGTATCAGCTGGGCTCTGCGCGCAGCAGAACACACGCAAGCACATCGCTCCCGCGCACGCACCTGTGTAGCAGTCTCCTTGACGACCCACGTGCGGTTCAGATCAAAGCCCTCCAGCTGCGGCAGGGCGGTCCAGCCCTCCTCATTCTCCGGCGCCGCCGCGCCGTTGATTGTGCCGGGCACGGCGACGGCATTGTTGACGTAGGTGATGTTGCGTCCGCGATTCCACGGCCACTGCTCGCTCTCTGCCGCATCTGCATCGCCGTCGTTGCTGATGAGCGCGCCGACGGGATTGCCGCCGTTGACGTAGGCATAGACGTTCTCGAGCGAGTCGGCCATGCGTGCGGCGCCGATGGGGTCGCTGGCCGCCAGCGCGACGATCTGCGCCTGCACGTCGTCCGTCGCCTGCAGCGTGGCGGTGGGCGAGGTGTTCTGCTGGCGCGCCACGATGCGGCTCGGCGGCTCGCGCTCGACGAGCGAAGGCGCAGAGGAGCGCAGGCGCCGCATGTGCGCTGCTGGCACGGGCGAAGAGGCACCAGCCGAGGCGGACGCCCAAGTGGCACCGAGCGCCAGTGCGGCGGCCGTGGCGGCAAAGAAGCGCATGGCGAGACTGCGCCGATGCGGATGCGGCGTGAGGTCGCGTGCGCCGCGAGGAAAGGAGGCGCGAAGCCAGGCGGAGGCCAGTGTCCTGCGCGCGAAGAGAGGCGTGCGAGACGGCGAGGAGAGGCGCGCGACGAGCGTGAGAAGAAGAAGGAGCGGCGGGGTGCGGTGAGCTGCGCTGAGGGAGGGATCGGATCGGGATGCTGGAGGGAAAGAAGGGAGCGAGCGGGAGGCGCCGCCATCGCCTCGGCGGCGGAGAGCGGCAGCGCGGCGCGGCGCGGCAGGCGCAGGCAGGCGCAGGCAGGAGAGCAGCGGCAGCGGACCGGCAGGATCAGCCCCTGCCCGCACCCGCGCCCGCGCCGGCCGGCGACAAACCTCATGCAGGGCGCGGCAACACGGCCGCCGCACGCCGCCTGTGTCTTGCCATGCACGCCGCGCGCCACGCGCCTCGGGCGTGGCGGTGTCAGTGTACAAGCCGCGGGAGGCGCCGTTGTAGTCTCCACTACAGCCTCGGCCGTGCCTTGCTTTGTATTCACCGCGCCCTCGCCCCCCCCCCCCCGGCTTGCTCCTGCCTTTCGCTCCTCCTCACGCTCGCATCAGGGAATGATGGCCAATCGTATTATGCTTGTACTGTACAGACGCGTGCAGAGCTAGGCGTGGCAGCTTTCGTCACAGCAGCATCGCCGTCGGGAGAGAGAAGGCAAAGTAACAGGAGAGGAAGAGGCCAGTCCGGCGACCGAGAGGCCGTGGTTGCGAAGTCTGGGAAGCGAGCTACGCCCCTCGGTCTTACTCCTCGTCGTCGCTGCTCTCGTCCGAGCTGTCCGAGCTATCGCTGCTCTCCTCCTCTGCGCCCTCCTGCAGCGGCTGCTGTTGCTGCATCTGCTGCTCCTCATACTGCATCTCGTCGCCCATCGGCGGCAGCTGCTGCACGTCTTGCATCTCGTACTCGGCCGGCGCCTCGAGCGGTGCATGTTCGTCGTGGTGCAGCGCCTGGCCTTGCTCATCGACGACGAGGGGCAGGCCGTTCTCATCCACGTACTGCTCCTGCGCCGCCGCCGCCGCCGCCGCCGCCGCCGCCGCATCGTACTGCTGCTCGTCGTACTGCGCCTGCTCGTGCAGCATCGCGTCGTCGTGGTGCAGCATCTGCTCTGCGCCGACGTCGTGCATCGATGCGTCGGCGAGGTGGGCGGCGTCTCCATCGTGCTGCAGCGCCTCCTGCTCGCCCATGTCCAGCGCCTGAGGCTCCTCCAGGCCCGCCTGCGTCTCGTCGTACTCCTGCGGCTGCACCTCGCCCAGCTCTTGGCCGTCGAGTCCGTGTTGATGCTGCGCCTCGTCGTACTCCTGCTGCGCCTGCGCCTCGCCCAGCTCGTGCTGCTGTGCTTCGTAGTCGTGTTGCTGTTGAGCATCGACATCGAGCTGCTCGTGCTGTTGCTCCACCTCCTGTCCCTCCATCTCATGATGCATCATCATCTCCTGTTGTTCCTGCTGCTGCTGCTGCTGAGCCGCCGCAGCCGCCGAGTCGACCTCCTCGTCACTCTCAATGACGTCGTTGTCGCGCGCCTGCTGCCGCTCGGCTCGCTTCGACGGCTTGGCCTTCTTGGCCGCCGAGCCGTCGGCTGAGAGCTTGTGGCGCGCATCGACGAGGCGCTTTTGACGCTTGCGACTGGCATCGAGGTCGTGCACCTGGCTGCCCGAGGCGACCCACTCTTGATGCTTGCGCTCCACGACGGGCCAGATGGTGTCGAGCGTGGCTGCCAAGCATGCGTCTCAGCTGCATGGCTCTGCGACGGCGCGCCTCTGCAATGCCTGCGACTCACCCTTGAAGCCCTGCGGCGGCGGGTCGCACGTGTCGACGTACTTCTCGCGCAGGTAGCGGTAGTAGCGCTGCATGCTGAGCGAGTCCCAGATGAACTCGTCGTCGGCCACCTCGGCCCAGCGCACGGCCGTCTCGTCGTCGAGGCGCATTGCGTCCTCCTGCTTGTAGAGGCTGTGGCGGAAGTGCGTGAGCTGGGGATGCGAAGGCGTGGGACACGCGTGTTCTGCTCACCGCTTCAGCAGCGCGTAGTTGTCGCGATCGCCCATCCAGTTGGGGTGCACGCCGGCAGCCATGCGGCGCTCTGCAGCGCTGGCAATGTTCCTGGTGCAAGGCCGTCAGCAAGCTGCAGAGGCGCCGCCGCCCTTGACTCCATCTCACTCACCAGCTCTTCATGCACTGCAGTGCCGTGCGCGTGCCGACGACGGCCGAGATCTGGTTCCACGGCAGGCCAGTGCCATGCGGGTCGAGGTTGTGCTCTTCTGCTGCAGCCATGACTGCCTCGCGCAGCTTCGTCACCTCCTCCTTGCTCCACATGCCCTTGTTGCGCCCGGCACCGCCCGGCACCGTCTCGCGCTCCCACTTGACCTTGCAGTCGCGCGGCACGCGCCCGACAATCTTGCCGATCTTCGTCCACACGCGGCCGTGCTCCTCGACGGCGCTGTGAGGGGGAGACGTGTCAGCATCGTCGCAGTCCGATCGCCGCAAGCGGACGCACTTCATCAGATTGGCCGTCTCCTCCTCCGTCCACGGTCCGCCGCCGGCATCGGGATGGAAGCGCTGGATGACATGCGTGCGCAGGTTGCGCTGCGGGCGGTCGCCCAGCTTGCGGCCTGGGCGAAGAGCGGGGGGAAGGAGTCGTGAGCAGCGTGCTCCGCGATGACCAACTCGTGTGACACGCGCCTACTCACCAAGCTGCAGGAAGAAGTCGGTGTAGAGCTCGGCCTGGTCGGCGCGGCGACTGGAGAGGAACGACTGCATGTCCTCGGCAGTCATGTTGTGCGTCTATCGAGGTTGTTCGTTGTCAGTACCAGCACGCACAAGTCGCACGGGAGACAGACTGACCGCCTTGAACACCTCGATGGCCTCGTCGAGCGCGTCGTCCTCCGTCTTGCTGTAGCGTCCCGTCTTCCACGTGAGGCCGTACGCCTCGCGCAGCCACTTGAGTTGCTGCGGCTCGTAGAGCTTCTCGCACAGCATGGCCTCGTGCGTGAGGCCTGCGGCATCCTCGATGGTGGCCTCCTTGGAGGCACGGATGAGCACGCTGCTGCGCTTGCCCGACGGGCGCACGGCACGCGGCGCCTCGCCGTCGCCGGGCATGGGACGCCGGGCGGGTGCGGGGGGCGGCGGAGGAGGAGGAAGGTAGTTGGGAGCAGAGGTAATGTCGGCGATGGCCTGCAGCAGGCTGGCCTGGCTGGCACTGGCTGCCTCGACGGCGCCGGCGCTCTCGGACGAGGGACCAGGCACGGCCTGCGGCGCCTGATGGCTGTTCGCCGAGCGCGCCAGGTAGCTCGCCATGGCGGCAAAGTCGAAGCCGGGCGGGAACTGCGAGGCATCGAGGCCCAGCGCCGGCGCCACGGGCTGCGGCGGCGCGGCAGCGGCAGCGGCGCGCGCCAGGAAGGGGTTGCGCAGCGCCGCACGCTGCGGCGCAGGGACTTGTGGCACCTCGAGAGGCGCCTCTGCCATCTGGTGCTGCTCCGCCAGCTCCTCGCCCTCGTGCGTGGCGACCGTGGCGTCCGGGAAGAAGGCCGGCGGGAAGGCGCCGTGCTGCGGCGCGCTGGCTGCCGCGGCAGCAGCGACGTCGGCGGCATGCATCTGCTCCTCGTTGAGCTGCTGCTCCTGCTCCATCTTGAGACGCTTGGCCTCGTCGTCGTCCTCGTCGTGGTGCATGTGCTCGAGCAGCTCGCCGGGATGGCCAGCAGCGGCCGCCGCCTCGAGCTCGGCGTACTGCTGTGCCTGCTGCTCGTCGAGCTGCTGCTGCTGCTGATCGTGCTCCTGCAGCTCCTGCTGCTCGTGCTGCAGCTGCTCGTGCTGCAGCTGCTCCTGCTCCTGCTCTTGCTGCCGCCGTGCCAGCTTGGCATGGGCCTTCTCCTCCTTGCGCGCCACGCGTTCGGCATGCCGGGCAGCCTTGCGCGCCGCCTTCTCGAGCGTCTTTGCCGACGGCGGCGGCGCCATGGGAGCCTCGCCTGCCTCGCCCGCCTGGGCCGCGCGCATGGCCCGGCGCGCCTCCTTGGCCGCACGCTTGGCCGCCTTTGCCTCGGCGCGCGCCTCCTCCTCGGGGTCGTCGCTGAGTCCGGCGGCGGCGGCCTTGCGCTTCTTGCGCTCGCGGCGCGCCGCCTTGGCCTCGTCGGCCGCCTGCTGCTCCACGGCGGCGGCGGCGGCGGCGGCGGCCGTGTGCTGCTGCTGCTGCTGCTGCTGCTGCTGCTGCTGCGCCTCGTACAGCAGCGCCGCTGCGGCGCCGTCGAGGCTCGGCGTCGATGCCATGCCGCTCATGGCTGCTGAGATGCGGGTATGTATGCGGGGCGTGTGCTGGGCGGCGAGGCCGAGCTCAAGTGGAGGCACGGCCGAGGCGGACTGCCACCTGGAGGCTGCTCGCGGCTGGAGCTGGATGGGGCGCGCCGGGCGTTGCTGAGGGGGAGGGAGTCGCGGTCGGGGTGAAAATCGCGCGAGCGACGGCGGCGGCTGGCGATGCGACGGCCGCCGCGCAAGGGCGAGCTGAAGGCGAATACAGCGATACAACTCCGGGCCGCGCAGCTTGTACTCGGCTTTTTGAATTCGCGGGACCGCCGCTCCCACGCTGCCGCGCCGTCGACGTCTCATCACGCGGGCTGCCCCCGCCTCTGCTCTCTCCCACCAGCCAGGCAGCAGCCTCGCCTCGCTGGACACGCTGGCAAGCGTTTGCTATCAGAATGCTGTCTTGCTGCTGCAGAGCCGATCGCGGGCGTGCAGGGTGCGTGTGAGGCTGGCTGGATGGGGCGCCAAAGAGGACAATCGGGCATGCCAGGCACGCTGCTACTCCACATGGCATGCTGCCGCACACGGCGCCTCGTCGCCGCAAAGGGCTGCGTGCTCGGCTCGGCGCAGCGCACGCGTCAAGCTTGGCTGATCGCAGGAGCTTGGCTGAGGTGGCTGCGAGCAGGAGCAGGGCCTGGGCACGCTCGTCAGCCGACGCCCCGGGCGCATGGCAGCGAGGGCTGAGCGTGGTGCGGCGTTGCCGTGCACCCGCAGAGAAGCGCACACGAAGCTGCAGCGACACCGACCGCTCGGCGCAGCGCCAGCGGCACACCGCCAGCTTGGCGCGCGCGGCGGCGCTGGCGACGCGCCTTTGCCCGTCGCGCGCCATCGAGCAGGGGCCAGCAGCGAGGCATCGGGGTGCGGAGACGAGCATCACAGCGTCACCCTCACACCTCCAGCACCCGCAACGCGCAGCTGCGACTCCTCGCTCACTCCTCAGCCTCTATCAGCTGCTGCTCTCGCCCTGCACCTCCGCCGCGGCTCGCACCTCTGCCGCCCCTTATCGCCCGCCGCTCGCCGCTCCGCCCGCCGCGCACGCTCCTCCAGCTCCCAACGCGCGGCCCTCTCCTGCTGGCCGGAGCTGAGCTCGCTCCTCCCGCGCGCCCGCCTCGAGCGGCCCACGTCGCCGCCGCGCGCATCGCCGCCGCACGCTCCGCTGCGCCCTCTGGCGCGTCGGCGTCGGCCTGCCCGTCTGCGTGAGCGCCGCGCCGCGCCTCGCCGACTGCACAGGCGCACCCCTCGCGGCACAGCGAGCTCGCCGTGTCTCACCACCACTGCCAGCACTCGCCGCGAGCGTGCACCTCGGCAAGTCTTCCGCGCCCTCTCACCTCTGGCGCCCGCCGCGCCGTGCCCCCGCGCTGCTCGCATGGCGCGCCTCACCGCCGCCGACGGCGCCGGGCCGAGCTCGCAGACGCCCTCGCCCGCACCCAGCTCGGGGCCCGTGTCGAGCCGGCACTCGTCGTCTGCACATGGCGGCGGCGGCAGTGGCAGTGCCGCCGCGCGTCGCCGCACCTCGCACCCGCCGCCGTCGCCCTCCAGCACGTCGCAGAGCGGCGCCGACGATGACGACGACGACGATGCGGCAGACTTTGCAGACGACTTCAGCTCGGCGCCCTTCCGCCTCTCGTCGCGGCGCAACACCATCAAGGCGCGCAGTGCCGCAGACGTGCTTGCCGTCTCGCCCCAGACGTCGGGCTCGAGCATGATGGATGCAGAAGGCAGCAGCGCCGCGGCAGACTACGAGCCGTCGCCGTCGCCCTCAGAGCTGCCACACGAGATTCTGCTGCACATCTTCAAATACGTGGCACATCGGCCTGCCGATCTTTTCCGCTGCCTGCTCGTCTGCAAGGCGTGGTGTCTGTGCGGCGTCGAGCTGCTCTGGCACCGGCCGGCGTTCCCCAACATGGACACGCTGGAGCTCTTCACCCACGTCCTCGAGGCGCCCGACACGACGTTTGAGTACGCCAGCTTTGTGCGCCGCCTCAGCTTTGCCGGCATCGTCAACGACGTGCGCGACGAGCACTTTCTGCCGTTTCGCGTCTGCCATCGCCTCGAGCGCCTGGCGCTGGCGGGCTGCAAGGCGCTGAGCAACGACGCCATCGTCGAGGCGCTGCAACATCTGCGCGGCATCGTCGCTGCCGACCTGACCGACCTGGTGCAGCTCGAGGACAGCGCGATTGAGATGCTGTACAAGACGTGCGCGCGCCTGCAAGGGCTCAACCTCAGCGGCTGTGCCAAGGTGACGTCGGGTGCCGTGGCGGCGCTGGCAAAGACGTGCACGTTGCTGCGGCGCGTCAAGCTGTGCGGCTGCGTGGGCATTGGCGACGAGGCCTTTGCGGCACTGACGATGCACTGTCCCGTGCTGCTCGAGGTCGACGTGGCGGGCTGTGCGCTCATCTCCGACATTTCCGTGCGCGAGCTGTGGCGCCGCGCCTTCCACATCCGCGAGCTGCGGCTGGCGCACTGCGGCGCCCTCACCGACCTGGCGTTCCCCGCGCCCAACTCCGTCTTTCAGAACACGCTGCGCACGGGCCCGTCGGCGCTGCATCAGACGGGCTGGGGAGGCATCGAGTCGGCGCCTGCGTCGCGCGGCACGTCGCCCGTCGGCGGCATGGCCGCTGGGCATCTGACGCTGCGTCATGCCTCCTCCGGCGACGGCCTCTTTCCGCGCACCGCGACGCTGCCCATGCCCTCGCCCACCATGACGCACCTGGCGCCGCCGCGCACGTTCGACCATCTGCGCATCCTCGACATCACCAACTGCAGCACCATCTCCGACGCCGCCATCGAGGGCATCGTGACGCACGTGCCGCGCATCAAGAACCTCATCCTTGCAAAGTGCACGCGGCTGACGGACGATGCCGTGTACAGCATTGCCAAGCTGGGCAAGAACCTGCACTACCTGCATCTCGGACACGTCAGCAAGTGAGTGCGACGGAGAGACTCGTGCGGTGGCGCTGGCACTCGTGCTACTGTCCAGACTGCTGACCTCGGCCCATCTCTGCAGCATCACCGACCGCGCCGTCTCGCACCTGGCACGCGCCTGCACTCGGCTGCGCTACATCGACCTCGCCTGCTGTCCGCAGCTGACGGACGTCAGTGTGTTTGAGCTGGCGGCGAATCTGCCAAAGCTGCGGCGCATTGGCCTCGTGCGAGTGAGTCTTGGTGCACTGGCTTTTCGCACAGCTTCTGCAGAGCCTCTCTCTCTCTCTCTCTCTCGCCTTCTCCTGCTGAACACTGGCCCGTAACGCAACAGGTGTCGAACATCACCGACCAGGCCATCTACAGTCTCGTCGACCGCCACACGAGTCTCGAGCGCGTGCATCTCAGCTACTGCGAGAACATCAGCGTGCCGGCCGTCTTTTGGCTGCTGCAGCGTCTGCTCAAGCTCACGCATCTCAGCCTGACGGGCATTCCGGCCTTCCGACGGCCCGAGCTGCAGGAGATGTGTCGCGATCCGCCAGAGGTGAGTGGCAGGCAGGAAGAGGAGTGCGTCGAGAGGTGCTGACTCGCGCGTGGACGCGCCCAGGACTTCAACGATCACCAGCGCAGTGCCTTCTGCGTCTACAGCGGCGACGGCGTCGGCAAGCTGCGCGACTTTCTGCACGACGTGTACAGGGAGGACGGCGAGGCGAGCCGAGAGTATGGCGTGCTGATGCCCGAGGTGCAGCGCGCCATTGCCTCGCTCGAGCAGATTGCCGCGTCGGGCACGACGGAAAGCCGCGATGCGAGACATCGGTCCAGCGAGGCGGCAAGAGCTGTGGCTGCTGCGGCTGGCGTGGGAGGCGGACCAAGTCATCATGGCTTGCACCGCATGGAACGTCGGCATCCACGCGGCAGCACAGGCGGAGGCGGCGCAGGCGGCGAGGGCAGGACGAGTGCGGCAGGAGCGGATGCTGCGGCAGGATGGCAGGATGAAGAGGAAGGCGGCGGCGGTGCTCCTTCCTCTCCGACATCACGAGGCCAGAGCGAGCGCGTGGCGGCATACTGGCGCGCCCAACACACAATCCGCCACGGCGGCGGCGCCATCCGCTCCGATGCCTCCTCCTCCTCCTCGCGGCGCCGCAACGCCGAGTCGCACCACGACGTGGCGCGCCACGAGCGCGAGCGCGGCGGCGCGGTGCCCATGGATGTCGAGCCTAGCGATGCAAGCGCGAGTACTTCCTTCATGCGCCCGCCGGCCGAAGAGTTCCTTCAAGGCGCCTACCATCATCACCCTCAACAGCATGCGATGCACTACGGCGCAGCCCAACGCGGCCAGCGCGCCTCGATGCCTGGAGGCTTCGTCTGGGGCCCGTATGCCTCTTCGGCACCCGAGGCTTCGTCGTCGAGCCGAGGCCTGCACGCGCACATGGCGGCTGCTGCGGGCGTGGGTGCGGGCACGGAGGATGAGGATAGCTTCGAGTCGGCTCGCGAAGGCGGCGGTGGCGAGGCTGCTTCGTCGCGTGCTGCCGCGCCGAATGGTCAGCAGGAGCATCAGCATCAGCAGCAGGCGCTCGGCGCACTCGCCACGCCTCCGCTGCACGCCGTGTTTCCCGGCCAAGAGGGAGCGCCGCAGGCACATGTAGACGAACACTCGGTGCGCCGCGCCGGCCAGCGTGCTGCGGCGGAGATGCAGGCGGCCCTCGATGCGCGTGCGGAGCGCTATGCGTTTGAGTCGCGCCGACGATGAGGGACATGTCGGCCAGTCGCCCCCGGCCCAGGCGAGATCTTCAAGGGCCGTCCTCGGGTGGAGCTCTTGCCCCGCGCGCGCAGCAGCTGCGTCCTCCCCGCGACACGCCACGTGCAGCAGTCGCTCGTCTGCGCACCCGGCTGGCCGTCGCCGCTGCGCCGATGATCCCACAGCACATACCACCCTCAATAGGCCGCACATCTCCCCTGCGGCCTTGCGTTGCATGCATTCCATGTCTAGCTCTTGCGTCGTGAACGTGTGCTGACAGCGAATGGGGGGGCGGCCTGCACCCGCACGCCGACGTCGGGTGCAGGCGCGAGCTGATCAGCTGCGCCCGACGTGGACCCGCCGAGCGCTTCGGCGCGAAGACGAGAGCGGCACAGCAGCAGGCGCAGGCAGGGAGAGTGGCCAGCGTGCAGGCAGCGTGCAGGTCGAGGCGGCGCGCCGCGCGGCGGCGGCGCGGTGGCGGAGGCGGAGAGCGCGCCGCGACGCGCTTTCGCTGCGAGAGCAACACACGCGCGGCGTCAAGCTCGCTTGTCTCTCTTCCTCCACCCCTCCGCCACCCTTTGCTCTCTTTCATCATGGCCACACTCAACGCCGCACGCGCCTCCGCCTCGACGTCTGCACGACAAGAAGTGCAGGCGCAAGCCTCCACCTCTGCCGCTGCCGCTGCCGCTGCACCACCGCTCGCAGGCCTCCTGCCACCCTCCTTTGCAAACGCCTCGCAGGCCTCGGCCGATCTCCTCGCGCGCCTCAGGCCGCTGGCGCTCAAAGAGGCGGAGCGACGGGAACGCGAAGCCAAGGGCGTGGGCAAGGCGCCGGCGGGAGATGAGCAGGAGGAAGAGACAGAAGAGATGATGCAGCTGCTGCAAGAGGCGCGTGTGCGCAACGATGCCGAGTGGAGACGCATACGCACGGTGAGTTTGGTTTGGCGCTGGGCATTGTTGCTGCTGCGGCTTGCGGCTGCGGCAAGAGAGCTGATGCGCGAGATGGATGCAACACAGATTCTGCTGCAGCTGGGCGACGAGGAGCCCGTGGAAGCGCCGCCGCCAGAGGAGGCAGAGCAAGAGACGCAGGAGCGCCAGTTGAGGCAGAAGGAAGTGAGTGGGCTTGCTTTTTCGTGCGCTTTGCTTGCTCCTCTCGCGCTTGAGAGGAGAGAGAGAGAGGAGAGGAGAGCCCCCAAGCGAGAAAAAGGCTGACGCGAAGCACAACCGCGACAGTTGCAACTGCGGAAGCTGGACCATGAACTGGCGCTGCTCGAGACCGGTGAGTTTGGGTGCCTTTCCTCCTGCTCGCGCGCGCTTCGCCCGCAGCGGGGGCATCACAAGCGCAGAAATGGGCGCTGAAGAAGCCACGCCGCCTTTATCCTCCCCTTCCCCCCACAGATTTAGCCGCGCTGCCACCTCCGCAAAGCAAGCTGGCCCAGCTGCTCGACGCGCGAGCGTGCCTGCTGCAGAGTGTGCAGCAGTACGACGAGGCGCTGGAGGCGCTGCGGCGGGAAGTGGAGCGCGAGGCGTGCGGGCTGGATGCGTGAGTGTTTTTGATTGTCTGCTGGCCCCGTGCTGGAAGCAAAAAGGGGGACAGGGAGCGCCCCAGCGAGATGGGGCTTCCTCTGAGTGGGAGAACGGTGCCGGGGGGGGGCAGAGGGCCTGCATTGGGGGAAGGGGTCTCGAGACATGAAGCGGCAGGGCAGAGAACGCACAAGCTGACCCCGCCGCTGCACCTCTTTTGTCCTCTCTCTCTCTCTCTTCCAAAGCGATCGCAAGCTCCTCTCCGACTTGTCCGACGTGCAGCTAGGCCTGCAGCGCCGCCGGGAGATGGAGGAGCAGCGAGAGCGGGAGATGGGCGCTGATGAGGTAGCTGCGTACGTTGCCCCCCCCTCTCCATTCTCTAGCTTTCGCATCTTCCCCACTCACTCCACTTTTGCGCTGCGCCTTACCTCGCTGGCCCATCGTACAACCTACTCGAGAGCAGTGCCCTCAAGCAGAAGCTGCAGCTCGTAGAAAGCGACCTAGGCGTCCTCCTCAACGCCCTCATCGCCACGTCGAACCGTCTCTTCTCCGACGCCTCGGCGCGCTCGCGCGCCCAACTGCGTGCCCTACTCGACGTGCGTGTCTTTTTGCCCTTCGCCCCTCTTCCCCTCCCCCGTGCGGCGGCCTGGCTGACGCCCCCTTCTCGCGCCCCCCCCCCCCCCCCCCCCCCGCGCCGCGAGGGAGAACAGTCGTTGATGAACAGCGCGTGGGACACGCCCGCCGAGCCGTACGTCGACAGCCGCAAGTATCCCGCCGCCCTTGCCGCGTTTCTCGTGCGCGCAAACGTGGCGCTCGAGCATCCCGCCGACGCGCGCAGGCTGCGCCTGGTGGGCTTCCAGAGGGGAGTGGGGGCGACACAGTGAAGTAGTGGGCGAGACGGCGGGACTTGGAGCACTTTTGGTCCTCCCCCCCCCCCCCGTTCATCTCTCTCTCTCTCTCAGCGCCCGGCTCTGTAGCGCTTGTCACAGCAGTGTGTTGTATTTCTATGCTTGCCCTCGCACCCCCCTCGCCTCTCACCCCGCGCGCGCGCTCAACTTGCGACGCTGATGCGCACGACGGGCCAGCTGCGATTGGCGAAGCCTCGGACATTGTACGGCGATTCCTGCTCCTGCCGCGCCTCGCTCGTCGCTGTTTTGTATCGGAAGGCGCCCCCCACGGAACGAACAGATCGGGTTTCAGCGTGCAGTCCTCCGCCTAATCTACGGTGTTTCGCAGAGAGGTCAGGCAGGGCGTGCAACTCACAGGCTCGTACCACCACCGCCCATGCCTCTTCCTTCCCTCGCGCCTCTCCTCGTCGTCGCGCAGGCCGCAGCAGCGGCTTGACGCTGGCGCGCCAAAGCGTCCATCCCCACGTGCCGCCGCCCACGTCTTGCGCCGCCGCCGGCGAGCCGAGCAGCTGCGCGGCGCGCCACTCGTGCGCGGGCCGCGCGGCCGCCAGCTGGCGCAGGTGCGTGCGGGAGAGCGAGGAGGAGGGCGGCGTCGTGGCGGGGAGAGCGAGGAAGAGCAGCGAGACGGATTGGATTGCCTGGCCTGGTTTTGTGTACGCCGATTAGACGTTGGCAAAAAGAAGTGGCAGGAGAGGAATGACAGGGTGGGGGGGGGGGGACGCACCGTTTGCGGGCACAGCATAGCCTCGAATCTCGCCATGCACATCCACGACCTCGCCCTCTCGCGGCGTCACCACGGCGCTCCCAATGCCCACGCTCATCAGTGCCGGCTGTTCAAGCATGAGGCGCCTTCTCATCTCGCCGTCCATCTGCGCTCCCGACATGCGCGCCAGCCACTCGCTCCGCTGTCTCTCCGCCAGCCCCGCCGGCGGGCAGAGCATCTTGTAGTCGTCGCGCATCGGCGCCGACGCCTCCGGCACGACGTCAACGTGCAGTGCGCGCAGCCACTTGATCCAGCGCGCGCCGACGACGCCGGGCAGCACGGCGCGCAGCGCGCCGCCGTGCACACGAGGCAGTGCCTCGTCGTTGGCGTGCGTGGCCACGAGGTGCTGCGGCGCAAGCGCAGCGAGGGGGAGAGAGGCGCCGAAGAGCGCCTGCGAGGAGAGGAGGTGCAGATGCAGGCCTTCGAAGCGCAGTGAAGACGCGTCGTCAAGTGCGTCGAGATGGAGCCCGAGGAGGCGGAGCAGATCAAACAGCCTCACTCCTGCCCCCCTCAACCCCTTATCAGCTTCGCTTCTTCTCAGGAGCAGCAAGCTAGCCCCCCCCCCCTCCGCGAAAACACAACTCACCGCGCCACGCCACATTGCCCACGGCACCCGCGCCCCACTGGATGCCCTCGCTGCTCTCGCCCCGCTCGGGGCGCGCCATCTCGCGCCTGCGGTTGCCCGCGCACTCCAGCACCGCCACGACGTCGTGCTGCGGCATCGCGCCCAGCTGGCGCAGCTGCAGCGTGCAGTCCGCCTGCAGCGCTGCGCCGTCGGCGCGGGAGCGCAGCAGAGCGCGAGCAGCGGCGGAGATGGAGAGTTGTAAAGAGGAGCAAGGGGCAGGCGGCGCGTGGCGATTGCGCAGGAAGAGCGAGGAGAGGGGCGTGAGGAGCGTGCTGAGGGTGGAGAGCGACGACTCGGCGTTGAGGATGGCGCCGTCTGCCTGTGCGGTGCGTTAGTCGAGCGGGAAGACGGAGAGCGGGAGGAAAGAGAAGGGTGAGGGCACGTACGCTGCGTTCATGCACGATGAAGCCCGCCTCGTCTGCCTTGTGCTTCTCCAGCGCCTCTTGCGCCTTGTGCTCGGCTTCAGCGGTGCGCGTGTTGCGCACAGAAGGCGCCGACGACGGCGCAGCAGGCGACACAGACATGCTCGGCGTGGGAGAGGCCGCGGCGAGAGAGGCTTGTGGCGCGCTTCGCGTGAGGACGGGCTGACGGTAGGGAGTGCGGCGTGGGTTGCAGGCAGGTGTACCCTTCTCGTACACTCGCCTCTGATCTCTCTCTCTCTCCTCTTATACCTCTTGCTGCCCTCACAATTGCGCCCCTTGCGTCGCTCATCTGACGCCCGACAGAGCATGCTTGCCGTGCGGCGAGCTGCACGAACCTCCGCTCGATCTCTCTCTGCCTGCAATGGCGTGCTCATGGCGGGCGCGCCACCAGCAAATGGAGGCGCGGGCTGAAGCATTTGTGTGGCTTGATCGAGCTCTCTCTCTGCTGCTGGGCGCAGCTGAGTGCTCCTCAAGGTGGCAGCGGCTGTCAGGGGGCAAACTCGCGGCGCGGCGGCCCCTGAGCGTCGAGGCTCGCCTCACGTGCGCGCCCCGGCCCCAGCGGCCGCCTCGGCACGCCTGCTGCTGAGCTCCACACGGCGCGCGCCGCTCGAGCCGTTCGCCGCCCGTGCGCGGCGCCGCGCCTGACACAGCCTCCTTCCTCTCATCTCCCATACCCTCAACCGGCAGCCCCTCGCGCGCCGCACACTCTCCATCAATCTCGCAACCTCACGCCTGGCACCCCATGGCGTATCCCGGACAGGGCCACGGCTCGCATGGCGGCGGCGGCCAGTACGGTGCGCCTCAGGGCTTTCCCCAGCCCGGCGGCTACGGTCCGCCGCAAGGCTACGCTCCTCCTCCGCAGGGCTACCCTCAACCCGGCTACGGCGGCTACCCGCAGCCTGGCCCGCCGCCGCCGCAGCAGATGCAGGGCGGCTATGGCGGCGGCTACGGCGCGCCGCCGCACCCGCCGCCGCCGCAGGGCCAGTACGGCGCGCCGCAGCACTACGGCCAGCAGCAGGGCCGCCAGCAGGTGCCGCAGGGCTACCAGCACATGCAGACCAACTTCAACGTGCCGCAGGGCGTGCAGCAGAACGGCAGTGAGTACTGGCATCAGGCACGTCACCCTGCCTCCTTGCGCGGAGCTGATCGTGCGCCGCGCGCTTGGCACGCGCAGACCAGCGCTTCCAGTACTCGTCGATGAACGGCAAGCGCAAGGCGCTGCTCATCGGCATCAACTACGCCGGCACGCGCGCCGAGCTGCGTGGCTGCTGGAACGACGTCGAGAACATGAAGCAGTTCATCATGCGTGCGTTCTCTCTCTTGCCCCTCTCTCTGCACTCTCCACAGCTCCGCCTTCGCTTGGCCCGAGCTGCTGGGCTGACGCCCCCCCCGCGTGTGTGTCTCGCAGGGCGAGGATACAAGGCGGAAGACATGGTGGTGCTCACGGACCAGTCGCGCGACCCGCGGTCGATCCCGACACGCCAGAACATGGTCAGTCCGGGCCTAGAGATGCTGACCGCGCTTCGCTTGAGCTGACAGGGCGTGTCTAGACGGCGGCGATGAACTGGCTCGTGCGCGGCGCCTCGGCTGGCGATGCGCTCTTCTTCCACTACTCGGTGCGTCCACCCTCGGCACGCCACAGAGCTGAAGCAGTGAGCTGATCGTCCGGCATTGGGCAGGGCCACGGTGGCCAGGCCAAGGCATCGCAGGGCGACGAGGCCGACGGCATGAACGAGACGGTGCTGCCGCTGGACTATGAGCGGGCAGGACAGATGGAGGACGATGTGAGTAGTCCGCGTGCATGCCACATCCCCGCCAAAAGGCTTGCGCTGCTGCTGACTTGCGTGTGTGTCCCGCGAAGGAACTGCACGCCATCATGGTGCGCCCCCTGCCGCTCGGCTGCCGTCTTACTGCGCTGTTCGAGTGAGTCGAGGGCGCTGGCCCGCGTGGCTCTCCAAGGTGTGATGCTGACGCTGACATTGCCTTCGCCTGCGCCAGCTCCTGCCACTCTGGGTAAACTTCTCTCATACTGTGCTCCCACGTGTAGCCCGCTGACCCCGCCCGCAGCACGGCGCTCGACCTGCCGTACGTCTACACGACGTCGGGCAACATCAAGGAGCCGAGTACGTCCCGTCTTGCTTGCCTCATCTTCGCTTGCTGACACTCGCTGCGCAGACGTTGTGGCAGGCCTCGGCAAGGGTCTGATGGGCGCCGGCATGTCGTACGCGCGCGGCGATGTCGGCGGCATGATCAAGGGTCTGATGAGCACCTTCAAGGAAGCCACGGGCTCGAGCGGTGCAGAGCAAGTGACGAAGGAGACGCGCTCCAGCGGCGCCGACGTCGTGAGTAGCCCCCGCGCGCGCGAGCGAGCGGCTGTGCCAATCGTGAAATGTGGCAACACGCTGATGCAGGCGATGGACACACCCAGGTGATGCTCTCCGGCTCCAAAGACTCGCAGACGTCGGCAGACGCCACGATTGCGGGCAAGGCGACGGGCGCCATGTCCTATGCGTTCGTCAAGGTGATGAACGAGTACCCGCAGCTCTCGTACTTGCAGTGAGTGGTTGGCTCTCGTGCGCGCCGTGGAGGAAGCCAAGGCTGACCTTGCCGCTTTCGCCCTCAGGCTCCTCAACGCGTAAGCCCCGCGTCGCCCTAGACGCCGCCTGTCGATGCTCACGCCTCACCCTTCGCAGCACCCGAGACGTCCTCGTGGAGAAGTACAGCCAGAAGCGTGCGTGCCTTCGGCCTTCGGTCACCCGCCCTGCTGCTACACCTGACTGACGCCCCTCTCGCGACATCCCCCAGCGCAGCTCTCGTCGTCGCACCCCATGGATCTCAACCTGCTCTTCGTCATCTGAGCAGGCATGACTTGCCCACGCTGTCTCTTGTTCTCTGTCTTGTACTCCTCCCTTCTTCCGAGAACGCCATGCTATGTCTCTCCGCAGCAAAATGCGCCGAGAGCACGCTCGTCGCAGCCCCCGCGCGACATTGCCGACGTGTGCGAATTTGCAATTGCCTCGCCTCGACGCTCGACGCTCGCCGTCGAGCGTCGCGTCTCGCTCGCGAGCGCATGGCAGGAGCGACGCTGGCTCTGCTTGCTGGAGGGAGTGAAGCAGAAGGAAGCTTGCACGGCTCGGTATGAGGTGATCCTCGAGCGAAGCCCTCGAGCTTCCGACGTCGTCTTGATCCGAAGCTCGACGCTCTCGCTCGACGCTCTCGCTCGACGCTCTCGAGGCTCGAGAAGTCGGGTTTCAAGCTCCGCCAGTCGTGCGCACGTTCCCAGCGCTCTCCGGGACACTCGCCGCGCGCCCCGCTGCCGGCTTCTACGGCGCCGGCAGCCAGCAGCCGCATGCTGCTGGGTGCTGCGGTTCGGTCTCTGCGCAAGCCACGCTCCCAAAGTGTTCCAGGGCGTGAAGAGCGGTGCTTTGCAGTTGCTCGAAGAGCCAAGGCTGCCTCTTCGCACGTCGGAAGCGGCTGGAGAAGCAGGCGTGTGCTGGCTCGTCGTCTCGCAGATCTCGCGCCTCGGTGCCGCCCGCACCGCTGCGCCAGATTTAGCGCGGCGTGGGCGGAGCGTGCGGCGCGCAGGCAGGCCGTCGGTGTCGCTGTGGGCGCAGCGCCGCGTGCGGCGTGCGGCGGAGGCGGCGCCAACGGACGTGCCGCCGAGGTGCTCTCGCTCTCGTGCGGTGTGTAGTCCACGAGCCGCTTGGCTGGGTGCAATCTCAGGCACCGGCTCGACCTCTGCTTCTCCTCGCAAAGCCACTCGCATCCTTCTTCCGCACCTCGTCTCGTCCGTCTGTGTCTCGCTCTCGCTCTCTCCTCTCCACCTCATCGCGGCCGCCCTCCTGCTCGTCCAAAGCGCGCGCATACACACAAGATGTCCACTCAGCCCCTCCTGCAGCGCACGGCCGGCAAGCGCATTGCGCTGCCCGTGCGCGTCGAGCCCAAGGTGTGTTGCGCCTCATCCGCGAGCGCAGTTGTAGCTGGGTGATAGAGTAGCGAGGTGAAGGGGTGGGCGCTACGTGGACCGGCCTAGGCACGGCGAGCAGAGTAAGCATGGGCGCGGCATGCGCTGCCTGGCCGCAAAGTGCCGACGCTCGCTCTGGCTATGCAGACTTAGCTGTCTTTCCAGCTATGCGCCTCGGCGTAGCTGTGTTTCTCGCATCGTCGTCTGTTGCCTCTCACTCACGCGCTCTCCTCCGCTCAGGTCTTCTTCGCCAACGAGCGTACCTGTGCGTCGTGCCTCGTCCCATCTCCGCTGCATCCCGTTCGCTTCCGCAAACTGACCTGCGTTGCTCGCCCGACACAGTCCTCTCATGGCTCAACTTCACCGTGACGCTCTCGGCGCTCGCCGCGGGCCTGCTCAACTTCGGCGACCAGGTGGGCCGCATCAGCGCGGCCATGTTCTCGTTTGTCGGTGAGTGCGCGGCAGGGGCGAGGCTGCGGGGGAAGGAAGCGGATGAGGACAAGAGGAGAAGGCGACAGGACACAGTGTGCACTGGAGGAGGCTGGCTTGCGGCGCTACTGAGGCCAGAGTGTATGCTGGGCGGCGCGGGCTTGTGACTTGAGAGAGGGCACTTGCAGAGAGGAGTGGGGCACCGGCCCGAGCGGCCTCCAGTTGCCTCAGCCGGCCAGGCAGCCCTCAGTCGTGATGTGTGCGGCATCTGTCGCGCCCGTCCGCGCACACTCGTCATAGTGCGCAGTGCCCTGGGCAGGCCACGCTCCCCCGCACACTTGAAGGCTGCGCTGCTGGAAACGTGACGTTCGCCTCTGGGCGCGGGGCAGCGTGGTTTGTCTTTGCACGAGGGCAAGTTCTGCAAAGCCTTGAACGCCCTGCAGAGCTTAGCCGTCAGGGGGCGTGAGCAGAGCAGGAAACGGAGAGGAGAAGCATAGGCGAGGGCGCTCCTCGCTGGTTCTCTTGCATGCGCTGCAGCAGCATGCAGCAGCACCTTTGAGCCTTCGATCTGCTTGCGCCCAAAGCCGCGCCCAGCTGCGTTCCCAGCTGTTGCACCCTCCTTTTGCTGCGCTATGCAGACAGACCCGAAAGCGCAGTTGCTGACGGCTGCTCTCTCTTCCAAACAGCCATGGCCATCATGGTGTACGCGCTCGTCACGTACCACTGGCGTGCGTCTGCGATCCGCAACCGCGGCACGGGCCCTTACGATGACCGTCTTGGTGAGTCTCTGCCTCCTCCCCTTTTTTCGCCCCCTCTTCTCCCGCCGCGGGCCTGGCAGCAAAGTGCCGATCTGCGACGCTGACTGCTGTGTCACTGCGACTTTGCGCTTCGACAGGCCCGACGATGCTCTCCGTGCTCCTCATGATCGCCGTCATTGTCAACTTCGTCCTGCGCTACCGGGACGACTAGGCGTTGTTTGCTTGCCTCGCTCCAACCTCTCGCCTTTTCCTTCCTTGTCTGCTATTCAGCGAGCGCCGTACAACCCGAATGCAACTTTTCGTCTCGCATCTCTCTCTCTTTCCTCACTCATCAGACTCTTTTTGCCCCTTTCCTCTTCCCAGTGTACTCGAAGACTGAAAGCTGTGGTCAATCGCAACTCGTCGCTAGTCTCATGCCTTAGCGCAGGCGCAGCGGAATGCAGCTCAGGACAGAGTAGGCGGCTGCTGCGCAGGGCTGCAGAGCCGAGAGGAGACGCATCACTATTCCTCCTCGCCGTGTGTCTGAATCGAATGCTCTGTGGGAGGCTCGCATCGAGAGGAAGAGCGCTCCTGCTGCTCGTCCAACCTCGTGCACTCTGAGCAGCTCCTTTCGCCATCGCTCTTTCTCCAACATCGAGGTTTCAGCAACGACGGCACGGCGATGACTGCCGGCTGGCGACGGGGGAGCTCTCATCGTGCGATTTCCCCATCGTGGACGCGAGCGTGAAGATATTTCGACACGCCCTTCAAGCCCTGGCTGCCCAAGGACGGCGCCTGCACGAGCGCCGCGGCACCCTCTTCAGAACCGATCTCCGCCATCTCCCTTCCTCCTCTTTTACCAGCTTGGGCCCGCTCAATTCCTCCAGCTTCTCGATCTGTAGTGCTCCACGCGCAGGCGCAAGCGGGTGATGCAGCAAATGATGACATTATTTTGAGGTTGAGTGTCCGGGCATGAACCGCATCAGGTGCCGGTCGGCGGTGGGCAGCAACGCTCCACGCTCAGTCAAGAGCGCAGGCGAGTTGTGACATGACTAGAAGAGCGATGACGGTGTCAGCATTGCTCCTGCGACATCGACGAGAACCTCGGACTCCCTCCCTCCTGCACCAGCCGCTGCGACGCGCGCCGTCTGCGCCGCAGCGACGAGAGCACGATGATTCTCAGACGAGTAATAATGATTCCGGATGGATGAGTATCCTCAGTGCTAGAGCTTCTCGACTCCGCTCCGTTGAGGGAGTCCATGTGTCATCACCGAAGTGCGCCCCGCCCAACCCTGCCCACCTGGTCTTGCTCGGACACTCACGTGAGATGACGAGACGCCTCCTCCCAAGCCAGTGCCCCCACTTTAGCGGCTCTTGAAGTGCGAGAGGAGGACGTTGAGGCCCTCGCTCTCCTCTCCGTAGTCGCGCACGACGACGCACGAGCAGCCGACGACCTTGCGCGGGTTGCCCTCGCGGTCGATCTTGCACAGGCCGGCCCACGTGCCGAGCGTCTTGGGGTCCGAGACCTTGAGCAGGTCGATCTTGTGCTCGGTGCAGAGCGCCTCGATGAGCTTGATGTACTCGGCCTCGGTGCACGTCTCGACGAGCACGCAGAGGTGCGCCTGGCGCCGGTCGAGGGCCTTGGCGCACTCGCGCAGGCCGCGGGCCAGGCCGTCGTGGATGAGGGCCTTCTTGAGGACCTGGAGTGCGTGTGAGCCTATGCAGCACATTCAATGAGCGCATCGCAGCGACGCACCTCCTGCAGGGCGTCCTCGATGCTCATGGAGCCCTTGGCGGCGGCCGGAGCCTCGGCCTCGACCTCCTCGACGGCGACGTCGATGGGCGTCTCCTCGATGTCCGACATGGCGAAGAGTGTGTGTGAAGAGTGGAAGAGGTGGGGAGTGGCTTCTTCGACGATCAGGTGGGTGATCGCTCAGCAGGGGATGGGTTGGGGTGGGAAGCAGCGCTGGCCGGTGCTGAGGCCAAGGCACAGCATCTTCGCGGCTCCGGTCCGTGGCGGACGGGCGGCGGCGCTGCGCACCACGAGTGGTGCTGGCGCAGTCACAGCAGCGCCATGCTGCGGCTCGGCGCGCGCGGGAGTCGCACGCGCGGCCCCTCCCGGCGCGCAAGAAGGACGCTTACGTGATTTGCTGCAGCCAGCGCTGGACGAGCCGCGCCGCTGCCCTACAGGCGCGGGCGGCCGCCGCCCCTTCCGCCATCACCCCAGCTTCCCCCCTCCCCCTCAAGAGTAAGTGTGCACCTCGCATCGCTGCACCGCTGCATCGCACCTCCTCGTCGCGCCATCTGCGCATCCATCGTCGGCATGCACCATGCCCGGCCCTGCAGCCGGGTGCCGCCATGCCTCGGTGCGCCCAGCGTGGGCCTGCGACAGCGCTGCATGGCCAGGCGTCGCTCGCTCGCGCCGTCCGTCTGCTGCACGCATGCGCCCCCATTCCGGGCAGTGCAGCACCATGCCGCAGCCGCAGGCGTCGTCGAGAGACGCACGAGAGCAGGCAGGTGCCGAGCGCGCGACGAGAAGGGCTGGCTGCTCGTGGGGTGATGCATGTCGCCGCACGACGCTGGGACGGGCATGCCGGATGGAAGGCATGTTGGCGGTGGCAGATGGTGGTGGCATGGCGTGCGGCGCCTAGCGAAGTGCCAGGAGCGACGACAGGACCCCAGCCAGCTCCCGCGCAGCAGCCATGCTGATCGCGTTCTCTCCTCTGCAGAAACCTACCACCCAGCATGTCGACTGAGCTTGTGGTGCAGAGCGAGCGCGCCTTCCAGCGCCAGAAGCTGTTCCTCAACAGCAAGGCGAGCCGCACGGTGACGCGCGACCGCCGCTGGTACAAGGACGTCGGCCTTGGCTTCAAGACGCCGCGCGGTGCGATTGACGGCGACTACATTGGTGAGCAGCGCGAGGGGCAGAGGGCGAGATGGGGTCAAGTGCGGGGAGAGTGGCGTGTCGGTGGAGGCGCAGGCTGGGCTTGGCGGCGAGAGAGGGTCAGCCTATAGGCAAGTACGGCGCGCTGACACGGTGTCCGGCGCGCAGACAAGAAGTGCCCGTGGACCGGCCTCGTGTCGATCCGCGGCCGCATCCTCTCGGGCAAGGTCGTCTCGACGAAGATGACGCGCACGATTGTCATCCGCCGCGAGTACCTGCACTTTGTGCCCAAGTACAACCGCTACGAGCGGCGCCACACCAACACGAGCGTGCACTGCTCGCCGTGCTTCCGTGTGGATGTGGGCGACGACGTCATTGTGGGCCAGTGCCGCCCGCTGAGCAAGACGGTGCGCTTCAACGTGCTCAAGGTCAACAAGAACCGTGCGCTCGTCAAGGCGGCCAAGAAGTTCTCCAAGTTCTAAGCGTTGCGCACACCCCCCTTCGCAATGAACCGAGTTCCTTCCCTGTCCTTCGCCTCTCCCCTCGTGGCAGTCCGTCGTCGGGCTCTGCGGCGCGCCCGTTGCCGCACAAGCGCCGCTGTTACCATAGCATCCCTCTCACTCTCACCACACACTCTGCCGTGACCCACACACACACACACACTGTCGCCCTGTACGCACGGGATGATTCATGCCAAAAGCAACGTGCCCGCGTGCACATTGAACCAGCTGCCTGGGAGTGGGGCTCTTGAGCTGCAGCTGCTCTGAGGCGGTGCGGCTTGAACGAGCACAATTTCGCGGCGCGTTGGCTGCTGTGCCGCCGTCGCACACGCGCCCGCGCCAGCGCTGGCGGCCCAAGCCAGCCCACAGCCAGCGCCAGGCACGCCTCGAGCGCACGGGCAACATCACATCGCGGCGTGGCTTGCCGTGAGCTGTCCAACCTCTCGGCCATCTCCACACCCACACCCTCACCACACACGCACATCATGTCCTTCGACTTTGGCTCCTCCGCGCCCGAGTCCGACCCGACTGCCGACTTCCTGGCGCGCGAGCGGGCCGCCGCCGGCGCGCTCTCGGGCGACGCCGAGCTCTTCGGCGCGGCGGGCGCCGCGTCGGGCGGCGACAAGGACTTCAGCAGCGGCGCATCCGCCTTCCCGGCGCTCGACGGCGACGACTCGGCGCCTGCCTCTGCGGCGCCTGCCGCGGCGCCCGCGCCCGACTTTGGCAGCTTTGGCGACGACGACGATCTGATGGGCGGCGGCGGCGGTGCGCCCAGTGGAAGCGCGCCGCCCCCGCAGCAGCTCGACGAGCGGGACCAGTTCGAGCAGAACTTCCCCGACCTCGCCGAGCCTGAGCCGGAGCCGGTGCCGCAGCAGACGGTGCGTTGTTGTGCTCGGGCGCTGTAGCCGTGGCGAGACTGACCTGTGTGCGACCCATCCGCAGAACGGCCACATGGCACCGCCGATCGCCTCGAACATCTCGCGCCCGGCGCCGTCTGCCTCGTACGGCATCGCCGCGGACCCGTACGCCACCGAGAGCGGCGAGGAGCCCGAGGCCGTGCGGTGAGTGTCTTGTCCCCTCTGTTCCAGCCCCATGCCTCCTGGCTCATGGCTGCCTCTGCCCACCCCCAGGGAATGGCGCGCGCGCCAGGCCGACGACATTGCGCGGCGCGACGCAGAGGCGGAGCGCAAGAAGGCAGAGACGGTCTCCAAGGCCGAGCGCGACATTGACCAATTCTACGCCGAGTACAACCAGAAGAAGGAGAAGAACATCGCGGCCAACAAGTGAGTTGCGGGAGCGAGCGAGCATCACGGAGCGGGGAGACGTGCGTCAAGAGGGCTGCTCGCTTCTGCTATCGGCGGCTGCTACCGCCATTGCGCGCGTGTCAGCTCCGCAGCTGGCTCTCCCTGCTCACGCTCGTGGCTGACTCTGCATCTACTCATCAGGGAGGCAGAGGCCAAGTTCCACGCCTCTCGGCAGGCCGAGCTGGCCGAAGGCACGACGTGGGCGCGCGTCACGAAGCTCGTGGACCTGCAGAACTCGCAGAGCAAGACGACGGCGCGCGGCGGACCGGGCGCCAGCGACCTGACGCGGTATAAGGAGATCCTGCTGAGCCTGAGACGCGAGGGCGACACGGCGCCCGCAGCGGCTGGCTACTAGGAAGCTTCCGCACGCTGCTGCCATGCCAAGGCAACGCAGGCTTGCGCCACCTTCCTCGAGCGCGACTGGCTCGGGCTGGGATAGGTGGAGAGGAGGGACTCTGATGAGACTGGAATGATCACGATTTGACGCTCGAGCCGAGGCGACGAGGCGCAATGGTTGAGAGCGACGGGGCTGGAGTGCTATGTAGATGTACAGATGAAGATGCGGGGCGCGAGACAAGGCGAGGAAGCGAGCGAGATGAAGAGGACGGATGGTAAAAGGATGCTACATGAGAAGAATGAGAGGGTGCACGGCGTGTGTGTGTGCAGGTATGTGAAGCGCCCGGCACGGCGCACAAGGAGGTGGGACGTCTCGGGCGCCGCTCAGAGTCGGCTCTCAGCCTCAGCGTCGCGCAGGGCACGCATGCTGGCGCGCGGACTCGTCGCCGAGGCAGAAGCAGAGGCGTAGCTGAGGCGCTCCCACTCTTCCTCGTCGGACAGGGCCGTCTCGCTGCGTGCACTGCCGTGGCGGCTGCCACCGTTGCGACTGCCGCCGCTGGTGGAGGCACCCGGCATGCGCCACGCGCTCTCGTCGCGCTCGGCAGAGTGGAACATGGCGCTGCCGCTCTGGCTGGCCGCGGCGGCAGCCGAGTCGAAGGGATCGGCGTCCGTATCGTCGAAGATGTGCGACGAAGGCGTGCCGAGGGACGAAGGCCCGCGCGAGAGCGGTGCGGCGCCGACGCCTGCGTCGGAGCCGGAGTGGCTAAAGGCGGCGTCGCTCCATGCGACGGAAGGCGGGGGCGAGACGATGGCAAAGTCGCTCGCGCCATCATTTGAGGAGCGCACGCTGCCGCTGTGACTGCTGCGGCGCATGGAGGGAGACGGAGGCGCGAGCAGGGCGTCGTGCGAGGAGAGCGAGGCGTGGAAGGGCAGCGGCTGGGCGCGTGGAGAAGAGCTGGCGCCGGAGCGCGGCGTGGGCGGACCGGAGTCGGGATGCGCGCCGCCGTTGCTAGATGCGGGCGCAGCGTCGGTCAGGTCGATGAGCGTGCCGCTGCGGCTGCGCTGCGAGGCCGAGGGCGACCGAGGAGCGGTGGATGCGGCGCGCGAAGACGTGGGCGAGGAGGGCTTGGGTGGCAAAGCGGGGACGTCGTTGGTCTTTAGGACAAGACCAGGTCAGTACCTGGCATCGCACACAGTGAGCATACCGGCACACAAACTCACCTCGTGCGAAGCAGCGCCCACACGTCTCCTCATGCCCTGCTGCCCCTGGCTGCGCTGCGCGCCACTCGCAAATCCCGCATCAAACTCGTCGCGCATGCGTCGCCGCACGAGGGCCGACTGGCGCTCGTGCATCTCGAACTGCTCAATCTCCTCTCGCAGCTCGCGCAGATCTCGCGCCTCCTCCTCCTCCTGCGTCTCCTGTCTCGCCTGCTGCTCGCGCCGCCTTCTCTCCCTGTTCTCCATCGCGTGTGCGCGCGCCACGTGCGGCTCGGCGCCGCCGACGACGTCGCGGAACTCGGCCTTGATGCTGGCCCATTCGGAGCGCAGGCCGGCGGCGACGCCCGAAGGCCAGTTCTGCGCGCGCCACGGCGCAAAGACGGTCACTTCGAACGTCACGGCCGCGGCGACGCCTGCGACGGCGCCGGCGAGGAGGGCGCCGTGCACCATGAGGAAAGAGAGGCGGAGGAGGAAAGAGGAAGGTGGGAGAGGCAGAGAGGATGGAGGAAGAGCAGAGAGAGAGAGGAGCAGCGCAGTGGCGCTTGAGTGCCACGACGGCGAGGGTCTGATGGCCTTAGCGCGCCCGGCAGATGCGCAGCATGCAGGCCGGCCGCGTGCGCAGCAGCTGCACCCCGCATCCTCATCCGCGCGCGCCGCCGCCGCCGCCGCCGCCGCTTCTCCTCGCCGAGCAGCGTGCCTGCCTCTGCCGTCTGCCTCTGTCGAGCCTGAGCAGCCGTGTACTTCTCTGCGGCACCGCTGCACACGCTCAAGCCTAGCCTGTGCTGAGATGCGCGCGCTGCAGAAGGCGGTCGGCGCCGGCACAGCTCCTCGCGCCGCACGCGTCGTCGATAGGGCCCGTGCGTGCGCCAGTCGCGCGACACCCTCTCTTCTGGGCGCTCTTCAGCCTGGGACTTGACGTCGAGCTCTTTTGACGTCCGCCGCAGGCATGTCCTGTCTGCAGACGACGTCGACAGCAGCGGCAGCGTGCAGCGGGCGCACGGCGATAGAGACGCAGCGGCAGGCCGATGCTCCCACGCACCGCGAGCGGGCGGCAGATCGGCGGCGGCAGCGCTGCGCGACGTCACGCGGCAGGCGCAGGTGGAGGCGGCTGCGCTGTGGGACCTGCCGCGGGAACGCTGCCCGGCTCTCAGCGCTGCCCGAGGCAGCTCGCCGTCGCCGGCCTCGGCTGGAGGGATGCTCGGCGTGGCCTGTGCAGAGCGCAGACGGCTCGTCGACGCCAAGCTTGCCTTCTTCCCTCCATCTCCTCCTCCGTCGTCCGCGCCGCCTTCGCCCGCCATGCTGCCCCGTCTCTCCCGTCCTCTCCTTCGCGCCTCTCTCCCTCGCGCCCTGCCTCGCGTCGCCGTCGCGGCGCCGCTGCGGCCCTTCTACTCCTCCCCGGCCCGCCTCGAGGCGCGCGAGCAGGCCGGCGCGCCGGCGTCGGGCTCGTTTGGCCAGGCGGCAAAGAATGTCAAGCAGGAGGCCAGCCAGCTGCGCGCCAGCATCGAGAGCGCCGTCGCCGGCGGCTCGGGCGGCAAGGAGGACAAGGGCCACGATGCGGGCGAGCTGTTCAGCGATGCGGTGAGTGGCATGGAAACAGCAGTCACCAAGGCGCAGGGAAGGCGGCAAAGGAGAGGTGTAAAGGAGTGTCCGCATGATGAGCCGCCTGGCACTGTGTGTGCGCTGCCCGCCTGGACTACACCAGCCCGCACGCTGCTGTTCTACTCTTCGCCGTGACTCACACTCCTTCTTCCACGCCGCTGCAGAAGACCATCTCGGGCGAGATGTTCCAGGCCATGCCGCGTCCGGCGCTGCTCTGGGGTGCCGCCGGTGCGTCGTCTCGCCCTCTCCCAGCCCTCCATGCTTGCACTGACCGGTGTGCGACGCAGGTGTGATTCCCTACGTCTCGACCGCCGGCGCCTCCATCTACCTGGCGCGGCAGGCCAAGCTCGTCGCCGAGGGTGAGCCTCTCTCCCTCTCCCCTCTCTTGCGTCGCTGATTTCAGTGTTCTAGGTCTTGACTCCTCCATGTCCTTCGAGACGGCCTCGGCGCTGCTTCTGCACGCGCAAAACGTGCAGATCTCGTACGGTGCCATCATCCTCTCCTTCCTCGGCGCCATCCACTGGGGCTTCGAGTTCGCCAAGTACGGCGGCGCCGTGGGCAACCGGCGCTTCTTCCTCGGCGTCGTGCCCATCTTCCTGGGCTGGCCCTCGCTCGCCCTCGCGCCGGAGATGGCGCTCGTGACGCAGTTTGGCGCCTACGTGGTGACGTGGTTCATCGACCTCAAGGCCACGACGGCCGGCTGGGCACCGAAGTGGTACAGCTCGTACCGCTTCTGGCTGACGGCTGCCGTGGGTACCAGCATCATCGCGACGCTTGCCGGCACGGTGCGTGATTCCTTGCTCCCTTCCTTCACTTGCCCATCGCTCACGTGTCCTCTGCGAGCAGAACTACTACAACTCGGACAAGTCGCTCTCCTCGGCGCGCGGCTCGGCGCAGAAGCTGGCGAACCTGGTGCAGAGCCAGGGCGCGGAGAAGTTTGCGGCGGCGGAGCGCAGTGCCAAGGGCAACCAGGGCGGCAAGATGCGGCAGGAGAAGATCGGCGGCGATCTCGAGGCCGAGCCCAACACCGAGGACGGCGACTCGTTTGTGAAGATCCGCAACCCCAAGAAGGAGGAGGAGTGAGTTGCCCCCCTTGCTTCTCTCTCCTGCGCTTCGACCCTGAGCCCCGCGAGCGCCGCACTGACGCTCTGTTCGCCCGCGCAACAGGGAGCGCAAGGCAAAGGAGGAGGAGGAGCGCAAGGCCAAGGAAGAGGAGAAGAAGAAGGCACAGCAGAAGGAGGAGGAGGAGCGGAAGAAGAAGCAGGAGATTGCGGAGGGCAAGCGCAAGAAGACGGACGCTTAGATGGGGCATCACTTCGCCGCTGTCGCTCTCTCGGGCCGCCACCAGTCAAGGGCTGCACTCCGACCTGTGGACTAACGAGCGTACGTCGGGCAAGGGCACCACGGGACCGTGCGAGGCTGCTCCTTCGCCCACATCTGGTCCCACCACCTTCCACGTCCCATCTTCGACCGACACCATACAAGCCGCTCTTTCTCTGTACCGCACTGCTACCCCAGTTCCAGCAATTCTGAAACCAGGCCATTCTCACTCCGTTCGCGCCTGTCTGCTCTCCGTAGCTGTGTGCGCACAGCGCGGCGCTCGCAAGACGCGCGCTTCCGCTGCGTGAAGCAGCAGCGCATGAGCGCAGCATGGGTGCGGTGAGCAAGCAGGGCTCGCTCTTCGCCAAGCTCGTGCGAGGCTCGTTCAGGATTCGCAGCACTCTGAGCCGTAGTGACATGGATCTGTGGGCGTCGGGCAACGGCAGACGCCCACAGCCCCATGGCAACAGCGCTGGAGAGCCACTGCAGCCTGCAAGATCGACGAGCTGCGCCTGCTGCTGGCGCGCAACCCTTCTGCGTTGCTAAAGGTAGCGTTGCGAGGCAAACACTGTTGCGAGCGCTGCACTTTCATCCCATGCCACCCACTGGCGCACTGCTCACCGCGCATCTGAAGCTGTGCACGCCTCGCCTGACGCCACAGCTCCCTCTCGGCCTCTTTGGCAGCAGCGATCCGACCTGGCTGATTCCGCCGAGCTCCTCGCCGGTCGCGCGGCCACTGATTGCCTGCATGCAATCGTATTATCCACTACCGCTTCGAACCCGAGCCCTATTTCCCCTGGTCAGCCTCATCCCCCTGGACTCTTTCCTCGCACAGCAGCACTCACCTCGCCATCCGCCGCCTCTCTCCGTTGCCAGATCTCCTCGCTCACTGCCTCGTAGTAGTCTGCGTCCAGCCCGCGCTTGGGCTCCATCTTCGGCCCGCCAGGGTAGCCGGGTGCGGGCATGGGCACGCCTGAGGACGAGGCGGGGCCCATGTAGACGTATGGCCGCAGCTAGGTGGTGGGTCAGCACGCAGTAGATGGCGCCTGGGCACCAAGGCAGCGGCGCCTCGACTCTCGCGAGCTATGCCATCGCATCTGCCACTGCGCATCACATCGGTCGCCACGCATAGCTCTTGCGCTGCTCGCGCTTCGCACTCACCGGCGTGTCCGCCAGGCCGGGCGGGACGATGTACGCGGGCACGCGGGCCTCGTCGATGCGGTGCGTGCGCTTGTTCCACGTGGCGGGCCGGCCGAACTCGTCATAGAGCTGCATGCCGTGCTTGTCTGCGAGCGCGATGCGCTTGCGCAGCAGCACGTTTGGCGTGCGCGTGCCTGTAGAGCGAGGGGCATCAGAGGCAGGCCAAAGAAGAGGCGGTGGTGCGGCAGGGCGCACCCTTGTAGAAGTCCTTGTTGCCCTTCTTGGAGCTGAGCGGCAGGCGCGAGGCCTTGCTCAGCAGCGCCAGGGTTGGCCGGAAGGACATCGGCAAGGGTGCTGGGGGGCGAGGGTGACGGCGATGGAGGGTGCGGTGCGGAGGCAGGCCGCTGCTGCTGAGGCGAGGTCAGGTGCAAGAAGGTCGCGCTGCTCCCACGCTCGACGACTACAGCCCGCAGCTGAGGTGCTTGTAGTAAGAGTCGCGACTAGGCGAGGTGGAATTCGGGCTTGCAGATTTGCGCCGCCAGCGCTCCACTCGCCTCGTGACGCACAAGCTGAGATTTGCAGCGCGGCAGCCGTGCCGTCTCGTTCGTGCGCAGCCGCACCCAAGAATTCACAGCGGCGGGCAGCGATCCTCTCGGCCCTCATCATCCCTGCCTCCCTCTGTCTCGTCAGTCGGAGCTCTCTTTAACCTCTCACACCTCGCTCCACCACACGGCCCGCGCCGTAGCCTCTCGCACTCGCAGCGCCCTCTCCGCTGCTCCCCCGAGACCTCAGCCCCGCTCGTCCCGCTCTCGCGCCCGCCCAGCATGCCGCCGGTCTCTGCCTCCAAGGCCAAGCGCCAGGCGTGCGTGTGCCTGCTGCAGCACACCGCTGCGCCCGCACTGACCCTCTCCCACACAGCGAGAAGGCCGCCAAGGCCGCCGCCAAGAGCGAGAAGGACGGCTCCTCCAAGGGCACCACCACCACCAACGGCTCCAGCACCGCCACGCCGCTCACCAACACCAGCGCCGCCACATCGGTGGAGGACCTGAGCGACATGAAGAAGCTCGCCGTCGCCACGGAGCGCAACGCCTCGGGCGTGCTCACCTCCGACAAGCAGAGCCGCGACATCCACATTGACAACTTCACCATGTCCTTCCACGGCCGCCTCCTCGTCGACGGCGCCGAGATCGTGCTCAACTACGGCCAGCGGTGAGTGTGCTGCGTGCGGCAGCTCCTGCAAGCGGCAGGCTGACGCAGCGGCGCTGCAGGTACGGCCTGCTCGGCGAGAACGGCTCGGGCAAGACGACGCTGCTCGAGGCGCTCGCGCACCGCGATGTTGAGATCCCCGAGAGCATCGACGTGAGTGGCAGCGCGAGCGGCCGGGCATGCGGGACTATGGCTGACGAGGCTGGGTACGTGTGCAGCTCTACCTCGTGCAAGGCGAGGTCGAGCCGTCGGAGCAGAACGGCCTCGAGTACTGCATCGAGTCGGCCAAGAAGAAGGTGGCGCGTCTCGAAAAGGAGATCGAGATCATGTCCGTCGCCGACGAGGTCGACGAGGTGGGCCTCGAGCTCAAGTACGAGGAGCTCGAGGAGCTCGACCCGTCGACGTTCGAGGCCAAGGCCGGTGCCATTCTGCACGGTCTCGGCTTCTCCAAGACGATGATGCACAAGCCGACCAAGGACCTGTCCGGTGGCTGGCGCATGCGCGTGGCGCTTGCGCGTGCCCTCTTCATCAAGCCGCACCTGCTGCTGCTCGACGAGCCGACGAACCACTTGGACCTCGAGGCCGTCGTGTGGCTCGAGGCGTACCTCTCGACGTACAACCACATTCTCGTCTTCACGTCGCACTCGGCCGACTTCATGGACTCGGTCTGCACCAACATCATGGACCTGACGCACCACAAGAAGCTCGTGTACTACGGCGGCAACTACTCGACGTACGTGCGCACGAAGACGGAGAACGAGACGAACCAGATGAAGGCGTACGCCAAGCAGCAGGACGAGATCCAGCACATCAAGAAGTTCATCGCCAGTGCCGGTACGTACGCCAACCTGGTCAAGCAGGCCAAGTCGAAGCAGAAGATTATCGACAAGATGGAGGCCGCCGGCCTCATCCAGCCCGTCACGGCGCCGCGGCCGCTGAGCTTCAAGTTCGAGGATGTGCGCAAGCTGCCGCCGCCCATCATTGCGCTCGACGAGGTGGCCTTCTCGTACAGCGGCAAGGTCGAGGACTACCTGTACAAGGGCCTCTCGCTCGGTGTCGACATGGACTCGCGCGTCGCCATCGTGGGCCAGAACGGCACGGGCAAGTCGACGCTGCTCAACCTCATCACCGGCGCGCTGCAGCCGACCGAGGGCACAGTGCAGCGGCATGCGGGCCTGAAGCTGGTGCGTCGAGGCGAGAGTAGCTGCCGGGGTGTCCGTGCTGACGTGTCTCGACTCTGCAGGCCAAGTACAGCCAGCACTCGGCCGACCAGCTGCCGTACGACCTCTCGCCGCTCGAGTACATGGAGCGGAAGGTGCGTCGCGCTGCAGTCCTGCTGCCCTGCTTCAGAGCTGACGCCTCTCGCCGCCACAGTACAAGGACAAGTTCCCGCAGAAGGAGATGCAGTTCTGGCGCTCGCAGATCGGGCGCTTCGGCCTCTCGGGCTCGCACCAGACGGCGCCGATCCGCACGCTCTCCGACGGCCTGCGCAACCGCGTCGTCTTCTCGCAGCTGGCGATGGAGAACCCGCACGTGCTGCTGCTCGACGAGCCGACGAACCACCTGGACATGAGCAGCATCGACGCGCTCGCCGACGCCATCAAGGAGTTCCCCGGCGGCGTGGTGATTGTGTCGCACGACTTCCGCCTCATCAGCCAGGTGGCGCAGGACCTGTGGGAGGTGAAGGGCGGCAAGATCGTCAACCTCACGAAGAACGGCATGGACATCCAGACGTACAAGAAGACGCTCATGGCCAACTCGGCCGCGGCCATCGAGAAGGCCAAGCTCGTCGGCAAGGGCAAGGCATGAGCGCGTCGCTGCGTGTGTCTGCCCTCACCATCTGCCATATCCTCGCTGCTTCTCTCCCAAAACACACTGCGTTGCGTCTTCGCATGCCCTGCTTCCTCCAAGCGCGTGACGTGACCTGCGCCTGTACATTAGAGCTCCTTCGTCTGCGGCCGAGGCCCCTCGCATGTGGCTCGGCTGATGGAATGGGAGCGCGTTGCACTGAACCTGTGTGTGCCTTGGCGAGTGAAGAGCGAGCGAGGGGACGAGAGAGGCATGCCGGGAAGTGACAAGAGCCATGCTGACGAGCGAGGTGGGTGCGTGCAGCCGGCCAGCGCAGTAAGAGTCGTAGTCTCGAACGGTGGCGGCGTGCCCGGAGCGCGGCCGGGCTGGGAGACACGGCGCGCGGCGCATCGCTCGGAACGCGCCGCGCGGCTGGCTCCCACGCTCGCGTTGCACGGCAACGCCGGGCGCACCCCTGGCCTGCCCAAAGTGGCAAGCTGGGCCCGCTGCCGCCGCCTGGAAGAGCCTGCCAGCACTGCGCCGTCGCTCTACCTTCCGCACCACATTCTTTAGCCCTCACAGCCTCTCCCTGCCGCACCCAACCGCTCCGTCCTGCACCACCAATCACGCCTTTGCCTGCACGGCCGTCTGTGCACGGCCCTCTTGCGCGCGCATACCCTGCGCCGCCGACGCATCTTCTCACCTGCCATCGGGCACTCGTCGCTCTCGCTCTGCCGAGCATGGCAAGCACAAGCGGCACGAGTGGCGCGAGCGGCACGCCTTCCACGTCGACGCCGCGGCGCACGCAGGTAGTCAGTGCAAGTAGCCAGGCGCCAGCCAAGAGCTGGCCTGCCAACGCGGGCACGCACGAGTGGCCAGCGGCGCAGCAGGAGCGTCTGGTGCAGGAGCTGGCCAAGTGTGCCTCGTCCTCCGGACTCATTCTCAAGTGGCTGGCCGGCCGTGGCAGCAGCAGCGGCGGCTGGATCCTGCGCAAGCAGCAGCAGATTGCCACAGCCTTCCATCCGGAGCTGGCCGTTGAGCATCTGCGTGCGCAGGTCATCTCCATGCGCGAGACGCACCACGCAGTGCTCGAGCGGCTCTCCATCAATGCGCGTGCGCCGACCAAGGAGTGGAAACACGGCGCTTCAGACCACCGCGTGCTCAGGTCCGAGATGGACACGCAGGGCTGCGCGTGGTGGACCGCCTGGCACAACAAGCTCTACGTGCCCTCGCTGCAGCTGGACAAGTCCGCCAGCGACGACTCCTTCTCGGGCTCGCAAGTCGGCGCCTCTTCCGACAAAGACATGACCGACGCTCTCTCCTTCGACGAGTTTCTCATCACGCATTCAAGCATGGCTGGCGCTTCCACCTCGGTCCGTGAAGAAGGAGCGCCGCTACAGAAGGGCGCGGAGCAAGGCACGCCCATCACTCCGAGCCGCAGTGACCGCTCGGACCGTTCATCGCGCCGCATCAAGACGTCTCCTTACATCAAGGCCTCGCTGCAGGTCTCCAAGAAGCGCCTCGAGCAGCTCGAGGCCAACGTGGCCGCACTGCAGCAGCCGGCAGAGCGTGCGCCTCTGTCGCACGAGCGCGAGCTGCGCCACAGCGAAATGGAGAAGGTTGCGAGCGGGGCGCGCGCGAGTGAGGTGAAGAAGCAAGGTACGCAGTACGAGGAGCTCAAGACGGCGATGGAGCAGCTCAAGATCGAGTTCAAGACCGCGCTCGAACTGCGTGACGCTCAGTACGAGGCGAAGATCCAGCAGCGCGAGGCAGAGATCAAGGCAGCCGTCGATCGCCGTGATGCCGAGTACCAGACCGCGCTCGAGCAGCGTGACGCAGAGCTCAAGACGACGCTGCTCCAGCTTCAGCACGCCCAGCAGCGCGAGCAAACTAGCCGCGACGAGGCAGACAAGCTCCACGAGGCTACACGTGTGCTACTGCACGAGTTCAAGGCGGCGTTCGAGGCGCACGAGCAGAAGCTTGCCGCTCTCGAAGAGAAGCACGGTGTTCTCGACAAGGCCATAAGTCGCTGCGATTCAACGGAGGAGCAGCTGCTCGCGGAGATGAAGAAGCTTCAGCTTATCGACTCGACACGGCGCGCGCTGCAGCAGTCCGTCCTCTCGCAGCAAGAGAAGATTTGCTGCAGCAGGCCTCGCTCACCGACCACGGCCAGCAGCTGTCTCAGCGCCAGCATGCTCTCGAGCAGCAGTTCGGCGGGCTGCCTGCGTACATCGAGCAGCGCCTCACGGCCGTGCAGCAGCAGCTGCAGGCCCAGAGCGCCTCGCTGCAGCTGGCGGCCGAGTCGGCCTGCGACCGGCTGCGCGTGCACCTGAGCGGCGAGCTCAACATGCAGATGGAGAACTACGTCGCGACCGCTCCGTCGCTCGTGGAGATGCAAGACAAGGCCGAGCTGGCAGCGCAGCGGATGCAAGGTCTCGAGGCGATCGTGCAGAACACCTCCGGCCGGCTGTTCAACAGCATCCACCGCATCGACGAGAGTGTCAAGCTCCTCGACGCCACGCTCAAGGCCGAACCAGCGCTGTGCGGCCGCGAGCACGGCAAAAAGTCGATCGAGGAGCGCCTCGAGGAGCTCGGCAAGTTTGGCGTCTGGCTCAACACCAAGTCCGCAGCCGCCGAGCAGCGCATCAGCCACATCGACCGCACGCTGCACGACACCAGCGTGGCGCTCAAGCGTCACACGCATGCCATTGCGTCAAGCGCCGACGCAGAGCAGAGCAACGCGTCGGACGACCTGGTCGAGCGCCAGCGCTGGCTCAGCACTCGGCAGGAAGAGCAGTACGAACGCTGCTCGAGCGAGCTGCAGAAGCTGTCGCAGGCAGCCGAGGAGCAGCAGTCGACGCTCTCGGCGCACGACAGTGCCCTGTCGTCGATCCGCGCGCTCAACGACGAGCATCAGACGGCACTTGCTCGTCTCAGACAGCTCAACGAGGAGCAGCTCACGCGCATCGGTCTGCTGGCCAAGCAAGAGGCTCAGCTCGAGGCGCACCTCGATGCGGCGGAGGAGAAGCGCCTGCAGTGCGAGAAAGCGCACGCCGCCGAGATCCTCAAGCTGCGCGCCGCGCAGCAGCAAGAGCTCGACTCGGCGCTCGGCAAGATGAGCGGCGTCGAGCAGAAGGCGCAGCGCGTCGAGCAGGAGCTGGCACGCGCCTGCGAGCGCATCATCGGACTGCTGGACGGCGAGAAGAGCGGAGATGAGGAGCAGGATGAGAAAGATGAGCTGGAGGTTGAGGAGGGCGCGCTGGAGGGGCGAGAGCAGGGCAAGAGCGAGTGGCGAAGCACACGGAGATACCTCACACGACGCGATCACATCATCTCGACACAGACGAGACACCTGTAGCATTCCAGTCACACGATCGAAGCGATACATACGACCCTACTGCTCGTCGGCGAAGCGCAGCGAGATGCCGTTCTGTGGGCCGAGTGTGAGCGAGAGACGCAGCAGTGACTCGCGCTCGAGTACGCACGACGCAATGCCGCTCGTCGACGGGGTTGTTGAAGCGCTCGCCCTTGAAGACGTGGCCGAGGTGGCAGCCGCACGCTGTGAGGAGGAGGCGCTCGTCAGTCGCTGCTTTGTTGTGAAGTAGCAGAAGACTCACACTTGCAGGTGATCTCGGTGCGCTAAGAGAGGGAAGGATGGTCAGCCGATGAGGCCGGCCGAGCTAGCAGCGCGCCATGCTCACCTCCATGCCCCAAGACCGGTCGACGTGCCGGTCGATCGAGCCCGGAATCTCGGCGTAGAAGGCCGGCCAGCCACAGCCGGACTTGAACTTGGTCTCGGCCGTGTAGAGGGGCGTGTCACCTAGCGGCGCAGCGGCGTCAGCGCGGGGCACGAGCGAGCGAACGCGAGGCGACGCACAGCCAGCGCAATTGTAAGTGCCCTGCTTGGGATAGTGCGAGTCGAGCTTGGAGGAGCCGGCCATCTCGGTGCCCTTCTCACGCAGGATGCGGAACTGTAGGGGTGCTGCAGAGTCAGCACGCCGCAACGGGGAGCGCTCCGGCAGCTGGGCGCGGTGGCGGCAGGGCGCCGGCCTCGTGGGGCAGCTCCTTCCGGCTTGCACTAAGCGCCACGCAGCAGCTCACGCTCCCACATCACGCATACACACCTGCTCCGGGTTCAGCACAGTCCTCCATTCGCTCTCGCTCTTTCCCTTCGGGAAGTTGCCCGCGGGCTGGTTCTTGGAGGCGTCGGAGCCCATCTTGTACACGGGCGTGGCAACGAAGGCGGCGAGAGGCGAGGCGTGGAAGGCGCGACGAGCGAGCGTGGCGGAGTGGGAGGCGATGCGAGGCGTGTAAGGCAGCAGCACGGGGAGGAGGAGCGTGCTGAAGAGAAGAGGGGGACGCATGGGGAGGTGGTGGTGAGAGGGGAGTGTCGTGCGAGCTCAGCGCTTGCATCAGCCGGCGGTGGCGAATACGGAAAGTGGAGGCCGCCTCTTCAGTCCGGAATACAGTCGCGGCGCCGCCGTTGTGATGCGCGCGCACGGACGGCCGGAGCATGGCCGAGCTCCCTCCTCCCCTCTTCTCGACGGAGCATGGGCGCGATCTCCTGCTCACGCCGGCCACATCTGTTCATGAGGATCATGGACACCTATTCACGAGGAGCGTGTGACAGCAGCCCAAGCGCCAGATGTAGTACAAAGTGCTCTGATATTACAGCGCTGCCAGGTGCAGCCCCCTCGTCGTCGCCGTGTCCGCCTCACTTGCCGCCCTTCTGCTTGGCGCGCTCCTTCTTCATCCTGGAGAGAGGGAAGGGACAAAGGCGTCAGCACAGCTCCGAACGAAGCTGCAGTACAGATGCACGACTCACTTCTCCTTCTCGCGCTTCCACACCTTCTCTTCTCTCTGCTCCTCTCCGAGGCTGCCCATGACGCGGGCGATCTTCTTGGCATAGCTCGTGTCCTCCTGCTCCTTTGCCTTCCGCCTCTCCTCGGCCACGAACTGCGCATCGCGGCGCAGCTCCTTGACGGCGCCCTTGCGCTCCTTCTTGATGAGCGCCTTAGTCTTGGCCTGCGCCGCACGCTCCGTGTCCGGGTCGTGCTGGCCCTTGCGGGAGGGGTCGTAGCCGCGCTGCTCGAACTTGGGGATGTGCGACGCAATGGGAATGGCACGGTGGGCTTGCAGACGCAGGGCTCGCCGTTGGGAAGCGGCGAGAGAGAGGGCACGAGTAAGCGTGCTAGTGAGCTGAGTGACTTGTGCGGAAAGAGAGGCGGGGAGCGAAGCGTGGTCGATCAGCGCAAGGAGTGCGTTGAAAGGCGTAAAGAGCTCGCAGAAGGCAGTGCTGCCCGCGTAGAGCGTGGCGAACTCGGCGATGAGCGAGAGGGAGAGGCCGAGCAGTTGCCGCTTCGCCTGCTCTGCATCCGCATCGTCATCCGCCACCTCGAGCAGGGCTGTCAGGCTCGGCAGTGTCTCGTCTTCCTTGCCAGCTCCGCGCCCGCTCAGGCGCAGATGCTGCGTGTGCGGAGCACCAAAGTCTGGCGTCGGGATGGCAAATGCGCTTGCGATGGTCGCTGCGTCCTTCTTGCCCTCTGGATGCAGAGGCGCCAGAATGAGCACTGCCGAATGCAGCGCATTCAGTGCCTCTGGCACCAGTCGTCTGGCCTCGCGCTCGTGTGCTGCCACGAGCGAGACGAGGTATGTCGCACTTGCGAGATCGCGCAGTGAGCGCAGACGAGCGTGCGCGAGGTATTGAGCGATGAGGAGCGAGAGTGGAGTGGCGACTGGATGCGTCTTGTCCGACGTCGGGAAGATGATGCCCGCGAGCCGCAGGAGCGTCAGCTCCGCCACGCCGGGCCACGTGCGAGCCTGAGGCAGCAGTGCGCCGCGTGCGAGACCGCGAGAGAGGTTGCGCTGCATCAAGGCAAGCTTGCCGACGAAGTGCTGCGCGGCTGCCCGAGGATAGGCAGAAGAGAGCGCGAAGAGGTGCGGCGTGATCTTGCCGACGAGTCGGAATCCGCCTGCGCTGGCGTCGGGAGCGACGAAGAGACAGTGGTCGAGCAGCACGCCGATGAGCGCGGCCAGCTTGTGCTTGTTGTCCTCGCCGAGAGAGGCATGGTGCAGGGCACGGATGCGGGAGATGACGAGCGGCACATCGGTCGGCGCGACAGAGTGCTCCTCGAGGAGAGAGAGGAACTCGTCGTGCGTCGCGGGACAAGAGAAGGTGAAAGGCAGCGAAGCAGCCGAGCTCGTGGACTTGCTCTTGCCCTTGCTGCTCGTCGTCGCGCGCTGGCTGCCGCTCAGCGCAGCGGAAGCTTCGTCGTCAGAGACGTCATCTGCGTCGTCGCCGGCCTTGGAGAGTTCGGCCAGGTCGGCAACGTCCTCGAAGGCATCCTCGCTTGTGGCGTTGCTGCCTTCCTCGTCGCTGCCGGCGTCAGAGCCCTCTTCCTCGCTGCCGCTCTCCTCTTCCTCCTCCGACTCTGACCCCTCCTCGTCCTCCTCGCGGTCGCCAAGGCCCTGTCCGAGGCCGTACGCGTCCGCGTCCTCGTCGAGATCCAGGTCGTCGTCCAGGTCATCACCGCCGGGCGCTCTCCGTGCCTTCTTGCCCTTCTCCTTTTCCTTCGGCTCCTCCTCTCCCCGCATGCGTCGCAGTCTCGCCTCTTCCGCCTTGCGCAAGCTCTCCGCCTCTTCCAGCGCCAGCTCCTCCTCCGTCTTGAGTCGGTCTTGCGGCTTCGCTCTCCTCTCAAACGCCATCTCGCGCACGTAGGCATCATACTGATCGCTCTCCTTCTTCTCTCGCTCCTCCTTGGTTAGCTCCCGCTCTGCGGGTGCTTGACCCGGGATCGGCGCGCGCTCAGGCACGGAGCGAGGCTTCGGCTCGGAAGAGGAGGTGGAAGGAACGCCGAGAAGCAGTGCGCGAATGTCATCGAGGCCCTCGTCGAGCTCCATGCGAATGTCGTCGTCCTTCTCGCGCATCTGCTGTCGCTCGAGCTTGGCAAGCTTGGACTTGGCCATGACCTCTTGCATCACTTCAAACTTGCTCTTCTTGCGCTCGGGCTGCAAGCACGCAAGGAGCTGTCAGCTGCTGCAGGCAAGAGATGCTGAGGCAGATCCGACTTACGCCTTCGTCTTCCTCATTTGCCCCTTCGCCAAAGCCGCCAAAGTGCGCCTGCGTGGCGAGGCCGTCGATGTCGCCTGTGCGCAGAGCACATGCATCAGTCGCCGCGGTCATCTCCTCACGGGCACTTGTCGCCACTCACCATCGTCGTCACCGAGCGCCACATCATCCATCTCGTCGAGGTGATTCAGGCTCTTGCCATAGTGCGTCAAGCCCTCCTCCTCGCCGTCATCCAGGTTGAACATGCTCGTGGCGCCAGCGCGGCCCGTTTGCCGCTCGCGAGTGAAGCGCTCCAGCATGCGCTCCTCCGGCGTCATGCTGGCATCTCCCTCGCCGAAGCGGCGGTCGTGGAAGGCGCCGCTGCGATGTCGGCCCTGCAGCTCGGGCAACAGCGTCTCTCTCCGCTGCGCCAGGCCACCAGCCTTGGCAGCGCCGGGCCTCGACGTCTTGCCCTTGACGACGCGTCCAAGCACATCATGCTTCGGCTTGACGACCTTCTCCTCGAAGGGGTTCGGACCGCCCAGGCGGGCGAGAGCGGCGCGGCGCTTCTCGGCCTCGGCGAGCTGCGCGGCGCCGGCGGCGGAAGACGGCGCCTTGCGCTTCTTGGACGACGCCGAGGCCTGCCGGCGGTCTGTGATGCCGGAGGAGGCGACCTGCGCTTTGAGCTGCGAGAGCTGCGAGCCTTTCGCCATCGTGCTGTGGGGAAGAGGAGCGGGATGGTGGTGTGCTTCGGATGACGGCCAGGAAGGCTTAGCACCTGTCTGGGAGCAGGCTCAGCTGCTCCACCCAAATTTCTCTCGGCCGAGCCACGCCGCGGCGGGTGCACTACAACGCGCGTTGTAGTCGCCGTTCAGGGTGCTTGAAGTGCCGCATAGGCAAAATCTGGGGCAGAAGTCGTGCGACATGCGCGAAATCTTCCAGCCCGCCTGCTGCTGCTGCTCCACCACCCACACCTCTCACCCTCTCTTCACCCCACCTCACACATCTCTCATCATGGTCCGGAGACGCTCCTGCTTCGTGTGCGGCCAGATCGGCCACCTTGCCGAGAACTGCTCGTCCACTGAGCGCCTCTGCGTGCGTGTCCATGCCACCACTCGCCCTCTCCATCCCACTCACGCCCTTCTCTAGTTCAACTGCGCCAAGCCCGGCCACGAGAGCAGCGCGTGCCCCGAGGAGCGCACGGCCGCTGCCAAGCAGTGCTACGCCTGCGGCGAGGCCGGCCACATCAAGGCCGACTGCCCCAACCCGCCCGCGCCCGTCGAGAAGAGCGAGAAGCCGGCGCCCAAGCCGCGCGCGGCCCCGGCGCAGGGCGGCCTGACCGAGCCCAAGAGCGGCGGCTGCTACGTGAGTGTGAAGTGGAGGGCTTTGTGGAGATCTGGCGCAGAGAACAGTTCGAGAGCAGTGGCGCGGCACAGGCCCCTCGCTGCAGCTTTCTGGTGGCGTAACGGCAGCTGTGCCACCACTTCTGCCACTCTCGCCTCTCACGCTGGCCCCGCTGCCTCTCTGACCTCTCACTGATGCTCTCTCATTTCTCAGACCTGCGGCGGCCCCCACCTTGCCCGCCAGTGCCCGCAGGGCGGTGCCGTTGCCCCTCGCGCTCCTCTCGCCTGCTACAACTGCGGCGGCATTGGTCACCGTGGTGCGTCATCCTCCCTTCCTTCCTTCCTCTGTCCAGGATGCTGACGCCTGTCGCCTCGCTCTGCAGCTCGCGACTGCACCTCCGCCCCCGTTGAGGGCGCCGGCCCGCCGGCGCGCGCTCCTCGCGCCCGCAAGGCGCCGGGCGTGTGCTTCGGCTGCGGCCTCCCGGGCCACATTCGCCGGTGAGTCTGCGCTGCTTGCTCGCGTCTCAGGAAAGCAAACCAGGAAGGGCAGATGGGCGAGAGAAAGAGAGAGAGCTGAGACGCTGCAATGGTCAGAGAGAGTGGAGGAGGGGAGCATGCCGCAGCGGTGGAAGTGGTGGCGGCGGCGACAGCAGAGCTCGAGCGTTGTGCCTCGGTCGCCTCCGCTTCTGCTGCATTGCGGCAGTCATTGGCATTGCGCCTAAGTTTCTGTGTGGAGGCCTCGTTTCCTCTGGCATTCGCAGTCGGCAAGCGCGGAGCGACAGAGACGCACTCTGCGCTCTGCCTCCGTCGCCGCCGCCGCGCTCCGGGTCTGATGCTCGAGCAAGAATTGCGCCTTGTCTGCTTGTTCCCGACGTATTCTGGCTCTGGCTGACGCATGCTTCTCCCTGCAGCGAGTGCCCCGCCCACGCCGACCCGCCGAGCGCGCCCACGAGCGCTGCTGCCATGGGCCTTGCCGCCTAAAGCTTGTCGCTTGACAGCTTCTGAGGCAGCAATCGAAGCCGCGCGCGAGCAGACCTCGGCTTGACTGCTGCCGAGGCACGGATGATCTGCGTTGTGCAGTCGGCCGTGCCTCACAGTCCGTCTCTATTCGAGAGACTTCCTCTTCTTCCCTCCTTGCCCCTTTGGTCATCCTTCCTTGTGTTCCCTCTCTTGCGGGTCTCTACGTTCGCTTCCTATGCAAAACATCTGCCTCTTCTGCTCTCTCTTCGCTGCGACTGACTGCAGTCTCGCCCGATAAGCCAGTCGCACGACACTTGATTGCATGAGCGGCTCGCTTCGAGGTCTGATGATCATGGTGCGGGAGCACGTGAAGCGCTCGTGTGGGCGCCCGCGCGGCCAGGCCGTGGCGGAGGGCGTGAGCGACTCCCGCGCCGGCCCCTTGCCGTCTTCAAAGGGTGGTCTGACCGAGACTCGCCGCTCAAGACGGGCACGATTTGACGTTGGCTGGGGCTGAGAGTCTCTTTGCACGAAAGATGCAGTTTCACAGTGCTGAGCTGAAGTAGGAGCTCAAAGTCGAGCGAGTGGTGAGCCATGCCAGGCTGCTCTTTGCCACAGAGCGTGCTCACCAGCAGCGGCGACCTGGACGCGGCGTGAGAAGTTCGGCGCCTCCGCGCGACGTGCGCTGGGCGGGTGAGCTGGCGGCGCAGGCCAGCTGCAGGACACGGCTCCCGTGCCTGGCGGCCGGTGAACCCCTCAGGCGCTTTTTTGGCGGGCGGCGTGCAGATCCAGCCACAGCAGCGGCGGCGGCGGCGCTCGAGCGCTTCCTTCTCACACCACACATCCCTCCCACCCTCCCGACTCCGCACATCATGAAGGTGAGCACACACACTCTCGCCGCACGCTCTGCACGTCACATGCGCCAGTAGCGGGCGAAAGTGCTAAGACGGGCGGTCGCTGCGGTGTCGAGGCACGTCGGGCGCAAGTGCGGCGAGAAGAAGACCTCTGCCGCGCTGCTTTGCTCGCTTTGCGCACATCTTCTCGCCGGCCGTGATCCGCCTCTGCGAAGCCGCTGGCGGCTATACCACGAGCCGCGAGGTGGCTCGTCCCACTGCTGTCGCCTGGCGACGTCAAGGCAATCCGCTGGGCTACGCGAGCTGGTGGCTAGCGCCAGGCGGAAGCCTCATGGCTGTAGGGATGCTCCGCCCTCTGGTTCTCTTGCGGCCTCATCTCAAGGCACGCGTGAGAGCGCATCTCGGCGCAGAGGAGCTCGTCGAGTTGGCGGACCAACTCGCGAGCCACGAGAGAGCGGCTGTCGAGCCTGGAGCCAAGTTCTCCGCACGGCGCTGCTCTTTCCTGGAAGCTATTCGTCACGAGGACAGCTCTGCTGCTGCGTCCTTTGCTCCTGCATCTCCTTGCTCCTCATGCTTAACTTCTCCTCTCCAGCTCTACACCGACGCGATCACGGGCGACGAGATGGTCTCGGACGGCTACAAGATCCACGAGGTCGACGATGTCATCTACGAGGTCGACGCGCAGATGATCGTCGTCTCCGAGGGCGAGGTCGACATCGGCGGCAACCCGTCGGCCGAGGAGCAGGCTGAGGCCCTCGAGAACGGCGCCTCGCAGGTCATCAACGTCGTCCACACGTTCCGCCTGCAGGGCACGCAGTTCGACAAGAAGAGCTACCTGGTGCACCTCAAGGTGAGTGGTGTAGAGCGAAGTGAAGCGGTGCGGCAAAGGGTGCCGAGAAGTGGGAGGCAAGCACAGAGCAATGTGTGCGGAGGCCGAGCAAAAAGGGCAAACGCAGCAGCTCTGGGACGCTCAAGCTGGGTGCAGGGCGTTTCACGCCCGAGGCGTTCGGTGTCTACCTCGGTGGCTTTGCTGCTGCCACTGCTGCCAGGGCGGATTGCATCTGCAAGCTCCAGCGCCTGTCTTGAGAGCCACGTCTACGCATCACTTGCCGCACCCGCAGTAGCTGACTCCCTCTTCTCTCTCCAGTCGTACATGAAGGCCATCAAGACGCGTCTGGCTGCCGAGAACCCGGACCGCGTGCCCATCTTCGAGGCCAAGGCTGCTGCCTTTGCCAAGAAGGTCGTCGCTAACTTCAAGGGTGCGTCTGCCGCTCACAGGAGAGAGGAGAGATCGGGCAGAGCAGAGTGGCTGACGAGCGTCTTCGGCCGCAGACTACGACTTCTACACCGGCGAGAGCATGAACCCCGATGGGTGAGTCTCTGCTATCAGCCCGAGTGCTCTGGGTCAAACGTGGCTGATTCTGGTGTGCCTGCAGCATGGTCGCCCTCTGCAACTACCGCGAGGACGGTGTCACGCCTTACTTCATCCTCTGGAAGGACGGACTCAAGGGTGCGTTTCGCCTGCTTCCTTGCCCGCCCTGCGTCCTTGCTGACCTCTGTTTGCGACGCGCAGAGACCAAGATCTAAGCCACTCTTGCGAGTCACTTAGACTTTGGAGGGATCGCCTTCCCGCGTCAAAATGCCGTCCTCTCCTTCTGGCCAGCAGCGCCTGCGTTGTATACTTGCTCAATATCATCGCACACCTGCCATTTGTGGATCCCGATGAGGCTGAAGAGCGTGACGAGCGTTGAGCTGGCTGGCTACTGCGATGCAGAGAGGGTGCCGGCCGTTGCCGCGTCTGGACGAGGACGCTAGGCGCAAGCTGCCTTGCCGTGCGCATGAGCCTGCGTCGCAGCGCCGTCGAACATGCGATGATCTTCAAGCCTCACACGAAGAGGTCGTTGGCCACCTGCGTGCTTTCTGTGCCGTTGCATTGGCGCCAGACATGCGAGCGTGCCCAGCTGCCGTCCGCGAGAGCGAGCTTGAAGCGCGCCGCTGCGTGTGTTGGTTGGAAGCGCGCCGCGGCGGCGCGGCTGCGGGGAATGGAGAGGCTCTCGACGCGCGGCTGCGCAGCTCTCATCTTCCCGCCTCCACCTCCTCTCCCCTCGCGCGCCCTTCTTCCCGCTCGGCTCCTTGCATCCGCAGGCAGTCACTCGGCTTCGCTGCCGCTCTTCTCTGCGAGCTCTTGTCCTTCACTCGCTCGCACACACTCCGCGCCAGCTCCAGCTCGTCCCAGCGCGTCGCACGCTGGTGCACGGCCCTCTTGGCCTCTTCGTCTCTTGCTGCCGCGCCTCTCTTTTACCTCTCCTAAGGCGCGGCAGCCATGATCTCTCTTCTCCTCTTCATCTTCCGCTCCTACCTCTTCCTCACGACTCTCCTTCGAACGCACCGGCACCTGCTCTCCTCGCGTCGCGCACTGCGCACGCCGGGAGCTGCGGCGAGGAGGAAGGCGCTGGCGTGGGAGGGCTTGGCGCCGCTGTTCGTCTGCGTGAGTCATGTGAGGAGCTGAGAATGAGCCCGGCTGAAGAGAGGAGGTAGATGCTGGGATGCAAAGCGGAGCGAGTGGCAGATGGTCTCATCGGCTGGATGCCGTTCTACACCTCGGCGAAGCTGGCGGTGCTGCTCGTCGCCATCATCGCTCGCACCTTCGTGAGTACGCTCCTCCCCATCCTCTCCACTCTCACGGCACTGAACTCCGGTCTCGCAGTTCACGAGCTATCTCCTCTCGCTCCTCACGCTGCTGCTCACGCCGTATGAGCCACTGCTGGACGCGACACTGCGGCAGAGCGCCAACGTGAGCGCTGCGCTTGTGTTTTGGATCTCGCTGGGCTGGGCGAGGATCAAGCTGGCGCACGGAGAGAGAGTGGGACGCTGGGGGGACTGGGTGCTGCGCAGAGGCACAAGGGCAAAAGTGGAGCGGAGAGATGCAGGAGATGCGGGCGGAGACCAGGGCGACGACCTCGACATTGTCCCTCCTCCGCCCAGCCGAACACCTCGGCGCTCATCATCGAGCACTTCTCTCCGCTCGCCGTCTCGCTCTGGCTCTGGCTCCGTCCGGCGAAAGCCTTCTGCATCTTCGTTGCGCCCATACGACATCAGCACACCGCAGCAGGAGCGCATCGCGACACCCACGCAGCAGCAGCGCAGCAGCCTGAAGAAGAAGCCATCCTTGCTGCGCTTCGAAGAGCAGTATGCGAGCCTGGAACCACTGCCTTCGCCGCCTTCTACGTACCTCAAGGTCAAGCAAGAGAGCGAGAGCACGCTCTATCCGAGTCTGCCTCGTCGCACGGCACCTGCACAAGATACCCAAGCAGCCGCACCACGACTGCCGCCACCGCCGCCCGCGATGATAGCGCAAGCAGCCGCAAGCGGTGCGCTCGAGCTACCGACGCCGCTCTTTCCCGGCGCCTTTGCGCGTGCGCAACCGCCCACGATGCGCCCTACGCTCGCCGCGGCTGGCGTGCCGATGCTGGGCAGCAGCAGTGCGCTTGCAGAAGCAGGACGCGTCGAGCCGGCGCAGGCATCGACCTCGATGCTCGCTGGTGCAAGCCCAACTGCTCCGCCAGCTGCAGCAACGCCGCCTTCGAGTCGCATTGCTGCACGTCTAGCCGAGATGACAGCCTCTTCAACCTCCGCTGCTGCGCCGCCTCTCCCGGCCTCGCCTGCCGCACGCGCTCGCGATGGGCAGGCAGGAGAGGCCCAGGCTTTCGTTCCCGTTCCGCCTCCAGCAGCACACGGCAGGAAGCGAGGAAGCGCGATCAAGTCTCGTGGCGCGAGTCGTGCGGTGGCAGCGGCAGCGAAGACGGCCGCTATGCGCGGCACCGCGACTTCTCGGACGCCAACGGCAAGTACGCCTGCTGCAGCTGCTGCTTCGACATCGACCACAGCCACTGCGGCGCGAGGAGGAGCTAGGCGAGTCGTCTCTGGCACTGCCAGGCGACAAGCCTCTGAGGCCCGCGAGGAGCTAGAAGCAGCGGTATCGCCGCCGTCTCCCATTCTATCTCCTCCGCCGCAGCAGCAGCTCCCAAGCTCCATCTCCACCTCTTCGCTCTCAACGCCCAAGCGCAAGCTGCGCAAGCGCGCCGCCGTGTTCTTGGAGGACGTCGACGTCTCGGGAGATGCGCAGCAGGAGGAACTGGCGCTGCTCGTGCCGCCTCCGCAGCGCAAGGTGTCAGGTCAGACGGCGAGGAAAGTCAGCGGTCCGAGCGCTTCGACGAGTGCAGCGCCTCCAGCAAAGCGAAGCGTTTCGGCGAGCATCAAAGACTTCGCTGCCGACACCGATACGCCTCAAGCAGCTCCCGCTCCTCTGACACCTCGCAAACGTCGTCTTCAGAGTGCCTCCACTTCTCCGGGCGCCTCTGCCTCCTCGGCCGAGGCACCCGACGGACCGGCACCTCCGCAGCAGCAACCGACGGCCACGCGCAAGAAGGCCTCTCGCGTGCCCATTGCGGCGAGCAGCACCACGCGGCTGGCGCCGGAGAAGAGCGCGACGCAGGTGCGCAAGAAGGCGAAGGTCGGACTTGCCGCAGCAGCGGCACCAGCGCCAGCGCTCGTCAAGGGCACGGGCAAGCAAAGCGCCACGTCTCGTGCGCTGCTGCGTGCCCGTGCAGGAGGCGCTGCGGCAGCTCCTGCGGCCAGGAGCGCACCCATGCTCTTTGGCGGCGCCGAGGCCGCGGCGCAGGCGGAGCGGGAACTGCAGGCGCTCGTGGAGCATTCGTCTTCGCCGCGACGTTCGTAGGAAGGAGGGGAGAGGATCAGGCTCGACAGAGCGTAATACGTCACTTGTCATTAGCGATGCGACGCGGCAGTTGTGGAGAAGCGATGTGTGAGGAGAAAGGAGAACTAGAGAGGCGTGGAGAGGAGCAGGACTGAGGAGTCGGGAGATGTGAGACGTGCTTCTTGTGTGCCCCATGCCTGATGCAAGCAGCGTCAGCAAGCACAGCAACCAAGTGCTCTCGACGGAGAGGCGCTAGTCTTGGGCACTTACAGTGTCTGCCAGGACGACCTCTCCACCCGTCGTCTGGCGCAGATGCGCAACAAGGCTCAGCAGCGTCTCGCTGGGCATCTCTAGGAGTGCAGTGCCCGCGCTCGTCGGTGCAGAGGCGGTGCGCAACATGAGACGCGCGTCGCAGTCTTGCGGTTGCAGCAGGACATGTGCGTGCGAGGCGCTCAGCACCGCCGCGCGCAGCAGCGGCGCATAGAACTGCTGAGCTACGGCGAGGTCAGGCACGAAGAGCACGCTTGTTGCGCCTGCGCTGTGTGGCGCAGCGACCTCGCCAAGAGTAAGGGGCGAAGAAGGCGGCTCGAGAGTGATGGGCGGCATCCCGTCCGTTGAGCCAAGGCGCACCATGCCGTTACTGCCAGGCGTGGGCGATCGCCGGAACGGATTGGAGGGAGAGAGTGGCCGGATTTGAGGAGAGAACGCTTCTTGGCCGAGCGAGGCTGCGCGCGTTAAGGAGGGCGTGCGTTCGCTGATCGACGGCCGAGATGGTGCGGCAGCGGGCGCGCCGCCGAGTGGAGAGACCTCGTCGGACGGCGTAGAGACGAGCACACTGCTGCCGCGCATGGGCAGCACTGGAGTTTTGCGCTGCGAGTGCGTCGATGTTGCAGATGTAGGCGTGATCGGCTCGGGCGAAGCGACGTCCGCCGACATCGGCTGGTCCGCGAAGGGACCTTCTTGCGCGCCCGACAGGTTTGGTGCAGTCGAGCTTGCCAGCTCCTCGGCCTCTCTCTGCTGCACCGGACTCGCCGCCACTGCCTCGAAGGGCTTCCAATCGCGCGTCATAGTAGGCGAGCCGGACGGCGTAGCATCCCAAATAGGACTCAGGCTACTCAGATATCGACTCTCCGTCTCTCTGACCCCTGCCAGCGGGCCGCGAATCCTCGTCTCGGACGCAGAGATGGGCGAAGCGAGAGAGCGCGAGCGCGAGAGGCCCGACGCTCCGTTGGAGGACGTAGAGGTGGAGATGGTCGGCGTGGGACGGAGCGAGTCAGAGGACTCGGAACGCAGCAGGGCCGGCTTGGGCTGTGCTGTCTTGGCGCAGAGGAAGAGGACAGCCTCGTCGGCATCGTCGAAGCAGCGCATGAGCGGGCCAGGGACTGTGCGATTTGTCAGTCGGAACAGCTCGGGGAGACAAGAGAGATGCGAGGCTGCTCACAATTCTTGACCTGTTCCTCCGCCTCTTGCTTCGTGTCGTAGATCCCCTTCCTCCACCCTCGTTTGACCACCCAATAAGGCGGTGCCTTGCCTCTGAGCCCCTCTCTCCTCTCTCGCGCTTCCTCGTCCCACACTTCCCCATTCTCCTCCTCTCCTTTCCCGCCCGCAGCATACGGCGGAGGGGGCCAATAGCCGCCCGGAAACGCATCGGCGCGCGGCAAGGCGCTTCCTTCGCGCGCAGGCTTTGCGCGAGGCGTAGAGGAGATCAGCGCGCGGCCACTGTTGGTGCGTGCGTGGCGAGAGGGCGTCGAAGGCACGGCTTCTGATGCTCGAGTGCGCTCTGGAGATGAAGGCTCGATGCCGCTCTTCTCGTTGTAGGAGGAGTAAAGCGAGTCGAAGGAGCGTCGAGGCAGCAAGGCGAGTTCCTCATCTGTGCGCACCAGCGTGCGCGCTGCTTCGCCTCGACTGTGCCGGCGAGGAGTAGTCGGACGTGCCTTGGCTATGCTCGCGTCGTTCTTCGTCGTGCTGCTCGCGCTGGACGCAGTCGCAGCGGCATTGTTGCGCCGAATGGAGAGCTTCTTGACGAGCGATGTACTCCCTTGCATGGCGTTGGTGCCTGCCCCAGCACTGGCACTGGCGCTCCTCGAGCGGCGCTTCTCCTTCTTCTCCTCTCGCTCTCGTTCCCAGCTGCCCCTGCTCACAGGAGCATCTCGCAGCTCCACCACGCCGGCGCGTGCCTCTCGTGCCTCTCGCGCCTTGCGCTCCTCAGTTGACGAGCGTGACGTTGTGGCAGTGACGTGCTCGAACTCGACGCGAGGCGTGCGGCCCCACGCGACGTACGAGCTGTTGCCCGCCGTCGTCACTGGCGGCGTGGTCGTCGGCGAGGCATTCGAGACAGCTGCAGGAGCGGCGACGGAGCGAAGCTCGCCGCTCGTGCTGGGACGGCGAGTGTCCAGACGCGGTCGTCGAGTCTCGAGCCTGCTGGCGACGCTGCCGCTGCCGCTGCTGCCGCTGCTGCCGCTTCCTGCCGCTGTGCTGCTCGAGCCACCAGTACTCGCAGTGCTCGCCGCCGCCGCAGCAGCAGCAGCAGCGCGCTCCTTCTCCTTCTCCGCCGCCCGCTCTGCCGGTGTCTTGCGAGCGCGCAGAGAGAGGGAACGTGCCAGGCGTCCGAAGCCTCCTCCGCCGCCGCCGCCGCCGCCGCCGCCGCTGCTGTTGCCGTGAGAGGAAGCGGCGGCAGACGAGGCAGGAATGGGTGTGGCCTTCGCTACGCCGTGCGCCGGAGGCGAGGAGGGAAGCATGGTGGGCCGCGCCAGAGGGAGAGCCATGTCCTGGCGCTGCAAGCCTGTAGTGAGAGTGCGATGTGCGGTGTCGTGGCTGTGTGCAGGAGGCTGTGCGACTGAGGCGAGAGGGTGGGATCCAGATGCAAGAGAGAAGGAGATGCAGGACGTGGAGAGGAGACATAGACAGGGAGAAGTTGGGCGCAGCTGCGCCAAACGCAAAATGGGCAGCGCAAGGTGGAGCGCTGGAGATTCGCGTCAGCGGCCGGCGGGCACAGCGCAGCAGCAGCGCAGCAGCAGCGCAGCAGCAGAGCACCTGCATCTGCGCCAGCCGGCGGGGCTCCGCGCCCGTGTCCGACGTGTCGTGCCGCTCTCTGCCGGCGGTGCGGCGCCGCCCGTGTGGCGCTTTGCACACATGCGCACAGATGAAGCTTGACCCCGCAGTCCCGCACCGCGACGACGAACGCAGCACCCGCATGCCAAGCGAGAGCTCAAGCAGGTGAAGTAGACCTGCCGGCTTGGGAGAACCGCTCGGCAAGCGAAGCTCGTCTGGCCTTGGCTCCTCTCACGGCCGGCGCCGCCTTGGTCGCGTGCAGAGCTGGCCGTTAGCGATGCAACGGCCGTGGATGGCAGCCAACTTCCACCTGCTACCCGTCGGTCGATGCGACTTGCTTCAAGGAGCAGCGGAGGCTGTCTTCGCCTCGTCAAAGTCGGCGTGCTGCTCAAGCGGTGGACAGGCCGCTGTACTTCTCGCCTCGCCCAGTCCAGAGCCGAGAGGCAAGCAAACGATGCAACCAGCTCGCCCAGCGGCCTGCGCTGTCAAGGGGCCCGCATCGGGCCCGCTTCCTCTCGTCTCTGCCCAAGCCCGCCCCTGCGGCGCTGCGACCTGCGGCCTGCGACCTGCGACCTGCGTGCTCGGAGCGCGGCAACGGAGGCGAGAGACCCTTGCTTACTCCGCATCTGCCATGCTAGAAGAGCACAGAGTCGGTGACCGACGCCTCGCTTGGGATTGGGAGCTGCCTACGACTTGGCCTCGTCGTTCGAGCCTTCTGCCTGAGCACCTGCCTCCTCAAGATGATCGGCCGAGGCGTGACACCTTCTCCACGCCCATATCCTGCCTCGCGACGGCACCAGAATCGCAGCCGGCAGCTGCGTCTGTGTTGCATCTCACCCCTCGCAAAGCAGCTCGTCGTCTCGCTCTGAAGGCGCACCTCCGCCCTCCCCACCTCCCATCACCGCCTCTCCGTCCGGTCGGGGCGGGGCGCAGGAAAGCTGCCAGCCGCATGCTGCTCCATCAAAGCAGGCGGCTCGTGCGCATTTGACACTCGACTCGCCGGCGGCCCAGCGGCAGTCGCAGCGAGGGGAGGGATGTGCGCGTCGGGCACGGCACGGCGACTCTCCCTGCGCCGCGCGTCTTGCTTTCCCCGCCTTCAAATCCTCGCCGGCAGGCGTCGAGTCAGCGCCTCTGCGCCTCACGAGCGCGCTTTCGCCGATGCGGCCGCAGCGGCGAGCTGTGCGTCACTGCTCTGATGCGTGACTGCGCCCTCGGGCGACGCAGCTGCGGTTTTCTGCGGGTCGCGCTTGCGCCGCGAGTTGGCCGACGCCGCACCCGGCCGGAGGGAGCATGCACATGGGCGGCAGAGCAGCGGCGGAGGCGTGCCGCGGCATCGGCGCCGGTGCCGAGGGCCGACGTGTGCCCGCGTTTTGCTCGGCTGCTGCCCTTGCCGGCTCGGCGCGCGGGAACGAGCCGAAGGGTGGAGCTGCGAGACGCGAGATCTGCGCACCGAGTCAGCGCTCAGCCCCAGAGCAGGAGTCAGAGGCAGAGCGAGAGAGGGGCAGAAGCTTCGAGCTGCGCGTACCAGAGAGGCCGAGGCAGGGTTGCGGAGTCACCTGTCCTGGCTTGGCTCCATATCATCCCCTCTGCTCGCCCTCGCAGCCACCTCGCCAGACTCTCTCGCTCGTCCTCTACACGCATTGCTCCTTCTCCTTCAGCGCAAACGCGTCTCCGCATCGTCTGGCGCTCCCACTCCTCTCTGCGTACCACCCCACACCGGCCTGCGCGAGCAGACAGCGAGAGGCAGCCATGGCCTCCTCCTCGTCAGCCACAGCTGGGCCCTCGACACCTCCCTCGCACACCGCGCACGCCGCGCCCTCCTACTACGCCGCGCCCGCCGCAGCATTGCAGCGAGACGACGACGAGGGTCTGGCGTCCTCCTGCTCGTCCGCTCGCACGGGCGCACACAGCTCCGAGTCTTCTGCGCCGGCGCCGCAGCCGCAACTGGCCGCCGGGGCAGAGGGCCAGCAGCAGCTGCAGTCGCCAAGATTGGGCGCTCGTGTCTCCCATGCGCCCGGCGTCGGCGCTGGTGGTGAAGGCGGAGGCGGCGGCGGTGGCGGCGGCACACTCGCGCTCGGCGCTGCTCTGACGCAGACGCGCTCGTCAGGCGGGCCAGAGTACATCGAGTGGGCACCGGACGACAAGGCCAACCCTTTCAACTGGAGCAACGCCCGCCGCATCTCCATCGTCGTCTGCGCCATGTCCTTCTCGTGCACGACCGCCATGAACGCCACGGGCTACGGCAGCGTGCAGCGCGACGTGATCCGGGAAACAGGGACCACTCTCGAAATTTTCCTGCTCGGCAACACTACGTATCTGACGATTGGCGTGGCGTTTACGCCGTTGCTGCTGGCGCCGCTCAGCGAGATCTACGGGCGAAGACCCATCTACCTCGCCGCTGCCGCAGTGTTCGCAATCATGTTCGTGCCGCAGGCGACGGCGCAGAACATCACGGCGATTCTCGTGTCGCGATTGATCCAGGGCTGCGCTGCGAGTGTTGGCAAGTGAGTATGGGAGCTGTGCGAGGAAGCGAAGATGAAGGCTGACGCTCTGGCCGGTCGCAGCTCGATGGTCGGAGGCTCCGTCTCCGACGTCTTCCTGCCAAACGAGCGCGGCATGCCCATGTCTCTCTTCTGCCTGCTCATCTTCGTGAGTCGGCGTCGCAGCCCGCCCTCTCTCGCTCCCACCATGCTCACGAGTTGTGTTCTCCTCGGTCAGATCGGACAAGCTCTCGGTCCCTTTACCGCCTCCTACACCGTCGCCGGTCCCGCCGGCTGGCGCTGGGTCTTCTGGTGGCAGGCCATCATCGCCCTTGCCTCGTTCGTCTGGATGTTCTTCGCGCTGGAGGAGACGCGCGGTCCCGTGCTGCTCTCTCGCCGCGCCGCTCGCCTCTCGAAGGAGACGGGCAAGGCTCTGCGGACAAGAGCGGACGATGAGAGGAGCAGCTTTGCGCATGCCGTCAAGATCAGCCTCTCGAGACCCGCGGTCTGGCTCGTGACGGAGCCGATTGTGCTGTCGTTCAGCCTGTGGATCGGGTGAGTCCAGCGCCGCCCGCGTGGCTCGCATCGCCACTAACGCATCCTGTCTCCTCGCACAGCTTCCTCTGGGGCGTCCTCTTCCTGCTGCTGCAAAGCGTGCCCATCGTCTTCAGCGCGTACAACTGGACCGACCCACAGGTGCGCGTTCCTCCCTTCCTAGCCCTCCGTATCACAGCAGCTGACGCTGAGTCATCACACGCCGCAGAAATCTCTCGTGCTCCTCTGCTTCGCCGTCGGCGGCGTCCTCGGCTTCGTGTGCCACCTGCATCAAGAGCGTCTCTACAACCGCGCCGTCGCGCGTGCGGCGCCGGCAAAGGTGGCTCCCGAGGCTCGTCTTTACTGTGCGTCACGCCTTTTCTGCTTCAGACACGCTGCTCGACTGACGCACGCTCTCTCGCACATCCAGGGTCTTGCATTGGAGCCATCATGGCGCCGGCATCGATGTTCTGGTTCGCCTGGAGCGGACAAGCCTCGGTGCACCCTGCTGTGCCCATTATCGCACTCATCGTCTTCATCGCCGCCATCTTCCCCATCTACCTCGCCGTCTTCCTCTACATTGCCGAGGTGAGTTGAGCCCTCACACTGCGGAATCGCACGCACGAGCGCAGCACGCTGATGCCAGTCTTCTCGCAGGTGTACGAACGCTACGCTAGCTCCGGCCTTGCAGCGCAGTCCTGGCTGCGCAACGTCTTTGCCGGCACGCTCATCCTAGCTGCGCCCAGCATGTGTACGTCGTCCTCCTTCGCGCCAAACGCTTCTCTCAGCTGACGCTCTGCTCTCAGACGGCAAACTCGGCCCGCCCGTCGCCTCCTCGATTCTCGGCGGCATCGCCGCCATCCTCGGCATCTGCCCCTTCGTGCTCTTCCGCTTCGGCGCACACATCCGCAAGCACTCGCGCGTGGCGCAGGGGCTTGCGCGCGAGGACGAAGAGGAGAGAGAGATGCAGATGCTCGACAAGGAGCGGCGGGAGCGCCATTCGAGGAGGAAAGAGGAGAAGAAGAAGAGGGAGGAGCAGAGGGAGGAGCAGATGAAAGAGGAGGAGAAGAATGTGGAAATCGCTTGAGTGGCGAGACGGCGCCGACGCGCACGCACTCGCAGGGGTCCCTCGCATGGCACCTGCGCCTGGCTTGTCTTTGAAGGACTCGCCCGCTTCATCTGTATGAACATCCCAATGCATCTGCTGTTCTCTGCCTGCGCGAATGAGAGAGAGGAGAGTGGAGGAACACCTCGCCGCAGACTGGCCGAGCGGACCAGATGGACGTCTGGCGTGGGCGATGCGGTGTCGAGAGACCGTGCCGCAGCAGAGAGCTGACTCGCCCAGCCTGAGGCTGCGCCGCTGCACCCTTTCTCTGCATGCTCTTCTATGCGGTCCATCGATGCATTACACACCACGACGCTCAGTAGAAGGCCTGCTCGCCGGTCAGACCCTTGCCGAGAACTACAGGATCATGCGTCAGCGACAAGAGTGCCGGGATCTGCGCCGAGCAACTCACTGAGTCCGTGGATGTCGTACGTGCCCTCGTACGTGTTGACTACGTGCAGGTTCGCCACGTGTCTGCCGATGGCGTACTCGTCTGACGAGGCGTTGCCACTGCAAGTTCGCAAGGGCTCGTCAGCGCTCGCCCTCACTTTCGTCTCACTCCCGTTGCCACACTCACCCAAAGATCTCGGCCAGAATGCGTGCGTTCCACAGTGCCTTTCCGCAGTTGTTGCGCTTCACCAGGCTGACCATCTCGGGGCTCCACTCGCCCTTGTCCTTGGCACGTCCCAGCTGCAAGCTGGCGAGCAGCGCCAGGGACGCCTCCGTGGCGCCGTCTGCCAGCTTCTTCTGCACGAGCTGGAAGGCCGCAAGCGGCTTGTTGAACTGCTTGCGGTCGAGAGCGTACTGCCGCGCCTCCTTCACGCACGCCTCGAGCGCACCGACGGCGCCCCAGGTGATACCGAAGCGTGCGCTGTTGAGGCACTCGAACGGAGAGCCGAGGCCCGGACGAGCGTGCGGGAGGAGCGACTCGTCGCGCTTGACGCGCACGTTGTCGAGGAAGATGGAGCCGGTGACGGATGCGCGCAGCATCAGCTTGTTCTTGATGGGCGGGCAGGAGAAGCCCGGCGTGCCCTTCTCGACGAGGAAGCCGCGCACCTTGTTGTCCCACTTCGACCGTGCCCAGATGATGGCAATGTCGCTGTACGACATGACGCTTCAGTATGCCGAAATAGGCGCAAAGGCGACGCGGTTACTCACGCGTACGGGCTGCTACTGATCCACGTCTTGCTGCCGTTGAGCACAATCTCTCCATCCCCCGTGTCCTCCGCCGTAGTCTCCATGTGGCTCGGATCCGAGCCGTGGTTCGGCTCCGTGAGACCAAAGCAGCCCACGATCTCGCCCTTTGCCATGCCCGGCAGCCAGCGCTCCTTTTGCTTGTCCGATCCGAACTGGTTGATGGCGCCCATGGACAGCGACGACTGCACCGACATCATGCTGCGGTAGCCCGAGTCGACGCGCTCGAGCTCACGAGCGATGAGGCCGTACGAGACGTTGTTGACGCCGGCACAGCCGTAGCCGTCAATTGTGGGGCCGAGCAGACCACACTCGCCGAGCGCAGGCAGGATGGTCGGGTCCCAAGCTGTGCGTCATCGAGGTCCATCAGCTGCAGTTCCCCCGCCATGTTCCACGGCCTCTAGGAGTCACAACTCACACTCGTCGCGGTACATCTGCTTGACCTTGGGCGCCAGCTGCTCCTGCGCAAAGGCACGTGCCGTGTCCTGGATCGCCACCTCCTCCTCGGTGAGCAGCGTCTCGACGCGCATGGGGTCCTCGGGGTCGAACTTGTCGAAGACTGCGGAGACGAGGCGAGGGTCAGCACCCACTGCTGCGAGCGCGCTGAAGAGACGAGGCCAAGCGCACGCCAGGAGCCCAGCTGCACTCCCTGCCACATTGCGCGGCGTCTCCCGCCGGGACCCCTCAGCACTCACCGGTCATGTGGTACTCGCCACCCGTCTTGCTCGGGCTTGCATAGCCGCGCGCGAGCTGCGGCACGGCCGCCACACGCTGCTGCGCGAGGGCGCGGGGCGAGGCGCGAAGGAGAGGACGGAGGAGCGACATGGTGAAGATAGAGGATGAGGATGTGGGCAGAGGAGAGGAGAGAGAGGCGCTTTTGACAGCTGATGCCTCCTTTCCCCGCGCCACGCCCTGCTGCCGATGCGGAGCCGCCGTCTGGCTCGCCGGCGGCAAAAGGCAGCCGCGGCTTGCTCTGGCTGCCGTCCTGCCGTGTGGTGCCGTACTCGGCTCTCGGCATCCTCCTCTCGCCGGACGCGAATAAGAATGCGGGGATTTGCGCGAGGCGGGGTTCGTTGTAGTACAGCTTACAAATCCGCTCTATTCGACTTAAGCAACCCCCGGAGATGCTCGGCCCTCCTCCGCCTCCTTCTGATGCAGTGTCACTCGACGAGCAGTTTCTTGACAGCTGCAGCGGCCAAGCCAAGGGGCGGTGTATGCTGCATGTTGCTGTCGGAGCGTCACCGACGACGCCCGATGCTCCGCGATGCCGAAGGCTGGCATCCGCTCAGGGGCAGGGGAGGCGCCTTCTCCGAGCCCACCCGCAGCTGCGGCATCTCAGCAGCCTCCCACGACTCCGACTGCGTTCTCCTGCACAGAAAGGCCTGCATCGGCCTCACCACTCGCTTGCATCATACAAAGAACAGACGAGAGGCACTGATGGAAGCGATGGACAATGACTAGAGTTGATGTGGATGAGGTAGAGGTATGAGGCATGGCCGTGAACAAGAGACGAGATGCGGGAGGAGACGCGGCGCGCGAGAATGAAGGCTGGAAGATGGGAAAGAAGAGATGCGGGCGCGAAGAGACGACGAGAAGTGATAAACAGGGCGGCAGCGGCTCGTCCTAGAGCAGCGTAGGCTCGGCCACGCTCTGGCGAGCGCGCTGCGGCAGGGCAGCGATGGCACGAGCGCCGTCAGACGTGCCGGGAGCAGCGGCAGCGTCACCACCTTCCGCAGGCTGCGGCGGCACGAAGTTGAAGCGTTCGGCGAGGTGGCGGGCCTCCGCGTCGCTCGGATGAGCAAGCAACCTACGAATCTTGAGGCTGGTCCACTCCTGGCAGTCCTGCAGCGCCAGCTGGTAGTCCAGGAAGCGATGCGCCATCTGCGGCAGCGCTTCGCCCGCCTCGATGAGGGCCACGACGTGCTTCCACGCCCAGGAGATCATGGTGTGCAGCTCCTCCGGATCGCTGAGCGCGTGATGCCAGTACGCACTGGCTCCCTCGGGCCAGCTCGAGGGGCGCGCGGCGAGCTCTCCGCGCTGGAGCAGCGTGGCGTGGTTGAAGAGCGCCACGATGTAGCGGCGCGAGTAGCGCATCTGGCGCACGAACTCGGCGTTGAAGAATGCCTGCGCCTCCTCCTCGCTCATCTCCGCGGCCTTGGCGTAGTGCGCAATGCCAAGCCGAGACGCATCGCGCAGACGCACCTCCTGATCGCGATATTGCTGCATCTCCACGACGCGGGCACGGACGCAAAAAGCCGGCGTGACAAGCTCGGGCTGGCGACGGGGTTGACGACGCTGCGGAGCCTCTTCGACGCGCGAGCGCCGAGCCTGGGCATAGGCGCGGAAGCCGGCTGCCCGGCCGCCGAGGTCGGCACGAGCTGCGGTGATCGCCTGGGCGGCAGGCGCTGCAGGAGGAGCGTCCGCTGCCGCGGTGGCGGGAGGCGGAGCAGCAGCGGCAAGAACATCGCGAGGCTGCCTCTCCATGCCGAACATGTCCGACAGCGGCTGCGACGAAGCCGGTCTGCCATTCGAGCTGAGCGTGACGCCCTGTGTCAGCTCGCGCCGGAGCACACCGTCCGCGGCGGCAGGGAAAGGCGCCGGACGGGCTGCACGAGCACTTGCTGCACTGGCGGAGCGACGCGAAGCGATGGCATCGAGACGGGCAACCGAAGCACGCATCGCCTCGAGGCGCGCAGAGATGCCCACGTCGGGCGCTGCGAAGCGGGCGGCGCGGTCGGCGGCGCGAGTAGTGGCCGCGGCGTTGCTGCCAGAGCTGTCGTCCTGGCGCAGCGTGCTCGTCAGGTAGTCGTTCCACGAGCGACGCGAGTCGTAGGCGATCGACTGGCTCAGCGTCAGTTCGGCGTCGCGCTCGGCCTCGGAGCGCAGGTCGCTCGAGCTGTGGTCGCGACGAATCACGTAGCGCGAGAGCGACGCGCGCTGCGCTCCGGCGCGCCGAAGGCCGCTGCCGGCTGGCGAACTGTTCGTCGAGCTGGAAGCATCGCGCGAGAAGATGTTGACCTCGGGCTCGCCCGCCAGCAGACGACGCTGCGTAGTGCGTGCGCGCGAGAGATGCTCGAGCTCCAGCGAGCGGGCCACTGACGCCGGCGGAGGCTCGGGCGTGAGACTGCCGCTGCCGCGGCGGCGCCATGCTGCCAGCGCGCGCTCTTCTTCCTCGTCGGAGCTCGTGTTGGACGACGAGAGCGGTGCGGCGGGCGGAGCGCGCTCTGCAGCCTTCTTCGTCAGGGAGATGTGCGCCTGCAGAGCAGTCTCCTGCAAAAGTGGGGGGTACGTGAGCGATTGTATCGCCAGGGGCCAGTCAAGGCCTGAAAGGTCGCTCACCTTGATCATCGTCTCGACGACGCGCTGCACAAGCTTATCGTCGACGTCAAAGTGCTCGACGAACTGCTCGAAGCTGTACTCTGCAGCGGCCTGGCCAGGCCCGCGTGCCGCATCGCGACTGCTGCCGGCCGCCGCCGACGAGCGCGCACCAGACGGCGCGCTGCCGCTGGCGCTCGAGAGGCCGCTCTGTGCGCGCGAGAGCTGATCGACGAAGGGCACCGAGTGGCGCTCGTTGAGGGCGCGCAGCGTGGCGAGCACGACGTCCTTTGTCTTGTTGAGCAGCAGCGCGTCGTAGTATGCTTGTTGGCTGGCGTGCGTGTCAGGCGTGTGGCCCGTAGCAGCGTGTATGCGCGCGCAGACTCACCGGCGACCCATGTCGGCGGCTGCCGAGGGCTGCGAGCAGCCTCTGCGCAGCAGGTGAGGCACGCGAGAGAGACGCGAGTGAGGCGTGTGCTCGACGAGCTCGGCGAGGGGATGGGTGGTGGGCGTGGGACAGACGGGCGGCTCGCGCCCACGCGCGTCACCATGCAGCACACGCGACAAGGCCGGAGTCGCACCCGCCAGACCCACGTGCAGAATCGCGCTGCCGGATGCGGCGGCGGGCATCGCAGGCCGAGTGCCGCATCTGTGCTGCGTTGACAGGCGCGGCACAAGAGCAACACGCATCACCGCACACCGCACACACAACAGAGGCGCTCTGTGCCTGAGACGCGCCACACAGGCGGCCTGCCTGCGGATCGGCGCGCAGCGAGAGAGAGAGAGAGAGAGAGCTCAACGAGCCACCGCCGCCGCCGTCAGCAGCGCAGCAGCACGACGTCCGTCCCTTTCGCGCGGCGTCGTCGTCGTCGTCGAGCGTCGTCCCTGTTTTGTGCCTTCCTCCTCCATCCATCCATCCCTACCGCCCCGCCTGCTCGCCGTTCCCTGCGCTCCCGTGCTGCTCCCGCGCCCTCGCTAATTTTCACCCCCTCGCCCTCACCGCTGCCCGAGTGCCGCGCGCGCCGCGCCCGCTGTGTGATCTCTCTCAGTCGGCCGCGCCGCATAAGATCACCTGCTGGCCCAACACCCAACACCCACGCCACGCGCCGCCCGCACCTCTGCGCGCGCCTCCACCACAGCGCCACCTCCTCATCATCCTCGCCGGCGCACCGCAGCCCGCACTGCGCCGTGCATCCACCTCGTTCTATGCGGCACGCCGTCGCACCCATGCTCGGCGGCGGGTCTGCGTCAGCGCGGCCCGACGTGGCCATGCGCGCTGTTGACGAAGCCACGCCGCGCTCGTCGAGCCGCCGCGGCTCGCAGCATGATGCGAAGCGCCACGACGGGCCCTCGACACCACCGCAGGGCGCCGGCACGCTGCCTACGCCGCCTACTTCGCACATCGACGTCAGTGCCTCGCGCGCGCCACCCGCCGGCAGCGCAGCCGCGCCGGCGCCCACGAATGCTGAGGCCGGGCCGTCGGACTCGGAGCCCGAGCACATCGACGGCAGTCCGTCGTTCGCCGTCATCGCTCGCCGCACGAAGCGTCTGAGCGGCCGTGGTGCTGCTGCGCACCAGGGTCTGCATGCTGTCATGGGCTCATCGCCGCCGCCGGGAGAGGAGGACACGCCGCGGCGGCAGCCGGCGGTCAAGACGGAGCGCGAGTTGACGCTGCAGGAGAACGGCCGGCGTGCGCACGCATCGCGAGGCCGTGGCCGCACTGCAGAGGCACGCCACGGCGTGTGGTCGGCGGCCGCAGACATGGACTCGGACGACAGCCGCGATGGCGGTGTGAGCGACTCGCACTCATCGCGCAGCCGCACGCCGAGTCCGATGCTCGGCGCCTCCGAAGGCCACCTCTCCTCTGTCGGTGCGCTGGGCCCGAGTGCAGAGGAGATCAGCGCGCTGCTGTTCGCCGAGGGCGACGAAGAAGAACGGCCAAGTGGCCTCAGCACGAACGACGTCGACCAGATGGCGGCACGCCTCGATGCGATGAGCTTGAGCACCGCATCTGCTGCCGAGAAAGAGCTCGCCGACATGGTGAATATTCTGCGCTTTTTGCGGTCGCTTCAGATCGCTCACGACGCTTCTTCAGGCACGATCATTGGTGCGACATGCCCAGCAGCAGGACCGGCACATCAGCAGCCTGCACGAGACGGTGAGTAGCCGTCGACCGAGCGCCAACGTGGCCAGCTCGGCTGATGCATCGCTCCAGCTCCACCGCGTGCGCCTGCGCGCGGTCTCAGCGCTCACATCGCAGCGCACCACCTCTCACGCCTCGCTCACGGCCGCGCAGCTCTCTGCTGCCCGGCAGGCCGTCGAGCTCGAGGGGCTGCGCTCTCAGGCACGCATGCTTGGCCTGAAGCTTGCGCGTGCCGAGGCGCGGGCAGACGAGGTCGAGCACGCTCGTGCACGCAGCGTCGACGAGGAGCTGCGCTGGGCGGACACGATGCGCAACCACACGGGCGCATGGGCACAGCAGCAGGCCGCGCGAGCGCAGGCAGCATTGGGCCCGCGCACGGCGCAGAAGACGCCGGCCTCAGCGCCGATCGGCACCACGGAGGCTTCGCCAGGCGCTCTGGCCGCGCCATTCGAGCTCGGAGAAGGACGCAGCTCGCCAGCTGCCGAGCCAGCCGCGGCCACCGGCTCGAACATGGACGCCGAGTCGGCGCCTGCCGGTCTTGGCATCCGCGACAGCGGCATGCCTGCCATCGAGACGCAGGCCACCGTGCAAGACCCCATTGAGGCGACGCTCTCGCCGCTCTCGTCGATCGTGCGCGAGCGCAACAAGCTGCTCTCGGACAAGCGGCACCTTAAGTCGCGCGTGCGCGAGGTGGAGGCACAGCGCGAGGTGCTCGAGAAGGAGCTGCGCGCCCTGCGCCCGCTGCTCATCTCTGGCGGCACCAAGGTGGTCAGCACGGAGGCAGGCGGTGCCGCAGACGAGTCTGGCGTGCACAGCACACCTGGCCGCGTCAAGCGCAGCACGAGCCGGCGCCGGCGCGGCCCCACCATGGGAGACGCCGAGGCTGAGCACCTGCTGCTGGCTGCTCGGCGCATGCGCGAGGTGCGCCGCGGCGATGGCCACACAAGCACGGCTGGCTCGCCGCAGAAGCGGTCGGCGCATGCAGCTGAGCAGGCCCGCTTCGAGGATCGCCACGCACTCGACGATGGTCGGCCGCGCACGCCGCCTCCGGGCATGGCACCGCGGACCCCGCAGACACCGCGCACGCCTCGACACGTCAACGGACCCGGCAGCGTGCGCCCGACTCCGCGGTCCATTGGCCGAACGACTGGCGGCCTGCTCGACGCCACCATGGAGAGCGCTGGTGCGCGGCCGTTCGCTGGCCCGCGCTGGGCAGGCCCGCACGAGCGCAACGAGAGCGCCATGTCGTCTGCCTCTTTCGCGGCCAGCACGGGCATCGACGAGCTTCTGCACGCCGCGCAGAGCGTCTTTACGCCCGGCGAGCGTGGTCCGGGCGGCAGCAGCCGACCAGACGGCACGCAGGTCTCGGTGGGGCCGAGCAGCGCGCCGTACTTCCCGCGCATGACGCCGAGCTCGCCTCTGGCTGCCCACGAGCAGCTCGCGCCTCAAGATGCGTTCGAGAGCCCGAAGCGTCGCCGCGTGTCGAGCGCTGCGTTCGACATGGACCGGCAGCGCATGGGTCTCTCCCTTTCGCCCGACAAGCGTGCCGGCGCCACCTTCGGAGGCCGTCGTGTGCGCACCAGCACCGAGGGCGCTGACCCTACCACCTCTGGCCTGTCCGCGCTGGACCTCCTCGCGGACCAGGCGGCGGCGAGCCAGGTGCCGAGCCAGAGCTCGGACCGCTCGCAGCACAGCGACGGCGCCGGCGGCACTTCCGACGAGGGCATGGCAGTCGAGGACCCACGCTGGCCTGCTCGGCCGGTGAACGACGCCTACCACCTGGGCGAGCGCGTGCGAGGTGCCCGCTTCGGCGGGCCTCCGCCGTTCCCTGGCCCGCTGCTGCAGCACCCGCCGAGCTACGGCTACCCGGCCCCTCCGCCCGTCCCAGGCCCGCAGCCGTGGCTCGCCTCGCCCACCGGCGGTGCGCCGCGCGTGCTCGAGTATGCGCCGATTCCCTACCCTCCGCGGCCCGTCACGCCGCCGCCTCAAGTCCGCCACATGCCGTCTGAGCCGTCGTACTCGCGCGACGACAGCGGCGTGACGCCGGTGCAGGAGGTGCAGAGCAGCCCGGCCAAGAGCAAGGGCGGCAACACCAGCCCGGACAAGCGCCTGCCGTACATTCGCTGGAGCGAGGAGGAGGACCGCAAGCTGCGCCGCGCCATCAGCGAGCACGGCCAACGGTGAGTCAGCGCGAATCAAGCTGCTTGCCGACCTGATCGCTGACATGCTCTGCCTCTCAGATGGGAAGCCGTCGCCCGCAGCGTCGGCACGCGCTCGTACCACCAGTGCCGCCAGCGCGCCCTGCTCATGCGCCGCAAGACGCAGGCCGCCTCCAACAACGCCGCTGCGAGCCAGCAGTCCGACCCCTGATCCCACACACACACTCTACTCTCACTGTCTTTTCCTCGTGCTCGCTGTTCTGCTCTCTCCTGCCTGCCGGTCCCCATTGTACTCCAGGCGCTCCGCTAGTCTCTCGCTCCCCCTCGAATCGCTCTCACAGCACGTCCGCTCGCAAATCGAACATCACCACTTGGACTCGTCCACGGCGGGCGGCTCTTCCGTCTCTCAGTGCGCATAGATAGATGGCATAAAGGAGGGTGTGGTCGCGTAGACAGAGGAGAGGAGAGGCGACTAGACCAGTCGAGCAGTAGGAGCAGCAGGGGCAGCCGAGCCGGCGAGCGCCGCGCGGCGGTCCAACGCGCGCAGGCCCATCATTAGAGGGTCTTCCTCGACGTCCTGGCCGAAGCCGACGGCGCGGCTCACGTCCAGGTTGCGGCGCTGGCTGTTCGTCAGCGTCTGCAAGGCGTAGTCGCGCTTGCCGTATGCCGTGTTCCACGCGACGATGCGGTGGAGAGCGGACGACTCGCGGAGCTTGCTCGTCGCTTGCAGATAGGTGCGCACGGTGAGCGGCTGGTTCTGGCGCCGCAGCTCGCCGAATAACTTGAGCAGGTGAAACTCGTAGTGCTTCATCGTGCGAATAGCTGACAGGCAGAGCGCGTCAATCTTGGAGTGTGCTCAGCCGCATCCGGCTCACGGAAGACTTACTCATTTGGTCGGACGACAGAAGCGCATGGTCTCGCAGATCTGCGATCTGCGAACGGACTTTGCGTCAGCCCTAGGCCCGCGTCAGAGTGCTGAGATACTCACCACGCGGTCGACTGGAATGACAGTGTCGAGTCCCGAAGGGACAATGGTGGGCAGTGCCTGAACGAGGAAGCTGCGTGTGCCGAGGGCAGGCGGGGCCCGAGGTGCCTCGTTGTGAGTGGCGTTGGTCTTCGTGGCGGGCTTCGACGAGTTGGCCTTGTCCTCGGCTGCGGCACGCCTGGCTGCTTGCTCTGCGCTCACAGCAGCTGCTAGGCCGCCGGTCACAATGGCTGCGTCTTTCGCAGACGAGGACGGCGTGGCAGATGCGGCCTGCATCGGCGCTTTTGCAGAGCTGGCCGAACGGCCACCACTCCGCGAGGCACCGCTCGCGCCGCCGGAACTCGCACCGCCGCCGAAAGCCTGCTTGATGCCAGCGACTTGCTCAGGTTCGGCGAGGGCGTAGGATGTTAAACCGAACAGCAAGCACATCGGGCCCGTGAGCCAGAAGAAGGCCGCTGCGATGCGCTCCCCGAGTGCTTTTGCCGGCTTCACAGCTGTCTCCTCGACTAGCTGCTCGGAGAGGCGCAGCCCCTTCTCCGCGCTGACCTTGGCCATCACTGCCTTCTCGACCGCGGCCGATTGCTCCTTGACGCGCTGCTTGGCCGGCGCAGGCTCGAGCCGCGCGAGCGTGCGCGAATACATGGCCTCCTGGTTCTTGGCGTGCAAGACGAAGTCGAAGAGAGCGGTACGCAGGTCCTGGAGCGAGTCGTGGAGCGCTTGTGTGCCGGTGCGAGCCTCGAGCTGGCGACGCTGAATCTCCTTCATGGCTTCGCGATCGTGCTTGCGCTGCAGGCGCGCGTAGTGGCGATGCTCGGCCAGCGCCTTGACGGACTCCTTGTGCTGCTCCTCGAGGCGCGTCTCGAACGCCTTGACGGACGCAAGGTGCTCCTCGCGGCGGGTCTCGAGCGCGGCGATGCGCTCTTGGTTCGCCGCGACAGCCTCATGGAATTGCATCGCGCTCTCCTTCAGGCCTGCAGTGACGACGTCCCAGTCACGTTGAAAGTTCTGGTAGACGCCAGAGGCACTTCCGCCCGACCGCGACAGCGCGCCAGCGTTGTTCGACGGTGCCGGGCTGCCAGTGCTGGTCGACGACGGTAGAACGCCAGCATTGTTGTACGACGCAGGCGTGCTAGCGCTGACAGTCGGCGACGAAGCCCCAGCGGCTGACAGCCCAGGCGGCGGAGCGATGAGGTTGGGGCTCCAGTTGGACAGACTCGCGAGCGTGGGCGCCGTCGAGGCGAAGCCCCGCTGAGCAGGCAGGCCACAACGGTAGACCACACCTCGACGAGTCGAGCAGCCCTTGAGGCCGATGCGATGGGCAGTGCGAAGAGCGTTCATGAGGGAGGAGAGTGTGAGGTCGACGAAGGGACTGAGGTGAGGAGGGAAGTCAAAGTCGACGAGGCCTGCGTCTCTTATACCTCGTCAGAGCCGAGACGGCAGCGACAGGGTGCAGTGTAGCTGTCGGATCTCCATCGTGCTCGACCTGCGATGCTGTAGCGAACCGAGCGCACAGGGCCGCGCGCCCGCGACGCAGGGCTGACGCTCGGGCCGCCAGCATGAGCTGTCGCCGTCTATTCGTGCTCCTTCACCACGTGAGGGACAAGACAATCTCGGCGCATGACGGCTCGGTGTCCGAGCTCTCCGGTCCGCGCTTACGTCGGTGCCGCTGGCTGCTCAAAGCGGTCAGAATACCTCGTTGCTCGGCTCAGCAGCAGGACTGCTTGTCCCCATCCGTCCTTTGTCCACACTGGGCGCAGCGATATCTGCGTGCCGCGCTCGCAGCACCATCCGCCCGACGAATACGTGAAACTGAGCATTTTGAGAATGTCTTCACATCGCTCTGTGTGCGGTGCGTCTTGATGGTGGTGGTTGAGCGCCTCGAGAGCGAGCAGCTGGCGGACCGGCCCGAGGTCGTTCTCGCAGCACAGCGGCCTGCTCCCACGCGTCCCGCGCGAGAGAAAATCGCAGCGCCGTCCCTTGTCCTGCGTCAGCAAGAAGTACTGCCGACGACGACGAGCGCAGCACCGCTCTCACCAACACATTCTCTCGCCCTTCCGCATCGCTCGACTCCATACCCGTCGAGCCATGATCGCCGCGTCGCTGCTCCGCTCCGGCGCCGTGGCCCGGAGAGCTGCGCTGCGCCAGGCCGCTGCCGGTGCGGGCGCGCCTGCTCCACTTGCCGGTGACGCTGCTGCGCGCTCGCTCAGCAACAGCGCCTCGCGATGCGCTCGCGTGCCCGAGGACAAGGGCGCCGCGTCGCGGCCAGAAGAGAGCAGTGCATCCGCTGAGAAGGCGTCGGAGCCGCAGGCGGACGCAGCTGCGCCGCAAGCCGCACCGCCGGCGGCGCCACGAAAGGACCTGCGCCGCTCGACGAGCTTCGCCGACATCGACACATCGCTCGCCATGGCTGCTATTGAGGGCGAGATGGGAGGCAAGGGCGGCAAGACGAACGCCAAGGCGCGTGGTGCGCAGACGAGCCAGGACCGGCAGCGCAAGCAGACGGCACGCATCTTTGGCGTGCTCGGCCTGGTCGGCATTGGCGCTGTGGTGGGCAACATGGGCCGGGACTGGGAGACGATTGAGGAGCGGCAGAAGTACGGAGATGTGAGTCATCGCGAAGAGAGGTGAGAGGATGGGAGAAAGGGGAGAGCCTCGTTGCGCCGCTGTCAAAGGCGCCATGCTGGGAGCAGGAGCTCAGCTCGCAGCCCAGCACCTGCAGAAGAGCTCGTTCGCAGCTCTTTGATGCGCAGCATCTCACACTCCTTGCTTGCAGGACCCGTCAGCGCAGGGCTTCTTCGGGCGGGTGCAGACGCGCCTGCGCTCGATGTACACCTCTGTGAAGGACCCGGCATGGGAGAAGCTGCTGCCCGAGCCGCTGCCGTTCCCGTACCAGCGGCCGTACACGCTCGTGCTGGACGTCGACAAGCTGCTCGTCTCCTCGACGTGGACGCGCAAGGATGCCTGGCGGACAGCCAAGCGTCCCGGCCTCGACTACTTCCTCGCGTACCTCTCGCAGTTCTACGAGATTGTGCTCTTCACGCGCCAGCCGTTCTACATTGCCGGCCCCGTGATTGAGAAGCTCGACCCGGACCGCCGCTACGTGGCCTACACGCTCTTCCGCGAGAGCTGCAAGACGAGCGACTCGGGCAACGTCGTCAAGGACCTCAGCTACCTCAACCGCGACCTGTCAAAGGTCATCGTGCTCGACACAGATGCGACGGCGTTTGAGCTGCAGCCAGAGAACGGCATCGTGGTGAAGAAGTGGGAGGGCGACCCGAAGGACACGGAGCTCGTTGGCCTGATTCCGTTCCTGGAGTGTGAGTTGCCTGCTGCTGCCTCGCAAGACGCGCGCTAACTGATGCTTTGCAGCGATTGGCATCTACGGCATCGAGGACGTGCGGAGGCCGATCAAGAGCTACGAGGGCCTGCACATCCCCACAGAGCACGCCAAGCGGCTCGCGTCGACGCTGAAGGCCGACGAGGCGGACCGCAAGGCCAAGCAGTCGAAGCGTCTCTTTGGCGGCCTGGTGAGGCCGACATGTGCTCCACGCTCTGCAGCTTGCGCTGACATCACCTCTCCAGCGCGAGGGCGCCGGTGCCGCGCCGCAAAAGTCGTGGTACGAGTCGGAGCGGGAGCGCTACATGCAGGCCTTCCAGGAGGATCAAAAGTACTGGCGCGAGAACGGCGAGGCGATCCGCCGGCAGGCCAAGGAGGATCAGGAGCGACAGATCAAGGAGATGAAGCTCAGCGCCTGGGGGTGAGTTGCTCGTCCTGCATGCTCTGCTCGCCTGCTCACAGGCGCCTCTTGCAGTATGCTGACGGGCCAGGGCATGGCGCCGCCGCCGGGCCCAGAGGGTGCTGCTCCGGCGTCGTGAAGAGGCAAAGTCCGCACTGCCGCTCACTTCTGTACTCCTCTGTCACGCGATGCGCTGCAATACACCCACCACTTCGGACGATGTTCTGCGGGGTGATGGCAGACAGCGCTGCGATCGGGGCCGGGGCATTGTTAGCGCATTACTTCACGCCTCGGCCGAGCCGAAGCCGTCGCAGCTGTCGCAGCTGGTCCTTCTCGGACAGAGGAGTGCGGCGCCGGTCTCAGGCGTTCAGGGCTCAGCCGCGGCTTCGGCGTCGGGATCTGCCTGGGTGCTGCTGCGGCTGTGCTTTGCGGCGTCGCGGACAAACGGCGGACGCCGGAGCCGTTGGTGTGGCGCCTCTTGCTGCTCGACAGCCGATCGACGCCGTTCGCGGACTGGCGGGCCCGCTGCGGCGCTGCGAGATCGCCAAACGAGGCGCGGGCCAGCAGGAGAGCTGCACTGCTGCGCTGCAGCCGCGGCGCTGCGCTGCCGGGTGCCGCGGCAGAGCGCAGGCGAGCCGCCTGCGCCTGGACACCCTCGCGGCACCTCGCTGGACATCCGCCGCAGAGTCGTGGCTCTCGCAAAGCGCAGCCCACGGCATCTCGTGGACGTGAGCTCGCCTCTGTTGCGGCTCGCAGCTGCCGATCAGCGCCCTCGTCGCTGTGTGGGGCGAGGAGAGCCGCCGGCCCGGCCCCTGAAGCACCCTGAAGCGCCGGAGCGCTGCACTTTGGCCGATTCGCCATTCGCCCATCGTGCCTTCCTCGTCGCTCGCCCTCTCTCTTTGTCCCGTCGCAACATGGCTGGCTGCTGGTGTGCTGGATGCTGCGCTCCGGAGCCGGCGCGGCGACTGCGGAGCGCGGCTGCAGCGCCGGAGCTGCTCTGGCGGACGCCGCGCGCGTCAAGGTGCAGCAAGAGGCGGCTGCGCAGGATGCAGACGCGGCGCTGCTGCGATCTTGGGACGGAGGCCTCCACGCGCTGGTGCTGGTGCTGCGCCTGCAGCAGAACGCTGGCCCTCCTCGGCGCGGAGGCCGGCACGCAGATCCTCTGCGGGAGCAAGAGCAAGCGTGGAGCGCTCAACCGCACTTCGGCCGCAGCGGGCAGCGCAGCGTCTCTCGGCTCTTGCGCGCCGTAAGCGCGGCGGCGCCAGGGCCCGCGCCGCGTGCGCCGGGGTGCAGGGCCGCCGAAGCCGCCGCAGCGTGCGAGAGCAAGGCGCTGCCGCAACGACTGACGCTGAGCGCTGGGTCTGCGCTCTGCTGTGCTGCTGCGCATCGGGATGCCGGACGCTGGATGCGTGCAGCAGCAGCCCAGCAGCGCCGGAGAGGAGGACGGAGCGGATGCGCGATGGCAGCGCTCGAGAAGGCGCGCGGCGGCGAGGGCGGGCAGGGTGCAGCGATGCGCGGCGCCGGCGGCCTGCTGCAGCTGCTGCCTGTCACCGATGCAGCTGGCCGCCTGCAGCAGCAGAGCCCGCTCCAGCCCGCAGCCGCTCCTTCCTCCTCTCCTCACCACCTCCCTCTTCGCCGACGAAGAGCGCCGCAGTCGCTGTCCCGTGCTGTGCTGTGCCGCTCCCTCGTACGACTGTCCGTCCCTCGCAGCCTGCCGCACGTCGCTCTTCTGTCTTGCCGGCGCCTATTCATGCCCCTGCAGCACGCCTATCCTTAGCCCGGCGTCGAGCGACGACTCCTTCCACCCCGCATATCCCTTGCCTAGCGGCGGCGCTCGCCAAGATGCCGCGCGGCCACTCCATCCTCGACTCCATCCTCAACCGGCCGTCGCAGACGTACACGGCGGACCCTGAGACGCCTTCGCGCAGCCGCGCGCCGTCGCGTGCAGGATGGACGGCGCCGTCGGACCTGCCCAATGCGCCCGGCTCGCCCAACATCCTCTCGGGCTCCATGTTCAGCCGCAAGAGCGGCACCGTGGGGCGCTCCTCGCGCGCCAACTCCGTCGCCGGCGGCGGCAGCTTGCGCAACTTTGGGCGCAGCTTCGGGCGCGGCCGCTCCAACAGCGTGCTCGACGACAACAGCAGCACCATTGCCGGCAGCGTGGCCGACAGCAGCATGGGCCGCAAGAGCCGCTGGTGGGACGCGGGAAGCTTGCGAGGCTTTGGCCGCAGCAGCCGCGCGCCGAGCATCGCCGGCGACAGCATCTTCAGCGAGCCCGAGCCGGCCGCTCCGGGCGCCTGGGACAAGAGCATGGCCGGCATTGGCGCGGGCACAAAAGTGCGGCAGGCGCCGCGCAGTGACTTTGGCGGCTCGCCGACTGCGGGCGTGCCTCGCTCCGGCAGCAGCAGCATGCCGCCGCTGCCGCGACACGATGCGCAGGCGCTGCGTGCCATGAACGCCAATGCCTCGCCTGGCCGGCTGCCATCGAACGGCGTGGCTCCGCTGGGCAAGCAGGCGCCGAGCCTCGTGCGTCCGTCGCCGTCGATGCCGCTCGGCAGCAGCCCATCTGCCATGGGCTCGCAGGCAGGCTCAGTCTCGGGCTCCGTGTCGGGACGCTCGAAGCGTCTGAGCGCCGTGTCGAATCCGAATCTCGCTGCAGCTGCCGCTTCTGGCTCTCCGGTCCGGAAGCGCCACGGCAGCGGCGGGCCTGCGACCTCGTCACAAGACTGGAAGGCCTTCATCAACAGCATGAACGGCACGGACACGGCGCAGGCGTGGGAGGGCAACAGTCTGGCCGCAGTCGCTGCACGCGCTGCGTCTCCGGCGCCGCCCGCTGAGCAGTTGGCCCGCCGGCGGAGTACTGCTGCGGCGCGAGTGCAGAAGGAGCTCGAGCAGGACGCGCTGTACGAGCAGACGCAGCGCGATCCTGGCGTCATCCACCAAGACCTCATCGCGCGCGCTGCGCAGCAGGTCATCGGGCAGAGCCTTCCGCCGCAGGAGCGGCCCGTCAGCGAGGCGCTCGTGCCGGGCAGCTTGCGGCCCGGATCTGTCATCCTCGACCCCGCTTTGGCAGTCTCGCAGCCGCCTGCCTCGGCCGCACTGCCGACACATCCGCTCGATGCGCAAACCCTTGCGCTGCAGCAGCATGCGCAGGCCCTGGCGCTCCAGCAGCACGCGCAAGCTCTGCAGCACCACCTGCCGCCCGGCAGCCAGTCTGCGCTGCAGCAGCACACGATCGCGCTCCAGCAGCACGCGCAAGTCCACGCGCAGGCTGTGCAGCAGACGATGCCCCAGGTCGCTGCGCAGGCAGAGCCGCCGCGCAGCATGTCGCCGCCGCCTCGCGCCATGTCGCCGCCGCCGCGTGCCATGTCTCCGCCTGCGCGTGCCATGTCTCCGCCTCCGCGCGCCATGTCGCCACAGCCGCCGCGGCCGATCTCAGCGGCCTCTCTGAATCGCGACCTTCCGCCAACGCCGCCAGACGGCGACTCGTCGGGCACGATCGAGAGCGGCAGCGACGAGTCGAGCGAGGAGGACTCGAGCGACGAGGAGCGGCAGATGCTCGACGTCGTCGCCGAAGAGGAGGAGGAAGGCAGCTCCAACGCCGGGCACGAGATGCGGCCGCACCTGCCCTCGCCCGTCAAGCACTCGGCCTTCGAGTCGGCGATCCGCAAGAGCGACGTCAGCGGCTCGTCGCAGGCCGCCGGTGCGCAGCGCGCAACAGCTGTCACGCCTGCTATCAGCGTCGACGGGCCGGTTCGTGCTGCAGCGGACGACGAGGACAGCTCGAGCGACGACGAGTCCATCATTGCCCCTACGCGCAGCGCCGATGCTGACGCGCCGCTTGCGGTCACCGCGCTGCTCAGCGCCAAGCAAGGCGTGGCTGGCGCGCCGGGTGCACCCTCGGCGCGCTCGCTCGGCGCATCCTCGAAAGTGCGCATCGCGCCGGAGGCGCTTGGCGCAGATGGCAGCGACGACGACGCAGCATCGGACGACACGTCGCGGGGCGCGGCAAGCACGCGCCCGCCCACGCTGCGCCGCCGCCTGTCTGACCTCAGTCTGGGCGGCTCGCTTGCCATGAGTGCGATGCTGCGCGGCTCGGTGGCTGGCGGCGCGTCCCGCACGGCGTCGTCGCGGCGCATGCGAATGCGCGACTCGGACTCGGACTCGGCCGGCGAGGGCGGCTCAGGCGACGACGCAGAGCTCAAGGCCCGGGCGCGCGCTGATGCGGATCGCCTGCGCAACCTCAAGGTCGGCGATGACTTCTTCGGCGAGAGCCTCACTGGCCTCCTCGACCGCTTCGGCACCGCGAACTACTCGGACTCGACGATTGATCGCCTCGGCCTCGACCTCTCTGCCGCCAAGAGGCAGGCGATGGCAGCTGGTTCCGCCACTGCAGCCGCTCCTGCTGGCAGCTCCACTGCTGGCGCGTCCGACGCGATGATGCAGGTCCGCCAGGAGCGTGCAGACGCCATTGCTGCGGGCTCTTCCGGCGCGGCAGAGACGCGAAGCCTCGAGAGCGCCCTTGCCCCGAGCATTGCGGCCGCCTGGCTGCTCGGCATGGCTGCCGACGACAACCAGAGCATGCGCAGTCGCCGCAGCGCTGCGAGCCGGGCGCATCGCCGGGAAGAGTCCGGCGCCAGCGCCGTCTCGGCGTCGTCCTCAGCAGACAAGACGTCTACTGCAACGCACACGGGCCGCTTCCGCAGCCTCTTCTCGTCCACTCCTCGGGGCGGCGAAGCTGCTGCGCCCGTGTCGCCGCCGCGTCGGCAGAGCATCATGGACAGGCCGCGTGCCTCGAAGCCGCCGCAGCCCGAATCGCTCGGCGGCCTGCCCATCTCGCAGGGCAGGCTAGAGGCCGACTCGCCGTCTAAGCCCAAGCTCAAGGCGTCTGGCGAGGATCTGCGCAGCACGCTGCCCGCCAGCATGTCGTCGGCACTGCTGGCCTCCCCGACCCAGCGCACGAGCTCGCGCCTGTCATCGAGCAGCAACAGCTCGACTCCCGCCTCGCCCGAGGCCACGGCCTCTGCGACGCTGAGCAAGGACAAGCCTGCGCCGGCAAAGTCGGCCCTGAAGCCGCTGCGCCACTCCAAGTCGCTCGCCGACACGCTCTTCTCCTTCGGCCCTTCGAAAGAGGAGAAGGAGGAGAAGCGCGAGAAGAAGGCCAAGGCGAAGGCTGCCTCGTTCGCCAGCGGCAAGACTGCCGGCGGCGAGGTGCCTGCCAGTCCGCCGTCGGCCTGGGCCAAGAAGGACAGCAAGATCGCGAAGGCCGAACGCAAGGCTGAGCGGCAGAGTGCGAAGGCGGCCAAGTCTGTCGAGGCTCCCAAGCCGGTGAAGGCTCAGAAGCCCGTCGAGACGCCGAAGCAAGTGGACGCTCCCGCTGCCATCGTGGCTGCCACGGCAGTGCCCGCAATCGTGGTGCCGGCTGTGGCAGCCTCGAGCGCTCCGGCAGCAGCTGTTGCTCCTGCGGTCAGCGCGGACGCGCCGGTACGGGACAGGCCATTGCTGCTTCCTCGCTCGACCTCGATCGGGCCAGTCTCGCCAGGCATGTCGGAGACGGACGGCGAGGAGCGTTGGGAGTCGGCCGACGAGGGCAACACGCCGTTCGCAGAGGACGACGAGCGGCCCAGCTGGCTCTCTCCCTCGCCGAACCGCGCTTCCACAGGCTCGTCTGAGCTGGACGCTCTCTCGGCCCCTACCGGCGCGCTGCCGTCGCTCAGATCCGAGTACATGGACGCTCGTGCCGATGTGTCTGACGGGACCATCAACGGCGACGACTCGCTGGCCTCGAACGGCACGGCGACGGGCATGACCGAGTCGCACTTCTACACAGTCGGCGATCTGGCGGCCGCCGCGCAGAGTGAGTCACGCACACCGGAACGCCGTGCTGGCTTGTGAACTGACCGCCGCCTCTCCGCGCACAGCTCCCGAGAAGGCTGCGTCGAGTGCTGCGACGAACGGCACGTCCATCTCGCATGCGCCCGTGCCAGTCGTCGCCCAGCGCGCCCCTCTCATGGACGACGAGTCCTCCGGCTCGGACGCCGACTCGGAAGACGAGAGCGACGACGACGTCGCGATGCCTCCCAGCACGCGGACGGCGAACGCAGCGCCGTCGATCGCACGCGAGGCAGCACTCAGCCCGCCTCCGTCGTCCGAGCTGTGGTCCGGCTCGAGCGCGGCAAGCACCGTCTTGTCGACGCCCGGCGCCTCTGACATTCTCGTCGAGCGCAAGCCGCTGGCAGAGCGCCGCATTGACTCGTCTCCCTCGCGCGAGAACGGCTTCCAGCTGCCGGGGCCGGAGAAGCGTCTGCCCATGCCGCCGGCGCCGAGCTTCGAGGACAGCGTCGCCATGCCGCCGCTGCACGACGATGCCACTCCGCTGGCCGTGCCGCGCGGCGAGCCCTCGTACGGCTCGGTCATCACGCCGCGCGGCGACCGCTCTGAGCCGAGCTTCGGCGCAGCTGTGGTGAACGTCAACCTGATTCCGCCGACGCCGCCAGCTCTGGAGACGCGACCTTCCTTCGGCGCTTCGCGCCCGCCGGCAGACGGTGTCGGCTCGCTCGCCGAGGACGCCGAGGCGCCCGCGTCGCCGGCCGGTGCTATGCAGCGCTCTGCCAGCCAGCGCTCGAAGAAGGGCGACTCGCTCTCGCGCTCTGCTTCCACGAGCACCGCGAAGCGCGCTTCTGCGCCGCCCGCCGGCTATCAGCTCTACCAGGGCAAGGGGCTCAGCCTGCCGCCGGGCATGTTCGCCACGACCGTTGCCAGCTCGTCGCAGCGCCGCTCCAGCGTGACCTCGGACACGACTGCGATCATCCTGCCCGACGACACCGTCCCGCGGCGCAAGAAGAGCAAGAAGAGCTCCAGTAAGAGCAAGTCGGGCTCCTCCAGCGCAGCGGTAAGTGCATGGTCCGCCAGTCCGACTTTCTGTCGCTCACACTTCATCCCTACAGCAGGCTGGAGTGCCCCCCGTGCCTCTTGTGCCCGAGCAGCTTCGACGAGGAAGCGACGCTGGATCTGACTTCGGCTCCAACGCTTCTGCAGCACACTCGATCTCGCGCTCCGCTTCTCCGACGCTCAGTGTCTCTGCGCCAGGCTCCGTCGTGTCCTCTGCGGCGGGAAGCGCGGTGTCGAGCACCTTCTCAGAGGCCTCATCCTCGCGCGGTGGCCTGCAGCCCAACCAGCCACGCAAGATCCGCACGCTCTCCGCCGGACCGAGCGGCCAGGCGCGGACGGCCGTGATGTCCGCCATCAGCGAGTGGGAGAGCAGCCCGATCAGCCTCAGCCCGCACAGCGGTGCACCCAGCCCTGGCTCGCACTCGCCGCGTCGTCTCAGCGTCGCCGAGAGCCCGTACATGGCGCAGGACCCAAGCCAGATGAGCCCCTACGCCCAGAGCCTCAGCTCGTACTCGATGGTGTCACAGAACCTCGGCACGGCCACGCGCAGCAACAGCAGCATCGTCAGCGGCGTCACCCCCGCCATGGTGCGCGATGCGCCGCTCGGCTCGTCGACGGACACGTACCTGCCAGTGCCGCGCTCGCGTCTCAGCGTCGACGGCCGCAACTCGCCCGCGCTGCGCATCGACGCTTCGCCGGGGCCGATGAGCCTGGACGGGCACTCGCGCGGGCCATACGCCGAGTCGTTCGTCTCGCGAGACTCGAGTCCTTCTGCATCGCAGTCGGCAATGAGCCTGCCGTCAGTGCCCGTCTCGTCGTCCGCGTATCGGCCGCGCGACCCGATGCGCGCCAGCAACACGATCGACGACCGCCTCTACGCGCGCACCACGATGAACACGATCTCGATATCGAGCGGCGCCTTCCGCAGCCCGAGCCGCAGCGGCAAGCGTGCCTCGATTGATGCGACGCAGGGCACTGGTGCCGTCACTGGGCGCGCGTCCATGGACGCCCTGCCGGAGCAGCTGCAGGAGGATCTGGCGAACACCAAGATGGCGCTCACGGCGCACACGCCGCCGCCGCGCAAGATCAGCTCGACGCAGGTGCTGTGCCAGATCATCGCCGTGTCCATCGACGAGCTCGACCGCATGCTGCTGCGCGAGAAGGTGCGCACCGAGTCGGCGTACGGCTTCGTGCCCGGCCGCAGCTTCTGCGGCCGCGTCATGGAGACGGGCTGGGAGGTGAAGCGCATGCGCAAGGGCGACATCGTCTTCGGCCTGCAGTCGAGCCGCAAGTGCGGCGCGCTCGCCGAGTTTATGGTCATCCAGCAGGACCTCGTCGCCAAGGCGCCCGAGGACTGCCTCACCACGGAGCAGATCGCCGCGCTGCCGTCGACGGGCGTCATGGCGTACCAGCTCATGACGAACCACGCCTCGCAGCTGGCGCGTGGCGCGCGCGTGCTCATCATGAACGCGCACGACGGCATCGGCCTGCTGACGATGCAGGGCTGCGCGCCGCTGGGCCTCATCATCGTCGCGCACTGCCCCGAGAGCATCTCGGACGGCGTCGCCGTGTGCGAGGCCAACGGCGCGCACGAGGTCGTCATCGGCGAGCCGCTGTGGGCGCTCAACTCGCTGCACGAGTCGAGCTTCGACCTCGTCATCGACACGATCGGCGGCCGCCGCATGTACGACGCCGCGCGCCGCATCCTCGCCAACGACGGCCAGTTCGCCACGTGCTTCGGCGACGAGCACAACACGGCCAACCCGAACCTGCGCTCGCATCTGCGCTCGCTCAAGCGCAGCTTCTTCAAGAAAGACCGCAAGAACATCGGCTACGAGTGGGTGGGCGCCGACCAGGGCGAGGACTGCCGCGAGGCCCTCGAGGCCGTGCGCGCGGCCGCCGAGGCGGGCGACATCTGCCCGCGCCTGCGCTCCATCCTCGCCTTCTCCGACGCCCCGCGCGCCTTTGACGCCGTCATCCGCGGCGCCGACGAGGAGCCGGGCGCCATCGTGGTGCGCGTCTCCTGAGCAGCGGCGCTGCACTCTCCTTCTCCCACGTCTCCACCTCGCCTCGCTCCCCTAATCTTCCGCTGCCCACGACACGCTGCTCTCGCCCTCACGTGCTTCTCCCTAACGCTATTTGTCTCTCTGGAGCACGTCGCGCAGTCGCCCAGCCGCCGCGCCAGTCCCTCCCGTCACGAAAATGCAACGCTGAGCTGGATGAAATGCTTGCATGTCTGTCGCCGTCATCGCCGTGGGCTCGCCTCCGCCAGCGCCGGACTGTTGCGGCCGCTCTGCGGCGCGCCGCTCGCAGGCCGGCGCACAGACGACTTGCGCTGCGCGCTCATGCTCGTGTGTCGCCGATCGCGTCCCGAGCCAGCGCCGGCCAGGCGACTTGCGGCGCCGGCGACGAGATCGCGGATGAGGCCGTTGTACATCTCCGAGTCGGCGGCGTGCGACTCGCGCAGCGTGAGGTGGTGCGTGAGCAGCAGGCTCGCTGACTCGGTGAGCGCGTTGAGCTCGGCCTGCACGGATCGCAGATACGGCAGCGACTGCAACGTGAGTTGATCTAGGGCCGGCATTCGTGAGCCAACGTCAGCGCACGCTTGCAGACACACTCACCCTCGGTAAGCGCGACCAGCTCCTCCGCTCGCGCAACATCGAGCTGCGGAGCAGGCCCCAGTCCGAGCTCCTCCCTTCGGTGTGCAGCCATCCGCTCCCGCTTGAGCCCTGACGCCGGGCTGGCGCTCCGCGGCGTGGCAAGAGAGCTCTCGCCGGGGCCCTTGCCTGCGCCTGGACCCCCAAGCTGGCCGCCAGCAGGGGCGGACGAGGGTCCCGCGGCTGGCCGCCCATTGTCGAGCGTGAGCGCCAGCGGCGGCAGTGCGCGGGCGCGAGAAGATGGAGCCGCGAACTCCTCGAGGTTGATCGGCACGCCGAGCGCAATGAGATGCGATCGCCGCGTCGTCGACCGCTGATAGTCGACGGGCCGCAGCTTCGGCACGACGGTGAGCATGTCGAACATGGCTTGGCTGAGGCACGGCAGCGGACATCAGCGCCGCGGATTTTCCCGACTGACCGCTACCACGGGCGACTCACTTCCGTCCGCTGCGCACAGTGTGGCCTTCCCGTATCCGTTCTGTACCGAGAGCGGCTGCTGCTCCATCGTGGTAAGGGTACGCTGAGCCTTGCTCAGACGGAATGGGCGGCGACAGGATGCTCCTGATCTGCGCGGCGAGATCTGAAGCGGTCGAGGCGGACGTCACTTGCAGTGGCGTCTGATAGCAGTCAGGCGTGAGCCATCACTCCTTCTCGCTTCGCACTTCCGGCGACTCACCAAGCTGGCATCTGCCGGCGGCTGGGCTGCGGGCAGAGGCGCCGCTTCTTGCTCTACAAACGCCGGAGCACCCTCGTCGAAGTCACCAAAGTCACCGAAGTCGTCGTCGGCGTCGCCATTCACCGCTCCCGAGGAAGGACCGGCGACGTCTCCAAAGCCATCAAAGTCGTCGTCTGCTCCGCCAGCGCCAGCGTCAAAGCCATCTGCCGCTGGCGCGTCGGGCAGCTGCGCGGCCTCAGTGGTCGGCGACGGAGCGGCCGAGGCAAACTCGTCGAGCTCGGCATCGCCGCGCGCCGACGAGGCCGACGAAAGCTGGCCTACAGCGGGCGCGGCGTCGTCTGTGACGGCGAGTGTGCTGTCTGCGGCGGCCGTGGATGACGCAGCCGGGGCCTCGTCGTCGGCGCTGCCCCAGGCATCAAGGCCGTCGTCAAAGAGACGCGACGGATCGCGCGGCGGCGCCGGAGTGGGGCCGGCGTGTAGTGCTGGCGCCGGATCGGCCCACGGATCGTCGGCCATGGGGAGCGAGCGCTGCGCGGCTGTGCGTGAGGTGAGCGCGGAGAGGGAGATGCGTGCAGGAAGGAAGCCGGCTCGGTGCGGGCCAGGCGCGCGCGAGCCTGCAGTTCGTGGCGTGCCCGGCCCGTGCGCGGTGCACCTCCTTGCTGATGGCCAGCTCGACGATGTGCAGGTGCCAGCCGGCTTGCCTTCCGGCCTCATCCTCAAGCACTCAATGACCAGCCCGCGCACAGCCGCCGCCGCCGCCGTCGTCCGATCCTCTGCACCACCACCGCAGCTGCGCTGCCCATAGCTGCTGCGTGTGCCCTCGCTGGCTGAGCGCCGCTCCGCTGCGCGCCCCTTGCCAGCATGCGCACCGTCGGCGCCGTGCGCGGCCCGCCGCATCTGGCGCTGCCTCTTCTCACTGTGGGGGCGCTGGGCACGCAGGCCGTCTGGTGTGAGTAGCTGCTGCACACGTACACAGCCCTGCCGGCTGCTGACGCCTCGTGGCCGAGCAGCGCTGGAGCTGGCCTTCGCGCCGCCGTATCTGCTCTCACTGGGCATGTCGCGCGCCGCCATGGCCCTCGTCTTTCTCGCCGGGCCCATCTCGGGCCTCGTGGTGCAGCCGCTGGTCGGCGCCTTCTCCGACGCCTGCACCTCGCGCTATGGCCGTCGGCGTGCCTTCATCGCTGCGGGCACGGCGGCCACGAGCATCAGCACGCTCTGTCTCGCTTGGGCTCGGCCCATCGCAGGGGCTGTCGGGCTCGGAGACGCTGGCGCTAGACTGGTCGCGATCATCAGCATCTTCGGGATAGACTTCTGCGTCAACGCAAGTGAGTGCCGTGTCTGTTATGCTGATGATCGCTGGCTCATGCCTGCCCGTACAGTCAACGCGCTTGACCGCGCTCTGCTTCTCGACCTCCTACCGCCATCGCGGCAAGCAATTGCGCATGCATGGTCAGCACGGCTAGCTGGCGTTGGCGCACTGCTTGGCTACCTTGTGGGCCAGTCAGACTTCAGCAGCAGCGCCAGCGGCAACGCAGACGAGGCGCAGCTGCGCGGCACGGCCGTCATCACTGTCTTCCTGCTGTGTTCGACGCACCTCGTCACTTGCTGGGCCGCTGACGAGGCGCCACTGCGTTCGTACGGCGGTCTGCCGGTCAAGAGACAGATACAGGCGGCGGTCAGTGAGCTGCGACAGGCGGCCAAGTGGCTGCCGCCGCCGATCCGCTTCATCTTCTACATTCAGTGTGAGTGCAAGGCTGGCCTGAACCTCGTCGGCTCGCAAGCTGATCGAGCTCCGCAGTCTGGGCTTGGGTCGCCTGGTTCCCGTTCCTCACTTACACCTCAGCATACCTTACGTCGCTCGTCTCGCTTCGGCCACTGCCTCGCACCTCCGTCTTCGCCGACCCAGCAGACGGCACGCCAACACGGACAGCCGCCATGGTGCTGGCCACGCACGCGTTCCTCTCGCTCGCTGCAGCAATCGGGCTGCCGCCGGCGCTGCAGCGATGGGCACCAAGCGCACTGCCTTCGCTGTGGGCCGCCAGTCTCGCGCTGCTCTCGGCACTGCTGGCCGGAATGGCTGTCGGCGGCGTGATGGGCAACAGCATCAGTGTGGCCATCTTCGTAGCGATGACGGGCGTGGCGTGGGCCGTCACCATCTGGGCGCCGTTCGCCATCGTGAGTGGCAAGCACGCCGCTCGCTTGATGCACGACTGACCTCTTGGCCTTGCAGCTCGGCGTCCTGATCCAGCGCACCGTGCCGCATACCAGTCTGTCCTCCGCATCACGGCCATCGGTGGTGGAGCTGCCTGCACGAGGGACAGCTGCACCGCAGAGCGCCGAGAGAGAAGGCCTGCTCGACGAGAGCGAGCGAGCTGCGAGGGCCAGCGAGGATGAAGGCAGTGATGCAGGCGATGTCCTAGCATTTGCGCCCGAGGCCCAGGTGCACGAGCCTGCGCACGATCAGTCAGGCACCGTGCTTGGGCTGCACAACGTGAGCGGCCTAGGTCGGCTTCCATCTTACTTCATGTCTGACAGCGTCGTCTCGCAGGTCGCGCTCGTGCTGCCGCAGTTCTGTGTCACCCTGCTTAGCACGATCAGTGAGTGTCTTGCGGCCGTTTGTGGCATCAATGCTGACCCCACTGCCGCCCAGTCTTTGCTCTGGTGGACCCTGGCCGGTCATCCCTGCCCGTGCACTCGGACACAGCGTCGGCGGCGGCCGAGTCCGTCGTCAAGGCGAGCGGCATCCGAGCGTACGCAGCGATCTACTTCGTAGGTGCCGTCTCGACGGGCTACGCCTCGCTGCAGTGCTTCAAGTTCGCACGGCTCCACGCTGGCGATCTGGCAACGTGAATGAAAAACAGTCACTTTGAAGGAACAAGCGACGTACAGACGAGCAGCGAAAGGGGAGGACGTGCGGCAGGGGAGATATGAAGCAAGCAATGTACGAGGGTGAGGCCCTGTGCCGGCACAGCGGCGGGTAGCGGGGAATGATGTGTGTCGTGGAAGGATGTGGTACGAAGCATGGACAAATGAGTGGACGAGCGCGCGACTTGAGTGGACGGAGCGAAGGCAGAGTGACAGAGCAAAGGGACGTGAGCTAAACTAGACGGCCGTGAATAGAGCGTGAGAGTGTCGTAGACGTGATTTGGGATGCTGCAGCCTGGCGAGGCAGGCAGAGCTTTACTCGTAGTCGAGATCGACGCGGACGATGCGCTCGAACTCGCGTGCGATGTCCTTGCGCAGACGGAAGCGCTCCGGGTTCGTCTCGCGCATCTTGGCGTCGGAGAGCAGCAGGAGCTTCTTGACGCGGTTGACGAGGCCGCGCGGGCCGTCGATGGGAATCTCGAGGGCGTCGTAGCGGTGGACGTATCTGTGCAAGGAACGGCGCGTGAGCTTTGTGCTGAACGGCGAGAAGAGGTCGAGACGCACCGCTCGAACTTGACAAGGTCTGCGGCGTCGAGCTCGTCGCGCAGACGCATGTACAGGCGGCGGTGGGCGCTGCGCCGGTCCTCGTCTGACTGCGGACCAGTGGGCTGGTTGGCTTTGCGGCCGTCGTCGCTGCCCGACACCGAGATGGCGACGTCGGACGCGTCCTGGAAGCCGCTGCTGGCCGAGGTGGAGCGGCTGATAGGTGCACGCGGCTGGAGGTGCGGCGCAAAGTGCGAAGGAGCATGAGGCTGCTCGGCCTGCTGTTGCTGCGCCTGCTTGGCAGCCTCGTAGCTGCGGGGACGCGACGGCGGCGACGGCGTCTCGCGTCCGTCGGTGGCGCCGTTCGACTGGTCCGGCCACGAGGCTCTGGGAGCCTGCTGCTGCCGCAGGTCAGCGCTGCGCTGGTGCACAAGCGATTGTGCTCCGCCGCTGACGACGCGGAGCGCGACCGGCTCGCTGACGCTCGTGGGGAACGAGTCGCGCTGCATGCTGCTGCCCGGACGAGCGACCGGGGGCGCATGGCTGACGGGGCCTGCAGTCCGCGTGCTTGCCATGCTCATGACGCTTTCGCTGCGGGATGCCGCGGCGGCAGCGAGCTTGGCGGGCAGGTCCGAGAAGATGTCGTCCTTGACCATCGGGATTGCGTCGTGCACGCTGGCACTGCCGGCGCGGCTGCGACCCGAGCGCGAGCGGGCACGCTCGCCGGTGCTGACGTTGCTCATGCGGCTGCCGGCGCGGGACGGCGGCTGCACCATCGGCGGGAAGCCGTGGCCGAGGTCTGCCATGGCGGCGGTCTGACGCTCCTGGGCCTGGATGGCTTGTAGCTGTTGCTGCTGGCTCAGGCTGGTGCGGCGCAGCTGCTTGCGTGCCTCGAGAGCGCCGGCGAGGTACTCTCCGGTGACTGCCACGTCGCTTGCCGTCGAGCTGTTGCCACGGCGTCTTGCCGCCTCGGTCGGCGGCGGTCCACTACCAGGCAAGGCAAGGCCGCTGGCGTGCTGGACGAGGCTCGGCAGGCTAGCACTCGCGCTGACACCGACTGCGCCGGCGGTCTGCTGTGCGAAGTTGCCGCTGCCGACGTTGGTGCTGCGACGCTTGGGCGCCGTTGCGCCGCTGCCCTCGGTGCTGACGTGGCGCTTGCCCGTGCGACCAGGGCTCGGCGGCTGCTGGCCTTGCTGCGCGTAAATGGCGGACGGAGCGCTTTGGGAGTTAGGCATGCCTGATTGAGGCGCGTTGACGAGGGTGTGTGTACCGGTGGGGCCATGCGACGGCTGGCGGACACGACCGCTGAACGAGTCCGTGTCCTGGTCCATCGGGCCTTCTCGCGACCTGCGCGAAGCGTCGCGCACATGGCTGTTGCCTTGACCGGGCCACGACGAGCGTGCGTCGGCGAGCATGGCATCTGCGTCGCGGCGGGCAGCGTCAAGCACGTCGCTGCCGATGCCGCTCAGATGGCTGCCGGCGTTCGAGACGCTGCGATCCCGGTGGGCGAATGTGCCGCTGACATTTGTGAAGCTCTGGTGCTCATCGACGAGCGATGCCAGCTGGCCCAGCGGCGTCGGCGGACGGAGGTCTTGTTGCTCGCCGAACTCAACAAGGCCGTGCGACATGTTGATGAGGTTGCTGCTGCACCAGGGAATGGTCATCTCGCCGAGACCTGCCTCGCCGCTGCCCTCGATTGACGTCGACATCGACATCGAGGAGGAAGCGGCCAGAGGCGACGGCGGCTGGTAGCGGTCCAAAGCAGACGCCGCGCGAACATCGCGCTTGCCCGACGACGGCCCTTGACCGGCACCGTGGAGGTCGCCGCCCGAGCTGCTGTGAGCAAGTCGAGCCTGCGAGACAGCGAGCTAGAAGATGGGGTTGGTGAGCGACGATGCCGCCGAGCTGAAGTCGCTGGCAGCACTCACACGCTCAGACAGCCGGCGACGGTCAGCCTCACGGATGTGGGCCTCCTCGCGCAGGGCGATGTTCTCGCGCTCGAGGCGCTCGATGACGCTCTCCTGCTGCGAGTTCAGACCGCGTAGAAGGCGCGTCTCCGATGCGAGGGCCTCGGCCTGCGGCAGACGATGGACGGTCAGCTTTGGTCCTTCGATGCGGCTGATGGAGAGCGCTCCGAATGAGAGGCCAGGACGCCGACTCACCTGAGCACGCAGCTTGGCCGCGAAGCGCTCCCACTCGCGGCACTTCTTCGCCAGCTCGTAGTACTTGGCGCTGAACTCGTAGTACTTGGCCGAGAATGCCGACTGCAGCGCCTCGAGGCCGAACTGTGTGGCGCGGACGGTGAGCATCGCGGTCTGCATGCCTGCCTGTCGCTGGTGGACTCACGCTCTGCTCAAAGGCCTCGGGCGGGTCGAGCACGCCCGGCGCGACGTTCTCGGCGCCGCTGGCCTGGAGAGGCTCGCCGTGCATGGGCTTGTGGCTCATGTCTTCGCTCGCGCGAGATGGCAGGTGGCCGGCGACCTTGGTTTCGCTGGCGCTCGACGTCTCGCGGCGAGCCTCGCGCTCTCTTCGCAGCTGGGCGCGGAGCGAGGTGTTGTTGCCGCTGCCGCCGAGCTGCGGAGCGTGGCCGCTCGACGTCAGAGGAGCGACGGGCGCCGAGGTGTTGCTCGAAGACGGCACGCGGCGCACGGCCGTGAGCTTGGCGTGGTCCGTCAGGTGCACGACCGTCGAGCCTGACATGTGGGATGGGCGCCGAACGGTCGAAGACATTCAGCAGAGAGAACGTCGACCGATGCCGGCGAGTAGGGAGAGGACTGGCAGAGCGTATGATAGGAGGCTGGGCGAGACGAAATAGGCGGGGAGAGACGAGGCAATGAGCAGAGTAGACGGTAGTGGTGTGACAGGGCGCGGCGACGAGCGAGCAGCGAGCAGAGGAGAGGGAAGAGGCAAGCGACGTGCGCAGATGTTGCTCTTCTTGCCGAGGCGCTTCCTTCGCGCGGCGGCGGGGACCTGCCGGCGTGCGGCGGGCTCCTCTCTGATGAGGTGACACAAAACCGTGCGGCTCGAGACCAACACCTACGCGGCGAGAGCCGGGCAAGGCAGGCACGCTGCGGCGAGCAGGCTCGCACGAGAGATTCGGGCGCGTGTCAGGCACGAGGGTGCTTTTGCAGAGCAGCAGCAGAGTGCGTGTGCGGGTGAGGGCACTGTGGAGAGGGTCGGATCCGAGGGTCCGGTGGTCGGAGCGGATGCGAGAGGCTGCTGCGGCGTGGTGTGGAGTGCGAGAGCGGCGGGCTGCGGCGTGGAGACTCGGCCGGGAGGTGTGAGAGGGGCGCGAGTGAGGAGTCGAGTGAGCAGAGGCGAGGTCGTCTCGAGCCGTCTGAGGATCGGCGAAGGCGGCCTATATAGACTGAGCACGGGGCAGAGCGGAGCGACAGCGGCGGAGCAGGTTCGGGCTCCAGATCAGACGAGGCGAGAGACGTGGCTGGATGGCAGCTGCGAGACGGCGACGACGAGAGGAGAGCAGCGAGGCAGAGCAGAGAGGCGACTCGACGAGAGAGGTGAGCGGGAGTGAGGGACAGAGTGGGCCTCTCGAGGCGAGCCAGCCATGTCATATACCCTTTCGCGGCAGCCGAGCAGCATGGAGATCACATCCTGTCTCGCTGCCGGCCGCGGCCTCGCGAGCACGGACCGGGCCGCCGTCGAGAGCGAATCGCGGCAGCATGATGAGCGCTCGTGCATGGGCCTGCAGCAGGCGTGCATGTGCCAGCGCGGGCAGGCAGCCTCCCGCTGAGCTGTGGCTCGGCGGACAGATGAGCCGGGCGGCGGATGCGGCACACGCGGGACGGGTGATGGCGACAAAGGGTGAGTCGGGTCGGCAGCGGGCGCGTCGGCAGCGCAGCTCGTGCGCGTGATCCGATGCCGAGGTGTTGGTCTCTGGCCCGCTACAAGCTGCAGCCTGCGGTCTCTCTGCTGCGGTCTGCCTGCTCGCGCGCCGCCGTGTTCCCCTCTGTCCCAGCATCGCAGCAGCCCGGGGCCGCGGCAGCAGCAGCAGAAAGGCAGCCTTAGCATGCAGCATGCTGCACCTCTGCAGATCATCACGCCTCCCGCGGGCACTTCTTCTTCGCGCGGCCGCTGCCCCGACGCGGCCGTGGGCCACCATGCCCTTGCCGCTGCAGCGGCGGCTGCGGGCGAGGGCAAGATGCCGCCCTGGCGCCGTGACAGCTGCGAGAGGCAGATGGCCCCGGCGGACGCCTCACAAATCCGGGCACCGCCAAGCCGCTCGGCGGCGCAGCAAGGAGCGCATGCCGGCACCGACCCTGCGTCTGAGGTTGCGCTGGAGGACGAGCACCGCCGTCCTTTGTCGCTGCCGAGGCCCGCGCGAGGCAGCATACAGCCAGGTGTGGAGTGGCGAGCCGTCGCGGCACAGCTGGACCTATCAAGTGCGAGGCTGCTGAGCAGCGGTGGGGGCTCCCGACGGCGCATCCGAGCTCCAGCAGAGGAGCTACGCTTCCTTGGAGCGCTGATCGTCGGCATTGCAGGCTAGGCGCTGCGCTGAGAGGGCGTGATGCTCGCTCGCCGCCGCCGAGAAGCACACACGCGATGCGGCGCATGCTGCCGCTGTTGCTGCGGCGCTGCTGCATGCGGCTGCAGCTTGCCGGGCCGCAGCCGCAGCCGACGCCGTGCCGCTCGGCCGGGCCCCAGAGGCGCAGCTCGCCGTTCCGGAGCCGCGCAGCACCGACGCACACGACGCCTCTTCCTTTGAAGTCACGCTGCTGTGCGTCCCGCCCTTGTCCCGCGCCTGCAGCAGCACCCGCAGCGCCGGGCTGTGGCGCACGGCAGAAACAAGGGAGCCAGTGCCGCATGCGACGCCCCTTGTGTGCCTTTTGGCGAGAGGCATGCGCATGGCGCCCGACGACAAAGGGGAGAGCGGGGCCGAGGGGGCGAGGCGAGGGTGCCCGATTCCTCGATCTGTTTGGATGCGCCTCGGCCGTTGGGCGGAACGCAGCGGCGCATTACACGTGGGCCGCGCCAAGCGGCATCGCTGAGCGGCTGGTGCAGGAGAGGTGCTCGCAGCGGCAGGAGCGCTTGTGCTGCGCTGAGCGGCTGCATCGGCGGAAGCAGACGGCAGAGGCGTGCGTGCATGCCTCCGCAGCGTGACAAGCAAGGCGCAGCACGAACTCGCAGCGACGATCACGAGGTGGCGCCTTGCATGCGGTGATCGTCGAGCGGAGGTGCGAGGGTGCCGCCGCCGAGAGCCACACCTCTGCCGTCGGCGTCGGCGTCGGCGTCGGCGTAGCTGCTCGCTGCATGGCTCGAGCGAGGGCGAAGGGCGATCATCTATGTGTCTCGCTCTAAGCTTAAAGCGCTCGACGTCGGACCCTCTCGCACGCCCCGCCCATGCGCGCTGCGGCACACGCATACGGCGGCACAGCCGGTCTGCGCATGAGCGACCGGGATGCCCGCGCAGCAACGCGGATCATCGTGAGCGCATGGAGCCCCTGGCATCGGGTGATGGTGACCAGCACGCTGTGGCAGAGGCGGCCGCAGCAGCGCGAGCGGGTCACTCGCGGTCGCCGGGTCATTTCCAGGACACAGACAGTCGCCCGGGATCTGGCACGAGAAAGGCCGCGCCGGGTGCTGCCAGCGAGTTGCTGCACGCTCGCACGCCGTTTCTCATGCAGCCGAGGGCCGCAGCCACCCGCAACGTGCCGCAGCGAGGCCCGTCCGCTGCCACTCACCTCAGACCGGCGGCGAGACAATATTGGTGTGAAACGCGGCGCTGCTCGGCGTCACCCGTCGGCGTGCGGGCGAGACCGACACCTCCGCCGGCGTGGGAGTTGGTTGTTGGGACGCAGCGCAGGAGGTGGACGCGCCTGGGCCGCACAGACGCGGCTTGCCACGTGACGCTGGCGCAGCGCTGCGTCATCCGCTTCTCCACATGGACCCTAGCCCCCCCCGCACCTCGACCGCCCAGGCCAAGCACACACCTCCTTGCGTCCGCACCACCACCTCACACAAGCAACCATGTCTGAGCAGCTCTCTTCCGCCGGTGAGCACGCCTTCGCAGCGCTGCGCTGCGACATCGCTGACCCCCTTCTCAGCTGGCATCACCGCCGGCCACGCCAAGTACGCCCAGGGCGCCGCGTCCGAGACGATCGGCAACGTCACCGGCTCGGCCGAGTGGCAGCAGTCGGGCGCCGACACCAAGGCAGCGGCCACCGAGGAGATCCGCGAGGCCTTCAACTCGGCCCCCGACGCCCAGGCGCAGGGCGGCGTGCAGGGCAAGGCCGCTGAGCTCGCCGAGAAGGGTGAGTGCTCCTGCGTGTGCTGGCGGCAGGCCTCCGCGCTGACCACCTTCGCAGCCTGCCCGCAGACGGGCGACGGCGTCGGCTCCGCTTGAGCATCAAGCACCACTCTCAGCAATAACATCTGATCCGCTCAGCGCAGCCGCGAAGTCTCCAGTCGCAGAGCCCTCTACAGCGTCGCCGCTGCTGACAGCGCGCCGGAGGTATCGAGGAGGAAGCTTGGCATCAGGGTATCATTTGAGGTGTGCGAGCTTGCTCTAGAGGTACGCTCAGGGTGATGTCGAGCCGCGAGCCTCGTGCCAGCGCCTGTGCTCGTAGACGAGACGAGCGGGCAGGGAGATGCCGCACGAGGGCAGCGGACAGTGCGCCAAGTCGTCTTGCTCGGCGTCGTCATGGTCGGACGCTTCTTCGGCTTCGGCATCGGGCGCGCCAGTGGCCGGCCACATGGCGTGGTCGTGCAGCAGGTACGGCGGCGTGAGAGCGCCACAGACGAGGCACGCTACCTGCTGCGTGGGCCGAGTGTCGTCGAGGTCGATGCCGTGCTGCGCCGCCACCTCAGCGCGAATGTCTGCGGGCAGCGAGAGCAGGAACTCCATGTCGATGCTCTGGCGCTGGGCGGTGCGAGCCTCGGCAGCCGCCAGCCATGATCCAATGGCCCTCTCGGGCGGCACGGTGCGCAGCTCGAAGGCTGCGATGTTGAGCAGACGCACCGGAGCGCCAGGCTTGCACATGAGGCGCTGCAGGCCTTCGAGGGTGCGCAGCAAGGCAGCGTGGCGAGCTTCGCGCGTCAGAGTCTCGTCACTGAGGCACAGTGTCAGCGTAGCGCGGTTAAGCACACGTACACGACTCACAAGAGCTCGACGGGCATGGCCGTCTGCCTGCTGACGCGCGAGCCCCAGCCGCCGCTCATGGTGCTGAGCCTCAAGCCGGCCGGCCAGCGCATCCATGGCCCGACCTCGCCGTCATCAATCTGCTCGTAGCACCGCACGAGCGGGCCGCCGCCTTCGCCCCAGGCCGGCCGATCGGTGCGCACAAAGCGCGGCGCCTTGCTCTCCTTACCGCGCAGCTCGAAGTCGAGGCGGCGCATCAGCGCGGCTGTCAAGGTGCTGAGCGCAGAGGCGGGCGCGCCGGTCGGCGCGTAGGTGTCTTCAATCGAAATCGTCGAAGGGAACTCGGGAGCATGCACGACGGACGTCGAGTCCTGGCCCCAGAGCGCCGCCCAGAGCCGCGGGCCTGCAGTGCCGAAGGCGTGGATGAACGCCTGCCGGTCGATGCGCTTGCGCACCTCTGCCGTCGTCAAGCTGCTAGCGTCTGCCGGGTGTTGCTCGGCAGAAGGTTCACTGCCGCGAGAAGCAGCAAGAGCATCCGTGATGCGCTCGACGATCGACGAGCCGAAGCCGCCGAGCGAGCGTAGTCGCCGTTTGGCCACGTATGCGGCGTAGTCGCGCGGATCGCTGGGCGCGAAGAGAGTCTGCTGGGCAGGCTTGTGCGCTGCTCCTGCAAGCTTGGCCAGAGCCTTGTTCGGCGCGATGCCGGCGCTGGCGCTGAGCGACATCTGGGACTGGAGCAGCTCTCGCAAGTGCGCGGCGAGATAGGAAGCGATGATGAAGCGCAGACTCGGCAGAGCAGAGTCGACATGGCCCGTAGCTGCTGTTGCTGAATAGTGAAAGCCCGTCGACGACGCTGCGTCACCCTTGAGCGCAGCATGCTTGCCCGGGAGAGAGAACCAGCGCTGGCCGTCGGCGTCAGCGGCAGGCCACGCATTGAGGTGCCCGTCGATGAGCGCCGTCACGTCCATCCAGAGCTCGTCCATGCCCAGCTTCTCTACCGGCGTGGCAGGGCCGAGTGAAGTCGAGACGAGGCTGAAGACCTTGCGACTGGTCGCTCGGAAAAAGCTCAGATCTGCAGCCGGCGACGTGAGCTGCCTCGCTTGCTGCAGTCATTCAGCATGGCGACGCACCTTCGCCGTCGACGAGAATCAGCGCTGGACACCTCTCGATCGACTCTGTCACTCGTCCGAGCTTTGCACAGCCGAGCGCCCGTGCCTCGTAGGAGACAGTCGCCAGCAGACCCTTCTGCTTGATCCCGACAGGCTTGCCGATCAGGTCTGCGTCGCGCAGTCGAGAGGCGCCGACGTAGAACGCGTCCAGGTCCTGTCAGGCGACGACGATGAGTGGTGAATGAAAGACTGAGGACATGACGAAGCGTACCAGGTGGATGATGATGCGGCCAGGCGGTGCCTCGAGCGGCAGATCAGGAGGCAGAGCAGTCTGCTCTTCAGCAGCGCGAGGATCCCTCAGTGCAGCCGTGTCTCGAGTTGGCAATCTGTTACCGCCCGGCACAACCGAGGCCCGACGCCAATCCTGCAGCCCATCTGGGCCTTCGCTGCTTAGTGCCATCCTCCATCTTTCTCCTGCTTGACTTGCGGGTCGTTGAGGTGTGGTCGAAGGGAGTGCCGCAGAGCGGGCGCCGCCTCCACACCTCGCGCCCCAAGGCGAGTTCTCACGGGTCGAGGCCACGTGACCACCTTCTCGCCGGCCACGCTCTGTTCCTCCGACAGGCCGAGAAGGAGCTCAGACCAGATCTGGAAAGCCTCTTGATGTCAATAGAAGGCTCATCAGTCTGTCAAAGCCCACGCAAGATGCCCTGCGGCCGTATCCGGGGGCACGGCAGTCGGCGCGCCAGGCGACGGGGTGACGCGTGTGCGACGAGACGGCCGATTTTCGCCCTGAACCCACGTCGCGCTCTGCCCAACGCCGCGCGCTGCTCACACGCAAGCGGCGCGGCAGGCTGTCAGGGGCGCGTGACCGTGCCGCTGCTGCACAGCCAGCCCGCTGCAGCGCCATCGCAGCCGTCTCGGACGCCGACAGCTGTCGGACAAGGGATCAGACGGGCCATCGCTCGCCTTTGTCGCAGCTGAGCGAGGCGAGAGAGCGTCAGGTGCTGTCAAGACGTGCTGCGCTGCCTCTGAAGGTCGTATTGCGAGGTACGCGCTCTCTCGCGCAGCGTGCCGGCGCGCGCGGCAAGGAGGTGCTTGCCGCTGCGCCCGGGCCAGCATTCAGCCTCGGAGCCGCAGCGCGAGATTGAGCTCGGCCCCTGAGAGGCTGCCGCAGCGCAGCAGCAGCTAGACATCGCCCTGCGATCGCACAAGAGGCGCGCTTGCTCGTCGTCACGGCGAGGCCAGAGCTCGCGGATGATGAGCAGCTGGCACGACGGGCGCTGGCATCAAGAGGCGGTCGCTGGGTGCCGCATGCGCACGGCGCACAGCGAGACGTGCATGATGGCGGCGTGCGGCGACGGCGCGGCCTTGGCTCTGGTGCCTTCGATGAGCTGCCTGCTGGCCCAGGCCGCTCTGCCGCTGCCTGCCTGCCGAGCCGTTCGCGCCACGCCGCGCGTCTCTGCGTGCCTTGCTGGCCTGCCGCCGCCACGGCGCGCCGCCGTGTGAGGAGGCACGCGCACGCCGCCGCGGCGCCCGAGGCCCCAGCGCAGCCGCCGCGCGCCTCTGCGTCGCCGCCGTCGCCGCGCGCAGCACGCTGCTCCATCACCACCACTACCGGCTCTCACTGCCCCTCCCGCTACCCTCACACCCGTGAGTCTCGCTTCTCTGCCGCGATCGCGCAGGCTGGCGGAACGAGGCGTGCCCTGCGAGCACGTAGGGGGCGGCAGGGCAGGTGTTGTTGCTGCGGTCGGGCCACCAGTGGCGGCCACACGCGACAGTGCGCCGCCGTGCCGCAGGCAGTTGGCGATGGAGAGACAGCGCCGCGCCTGGCGGGCTGCACAGGGCAGCCTCTGCGCCAGGCTCGCTGGCTTGTGATGCAGGCTGTTCTCCGTGCTGCGCACGCTCTGGCGGAGACTCGCTGCTGCTCCTCTCGCACCGCGTTCTATCGTGCATTGCTGACGCATCTCTCTTCCGCTCCTCTCTACTCCTCACCACCTCGCGCCATCACGCTGCCCCTTGCAAATTCGTACTTATCGCACTGCAGCACCCCACCACCCCACCCCACACTTCGTCATCATGACCGACACCCGGGAGGACTCCGTCTACCTCGCCAAGCTCGCCGAGCAGGCTGAGCGCTACGAGGGTGAGTCTGCGCACGGGCACGGAAGCGCAGGAAGAAGCAGTCTGCGTTTGAGCTGCGCGCTGCATCGAGAGAGAAGGTCTGCCGGGCGGAGGAACAAGGAAAGGGTCGCATGATAAGCTGAGGGAGCCAGGTGGGCGCGAGACGGGCGGAGGACCCGAAGACGCGGGTTTGGAGGCTCGTGCGCCGGTCGTGCAGCCGTGCGACAGACGTCTGACCATGCCTCGCCCGCCTGCAGAGATGGTCGAGAACATGAAGCGCGTCGCTTCGTCCGACCAGGAGCTCACCGTCGAGGAGCGCAACCTGCTCTCCGTCGCCTACAAGAACGTCATCGGTGCCCGCCGCGCCTCGTGGCGCATTGTCTCCTCCATCGAGCAGAAGGAGGAGAGCAAGGGCAACGAGTCGCAGGTCACGATGATCAAGAAGTACCGTGAGTGCTGCTGCAGCCTTGCTGCGTGCCTTGCAGACGCAGGCACGCGCTGTCGGCCCTCGCGACTCACACCATCTCGACCTCACAGGCGAGAAGATCGAGGCCGAGCTGGCTCAGATCTGCGAGGACATCCTTGACGTTCTGGACAAGCACCTGATCCCCTCGGCCGCCTCGGGCGAGAGCAAGGTGTTCTACCACAAGATGTGCGTGGCGCCGCGCCTCTGGCTGGCGCACTCGTGAGCTCACCATCCTCTCGCCGCCCACAGGAAGGGTGACTACCACCGCTACCTCGCCGAGTTCGCCACGGGCGACAAGCGCAAGGACTCCGCCGACAAGTCGCTCGAGGCCTACAAGGCTGCCTCGGACGTCGCCGTCACGGAGCTGCCGCCCACGCACCCCATCCGCCTCGGCCTGGCCCTCAACTTCTCGGTCTTCTACTACGAGATCCTGAACTCGCCCGACCGCGCGTGCCACCTCGCCAAGCAGGCCTTCGACGACGCCATTGCCGAGCTCGACACGCTGTCCGAGGAGAGGTGAGTCGAGCGACGCGTGTGCACACCTGCAACTTCATACTGACGCTCCTGCCCTTCTCAGCTACAAGGACTCTAGTGAGTCACGACGACGGGCAGCCCGGGCATCCGCGGCAGCGCTGCCCATCGCGCTTGCGGCCAACTCGATCCTGCTGCCTCTGCGACTCTTGCTGACCGCTCTCCCCTCACAGCGCTCATCATGCAGCTGCTCAGAGATAACCGTGAGTGCTGCCTGTCGCTACTGCGCTCCCACACAGGCTGACGCCACACTCCCTCGCAGTGACGCTCTGGACCTCGGACATGGCCGAGGCCACCGAGTCGAAGCCCGAGGCCACCGAGGCACCTGCCGCGGCTGAGGCCAAGGACGAGACGGCGGCTTAAAGCGAAGCGCGCTGCGTCGTCGGTCCCTTCTTCACTCAGTCCAGTCACGCCCTCCACACAAGCAAAGGCACGCTTCCCTTTCCACCCGCTGCGGTCGGCCTCTGTGCTGCTCGACGCTCTCCATCCCGTCCCTCAGTCCTCATATCCAATCGTCGTCTCTCCCCACTCGCGATGCTGTTCGCCGCGCCAGGCTGTACCCCTCGCCGTGCGGACGGTGCTCCCAACCTCCTGTTGTCCTGTCTTGTGTGCTAGAGTAGCTGCGTTCGGCTCTTGAAGGCACTCGTTGCGTACCTGCGTGTGTGAGCGGTGTCGGAGTGTGCATCCTCATCGTGGGCTCGTGCGCATGACCCTGCGAGCCGCGCCGCGCTGCGAGCCGCTCTGTGAGCTGAGCCGTCCACTAAAGGCGCACGGCGAGCGCAGCTGCATGCTCGCCCAGCAGTCCGCTTCCTGCCCCCGTCACCGACCCGTCTCTGAGTGTCGAGACGAACAGGAGCGAGGGAGAGCGATGGCGGTGCAAGCAGGCAGGTGCAGCGGGCCTTGATCTCCAGCATGCAGCTCGCGCACGGCCTCCTGAGGCGCGTCGCGAGACCGGCGGCGCGCCTGCCCGCGTGCGCTGCATGCCGCGGGTGGCGCCTGCCGTGCGGCGGCACAGCGAGACGGCGCGCGCCAGCCATGAGCCCGATGCTCGAGCTCGGTCTGGGGTCAGGCCAGCACGGCGTCCCTCAACACCACTCCACTCCACCCTGCCTCACCCACTCGCTCGGCTGCCACTGCGTACGCGCTTCGCCATCTGCGCTCACTGCCCAAGCCTCTACCGCCAGTCCGTGTCTCTCTCTCGCTCTTGTCCCGAGTGCACGAGCCGCAGCGCAAGAGCGCCTGAGCCTGGCCGCCGCTACGTCTTCTGCTGCGCTCTCGCAGCTCCGCCGCTGCCGCCATGGCGTCGCAAACGTCGATGCGGGGCCTGACCTCGTTCATCGCGGACCTCAGAGCATGCCGCGTGCGCGAGCTTGAGGAGAAGCGCATCAACAAGGAGATGGCGCACATCCGGCAGAAGTTCAAGGGTGAGTGGAGCAGCGAGTGGGCTCGGGCGGGGAAGACGAGAGACGAGACGAGCTACCAGCTGGAAGGGACCGCACGATCAGGCAGAAGTGCGTGATGCAGAGAGACGGTGGGGAGCAGCAGCCGCCGTGCTGTGAGCAGAGCGTGTTCTCGACTGGCCCAGCGAGGGCCGCGCTCGACCAGCGTGTGTCGTGACCGGCGTGTCTGACAAAGGAAGCATGTGCGATGCCCTGGCGGTTCCTGCGCTCCGAGGCGCACGTCACTCGTAAAGGCTCGTCTGGAGCTGGGCTCGACTTGACGAAACACGGCAAGCGCGCAGCCTGGTGGTGGAGGAGCACGGGCTGACAGCGCTCCGCAGAGGGACAGCTGGACGGCTACTCGCGCAAGAAGTACCTCTCCAAGATCCTGTTCACCTCGATCCTCGGCTACTCAGTCGACATCGGCCACATGGAGGCTGTCAACCTCATTGCCAGCCCAAAGTACTCTGAGAAGCAGATCGTGAGTCTGCCTCCACTTCGCTCGTGCACAGCAGCTGACTCTGGCACAGGGATACTTGGCGATCACACTGCTGATGAACGAGGACTCCGACCTCGTGCGCCTGGTGGTCAACTCAATACGCAAGGATCTGGACGAGATCAACGAGATCAACAACTGTCTCGCGCTGCACGCCATTGCGAACATCGGCGGCAAGGAGATGGCCGAAGCCCTTGCGGAGGACGTGCACCGGCTGCTGATCTCGCCGTGAGTCTCGTCGCTGGCGAGCATCAGCTTCTGCGATCTGACGGCTGCGCTACAGCACGTCGAAGAGCTTTGTGCGGAAAAAGGCAGCGCTCACGCTCCTGCGGCTGTACCGCAAGCACCCCGAGGTCATCCCGGCCGACGAGTGGGCCGCGCGCATCGTGGCGATCATGGACCACGAGAACATGGTGCGTCCGCTGTCTAGAAGCGATCAGACCTGGGACTGACGCAGCGGTCAACAGGGTGTGGCGCTCGCTGTGACAAGTCTGGTCATGACGCTGGCACAGGACCATCCTGATGCGTTCGCCATTGCCTACCAGAAGGCCGTCGACCGGCTGCAGAAGGTCAGTCGCGTCGAGGTGCAGCCGACGCAGAAAGCCAAGCTCACGCCAGCTACAGATCGTCATCGACGACGACTACAGCAACGAGTACGTGTACTACAAGGTGCCTGTGCCGTGGCTGCAGATCAAGTGCTTGCGGCTGCTGCAGTACTACCCTCCGTCAGGTGCGCGCTCTGGACTGCTCCCATCGTCGATGCATGCTGACGCTCTCTGTAGACGATGCCACGATCCGCAAGACGATCAACAACGTGCTCGAGACCATCCTGGACAACTCGCAGGACACGCCAAAGAACGTGCAGCACAACAACGCGCAGAATGCGGTGCTCTTCGAGGCCATCAACCTCGCCATTCACCTCGACACCGAGTCGGTAGTGGTCGCCAAGGCTGCTGTGCTCCTCGGCCGCTTCATTCTTTCGCGCGAAACGAATGTCCGATACCTCGGCCTGGACACGATGGCGCATCTGGCTGCGTGCGCAGAGAGCCTCGAGCCCATCAAGATGCACCAAGATACCATTATCCTCTCGCTGCGCGACAAGGACATCAGCGTGCGGCGGCGGGGCCTCGACTTGCTGTATAGCATGTGTGACGTGACGAACGCCAAGGTCGTCGTTGCCGAGCTGCTGCGCTACCTGCACGTGGCCGACTACGCGCTGCGCGAGGAGATGGTGCTCAAAATTGCCATCCTGACGGAGAAGGTGAGTCAGGCAGCACACGAGAGCCAGTGCGCCGCTCTGACACACTGCTGCAGTTCGCCACCGAGTACTCGTGGTACGTCGACACGATCCTGCAGCTCATCAGCTCTGCGGGCGACCATGTCGGCGAGGAGGTGTGGTACCGCGTCGTGCAGATCGTGACGAACAACGAGGACGTGCAGGAGTACGCGGCGACGCAGGTCTTCAAGCTGCTCAAGTCCAGCTCGTGCCACGAGAACCTCATCAAGGTCGGCGGCTACGTGCTCGGCGAGTTCGGCCACCTCATCGCCAACGAGCCGGGTGCGAGTCCGATCGAGCAGTTCCACGCGCTGCACTCGCGGTCACACCTGTGCTCTCAGTCTACGCGCGCGCTGCTGCTGTCTACCTACGTCAAGTGGCTCAACCTCTTCCCCGAGATCCGCGAGCAGATCATGTACGTGCTCAACCGCTACCGGCACGTCCTGGACGCCGAGCTGCAGCAGCGCGCTTGCGAGTACGTCGCGCTGGCCTCGATGGAGAACGACGAGCTGCTGCAGGCAGTCTGTGACGAGATGCCGCCCTTCTCCGAGAAGTCCTGTGAGTCCGTCGTGCCTGCCGCGCCTGAGCGTCTGCTGACCGCTCCATCGCAGCGCTGCTGGTCAGCCGGCTGCAGCGCAAGCACGGAGACACCGGCGACAAGCGCACGTGGGTCATCGGCGGCAAGGAGGTCAACCGCGAGCGCGAGGCTGCACGCGAGGAGAGCCGCAAGAAGGGCATGGCCAACGGCGGCGCCATGCCGACAGGGCCCGCGACATCTGTCATCCGGCCACACGGGCCCGACCATGTGACGGCAGGCACAAACGGCGGCGACGACTATGGCGGCTCTGCGTACCGATCGAACACTGAGACCGCGGATGACATCCTTGCGGGCCTCGAGGGCCTGGACATGAGCACGGGCACGACCGCCTTGATACCCACTTCCGAGGCTGCCAGCTCTGGGATCGCTGCCCGTCAGCCGATCCTGGACTCCGCCTCGAACGGGGCACGGGGCGGAGACTACGTTCAGTCGCCGCTTGCCACATCGCCAGTCAATGAGCGTGCGCCATCCCTGTCCTCTGGGCTCGGCTCGTCAAGCAGCACAATGCCGACCACCGTCACGCCAGCTCCCCGCTTCACGCCTGGCTTCAACCGGAACTTCAACCGCCTCGCGTTCACCGACGAGGGCGTGCTATTCGAGGACAACCAGCTGCAGATCGGGCTCAAGAGCGAATACCACGGCCATCTTGGCCGCATCACGCTCTACTTCGGCAACAAGATCAGCGTCGGCTTCTCGTCTTTCACGCTCTCGATCAAGTCGCAAGAGCCCGATGCGCTGTCCGTCACGCTGCCTAAGCTGCCGACGAACACTCTCGCCGCCGGCACGCAGGTGCAGCAGGTGGTGCAGCTCGAGTGCCACGACTTCTTCTCGAAGCCGCCGGTGCTGCGCATCAACTACCTCGCCGGCAGCATGCAGGAGATCTCGCTGCGCCTGCCCGTCATCCTGACCAAGTTCGTCGAGCCCGTGCAGCTCGGCGCTGCGGACTTTTTCGAGCGGTGGAAGCAGATCGGCGGTCCCCCGCGCGAGGCTCAGCAGATCTTCGCCTTCAAACTCACGTCCACCGGCGAGGTCGACACCAAGCGGCATCGCAAGGTCGTCACGGGCGCGCGCGTCGGCTGCCTCGACAATGTCGATCCGAACCCAGTCAACCTCGTCGGCGCCGGCGTGCTGCACATGTCCAACGCCGGCAAGGTCGGCTGCCTGCTGCGTTCTGAGCCAAACAGGGAGGCCAAGGTGAGTGCCAGCAGCACAGGGCACCAGTGCGTCGGCCCATCGCTGACACGCCTGGCACTCAGCTGTGCCGGCTCACAGTGCGAGCCACGAACGACCTCGTGGCGGCAGAGCTGCTGCGTCTGCTCACAGCCGTGCTTGCAGCTGAGGCACGCGACATCTAATGCTACCTTCTTGTCGCACACGCGCAGCAATGCACCACGTCACGATACGAGAGAAGCATGCAATTAGTGTTGTACAGAGTGATGGAGAAGGCAGCGGAACAATGCGATCAGTCACCGGACAGCGAGTGGAGGCTCGACGCCGGGCACGGCGCCCCACTCGAAGATGTCGGCTTTGAAGAGGTCCAGGATCGGCGGCGGCACGTCCTTCTCTGCGGGTGCGCTGTCGGCGTAGGCGTCTGCGCCGCGCTTTGCAGCTGGCATCGAGGCGCTCTGCGTGGCTGCGCCGCCTCCGAAGGCACCGCCTCCAAAGGCAGAAGTCGCCTGAGAGCCGAAGGCGCTGGCACCGCCGAAGGCAGAAGTCGGGGCAGGCGCCGCCGCAGCTCCGAATGCTGAAGCTGGCGTACTGCTTGCGCCGAATGCGGGTGTGCCTTGCGGCTGAGCTTGACTGCCGAATGCACTGGTGCTGCCAAATGCGCTCGGAGCAGCTGTAGCGCCAAAGGCACTCGTGGAGCCAAAGGCGCTCCCACCGCTCGCAGCTGCGCCAAAGGCGCTCGGCGCACCGAAGGCCGAAGGAGCAGCAGTCGATGTGGCAGGTGCTGCGGATGTGGCTCCGAAAGCACTACCGCTCGTGGCGGCTGCGTTTCCAAAGGCCGAGGGCGCGCCGAACGCTGAGGCCTGCGGAGCAGCAGCAGCGCCGAAAGCAGAGGGTGCGCCGAATGCTGATGGCGCAGCGCTGGTGGACGAGCCAAAGGCGCTCGGCTTCGCTGCGGCGCCGAACGCGCTCGTGGATCCGAATGCGCTGCCGCCGCTGTTTGCTGCCGCACCGAATGCTGATGGTGCGCCGAACGCTGATGTCGAGCCGAAGGCGCTCGGCGCAGCGGTACCGCCAAAGGCAGACGGAGCCGAGGTGCCGCCGAACGCAGACGCTCCTGAGGCAGCCGGAGCGCCGCCGAACGCTGATGGCGCCTTCGCAGCGCCGAACGCAGACGGTGCACCGAACGCTGATGGCGCTCCGAAAGCCGATGGAGCAGCCTGCCCGCCGAACGCTGATGGTGCGCTCGCACCGAAAGCGGAGGCGCCAGCAGGCTGCGAAGCCGGCGGAGCGTCTTTGCCCAGCGCTTTTGCCCGGTTCGCCTCCGCCTGTCTGAGCGCTGCGCTGCGATCTTGTGCAAGCGTCTGGAACGCAGTCTGGGCGCTCGCCGCGAGCTGTTGCTCTTGCGAGACCTGCAGGGTGCAGGTGTGTCAGAATCGCCGAGCGAGGCGTCACAGCGACCGCTTCGAGCCGCTTCGCATTCTTGGGCCCGAACTCACGTATTCAGCGCCTTTGCCCTCCTTCAGCGCCTGCAATGCGTTCCAACGCATCTCCTCCGGACTATAGTCGCCATCCTTCAGGTTCGGCTCATTGCGCGCCGGGCCGTAGCAGGAGAGCCTCCAGACGGGCAGCGCTTGAGCTCGCACGTCTTCGAAGATCGTGTCGGCATTGAGTGCCACCTGACCGGCGGCCCATGCTGGACCCGAGCCCAGAGTGTGAGGCGCTGCGCTACTCTGCGTCGCGTTGCCGCCGCGAGGCGTGCTGCCGAAGGCAGATGCGGGCGCAGCAGAGCTGCCAAAGGCGGATGTGGGTGCGGCCGAGCCGCCGAACGCTGAGGGACGGGGCTGGCTTGCTGCGCCGCCAAACGTCGCCGGCGGTGCTGCAGAGGCGAAGCTTCCGAAGGCCGAGGCGCCGCGGTTGGCCGTGCTCTGGCCAAAGGCAGAGGGCGCACTGCTGCCGCCAAAGGCGGACGGCGCGCCGCCTCCAAAGGCCGAGGGAGCGGCAGCGCCAAAGGCAGATGGCGCTGCGGCGCCGAATGCAGATGGCGCGGCCGAGGAGCCAAAGGCTGAGGTGGCGCCGAAGGCCGAGGGAGCGCCGAAGGCGGTCGACGGGTTGCCGCGTGGGTGCTGCGGAATGTCAGTGCGGGTCGCTCATGGCCGGCGGCCGAGGGACGCACCTCGTTCCTGCACGAGTCACCGAAGCGGCACTGGCCACGCAGGAAGAACTGGCACACCGCCATGGGCGCTTGAGCCTGCTGCGGGCCGATGGAGGTTGTGCTAGGCGGCGGTGGAGGACAGAGCTGACGGTGCGGAGCGAAGCGTTGCGCGTGTGCGGCTCACGCGTGGCCGTGCGGCGCGCGCGCGAGATGCTCTCAGGCGCGCGCCGTCTTCGCTCGCCAGACGCGCGCTGAGCCCGCATGGCATGCGACCTTCCCTCCACCACACCCGCCTGCGCCTCTCCACCTCACAGCACGTCTGGCCGCGCCGGCACGTCTAGCTGCCCGCCATGTCGGTTCTCGGCTCGCGCTCTCTCTCCTTCGGCGGCGCCACGCAGGGCCCGTCCAAGGCGCCCAGCTTCTCCTTTGGCGCCTCGGCCTCTTCGTCGGCCGCACCGGCTGCCTCTGCGGCGCCTGCTGCTGCTCCTGCCGCTGGCGGCTTCTCGTTCGGCGCACCTGCTGCTCAGCAACAGCAGCCGCAGCAGCCCGCTGCCGGCGGCTTCTCGTTCGGCCAGACGCCAGCGCAGCAGCAGCAGGCTCAGGCCAAGCCAGCCTTCTCGTTTGGCGCTCCCGCAGCACAGCCGCAGCAACAACAGCAGCAGCCGCAGCAGTCGGGCGGCTTCTCTTTCGGTGCCTCGACGCAGCAGGCGCAGCAGCCGCAACAGCAGCAGCAGTCAGGCGGCCTCTTCTCGTTTGGCGCGTCGCAGAGCACTGCACCTGCATCTGGAAGCTTGTTTGGCGGGGGCGGCTTCGGGTGAGTCTGCGAGGCCTTCGCGATGCGTGTGTTGGGGCGCACGGGCGGAATTGCACTCTTGAATGCTGCGCTCTTATTTGACGGCCAGGCAGGGAGCTCCAAGCTGCTGGCTTGAGCATATTCAGCAGTTGCGGCCTCGCAGCCTCGAGACTCGTGCAGCTGTCTAATGCGCCGTCCTTTCTGCAGAGCGTCACAGTCCCAAGCACAGCAGCCACAACAGCAGCAGCAGCAACAAGCTGCACAGGCGCACTCGCCGTTCCTGCAGCATCCCTTCTATACCCGCGAGCGCTTCAATGATCTGCCCGACGAGGTCAAGAACATGGTGGAGGAGCTCGAGTAAGTCTGCACAACGCCAGCGCCAGTCTGCAGCGCCCTGACGGAGCTCTAGCTCGTACATCCGCCAGCAGCAGCTCACGCGCGAGGCACTGCACGGCACCCTGTCGGCAGCGCCGACCTCTGGCCTTCCGCGCGTACTCGACGAGGCGCACTCACTCGCAACACAAGTCGCTGCGCTGCGAGCGTCGCTTGAGCTCGACGTCTTGGCTGCGAAGGAGGTGGTGAACCGCGTGGAGGAGGACAGGAGAGACAACGCCACTCTGTTTGAGGCGCTGCGCGGCAATGGCAACAAGGAGTGGCCGCGAAGGTGAGCAGCGGTCGCTGCTGACAGGTCGAGCAGCTCGGGCTGACATCTGTCGTCAGCTTCTTCGAGAAGAAGGCAGACACCTTCCGGGATCGGATCGGCAACTACCGCAGCACGATGGAGGTGAGCACTGCGGTCTGTCTGGAGCCAGGCGTTTCGCTCACGCTGCGTCGTGCTCGCCAGCAAATCGAGCGGCATCTCTCTTCGCTCGACTCGAAAGAGTCGCACAGCCCGCAAGGTGCGCATCTTCTGAGGCAGCAGCGCAGCACGGGCACTGACGCCTTACCTGCAGCCATCTCCGAGGTCATCCAGTCACAACATCAGTCGTTCATGGGCCTGGCGTCCAACGTCGCGTCGCTGCACTCCGAGGTCGAGGCGCTCAAGCGCGACTACTCGAAGTGGTATGCCGCGACGCACCGCTCCGTGCGGGATCCTTTCGGCATGGCGGGCATGGAGAGCACCTTGTGAGCACGGCGCTCTGCAATGCAACCGCGTCACAACCACTGCCGCTCGTCAATCACGCGGCGGGTGCAAGAGGGTAGATGGCATTTCTGAGGCAGGGCACTAAGTTAACGGGAAGAACAACGGTAGGGTAGGCGGCTCGCGCCTGTAGGACCAATAGGCGGGAGGGAAAGGATGGTGGGGCTGGGCCGAAGGCGGCGCAGCACGGGGGCTCTCGGAGCTGGAAGACTACAGGCTGTTGTGGGCGGTCGCATTGCGCATCGCGGCGAAAACCATGCTGCGCTGCGACACAGTCATGAAGGGCCCGTTGCTGCTGGTGGCCGAGCGGCCCGAGTCGCTGGTGCGGGGCCGGCGGTGGCGGCGTGGTGCGGGGTCGAGCTCGACGCCGTAGCCGTAGCCGTGGCCGCGGCTGCTCTGCTGCTCCTCGGCCTCGCTGTCGTCGAGCGAGAAGCGGCGGCGGTGGTGCGAGGCGCTGGCGGCCATGATTTCGTGCTCCACACGGTGCGGGCTCGTGGCGTCGGGAATTGAGTCCTGGCGCGGCGACACGCTGAACGGTTGCGTCTCGTCGGGCGACATGGAGCGCAGCGCGTACGTGGCACTCGTGATGTCGCCGTCGCCGGGCGTGCTGTACATGCGGCCCATGTCGAGCGGCCAGGCATCGGCCGACGTAGGTCCACTCATGGGCGAGGCCGAACGGAGCGGCGGGCTGTGGGAAGGCACGTCAGTGTCTGCGGCAGCTTGCCTGCTAGCTTTGGTGCTCACATGCTCGGTGCACCGCTGACCCGCTTGCCGTGGCGAGCCGCGTCGTCCTGCTGAATCTCCTCAGAGCCGATGCGGTTGCGGATGTCACGGATCGAGAGGCCTCTACCAAGGTCGGTGCTCGGCTTCGCAGCAGCCTGTGCGGCTTCGCGGCGGAGGTGCGGAAAGGGGTCGCCGTTGAACGAGGTCGTGGACGAGCAGCCGCCGAGAGTATCTGCGGCCGGCGTCAGAGGGCACTTCTCGATGACCTCGGTGCTGATCGAGATGTCGTCAGGCGCACGGCCGACGGGGTACAGCGGCAGCGCACCACCGCTGCGCGAGCCGCGCGAGAAGGTGCTGAAATTGGGCGGCGAGCGCTGGTTTGTGCGCTTGACCTCGTGGTGGAAGTCGCTGTTGTTCGTCATGACACTGACGGTGGGCAGCACCGAGGGCCCGTGCGAGTACTGCGGCGGCGGGCGCGCCATCGAGGTCATCGACGTGCCGTGGCCGTGCACGGCGTCCTGCTCCTCGATGAGCAGGTTCATGGCGCAGATGATCTGGATCACGATCGTCAGGTGCAGCAGCGACGGCGTCTTGGTGCGAGCGGTCAGGACGACCATGAGCTCGGCGAAGTTCTGGTGTCACAATGCGGTCAGCCTGCCGTCGAAAAGCCTCAGCTGGAGGTAACTGAACTCACAAGGCAGCAGACGGCGATGGCATACTCGATGCCGTTCTGGAAGAGCATGCGGCTGATGCGAGCCAGGCCCGACGGGCCGCGCGAGGAGCGCAAGAGCCGGCGCGTTGTGAAGCTGACGATGCAGAGGTCGAAGAGCAGGCTGTACAGCAGGTACCAGAACGATGTGAGTTCGTACCACGGCTTGAGGTCGCCCGAGCTCTGCACGCAGTAGTGCGCCGACGGGTCGTACATCAGGAGGTCGTACTGTGGAGCAGGTCAGCGCACAGCAGCAGTTTGACGGCGAGCATCGCTCTCACCTTGTCCGACTTCCAGAAGGTGGCGAACGAGACGGCAATCTGACCGGCGAAGCCGAGCACGAGGATGACGTGTGCCGTGCGGGAGCGCTGGAAGATGATCAGAGCACGCCTGGGAGGAGCGTGGTGAGCGAGATGCTGCGACGGCCTGGCGCCTTCGGCAAGCTCACCAGCCGAGCGCGGCCGAGACGAAGGTGACGGCGAAGAAGACGAAGAACTCGCTGGCCCAGCTCGCGTCTGCCAGGGGAGGGAACGTGAACAGCGGCCCGGCAGCGACTGCAGCAGGCGTCGTGCTCACCGTGGCACGCCTTGGACGAGGGCAGCATCTGGGTGAGCTGGATCACGCAGTCCAGCGTCATGCCGATGATAGCCGCGTACCTTGCAGAGCAGGGCCGTCAGCAGGCGCAAGGCACGCTCGGAAAGACGGCCACTCACTTGATCGTCAGGAAGATGAGCTCTGCAGCGTTGAGGCGTCCGCGGCCCTTGGCGCGGATCCACATGCGAGCCTCGGCGGGCACGGTGCGGAGCGCCTCGAAGAGGATGAGCGCCTCAGCCGCAATGATGGGGTACTGCCTGTGTGGAAGCATCTGTCAGTCTCAGTCAGAGCGCGGGCTGCGCTCCGGTACACACCAGATGATGGCATGGTTGAGATCGAAGAGCGTCGAGGGGAATAGCTGCGGCGGGACCAGCACCGCATCCGTGCTCGGTGGGTTTGCCATGGTGGGTGGGTGCGCTCCGTCGAGCGAGCGCGAGAGAGGCGAGGAAAGAATACAGCAGCGAGACGAGGAGCGAGGATGCGACGGGCCACCCGAGAGATGCTTGAACTTGAGGAACGAGAGGAGAGGAGCGAGAGGGCACGACGGGGGAGGTGACTCGGACGGAGAGACGATCGACGACGAGGTCGGAAGCCAAGCGTGGCGGCGTCGAGCAGCCGTCTAGATATCGTCGATCGACGAGCAGCACTCTCTGCTACGGCACCAGAGGTGGCGCGACGGGGACTGGAGAGGTGACTGTCAGAACCTGCGTGTGGCGGCCGTCACTGCTGCTGGCTGATGCTGCGCCCTGCTAGTTGAGGGAGGATGTTGCCGGTGCCTCAAGTGGGGCAAGGTCCCTCATTCGGCGGCGCGGATCTCTCGAGGACCAAAAGGGTGACTCGGAGACCTCTGCCGCTGCGTGCTCTGGCGCCTGTATCGTCATGCCGGCCAGCAGAGGTGGTGCTGCGGCGCAGAACGGAATTGCCGTCGGCGCTGGCGCTGCAAAGTGGCTCTCTCTAGACTCCTAACGCGATCTGCCGGTGCGCAGCGACGGCAGGCGGGCGTGTCTGCTGTGCTTGATAGCGGCCACCCACATCTCGCTGCGCCCCCTCACACACCTCTTGCCTTCTCACTGCGTGCTGGCTCTGCGCGGCTGCACAGCTCTCGAGGGCTGAGGTCACATCACCATGAGGGCGCTCGAAGTGGGCCGCCAAGGAGAGCGTCGAGATCGTGGGTTCCGCGGGTGCCTTGCTGCTCGTACCTGACATCTCCTGTCTCTGCCGGGCGCAGCGATAGGGGCGATGATGGCGATGGCGCGAGTTCCTCTTGCGGGGATAGGAGTTGCAGGCGATCTCTTTGTGAAGAAGTGGCACTCAACGGCGGCGGGCGTTGGCCGCTTCTGCACCTGGTGGCTCTCCTCATCCGTGCTGCACCTGCACCCTGCTGAAGAGAGAGAACGTGCCAGGGCCCGAGCAGAGGGGGTCGCATGTGCTGCCCTGAGCTGCTGCTCTCTTACGTGGCACGTTCTTGCACGCTGAGGCTGGCCTGTGGGAGCTGGCCGATGAGCTGGAAGCGCTCGTCGCCGCGCGGTGGCACGTTCAACCAGCCGAGCGGTCGCCGCTCGGTGCCGCGTCGGATGTGAGCCAGAGGTGAGGACCGCGCGGCTCCGAGCATCCCACTCGCAGCCGTCCAATGCCAGGTGCAGAGTCCCTCCTTTCCCTGCTGTCTACTGTGCGAGCGCTAAAACGGGCTGCACCTATCGCTTGCCCACGGGCCCCACACGCCTCCTTGCCAGCACCAGCATGGCACCGCACCCGCTGCTATCTCGCGGAGTGCGCGCCTTTCCGAGGTGAGGGGCATGCCACGTCACACCTGCCTGCGAGCTGCAGCGCTGGCAATGCGAAGCGTGGGCTGAGGACGATGCATTTGTGCGCCGGCGCCGGCGCAGGGATGCCCCGAGGCGCACAGGAGCAGAGCTGAAGCCGCTCAAGCCGGACGAGCGTACGCAGCCGGCCGTGAGACGAAGTGCGGCGAGTGGCTGGCTTGCGCGATTGCTGAGGGGTGTGGTGGCGCAGTGCAGAGGGGCGCGGCATCAGCGGCAGCGCCGGCACGGCACCGCTCAGGGGCCAGGGGCGAGCGAGGCACTCAGCGCGCCGCGCCGCCGCCGCTCTCTGTTCCTGACTCCCACCTCCTCGCCGCCGCGCTCATCGCCCCTCAGGTCGCACGCCGCGCAGCCAGCGCACGCACGCAGCACAGGGCTCTCATCACTGCCAGCGGCTGGGACACCGAGCGCCGCAGAGGAGCTGTGCCCGACATTAGCTCACGGCTCTGCGGCCGTGCTGCCTGCTGCGTTGCCGCCGGCCAGAGCGGGCTGAACACCGCCGGCATGCGCCACGGAGCCGGGCTGAGCATCACTTCCGCGACGCCCGCGGGGTCGGGAACGTCGTCGTCGTTCTTTTGCGAAGCGGAGTTGCGAATGCCACTCGTCCACACGTACCTGCAGCCGCGCCACGGGGGCAAAGCGGCCGGCCAGCGTGAGGCAGAGCTGACGAAGATATCGATGTGCCCAAAGGAGGGCACCTCCTGACGCCGTGCCCAGGGCCACGTGGCGCCCATGACGCAGCAGGTACACATCGAGTGCCACACACTCTCGGCCGCTATCGCTCGTATACACGGCGCTGCGCCATCGGGCAAGCCGCGCTGACCCCTCTCTTGCAGACGGCAGCGCCGCCGGCCAGCGCTGATGAGCACGCCACGAGCAGCGCAGGCGAGAGGAGAGCGCTGTGCTGCCTATCTGCTGCTCCGTTTGCGGCACCACTTCCACACTCCGGCCGGCTTGAGCACGAGAGACAGGAGACGGGCAGGGCGTGCGCCCGAGGGCATTTGTGGCATGACGAGGAGCGAGAGGGAGAAGTGATGTGGGGCATGGGAGCAGGGCACAGTGACGGCCTGCTGCTGCGCGGGAGCCTGGCAAGTGGTGCGCAGGGAACGTCTCTCGAGACCGAGCAGCTGCGCCCACGCGATTGCAGCGGCGCGCAAGGAGACGGACACGAGCCGGCTCCTCAGAGCGCCTGCTGCAGAGAAGGAGGGTGCTCGTCGATGGCGCTCGCAGACTGCAGGCCAGCGGTGTCCAGCTCACCTCGCTGCAAGCGCACCGCCTCTCAAGAGACGCGTTGGCCGCGCCTTCTCCCTCCGTTGCTACCGTCATCTCGTCCCGTCTGCGTCTGGTCCCGGCTCTGCAACACAACGCTCCTCATCATCCACCATACGTCTCGCTCCGGATCGGTCAACGCTCGCTGCCTCTCCCCGTCGATCCCGCGCCGGGGCGTAGCACAGCATCATGCGTCTCTACATCGTCGTCTGCCTGCTCGTCGTGGCCTCGTGTGTCTTTGCGCTGCCGGTCCCCGCTGAGCATGAGGTCAGTCCTGTGTTGCAGCGTCTGGCTCCTCGCGCTCTGCATTGTGCTGACTCAATCGCAGAGGCCGCTCTTCGGACCGTTTGTCGGCGCACCGATCCTGCCTCGCGACGCCGTGGCGCCGCAAGACTCGGCGGCGAAGCGCGAGCCGTTCGCCTTGTGGGAGGAGAGCAAGGTCGGCTGGACCAGCGCCGGAGATGGTCGTCGTGACAACTCGCCGGTGAAGCGCAAGCCCTTCGCCGTGTTCGCGGCGGCCAACATGGTCGGCTTTACCAGTGTCGGTGACGGCGCGGCCGTCGGTTCCGTAGGTTCGACGGCCGGCTTCTCTCGCGACGATCACTCTGCAGCAAAGCGCTCGCCGTTCAGCCTCGCCACGAGCTGGGTCGACATCTGGGCCGGTGCAACTCCTGGGACCAGCGCCGCTCAAGCCAATGCTGCTACGCACCTCCGCGACGTCTCGCCGGCCGAGCGCGATGCCAACGCCTTCGGCATGGTCGACATCAAGGGCAGCCAGGCCTGGTCGGCCGGCCACAAGCGCGACTTCGACGCCGTCTCGCCCGCAAAGCGCGGACCGTTCGGTTGGATCTTCGTCAAGGGCCCCTTCAACTGGGGCGCCGGCCACCGTAAGCGCGACATTGTCCACCAGCCGCCGTCCAGCAGCTTCGACAATCCCGGCGTGTCCCACAAGGTCGCAAGCCGTGCGCCGTTCAGCGCCAGCCTGTGGGCCAGCCCATGGTGGCATCACCCTGCCGGTGACCGTCGCAGCCCGTTCGCCACGATGAAGGGCACTCATCGCTGGATCGGTCGCAGCCCCTTCGCGTGGTGGAAGGACTCCGGTCGTTGGATCGGTCGCCGCTTCGACACGCTCGGCGCAGCGCTCGCACGCCGCGCCGCTTTCGGCTGGTGGCGCACTTCTGGTCCCTGGATCGGCGGCCGCAGTGACGCTGCCGACGCCCACCTCGCAAGCCGTGGTCCGTTCAGCTGGAAGCTCCTCGATGCTGGTCGTTGGAACGGTCGCCGCAGCGACGCCGCCGACCCGACACTCGCAACCCGCAACCCGTTCAACTGGTGGCTCGACAAGGGCCGCTGGGGCGGTCACCGCCGCGCCGCCGACGATGCAACACTCGCAGGCCGTAGCCCTTTCGCCGTCTGGCGCACGACCGGCAAGTGGGCTCATCGCCGTGACACCAAAGACGCCTCGCTCGCAGCGCGCGAGCCATTCGGCACGTGGTGGGTGGGCCAGTGGGGCTCGTGGGGCTCTCACCGCCGTGCCACCGAAGACGCCTCGCTGGCAGTGCGCGAGCCATTCGGCTCGTGGTGGACGGGCCAGTGGGGTCCGTGGGGCTCTCACCGCCGTGACATCGACGACGCCTGGCTGGCGCCGCGCAGCCCTTTCAGCCCATGGTTCCCGCGCCCCTGGGCCCCGCCTCGCCGTGAGGCTGGCGAACAGCACCTCTCGGAGCGCAACGCCACCGCCGGCGGCCAGCCGCTCGACAGGCGTGACGTACACACCTGGGACAAGGAGCATCGCTTCACCGGCTCCAGCTCTCGCCGCGACGTCACCGCCATCAAGCGCGAGCCTTTCAGCTGGTGGAAGGCTCACAACTTCGTCGGCTCTGGCACTCGCCGCGACCTTGACGCCGACAAGCACTCGCCCTTCAGCTGCTGGTGGTGCGCGACCGACTGGAACGGCTCGGGCGGTCGTCGCGACATCATCGACACCGACCATGATGACGTCGACAAGCGCGAGCCCCTCATCCACGCTGTGCGCGACGTCGCGCTCCCTCGCAGCGACGCAGACAAGCACCACGACGAGGCGAAGCGCACGGAGCCATCGCCGCAAGAGGTCCGTCGCGATGCCGCCGAGCCAGCTGCAGAGTGATGGCGCCGTGCGGTCTCGTCAATGGCGGCCGTCGCATCCCATCTTCACGCCTCTCTCTCGCAAGGCTCGGCGGCGCTGGCGTACGCCACTTCTCCCCCCTCCCCCCCTCCTTGCGCATGTCTCGTATGACCTTTCTGTCTCGCCTCGCATTCCTCCTCATGTCCGACGCCTGTAGCCCTTCACGCCCGCTCGCCGTCGCCATCCCATTTGCTCCTCGAGCCGCTTGTCTGACACACTCTCTTTGCTTCCTGGCCGAGGCTGTCGCTTTCTCAACTATGTCTGTTGTCATGCCAGTACGCTGTCGGTGGCGCTTCTCGCAGGGATGTCGGCTCAGGTGGCCACGGCAGATCAATGGAGGTGCAGAGGCGCAGCGAGGAAGGAGCGAGGAGGGATTTGGGCGCAGCGTGGGGCAGCGGGCGCCGGACCGTGGGAAGCATCACGTGAATGGCTTGAACGGGGCTGCGGGGCGGAAAGAGAGAAGGCGAGACGCGGGAGTCGCACGCGCCTGCGCCTCCCGGCCGGCTGGCGTGGCGCGGCGCCGCTGGCTGCCTTTTCGCAGCGCCGGCGCCTCTCGCTCATCTCCTCACCATCAACCTCGAGCGACCGTCAAGAGTGAGTCCCCGCGCTGCTGCTGTGGCCGTCCCTGCGCACCCTGGCTCACCATGCGCGCCCGCAGTGTCCAAGATCTCGGTCTCCCAAGTGCGCACGCAGCTTCAGGGCCTGCTCCAGGCCTCGCAGGAGAAGAAGCGTAACTTCTACGAGACCGTCGAGCTGCAGATCGGACTCAAGAACTACGACCCGCAGCGCGACAAGCGCTTCAGCGGCACCATCAAGCTGCCGCACGTTCCGCGCCCGCGCATGTCGATGTGCATTCTTGCCGACGCCGCCGACGTCGACCGCGCCAAGCTGATTGAGCTCGAGTTCATGACTGTTGAGGACCTGAAGAAGCTCAACAAGAACAAGAAGCTCGTCAAGAAGGTGAGTGGCGTGCAGAGCGAAGGAGGGGCAGGCGATGTGTGCTGTCGGCGGAGCGGTGTCTCACACCTGGTGCACCCGCAGCTGGCCAAGAAGTACAACGCCTTCCTGGCTTCCGAGGCCCTGATCAAGCAGATCCCGCGTCTGCTCGGCCCCGGTCTGTCCAAGGCCGGCAAGTTCCCCACGCCCGTCTCGCACGCCGACGACCTCGAGAAGCGCGTGACGGAGGTCAAGTCGACGATCAAGTTCCAGCTGAAGAAGGTGCTCTGCCTCGGCGTCGCCATCGGCAACATCCAGATGTCCGACGACCAGCTGCTCGCCAACGTGATGCTGGCCATCAACTTCCTCATCTCGCTGCTCAAGAAGCAGTGGCAGAACATCAAGTCTCTCCACGTGAAGAGCTCGATGGGCAAGCCGATCCGCCTGTACTAAGCGCGTCCTCTGCGTCTGCGGCGGGCCGCTTCTTCACTCTGCGATGAACCGATCAAAGCAAGGCGTGCGCACGCATTACCCAGCGTCGACCTCGCTGTCGGCGTGAGGGGAGCTCGAATTCATCCTTCACCCAACCGATTGTGGCGTGAGGCATGGCCAGCGGGTCATGAGAGAGCCAGGGCGCAGGACGAGAGGGTCGCGTTGATGGAGATGGTGATCGGACGGACGCAGCGATGGGTGTAGTACAGGGATGTGACGCGGTGGTATGGTGACAGGCCGGAACGTGTGATGGAAGCGCTCAGGCAGCGCTGGCGACGGCGTTGGACGAGGTGAGACGGCGCTTCTTGCGCTGGATGTACGAGCCGACTGCGCAGGGCACGCATGTCAAGAGGCGCACGCCGCGGCTGCTATCTGCGACACTCACAGTTGAACGTCTCGGGCAGCCACTCGCCGTTGTTGATGATGAGGACCTGAACGCACGGATGAGCAGAGTGCAGCAGCAGCGTGACGGCACGGCTCACCTTCATGCGCTCGTGGAAGCGCAGGTTGGGCAGCAGCTTGGGCGTGATGAGGAAGTACCTGCAGTGCGAGCGTCAGTCCGCGCTCTTGCAGTTGTGCCGAAGGCGAGACGCACTGGCTCGCGGTGTCCTTGCACGTCACCTCGACCATCTGGTCGTGCACGGCACGCTCGGCGCGCTGGTCCATGCCCTGGTTGATCTCGTCGACGAGCGAGAAGGGGCTGCGACTGAGCTCCGTGAGGCTCATGAGGTACAGGATCGTCGACAGCGAGCGTTCCTGTGGGCAAAGTCAGCCGGCTGCTCTGCGCGACCGTCGCAGCGTCCGACTCACGCCGCCCGACTGTCGCTGGCCGGTGAGCAGCTGCAGGGCCTCCGTGTCGCGGAACTTGACGAGGATGTCGATGCCCCAGAGGTCAAAGTCTGCGTTCTCGGAGATGCGGACCTCGCCTGAGCAGCCGATGCCTGCGGAGAGGGCGTCAGCTGCCGGCTTCGGCGTCGGCGCGCGACGGCGACTCACGCTCAAATGCCTGCGAGAATTTCTCGCTGACCGCCGAGACGAGCTCAGTGAGCGCCGAGAGCCAGCGGTCCTGCGAGCTTGTCAGCAGCGGCCGTGAGGGGCAGACGAGCGCAGCGTCGTACCTTGTACTTCTTGAGCGCCGCTTCCGAGCGCGCCTTCTCGGTCTCCTTCTCGTTGACCTTCTTCTCTAGAGCGTCGATCTGCGGCCCGCTGTCAGTGGTTGCTCATCTGCACCACAGCGTCTCACGCACCAGCTTCTTGCGCTTGTTGTAAGTCTCGATCACGCCGGCGCTGACGCCCGAGACGAGGTTGAGCTGCGCCTTGTTTGCAATGAGCTCATCCTCGAGCTCCTGCACGCTCCGGTCCATCTGGAAGCAATGTGCGAGATGTGAGCAGGCGGCAGAGCAGACGCATGCGCTACACTGACGGATGCCTCGAGGGCCCCAGTGACAAAGGCTTGCTCGTGGTTGTCGTACATGGTCATCGCATAGGCTTGCGCCTTGGTAGCCTGGCCCTTGACCTCATGCAGCAGAGCGGCGGCTGCGAGGCGAGCATCAGCACGACGGCGGCAGCATGCGGACGACACAAGCGCTCACCGTGCTCCAGAGCTCGCTCTGCGTCCTTGTGGCTGGCAGCCTGCGCCTTGAGCAGCGCACGCACAGCAGCCACTTTGCCGTCGTGCTGCAAACCCTGCAGGATCAAAGACTCGTGCTGAGCACGAAGCTTGACCTGCTGCGTGATGTAGGCCTAAGAGCAGTGCAGCGTCAGCGAGACGGGCGGGAGAGAACTTAGCTCGCGAGCTCGCTCACCTTGACTTCCTGGGTCACCGAAGCATGCTTCCGGACGAGCTCGACAACGGTCTCCTTGAGCTTCTGGCGCTCGACGGCGCTGCTGGGCTTCTCCTGCTCTCTCTTGAGCGACACGCGCTTGGTGTCTGGTGGGCGGGCTCAGCAAAGGCAGCCTGCGCGTGCAGCGCCTCGGACGTGCTCACCAAGCGCCACCTTGGCCTTCTCCCATCTGTTGCGAGCGCCTTGCACCTCGACTCGCTCCTCTTCAAGCTCGTTCTAGCGCAAAGGTCAGCAGACACGCTTCTGCAAGGCCACGCGCAGCTAGCTCTCACTTTGCGTGCTTCCAGCTCGTCAAGCTTCTTCTGGTTGACCTGCAGCTCCTTCTGCAGCTTGCCCTGGTCCTTCTCGTTCGACTTGAGCTTGTCAGCGAAGTCCTGCATGCGCTCATCAAGCTGCCGCTTCTCCTGCACGTTGACTGTCGCGCAAGGCCGTCAGCGATGACCAGCCAAGGGCCGCAAAGGAGCTCACCGGACACATTGAACGTGCGAGCGTCCTTCAGGCCGCGCGACAGCGTCTGCGCCGAGCGGTTGCCGTAGTTGGAGTACGAGATCGTGTGGTTCGTCTGGCCGACGATGAAGCGCTTGAACAGGCGCGACTCTTCGACCGCCTCCGCGTTCACGCCGCGCTCATCCGCGGCGACGGGCTGAAGCGGAACAGGTCAGCAAAGTCGGCAGTACTACAGCCGTGCTGCTCACGATGGTGTGCAGGTAGGCGCTGCTGCACAGGTAGTTGAGCACAGGCTCCGGCCCGTCGATCAGGTCGATGACGAAGGCCTGGAAGCCTAGCTCTTCGAGCTTGAGCCGCATCGCTTGTCAGCACGCAAGCGACTGTCAGGCTGCTGGCTGACACTCACCTTCTCCTGCGAGCACGGGCGGTTGTGCTGCGACAGCGTCTTGCCGCCCTCCTGCTCGACGACGTTGAGACGCAGCTTCTGCTTGTCGACCAGCTCGCGCGTGAACAGGTCGTAGTCCGCACGTGTTTGGCACACGAAGGTCTGCAGGGGCGAGACATGTCAGCGCGAGGCCGCTAGCTAGCGCTCGTCGAGCAGCACCCACACGCATGGACTGCCAGTTGATGCAACTCTCCACCGCGGCGGCGCGGCGCGTGTCGTTGATGGACAGCTCGAGCATGACGGGCTCGTAGACCTTCTCCTGGAACATGCCCTGGTTCTCGCGCAGCCACATGACGCCGCGGAAGGCCTGGTTGTCGGCCTGCTCAAGGATCTTCAGCCGACGGCCCTTGACATTGTCGAGCTCAGTTAGTCTGGCACAGTCGCGTGTCAGCAGGGCAACGCAGGCGCAGCAGTGCTCTGCTCACTTCTGCGTGATCTCCGTCTTCTGCCGGTGCAGACTACGGCAGTCGTTGGCGATCTCCTCCATCGCCGTCTGCTTCTCGCGGTTGTCGCGCGTGATGGTGCGGATCTTCTCCTTGACCTCACGCTGAAGCATGAAGGCGTGTCAGCACTGGCCAGGCAAGACGCTCGCGACAGCTGGGCATAGACGCACCAGCGAGCGGTCGAGCGCAGCAGTCTCCTGACGCGGCGACTCGTCGCCGAGGCCTGCCTGCAGATCGCGGATAGAGTCCTGAAGCGTCTTCATGTGGCGCGTGCGCTCGAGCTCGCGGCGCTTGACAGTGTCGAGCTTCTCTGTCGTGTCGGACATCTTGCCTTCCTGCACACGCACGCGGCATATGAGCATCCGCAGCTGCGCGAGGGCACAGCGTGACGCTCACCAGCACGTCAATGGACTCCTGGCGCTTGGTCAGCGCGCGCACGTCCTTCTCGATCGACTTCTCGACGGCCTTGCGGCGCAGCTCGATCTTCTCCTTGTAGTCCGTGAGCTCCCTGGTTGCGGCAGGGGATCAGCACGGTGGAGAGCACGCAGCACGACGGCAGCACTCACTCCAGGATGGTCTCCGTCGGCTCCTGCTCCTTGCGCAGCTCGAGCAGCTCCTTCTTGCGGGCGTCGCGGTCCTTCTTGCATTCGTCGTAGCGGGCCTTGATCTCGGCGTACTTGGCGAAGGGGATGGCCACCTTGAGATTCTCGATCTGAGGCAAAGGCGTGTTAGAGCAGAGCTTGACTGGTGTTGAGGCGCGCCAGGCCACTCACGGCATCCTCAATCTTTCGACGCTCCTCGTACCTGCGCACGTCGCGCTGCAGCACGTCGTTGCGCTCCTGCAGGTTCTGCATCTCGCTCTTCTCCTTGTCGAGGCTCTCCGACAGCTCGCGGTCGCCCTTCCCGAGCTCAATCAGCTTAGCATGCCACTCGCTGAGGCGCTCCTCGCCGGCGGCGCGCTGCGTCTCCTTGAGCAGCTCCGGCGGTGCCATGCGCGCGAAGTCGGCGACCTTGTCCTGCGGCAGGAACGAGCAGAGATTCTCGATCTGAATGTTGAGCTCGGCGACCTTGGCGGTGACGTCCTTCTGCGTGCTCTTCTTGCCGTTGAGCTGCCAGTCGGACTTGTTGTCGCGCTTGCTGATGAAGCGTTTGATGATCAGGTTGCTCTTGCCCTTCGGGCCCTTCAGCTCGATCTCGATGGAGCCGTCGTCGTAGCCCTGCTTCACGTAGGCCGCCACGTCCTTGGCGCGGCCCAGCACAGCCGGCTTCCAGCCGAGGCCCAGCGCAATGGCGCACACGACCGTCGACTTTCCCGTGCCGTTCGGCCCGATGACCATGTTGAGGTACGGGCCGGGGCGGAACTCGACTGCGTCGTACGTGACGAAGTGGAGCAGCTTGACGCGCACGATTGCGCCAGGCAGGAAGCTGGCGGTGGAGGGCCTCAGCGCCGGCCTGCGCGGTCAAGGGAGGCATGGAGTCGGCTCACCCGTCCTTGTCCCGCTCCTGGTCTACTCCGTTGGCTCCGCCGGAGCGCCGCGACGAGCGCGAAGGGCCTGCTGCGGCGCTTTGCTCTTCCTCGTCCGCCGCCTCGTCCTCCTCTGCTGCTGCCGCGGCGTCGTCGCCGCTGGCGGCGCCCTCGTCCTGCTCGTCTTCCTCCAGCTCATCGTCATCGTCCGCGCGCCTGCGCTTGCTGCGATGCGATGCAGCGCTGGCACCCTGCGGGCTGCTGCTCTGCTCGCCCTCGTCGTCCTGCGTGGCAGGCGCCACCCTGCGGCTGCGCTTCACCACGGGCGCGGCCTCGGGTGGCGAGGCATCCTTGACCGTCGACGACGAGCCGGTCGCGCGGCGGCGGGGCATGGCGCACGAGCTGTGCGGGAGAGAAGGGCTGTGCTGCGGCAGACGTGCAGAGCAAGAGCAGCCAGGGGAGTAGTGTGGAGCAGAAGGAGGAGCCGGCGGCCCAAGCTCGAGCTGCGCCACGGCACCTGCGCAGCTCTTAACGCGTCCGCTGGCGCGTCGCGACTCCCCCGCCGGCGGTGGAGTCCAACACCTGCGCTCTGCGCGCAGCCACGCCGCGGCGCGGCGCTGAGGCCGCTTCTTTGCAGCTCTCTCCAACAGCCTGCTTCTGCTGCCACTGCATCGCAAGACCGCAGCGTCGCCGTCGTTGAGGCTGCTACTTCGCTCGGACAAGCCATGTCCTGCCACGGTGTTGCACTGCGGCGCCTCGCGCCTGCAGGCCTGCCACGTCTGGCTCAGCCAGTGCCCCGGATAGGCGCCTCCCGCTCCGCCTCTACTCGCAGCGGCGGCGCGCCCGAGGTGCGCCATGGCCCGTCTCTTCTGCTTCACCCGCATGCTGAGACGTGCTTCACAGGTCTATCTGTCGCGCTCGACGTCACCAAGCTTCAACCTGACGCTCGAGGAGCATCTGTTCCGTACGCGGCCAGCAGACGCGCCACTCTGCCTCATCTACCGCAACACGCCGTGCGTCGTGCTCGGGCGCAATCAGAATCCATGGAAGGAGCTCGATGTGCGCGAGATGCGGCGACTCGGCCTGCAGTGGACACGGCGGAGAAGCGGTGGTGGCGCTGTCTATCATGTGCGTGGAGAACAGCCACGCGCCGGAGACGTCCCTGCACTAAGCCGCTGACAATGCTCGACTGGACGGTGACCGCCCACAGGACCTGGGCAACTCGAATTACTCCTTTCACGTAGCCCGCGATGACTTTCTGCGTGCCACGCACTCGGAGCTCGTCGTCCGTGCGCTCAATGCAGCGCCAATCGAGCTGACAGCGCCGGCAGACCCTTCCGCCGTGTCAGACCAGCTACTCGGCACCCCCAGCGGTGCATACGTCAATGCGCGCAACGACATCTGCGTCCGCGTGCGCATGGGTGGCAGCGCTGCGGCGGATCAAGGCGCAGAACGCAAGGTCTCAGGCAGCGCGTACAAGCTCATCAGCGCGCGGGCGTACCACCACGGCACGATGCTCTTGTCGGCGCAGCTCTCGGCGCTCGGCTCGAGTCTGCATGATGCTCGCGGCGCTGCACTGGTGTCCAAGGGCGTGGCATCCGTGCCGTCTCCCGTCGTCAACCTATCGACGGCGTATCCGCATCGGGCACACGCCCTGACGCACGAGGTATTCGAAGAGAGCGTCAGCGCCGAGTTCGCCCGCGTCTATGGATCAGGCCGCGTCGAGCATGTCGATGAGACGCATGCGATTGCTCAGGAAGAGCGCTTCGTCAAGGGACGCGAGGAGCTTCGCAGCTGGCAGTGGACGCACGGACAGACACCCGAGTTCACGCACGAGCTGCGCTTCGATGCCGCTGCGGCCAAGGCCAGCGCAGCCGATCTTCGGAACGCAAGCTTCAGCCTCGCTCTCCGCGTCAAAGGCGGCGTCATCGAAGAGGCGACATTGGCAGACGTGTCAGCCGCCGGCGATGAGACAGCCATCCGGGCCGTCGTGGCTCGTATGTCAGGTGCACGCTACGACACGCTGGCAACTGCGCCGCTGCGAGAGGGCGGCGAGACGCCAGCGGACACCCAGCAGGAGACTGAGCGGGCCTTGCGCGAGCTGCAGTACACCGAGACGGGCGAGGGAGATGCCGAGAGCCGCACCGCTCGCTCGCTTGTCGCATGGCTCAAGTGTGCATTATAGAATCAATCATGAAGACAACTGGCGGTGCGACCGTGCTACCTACGGGCCTTGCCAGAGCGCGAGTCGATGCAGCGCAATGGCGAAAGGGACAATCGTGGCGCTTCGCTGGAGAGCGATCACGCGTGGCTTGCTGCTCTGCGCTGATGCGTTTGCTAAGCCCTCGGCCGCAGCATCTGTGCGCTCGGCCTGAGTCTTGGAGACCTTAGCCGGCTTGGTCTGCTGCAGATTGATGCTGACAGCGCGCAGAGCTTCATGAAGCGTCTGCACTGCAGCCGCAGGAAGGAGCTTCGCCATCTCGTAGACTGGCGGCGTGCTCATGTGTCGAAGCGCGGGAGGCAGGTCCGAAGGCGGAGACTGATCAGCCTGCGGCGTGCTGTTCCCTTCGGTTGGAGGCGCAGAGCCGGACAGGTCGTCTGGGAACGGGCTTGGCGCGTTTTCGCCCGGGAAGACCAGGACGGCCGAGACCTGTTGCCGGGCCTGCCAGACGGCGTCGTCTGGCGTGTCCGTAGCGAGCGCATCGTGTTCCTGGCTGGTGACGCCGAGCAGCTCCTGCCAGGCGCGGCCTTTGACGCGCCGAACGAGCCAATTTTGCTTCCTGCCCGCCTTGGCACCGTGCAAAGATCTCGCCGTGTCTAGCAGCTGCCTGCATAGCTCGTCGGAGATCAGCGAGGGCAGATTCTCGGGCGGCGGTGCACAGCCGACATGTCTGCGGTTCACGCCTGCGCAAAGAGGTGTGAGTAAGAGCAGCATCACGCCGCTTGAAGTCGATTGTTCACTCACCCCGCACCGTCGCCAATCTGGCGAGTTCGTGGTCAAGCGAGACCCAGACTCCACGCCCATGCCGGCCCAATGTCCGCTGAGTTGACGGTAGCTTGGACGGGAGCAGTATGCGCTGTCGAATCGCCTCTGCCGGAGCGATCTCCACGTCGGGGCCCAGAGCTTCTGCCTTTGCCTTCGAAGCCGCAGGAGAGCCTTCGTCACCTGGACTTGTGGCTTCCTCTGCTCGCGTGCTGTCAGATTTGTCGCTCGCCTCAGAGGCCGGCAGGTCGACCGGCTCAAGACGCATCATCAGAGCTGCAGGTGTGTCAGCTGAGAAGCCTTGACTGAAGCTGATTCAGACGCACCGGAGGGCAGCACGGCCTGCGAGACAGCGCAGCGTCTGAGCGGCGATGCGAGCATGTGCACTACAGGAGCACTCAGTAAGCTGAAGCCGGCCTCGTCTCTCGCTTGCCCACGCAACGCACTGTGCGCATCAGTCTCCACCTCTGTCTCGAAGGCATGCAGCGCCGGCGGCTCAGCAGTCGCCCGTGGTGTCTTAGAGGCCACAGTTCGGCGAGGACATGAACACGACGGTGGAGCCAGACCCGAGGCAAGCAGGCTGCGCAGCGGCGTCTGCGCCCACGACCAGGCGGGGCGAGCAGCACTGCGCCATCCTGCCGCTGATGCGAGGCTCGACGCCATCGTCCGGCCTGTCTGCTATGCTCGGGGACCTAGCGCTGCTCTGAGCCAGCTGCACTGAGCTGCTTCCGTCCACGTCTCTCCGCTTGCGTTCGGCGAGGTTTGACGGTCTTGTGTGCGAGGCAGAGGGCTCTGAGGGAGGCGCGGAAAGTGCATCTCGGGCCGCTCTCACCGGCTCAGGGTGCGCGCGTGTGCTTAGGTAAGCGCCAAAAAAGCTCACGCGAATTGTGCGGCGCTTCGGCGAGGCGCCGCTCGGCAGCCGGTGGCTGCTGCTGTGCCGCCTCTGCCGTGGACGACGGCGCCGACCACCCTTCTTCCCGCCTCCCACTCCTCGCAGCGCAGCTCTGAGCCGCTGCCTCCTCTCGCCTCACTCGCACCGGCACTCCACTCGTGCCTCTCTGATCGGCCCCGTCTAGTCGTGGCCCTGCGAGCTCTCTCGCCCGCGCGCACCGCCCGCCCTCTGCGAGCGCCCCCTCTCCCGCACCTTCTCCGAGCCACACCCCGCACGCCACGATGGCCACCTTCCGCCCCAACATCGCGCCCGTGCCGAGCGCGGCGCAGTTCCTCGACATTGTGCTGAGCAAGACGCAGCGCAAGACGCCCACCGTCGTGCACCCGGGATGGTGCGTGGGCCTGCGAGGGTCAGCGCCCGCTGCTGCTGCTGCTGACTGGCGTCTCTGTGCTGCAGGAAGATCACTCGTATCAGGTCGTTCTACATGCGCAAGGCCATGTTCACGCGCGATGCCTTCTGCGAGAAGCTCGACGCCATCCTCGCCGAGTTCCCGATCCTTGACGTGCGTGCTGCGGCGGCGCCGGCACCTGCGCTGCCTCGTCTGACGCCGCACCTCTACAGAACCTGCACCCGTTCATCTCGTCGCTGATGAAGTGAGTCGCCGCCATGACGCCCCCGCTCTTGAGCTCGGCTGACCGTCTGCCAGCGTGCTGTACGACAAGAACCACTACAAGCTGGCGCTGGGCCAGCTGAACACGGCGCGCCACCTGATCGACCAGGTGGCCAAGGACTACACGCGCCTCATCAAGTTCGGCGACTCGCTGTACCGCTGCAAGCAGCTGAAGCGTGCTGCGCTTGGTCGGTGAGTGACAGCAGACAGGCTGGCGTGTAGAGCAGATTGGTGGGTGCAGCAGAGCAGGGCGCTCACACCTGGCGGCGCGCAGCATGGCGACGATCATGCGCCGGCAGAAGGACCCGCTCGCCTACCTCGAGCAGGTGCGCCAGCACATTTCGCGTCTGCCGTCGATCGACCCCTCGACGCGCACGCTGCTCATCTGCGGCTACCCGAATGTGGGCAAGTCGAGCTTCATCAACAAGGTCACGCGCGCCGACGTCGACGTGCAGCCGTACGCCTTCACCACCAAGTCGCTCTTCGTCGGCCACATGGACTACAAATACCTGCGCTGGCAGGTCATCGACACGCCCGGCATCCTCGACCACCCGCTCGAGGAGATGAACACCATCGAGATGCAGTCCATCACCGCGCTCGCGCATCTGCGCTCCGCCGTGCTGTACTTCATGGACCTGAGCGAGCAGTGCGGCTACACCATCGAGGCGCAGGTCGCCCTGTTCAACTCGATCAAGCCGCTCTTCGCCAACAAGCCGACGATGCTCATCATCAACAAGATTGATGTGCGGCGCCTGAGCGACCTCGAGCCGGAGCGTGCGGCGCTTGTGCGCAGCCTGGCTGACGACAGCGACGGCAAGGTCGTGATGGCGGAGATCAGCACCTTCACCGAGGAGGGCGTGATGGCGGCGCGCAACACGGCGTGCGACGCGCTACTCGAGACACGTGTCGAGGCGAAGAGCAAGGGCGGCAAGGTGGATGCCATCCTCAACCGCGTGCACGTCTCGCAGCCCAAGGCGCGCGACGACATCGAGCGCAAGCCGTTCATCCCGGCCGGCGTGGCGACGCGCAAGAAGTACGACAAGAACGACCCGGAGCGCCGCCGCCTCGAGCGCGACGAGCAGGAGGAGCGCGGCGGTGCCGGTGTGCACAACATCGACCTCAAGAAGAACTACCTCATCCCCGAGGAGGAGCGCTGGGACGTCATTCCCGAGTTCGCGCACGGCAAGAACATCGCCGACTTTGTCGACCCGGACATCATGGAGCGCCTCGAGGAGCTCGAGCGGGAGGAGGAGCGGCTCGAGGCCGAGGGCTTCTACGACGTCGAGCAGGAGGAGGAGGAGGAGGACGAGGAGCGGGAAGTGCGGGAAGCGGCCGAGTCGATCCGCAAGCGCAAGGACGAGGCGAAGCTGATGAGCCAGGACCGCAAGTCGCTCAAGGCGCGCGCACGCGTGCCGCGCAAGATGCAGTCGCGCACGCTCGGCGAGATGGAGGAGAAGCTGCGCAGCCTCGGCATCGACCCGAGCAGCATCACGGCGCGCGCCGAGATCCTCGCCAAGGCCAAGGGCATCACTGTTACGGCCGGCAAGCGGAAGCGCACAGGAGAGGAGGCCGAGGAGATGGAGGTGGACAGCGAGGCCGGCGCCGCCGACGACTCGGCCGCCTGGTCCGACGAGGACGAGTCGATGGACGTCGACGACGCTGCCGCGTCTGCCCGGGGCGCCAAGTCGCGCAAGAGCAACGCCGGCAAGCGTCTGGCCACGGTGCGCTCGGCCACTGCCGGCATCGGCACAACCACAAAGTCCGGCGGCCGGCCGTCGGCACGCGCCGGCCCCGTGCGCACGCCGTCGAAGAACCGGCAGACCGAGGGCTTCCAGGGCCCGGCACAGATCCGCAAGGCGCGCGACCTGCACGACCTGTCGCTGCGCGAGCGCAACCGTCTCGCCAAGGCATCCGAGTCCGACCGCGCCATCAAGGAGAAGATGCGTGAGTGCTGCTGCTGTGGTGTCTGCATTCGCCTTGCTGACCTCGCCTCGTCTCTGCAGCGAAATGGCTCTTTGCCGGCAAGCGTGGCAAGGGCACGTCGCGCAGCCGCTGAGCGCAGACATCTCTCGCCGGCTCCGCTTCCTTGCACGACCTGTCCCACCCCTACATCTATCTGTGCTCCCGGTCTGCCTCACGCCCCCGTTACCGACCATCTGCTCCGCTCTTGTACAATCCAGCCTCGCTTTCAGACCGCGCCGCGTGCTAGGCTTTGCGAGAGGAGTCTGGATTCGTGTCGCAGGCCAAGCCTCTGAGCTTCGTGTGAGAGACGCGCCCGCCTCCGTCCCGCCCGCGCTGCCTCCGCCCGCTTTCCCTTTTGTCCAGCCGGCTTGCCCAGTGCGAGCGCACGAGAGCGCGCACTGGCAGGGCAGCCGTCGTCCATCCAAGGTGCGCGCCACACACTGCCCATCTATGCGCTGTCCGTCTCGCCGATGAGCGCCACGATCATCCTGCAGCGCGTGGTCAGCGGAAGTACGGCAGCGATGCAGCGCCAGCACGCACCGGTACAGGTAGTAGAAGAAGGAGAGCAGGTAGAAGCCGAGCTTCACGAAGCACTCCTTCTTGTGCCCGCTCAGCGTCCGGAAGATCTCCGTGGCGTCGAGCATGTGGTTCTTGTTCATGACTCTGCGGGCACGCGTCAGCGCACAGAGCGAGTGAGCGTGGCGGACAGACGCACTTGTTTGCGTTGAAGGCAACGAGCGGCGCATTCAACAGGAATGCAACCCATTGCCCGCCAAGCAGGAAGAAGACGGTCAGGACGGCGTGCGCGATCATCTCCGGGAGCGTGAACTGCGGCGAGGACATGTCAGCATGCAACGCAGCGCAGATGAGAGTCGCAAGAGGGGAGACAGCTGCAGCTGCGTGCCTCCTCCAGAACGCTGCCTCTATGCGCCTGAGAGCGCCCTGCGATGTACGAGGTCTCTTGCCGCACGATGCGCAAGAAGTACCGCGTCTTGCGCGCCAGTTTTCCGTTGCCTTCGCACCTCTTTGGACCCGCAGCCTTCGTCGCGCTGTGTCGTACCGGACTCCAGACGAGCCGTAGCAGGCGTACACTCAGAGCGACAGGGCTTCTCGCCGAGCCGAAGAAGGCGCGCGACCTGGAAAGCAGGGCCTCTCCTCTGCGGACACGCCTGCTAGACATGGCGACACATGCGTCCGGCTTGAGACCCGCTGCCGCTACCGCACTCGCAGCACGAGGCAGCTGCCCATCCGCAGTCCCAGCACAGACCGAGTTGCTCGCCCTATCCGCGTCCGCTCCTCCAAGCAGCACGTTCCCAGCTCCGCGCTGGCACTGTCTCTCTCGCAGCTGCTCTGCACGCACCTGGTTGAGCTTGTTGCAGAGGTCGATGGGGTTGATGTAGTCGCACTCGAGGTCGGAGAACATGATGATCTGTGCGCGGAGGGCCGCAGGTCAGCGACTACTCACAGAGAGGTACAGCTGATGACCGCTCTCGCGCCACTACGCTGCGAGCGGCTCTGCTGCGCAGACACTGCACGCTGCGAGGCCAGACATCCGTCCCGCCGAGCACGGCGCAGTGCCGCAATGCCTTCGCGCCGCGCTACCTCTCTCCTGTCTTGTCCGCTCTTCCTAAAACGCAGGCTACACCATGCCCTGCTCCTGCGACTGCTCGCCATCGAAAGCGCGCACTGCGCTTGCGCGTCGACCCTGTCTGAGCGCATGCCGCTGCCGCTTCCTTCCTCGACCCGCGCCCAGCCTCTCCCGCCCCTCTTCATCCCGCGCGTCCGCGCGCTGCGACGCACATAGAAGACCATGGTAAAGAGCAGGCCGGCTGCGAGCAGCACGGCGAGCAGGAAGAGCCAGCCTGCGGAGAGAGCGCCGCAATGCGTGCGAGTCAGCCGGGCCGCACTCGTGTGCAGTCGACTGCGCGAAGGGCGCACCTTCGCCGGTCATGATGGGCGCGTCGGAGGAGCCGGAGTGGGGACTAGTGGTGCAGGAGGCTCTGCGGGTATGGGCTGAAGAAAGAGCGGCGAGCGGCGGGCAAGGCGAGGCGGATGTGGGAGTGTGAGAGTGCGAGCCCAGCCGCGCGAATCTGCGAATCTGCTGCAGCCGGGCCGAGCCCTCGACAGCGACGCTTCAGCAGCCGGCGGCGCGCCGCGGCGCGCGCGAGAGGAGCGGATGCAGCGCCGCGCGGCCACAGCTCGCCTACCGCCGCGCCATGATCTGCCGCGTACGCCATGATGCAGCTGCGCAGCTCCGCCATCGTCGCCTGCCTTCCACGCCCAGGCAGCGCCCCATTCGCGGCAACGGCCATGGGCAGTGCGACTTTCGCCTCCTCGCGGCAGCGAGCCGCATGCTCTGACTGACACCGCCTGCGAGCGATGCGCCACGTCTGCTGTGCCTGCGACGGCACGCGATGTCGGGTGATCTAAGTGCTCTCGCCAGGAGGCTGACTGCTCTCCCATGATGAGCACCTTCACTGATCATGCGCTGGGCCAGGACGACGTCCGGCCTGCAGAGGCGATGCGACCTGCGCAACAACACCTCGAGCTCCCAGCTCCTCGCTCGACGCTCACATCCGCGCGCAACCGCATTTCGCCGGCGCGCCCGGCGGCCAGCAGCATCCAGCCCTTTTGGCTCGGTGAGCTGCAGGGCATCTGCCTCGCTACGGCCGTGAACGGCCAAGCCAGGAAGAAGGAGGTCAGCATGCAGGCAGCGAGCGGGATCCACCCGCGGCCGGGGACGAGCTCGGCGAGCGTGTGCGTGTACCGTGGCGCTTGCGTGCACCTCCACATCATGGCGCGATCTTATGCCCGAGACGCCGAGGCTGCCCGACGACGACCGCACCGGCGAGCCGGAGCAGGAAGAAGCGCCACGAAGCGTGCACAGACTCGGGCATCGTCTCGCTGGACGCCGGCGGTATAAGACCAGCGCGCGGCCGACATCGGACCCTCACTCCCCACCACACCACCACCACACGCCATGTCGATCCCCACCCGTGCATCCTTCTGGCAGCTGCCGGCGCCCGCCGAGCGCAAGGGCTTCGAGAGCCTCGAGCTCAAGGAGGGCGACGTGCCCAAGCCCGGCCACAAGGAGGTGCTCGTCAAGGTCCATGCTACTTCGCTGAACTACCGCGACCTGGTGCGTCCTCGCCACAGTCGTCGAGCGAAGCGCCGCCCGCTCACACACGCTCCCAGATCATCGCCAAGGGCCTGTACCCGCTGCATCTCAAGGAGGGCGAGCTGGTGCCGCTCTCTGACGGCGCCGGCGAGGTCGTTGCCCTCGGCCCCGAGGTCACCGAGTGGTCGACGGGCGACCGCGTCACGAGCATCTTCAACGCCACGCACCAGAAGGGCGCCGTGCCGGACCAAATTGAGATCCAGTCGGGCCTCGGCGGCGGTCTCGATGGCATGCTTGCGCAGTACCGCGTGGTGAGTGGCTAACATAATGCTGTGCCGATATGCACATGCTGATGTGCCCTGCAGCTGCCTGAGACGGCGCTCGTGCGCATCCCCGACCACCTCTCCTACGAGGAGGCCGCTACGCTGCCGTGTGCCGCAGTCACTGCCTGGAACGGCCTCTACGGCCTCAAGGAGCTTGGCTTCAAGGCCGGCGAGACGCTCGTGGCACAGGGAACCGGCGGCGTGAGTGTCTTCGGCCTGCAGTTCGGCCTTGCCGCCGGTGGCCACGTCGTCATCACGTCGTCGAGCGATGAGAAGCTCGAGACGGTGCGCAAGCTCGTGCCGCAGGAGCACCAGAAGCGCCTGCACACGCACAACTACAAGAAGGACAAGGACTGGGAGAAGAAGGTGCTCGAGGTGACCAAGGGCAAGGGCGCGGCCCATGTGCTCGAGGTCGGCGGTCCGGGCACTCTGGAGAAGGCATTCCAGAGCATCAGGCCTGGTGCGTATCGTGTGCGGGTCACGCGTCCGGCCGCCTGCTCACCCCACCCTTCATCCAGGCGGCGTCGTGAGCGACATTGGCTTCGTCGCTGCGGGCGAGCCGCCGAATGTCGGCCTGCTGGCCCTGCAGCAGCGTGCCATCTACCGCGGCGTGCTCGTTGGCTCTCGGGAGCTGTTCGAGGACATGAACCGCGTCATCGAGGCACACGAGATCAAGCCGCTCGTCGACAAGGTCTTCCCCTTCAAGGAGGCGCGCGAGGCGTACGCCTACCAGTGGAGCGGCGCGCACGCCGGCAAGGTCGTGGTGCGCATTGACCACTAGACGCAGTCGCGGCCTAGAATAGTACCCATTGCTCAGCGTCGTGTGTGTGAGAGCAAGGGCAGTGAGCGGCAAGCAGGAGAGGTTGGCGTGGCGGTGCACGAAGTGGAGGGCACGCGCCGCCGCCACAGCGCACGATCGCCGGCGCAGCGCAGGCGCAGCGGCAGAGCGAGATGCGCCGCGAGCGTGCCGGCGTGCCGCGGCGGCGGCGTAGATGATCCGGCGCCGAGATCTGGGCAAGGCGGCCGCCTCGAGAGGGGAGCAAGCGCCTCGTCGCCGAGCGCACAGGCCTTGCCTTCTCACCACCACCACTCACAAGCTCTCACCTGCGTGACATCCACTACCCAACAACCATGGCTCGCAGTCAGTCAGGTCGCCCGCAGCGCGATGTGGCACATGCTGACGAGCGACGCACAGCCGAACCGTCCAGCACCTCTGATGTGCTCCTCTACTTCCTCGCAATGTACGCAGCCGAGGTGCCTCCCGCAGTGACGCAACGCTGACGTCTGTCTCCTGCGCAGCTTCGTGCCGCCAGCGTCCGTGCTGATCAAGCGCGGCTGCGGCGCCGACATCCTCATCAACATCTGTCTCTGGGTGCTCGGCTGGATCCCTGGCGTGTGCGTAGCGCGCTCTCTTTCCCTCCTCTCGTGCGCTGACTCGCCTCCTTCAGCATCCACGCCTGGTGGATCATCGCGAAGACTCCGGACCGGCCGCCCCGGCCCGTCGTCGTCTACTGAGCTGCACGCGCGCTCTGCCCTTCCTCATACCCGCTGCTCAATATCATTCGCTTGCTCGACGCACTGCGTGATCTGGTCAAGACTGGGTGCAGCCTGCAGTGTGACCTGGAGGGCGCTCGACGAACAGACACACTGCCGACCTCACGCTTTGTTCACTCATTCATCTCATTGCAAGTCCATAGACGAGTCCAAGTCTCGGCTCTGTGGAGGCTTCACTCACCTGATCTCATTGCACGGGCTGCCCTCGCAAAGGCGACTGCATTCATTCTGCGGGAAGGTGAGCGCATCAAGCCGCAGACACACCTCAGGGGAGGCCTCAGGTTCCGCTTGTGCCTCACGACTGCCGCTGCTTCACGCTTGAGACGGACTGCCTCTTCTGCCTGCTGGTCTTGCTCACGACTGCGGCTGCCCTGCTTGCCATCTTACGTCTTGCTCTTGCCCGTGAGCTTGCTCTTGTCACACATTGAGCCTCTTCTACCGCGTCCGCTTCTTACGCTTGCACTTGCCCTTCTCGGCGCTTCAGAGTTGCATAGTTGAGGGGCTGGATTTTCGAAGGTCGGCCTCGAGAATAAAACGAGACACAAGGGCTTGACGCAACACGACATATGCCTCCGCCCACAGCGCGGACTTGAAAGCGAAAGTAGAAGGCACGACAGGACGGACGAGACGGTATGAGACGCGTTGGTACATAGCACGGACGGGCGAAGGCTTGTGCTTCAGGCTTGGCCATTTGGAAGATCACACGAGAGCGGCACGCGAGGCTTCTTGAATGGGAAGCGAGTAAGATCGCGAGGCGGCGCAGCCTTCAGTCGCGCAGCGGGCGAGACTCCTGACGGGCGTCCGGCGGGCTGTCGCGGTGGCGACGCGGCGCCGCACGGAAGTCGTCGTCGTCGTCACGCAGGCGGCGCGGCGGCGAGTCCTCGCGGCGCACCGAGCGGCGAGCCGGCGAGCGCGAGCGCGAGCGTCTGCGCGGCGGGCTGGGACGGCGGCGCCAGTCCTCGGACGAGTCCGGGCCATCGCGGCGCGGCGGCGGCGGGCGGTTGTAGTCGCCCGGTCCGCGCTCCCAGCCTCCGCCACGCGGCGGCGCCGGGCGGCCCCAGTCATCACCACGCGGCGGCGGCGGACCGTAGCCGCGCGGCGGGCCGTAGCGCGAGTCGAAGCCTCCCGGCGGCGGGCCGTAGCCGCGCGGCGGGCCGTAGTCACCACGCGGCGGGCCGCCGTAGCGGTCGTAGCCGCCGGGCGGGCCGCGAGGCGGGTAGCCGCCGTGCATGTCGCCGTCGCGCAGGTTGCCGCGGTACTCGCCCGGCGTCGGCTCGTGCGGGCGCTTCGTGACGGAGAAGTCGACACGCAGACGGCGGCCGTGCAGGTCCTGGAGGTGTGGTCAGTGTGAAGTTCATGCTGTGCGTCTTGCGCCTTGCTCACCAGGCCGTTGAGCGCCTTTATGACCTTCTCGGCGGCGGCCGTGTCCTTCATCGTGATGAAGCCGAAGCCGCGCGAGCGCTCCGACTGCAGGCGAGGGGATCAGCGCCAAATCTGAAGCTTGAGCTGTCAACGATACGCACGCGTGCGTCGTACACAATGACGACCTTCTCGACCGGCGCAATGTCGTCAAAGACCTTGTGCAGCTCGGGCTCGGTGGTGCGGATGGAGAGGCCGAACACGCCGACGACGTTGGTCGGGTCGGGGTTCTCGGGCGCGTGCGCCGGGCGCGGCGGCGGCGGGCCAATGGGAGCGCGCAGGGGCTCGCGGTCACTGCCAGGCGTCGCTGTCAGCGAGATGTGCCTTGTGGAGGCGGAGCATGTCCGGGGTGCCGCCACTCACCGGCCGTACGAGGCGCCGCGCGGCGGGCTGCGGTCGCGGAAGCGCGGCGGCGAGCGGTCGCGCATGCGGCGGTCCTCGTCGCCGTCACGCACGGGCGAGCGCGAGCGGTTGCGCAGCGGCGAGCGGGACGGCGTGGCGCGGCGCGGCGCCGGCGACGGCGAGCGCGGCGAGCGCGAGGCACGGCCACGCGGCGGGTCGATGTCGGCGTAGTCCTGGCGACGACGAGTTGGTCAGATGCGTCATGGCAGCGTCGCACGGTGCACTCACCATGCTGTCGCGGGTGAGAAGGGTGGATGGGGTGCGGAGTGGAGTGCAGCAGCCACGCCAAGCGTGCACAGACGCGACGTCGCGCCTCGGCGATGATGAGCTCCACAACCGGAAGTGCCGCTGCGGGGGTCGCGCCCTGCTCCCACGCTGCAGCCGAGGCGGTCGCGGGACGGGGCGGAGGGCGGGCGAGCGCGCATCACGTGCAGTGCTTCGCGGGCGGCGCGCCTTTTCGCGCTGGCTGCGGCCGCGGCGCTGGCGGCGCGGCGGCTGCTGCTGGCGCTGCGCTGCGCCGCCGAGGCTGGCGCGGCGGTGCGCTCCGCCTCTTGCCTCCCATCCCCACCACCAGCCTCAAGCTTCCGTCATGGTGAGCACTGCGCGCCATCTCTACGCCTCCGCTCGCCGCACCACACTCGCCGCTGCGAGCACGTAGCGCGGCAGTCGTTGCTCTGGCACATCGCAGCGCTGTTTCGAGGGCATGTCGCCCCTCTGCTGCTGGCCTGCGCCGCGACTCGCCCTTCTGGCTTGAGTCGCTTGCAGATGCTTCAACGCAGCGCGGCGGGCGTTGCTGGGCGATGGAAGGCGCGGCATGTGATGGAAGATGGGTCGAGGATCATTGCTGGTCAAGAGGGCGAAGAGGCAACATGAGGGCGAAGAGGCAACATGAGGGCGAGGGGCCGAGCTGCAGCGAGACAATGGGGCCGGATGGGCGAGCGAGGAGAAGACATACCTGCAGGTCTGACCTGCGTTGCGAGAGCGGCACTGACATACGCTTCTGCTTCTCTAGGGTATCGACATCGCCCGTCACCACGTCAAGAACGGGCGCCGCACGGCGCCCAAGAGCGAGGACCCGTACCTGCTCCTGCTCGTGAAGGTGAGCACGCCTGGCTGGGAAGAAAGAGGAGACAGACGAGGTCCGGCCGAGGGGCATGGAGGAAGCCTCTGGTGCAGGAGCGAGGGGCCAGGCAGTTGGGACGATGGAGGAAGGCGCGGAGGCCAGCTCGAGACGAGACGGACAGAGAGGCACGGGCAGATGACGCTGTGAGAGGCGCTGAAAGGACAGGATGTCGGGCGTCTGCGTGCGCTTCTGCCTGCGTCGGTGCAGCCCCATTACTTGGTGAGACCACTTGCTGACGCACAGCGTGCAGCTCTACCGCTTCCTTGCCCGCCGCACGGACTCGCGCTTCAACAAGGTCGTCCTGCGCCGCCTGTTTATGTCGAAGATCAACCGCCCGCCGGTGTCGGTCTCGCGCGTCGTGTACCTGTCGCGCAACCAGGGCGGCGTCGCCAAGGCTGGCGAGGCCCCCAAGACCGTCGTCGTGGTCGGCTCGATCACCGACGACAACCGCGTGCTTGAGCTGCCCAAGCTCTCCATCGCTGCGCTGCGCTTCACCAAGACGGCGCGCGCCCGCGTCGAGGCCGCCGGCGGCGAGTGCCTCACGCTCGACCAGCTCGCGCTCCGCTCGCCCAAGGGCTCCAACACGATCCTCCTGCGCGGCCCCAAGAACGCGCGCGAGGCCGTCAAGCACTTCGGCATGGGCCCGCACACGAACAAGAAGCCCTACGTTCGCTCGTCGGGCCGCAAGTTCGAGCAGGCTCGTGGCCGGAGGAAGTCGCGCGGCTTCAAGGTCTAAGCGCCGTGCCTCTCTGCACGCTCGTCTCGGTCCTTGTTCAGCCACGCTTCTACGTCTTGCTACGTCACTCTCCGCAGTCGCGGCCAGCCCACCGATGCCCGACTCTACACTCGTCCACGTCATCTGCTTCGACACTCACACACCACACACACACCACGCACCGGCCCCCACACCAAAAGCATGTACCATCCGCCCGCCCTGTCCGTGCCATGTGCGTCCGCGCGCTCGAGCGGGCATGGACAAAGATCGCTTTACGCTCACGAAACGTGTGTGGGGTGTAGCATGCGCACGAGTGAGCGGACCCCGAGAAACAGGTCGTGTGCCAGGGTGCAGCTGCGTGCCAAGAAGAAGGCGCAGTAGGCGCTGGGCTGCATGATTGACATGCCGAACGCAGCGGGCTATGCTCCGCCTGTCTGATGGCCGTAGCGGTGTGTCTGACGCTGTGCGGTCAGAGAGTGGACCTCGCCGTCTGGGAGAGGCGCTCGCGCCAAGAGGTGAGAGAGAGAGAGGTCGGCCGAGCGGCAGCCCGGCCGCTGCTTGCTGAGCGGCTGACGGAGGCGCGCGGCGTCATGCAGCTCGAGCACAAGCCGAAGGCGAGCGCCGCCAGCGCAGCGGGCCACCGCGCCGTGCCTTGTCCTCAGAGCCAGATCCACACGCGTCTGCCTCGCCCAAGATGGCGAACAAGAGCTGCCAACCTGCGGCCGTGCAGCGCCTGCGAGAGCGCCGAGGCGTCCTCCAGGCAGCACACGCGCAGTGTCCTGACGGCAGAGCGCCCTCAGCCCAGCTCGTCCTGCGAGCGCCAGCGGCATGAACGCAGCCAGCCTCGATAGCCCTCGCCCGCCTAGCACCATCTCGCTGCCCAGCAGCACGAGCGGGAAGCCCTCGCGACTGCTGCGGGGCAAAGCGAATGGGCCCTGGCCGACGTTCTGCCTGCTGCAGGCAGCCAGCAGACATCGGCGATGCCCCTCGAGACGCACCCCTTTGGCGGCGAAGCCGGAGTGGCACCCGCCGCAAACGCAGCGGACGCGCGGCGGGCATCAAGTCTGAGTGCCAGCGTCCCGCCGCTCCGGCTCATCGACGGCGCACGCGGCTCCGAGCGTCGTCGCATCTCAAGAGCCGTTGCGCCGTCTGCCATCCGCGGCAGCGGGACGGCATCAGGGGCCTCGCGGGCCAGCTGCCATGCTGACTGCGGCTGCGGGAGCAACAACGCGGCGTCGGCCGGCGCACAACAAGCACAAGAGACGCGTCCTTGCGCTCCACACGTCAGCGTGTTGCCTTGGCGCCTTGTGCGTCTTTGCCGGCGCCCCACGCTCCAGCAGCACGCAGCGCTGCCGCCTGTAGTCTGAGCCTAGAGTGTGCGGAGTCCGGCGCACAAGGAGACAAGAGACGGCGCTGCCCTCCCTGCACGCTGCACCGCGTTGCGGCATGAGCTCGCCCTCTTCTTCCGTCTGCTCCGAGGCGCCGCCGCCGCCGTCTGAGCTTCATGCACGCCATCTGCCGCACTAGCCCCTCAGCACCCAAGATCTCGCCGTGTCCGCCTCCTCACAGCAGCATATCGGAGCGTGCATTGACGCAGCACAGCAGCGCTCGGCTCCGACGCGAGCAGAGAGGGGTCGAGAGAAGGTGCGATCGCTGTTTGTTTGTCCAAGAGGTGAGGCGAGCGCGGCTGGCCGCACGCGCATACACCCAGCTGACCATTCGACAGCGACGGGTCAGCTCTACTGCGTCCATCCTCGCACGACTGGTCGGCCACGGCGGGGCAGCATCGTCTCGGGCCGAAGCTACGCTGGCGCCATTCTCGCCCGTTAGCTCAGCGGCGACGCGGCTTCAGTGTTGCTCGACCACCGCTCATCCGGCGAGCCGGCGGATCTGCCCCTTGAGCTCGGAGCGCTCCTGCTTACAGCCTCGCTCCGCTCCCTCATAGCGTCCGCCTGCCCCTTTCCCGTCCGCTGGGCTGCCGACACAAGGCCAGGTCCCATCTCAAGAGCTCGCCTCGTGCCGGCTTCATTGCGAGATCGTCGACGCAGCTCTGCGCGCTCTCTCTGCTCGCCTGCTCTTTCAAGCGGACAGCACCAGCTTCTCGAAGCACGGCCAAGGATATCTGACAAGCGGCAGCATCGCGGAAGCTTCGACTGCGCTCCTGCCTGCTCGCCCGCTCATCGATCGGACAAGCGTGGGCAAAGAGCGCAGCTCTGCATCGCCGCACCCGTAGTGCACCCGGGAGCGTTCATTCGACGGCCCGCACCTTGTCCACCTGGCGCATCGGCTGCGGGAGCGGGACACGCAGCGGCACAAAGGAAGCACACAGCAGCGTCTTGTCGTCGCCGGCGCTCAGCGGAGTCATCGGCACAGCTCGCCGCCGCCGTTCCGCGCGCTACGCGCCGCCGCCGTCCCAGGGGCCCAAGCGCGCGCTCGAGCCTGTCGCAGGAGCGCTGATCCGCATCGGCTCCCCGCCTTCCCACACTACACCCGCAGGCAGCAGCACTGCAACGCCACCTCGTCTGCTCTATTGATCAGGTCGCGAAGCTCGGATCAGCGACGTGCGGCGTTGTGCGGTGCTCGAGCGAGCGAGTTGCCACGCTGCGAGAAGCCCGTCGAGCGCGCTCCTCAAAGGTCACCGACGGCCGCCTGCCGCCGCCTACTCAGGGGTCCATTAGTCTCTCGTCGCCGTCGCCCCTCGCCTTCCAGGGCACAGCAGCGTGCTCAGGGCCGTCGCCGCGCCACCCGACTGGGTGCTGCTCGCCTTCCTCTTCTGCACCACGTCGCCCTCGCCACCTGTCCTCTGCGCTCCCGCCTGTGCCGACGCGACGGCGCTTCAACCCCTCGGCGAGTGCTCAGATCGAGCACACAGTGTCTCCTGTCTCGGGCGCAGCACTTTGCCAGAGCCCTCATCCTTCACCCTACCCGCGGCTACGCAGCGATAGGACAAGCGTCTCGCCGGTTCGCTGCCGCGCTGGCAGAGTCCCTGAGCAACTGAACGTCTAGCTCGTCACCGCGCCGCACCGAGCGAGGACCTCGAGAGGAGGTGAGCTGCAGCGAGGCACCGTTTGCGGCCCTGGCTCGCCGTTGCCGCGCCGACCCGCTATAAGCGGCCCGAGCGGAGGGGCCCGCCGCTTTGCGAGGCCTGTGCTCATCCTTCGCCTTCCAGCAGCGCATCACTCCAGCAGCAGCCACACGGCGTGCCTTGCACCCTCATCAGCCGGCCCTCGCTGCTTCTCTCTCTTCCACGACCCGCTCGCTCCCTTGCGCGTCGCTCTCTGCAGCTCCTCGCATTCCGCAGCTCCCTCTCTCCTTCGTTCCACGACGTCGCGCCCTCACTAATCAGGCAGCAAGTCGCCGCCGCGCGGTCTCCATCGGCTGTTCCTAATATCCGTGTCTGCTCCAGCACCGTTCCTCGTTCGCCTGGCCACTCTCCGTGCTCCGCCTGCCGTTCGTTCCGCTCAGCAAGTCTCAAGTACCCGCTCTCACCTCTCAACACGCGAGCAGGCTGCCAAGTCGCAGCGCTGCCGTCGATCGACACCAGTATGCACACGCCGCTCTCACCGACGTGGCGCACCTCGGTGCAGGACGCCCACGGCCACCAGCAGCGCTCGCTGCAGCGCTTCGAGCAGCAGCAGCAACAGCTGCAGCAGCAGCAGCAACAGCAGCACCAGCAGCAGCCCGACGCTCGCCAGCAGCAAGGCGCTGAGGGACTTCACGACGCGCCTGCCAGCAACGCGCAGCACGGCGACGACGCTGGCAACGACAAGACGCTCCGTCCCTCGTCGCCGTCGGTCGAGGCCCGTCCCGACCGCTCGGTGTCGAACCCGGTGCGCGCCAGCAGCGGCGCCTACACGTCCGGCCTCGCAGGCGTCGGCGAGGCCGCCGAGTTCTGGGCTCGCAGCCAGCGCAGTGCGAGCGACGGTGCTCGCGCGCTGCGTGGCGGCGCCGTCGACACAACGGCTGCCGGCGGCGGTCTTCAGCACTGGAGCCAGCAAGCGCTGCAGATGGTGCGCGAGCATCAGTCGAACGCCGGCCGCGCCTCGCCACAGCTGCGCACCGGCGGCACTGGCCCGCTCGACAGCGTCGACACGCGAGACGAGCCCCTCGAGCACTCGCGCTCGTCAACCAGCCACACAAGCAGCACGTCCAGCACCAACTCTGGCCGTCCGGAGGGAGTCGCAAGCACCGATGCGTCGAGCACGACGTACGCCAGCCCCTCGCTGCCGTCGACGGCGCAGCCCGGCAGCGCGGAGCACCAGCGCTCGCTCGAGGAGAAGGCACAGGCCTACGACGTACAGCGCCAGCACGCTGCTCTGCAGCAGGAGAATGCCTACACTGCGTCGGAGGAGGAGTACCTGCGTCAGCGCTCGCTCCTCGCCACGCTCGACCCGCGCTACGCACCGGCGTCATCGCCCTCGACCGCGACACGTCCTAACGATCCTTCGTATGGCTACTGCGACGAGGCGTGGAGCAACGCACCGGCGTGAGTAGCGCCGCAGACCACCTGCACCCGATGACAGCGAGCTGACACCCTTTCAGCCCTCTTGCCATGTCGCCGCTCGCGCCCACGCAAGGCGGACCGTGGGGCGGGGTGCCTGCCTACGGCGACTACAACAGCAGCTTCCCGAGCCTGTCGGGCGCCGTGCCGCACTCGGCGCCGTTCCAGCCGCAGCTGCAGCACGTCTCGAGCGGCACGCAGCGTCCGCTCAGCGGCGTCGCTGCCGCAGCCGCCGGCCAGGAGTTCAGCATCTTCGTCGGCGACCTCAGCCCGGACCTGCGCGAGGAGGACCTCGTGACGCAGTTCCTGCACCCGCCTGCGTGGCCGGCGAGCCACCCGATCTCGATTGCGCTCGCCCATGCGCAGCAGGCCCAGGGCAACTACAACACACCGCCGCGCATGGCGCCCGCGCCGTTCCTTAGCACCCGTTCGGCCAAGGTGAGAATGCCGTGTGTCCCGGCGTCGTGCACGGTCTGACACTGCTCCAGATCATGGCCGACCCGCTCACAGGCATTTCGCGCGGCTTTGGCTTCGTGCGCTTCTCGCTCGAGGACGACTGCAAGCGTGCCCTCGTCGAGATGCAGGGCGTAGTCATCACGCCGTCCACGGGCGTCTCGCCCGGCCGTCCTCTGCGTGTCTGCACCGCCACGCCCAAGACGCGGGGCAGCACCAGCCCGACCGCCTCAAACACCGCCCTGCTCAGCGACCTGCAGCTCGGCGAGGGCGCCGCTGCAATGTATGGCTCGAGCTCTGCCGGCGGCTACCCGAGCAGCTACGGTGCGCGGCCGGACGACACGTACGACTCGTTCCGCAGAGGCTCGCTTCCGGGCGTCGACGCAGCGGGCATCTCGCCGTCGTCGAAGTTCGGTGCCGGCTCGTTTGCCATGCCTCATCTGCCGTCGCACGGCGCTGCGTCGCCTCCGCCGAGCAACGCCGCGCCCCAGTCCGGCCACAGCGCCACGGACCCGAACAACACGACCGTCTTCGTCGGCGGCCTGTCCAGCCTTATCTCCGAGGAGACGCTCAAGACCTTCTTCATCCCCTTCGGCGAGATCACGTACACCAAGATCCCGCCGGGCAAGGGCTGCGGCTTCGTGCAGTTCGTCTACAAGGCCGACGCCGAGCGTGCGCTCGAGCGCATGCAAGGCTTTCCCATCGGCGGCGGCCGCATCCGCCTCAGCTGGGGCCGCAGCCAGGGCGATAAGGCCGCCGCCGCTGCCGCGAGTGCAGCTGCTCAGGCGGCGCACCTCGGTCAGCTGGCGAACCTCGCCGGTCTCAGTGGCCTCACGCCTCAGCAGCTGGCACAGCTCGCCGGCCTCAGCAGCGCCCTCAAGGCCGCCCAGTCGCCGCGCTCGCCTCCGGCTCCGCAGCACGCCGAGGCTGCCGCGCCTCCGCTCGACGTGCTTCGTCACCTTGCCAACACGAGCTCGGCGTACGGACAGCAGCGTGCGCCAGAGCCCGAGCCGTACTACAACCGCTCGCCGGCGCCCATGGTGCTGGCCGACGGTAGCTACGCTGCATCGGCTGGACGCTCGCACGCTCAGACCTTCGGCCGCGGCGGCAGCCCCTTCGACGTCTCGCACGCCGGACAGCACTACGAGCAAGCAAACTACGGTGCGGCTCCGAGCCTGCAGGGCCTCGGCATCGGCTCCGTTCCTGGCTACAGCTACGGCGACCGCGTCCAGAGCGCCCGCCAGCAATCGACGGACACGCAGAGCGAGCTGCAGCAGCTCCTCTCCAAGCTGGACCTCGACGGCTCGGACCAGGCCGTGGCGCGCCAGCTGCGCGAGTTTGCCTCGTCGCACAGCAGCGGCGGCAGCAGCGGCGCCAACAGCTCGCAGGACCACCGCTCCGGCCAGGGCCCGCCGTTCACGCCGACGCAGGCGCCCTACTCGTCGCTGCCGCAGCACCTGCAGCACCTCTCGCCGCACCTGCACACGCCGCTCGACCGTCCCTCGCACGCGGCGCAGACGTGGGTCTCGCCCTTTTCGCCCTTCTCGCCGGCGGCGTCGCCTCGCTTCGACCCGGCCGTCAAGGCCGCCGAGCAGCGCAGCGCCCAGCAAGACCAGCAGCAGCAGCGCCACGATCAGGAGCGCACCGCTACGCCGCAGCACGGCGCTGGCCACTAGGGGCACACACGCCGGCGGACGATGAACACGGCGCAAGGCCTCTGAGCCTCAAGCTTCTCCTTCTCCTCTCACTCTCGCTCCGCAACCCGCTGCCCGCAGCTGCTTCGCCCGGACTCGGTCCGCCGTTCCGCTTCCCAGACATTCTGCCCTGCCTCTTACCCATCCGTCGCCGCCGCATCGCACAGACGCACCTTAGCCACCCAGACCTGCCCACTTATTCACGTCGCGCCCGCCATCCGCTTCGCCCGTTCTTCGCCCGCTTTCGACCACCCGCCTACGTTCCTCACACACATCGCTCGCATCCATCTGTCCCTTCGCCGCCACCCAAGTTGCTCCCTCGCTGGACGTCAGCTTGCACCTCTCGCGCAACGCAGCCCTCCTTTCTTAATCCATGCCCTTTCGCCTTCTGCTCGTCCACGTGTGATCGCTTAGGCATGGCATTCACGCCACCGTCTGGCGGCCGATGAGCTCGCGCGTGCCCACGGCGTAGCCGCAGGAGCACTTGCGCCCCGCCTCGTCGCGGTGCCACTCGTCGATGACGGGCTTGAGCTGCGTGCCGAGGTCGGTGCAGTGGAAGCGCGACTCCTTGACGATGTGCGGGCCGTCCGGATGTGACTCGAGCTTCGGGCAGTACCAGCGCAGCGCATCTGTGCGAGGAGTCAGTTCTGCTAAGCGTGGCGACAGCCGTGTGTTCTCACCGTCCTTGTCATCAGGCCGTGTCCGCTCGACCACGAGGCCGACGGTGCCCTCGAAGCGCACAGGGCTGTGCGGCGTGTTGGCTGACGGACTGGCATCAGTACTGGATCTGGCGATGAGACAGGCCGTGCTCCCAGCTTCTCTGTCTCCCTGTGTCACTGCTGGCTCGGTACGTCGCAGCGTGCAGCATCGCCGCACGACAGCCGCTGTGTTGGTACACTTCGCGGCTCGCTGCAGTATGCACGACCCTTCGTCGGGCTGCATCAATGTGCGCCGTTGCCTCGCTCCGCTGAGACCCATTCGGACAGCCTGGCTGCGCCAACGATCTGCAAGCGACGTCCCGCTGTCCCGGGCTGCACTGCTTCGCCACTCCATGCTCCCTCATTGTACTGCCCGCCACGCTACTCACCGGGCAGCATGAACATCTCGCCCTCGCCAATGACGACGTCCTTGAACTCGCCGTCCTCGACGATCTTGAGGAGCATGGCGCCCTGCACCTGGTAGAAGAACTCCTCGGTGGGCTGGAAGTGATAGTCGCTGCGGGCGTTGGGCCCGCCGACGGCCATGACGGTGTAGTCGTCGCTGCGGAAGAGGCAGAAGTTGCCCACCGGCGGCTGCAGCAGGTGCCGGTTCTCGGCGAGCCACTTGGGGAAGTTGAGCGGCGGCGGGACCATGGTGGTGAGGTGATGAGGTGGTGGTGCTAAGACAAGGCAGGCGAAAGTGTCGTGCGTCTGCGTGGTTTGATGAGCCGGCGGCCTTAGCGCGGCTGTGGAGGCCGGCCGGCCGCGGCACGCCTCGCCCGTGTCCCGAGGCTCTCGCTGACTCGGCCCCTTCGCACGTTCGGCCATCTCTGCGCCTTTTCTGACAGAGGGCGTTGCTCGAAGGCGAGCTGGGCCGTAAGGAGAACATGCTGCACCCACACAGCCATGTGAAGATGTCGACGCTCGATGCCGAAGCCCAGCAACGGTGCCAGTGCGGCAGGCTTGAACGCTCGAGCTCGACAACGCGACGCCGCCGTGGCTCTTAGTCTTGCCTCTCTCCCCTCACCATCCGTCGCAGCGCAGGCAAAAGCGACTGCTCTGGCATACAGAGCGCTTTGAATCAGCTTTGCGACATTGTGTGCCACACCTCTGCGCTGTTGCCGCCCGGTCGTCTGCGTGCGAGGGGCCAAGGCTGCTGCCACGGTGGTACGCCCAGCAGGTGCGCACGTGACAAGCACAGCGCGCGGCGAGGTGGCCGCCGCCGCGCGCCAGCGCCGACGTGGTTCCCGCGCCCCGTGCGAGGTGAGGCGCGTGTGGCTCGGGCGCGGCTGGCGTCCAGCAAGCACACCTTCTCGAGCCACCTGCATCTCCTCTGGTCCGCGCCCTGCTCTCACATCCGCGCCGCCGCTCTCACGACACCTCTCTTCACGCCCGGTCCGTCGCGCACTGCCTGCGTCTGCCACGCCGCGCGCACTGCCCGTGCGCTTCGTCTCGCGCCCCCTGCCCCGCACCACGGATAGCCGCTGCCCGCCATGCCGATGCTGCTCGACATCCAGCGCAAGCTGTTCGCGCGCTCGGAGCGCGTCAAGTCCGTCGACTTCCACCCGACGGAGCCATGGGTCCTCGCGGGCCTCTACTCGGGCGCCGTCAACATCTGGAACTACGAGACGCAGGCGCTCGTCAAGACATTTGAGGTCGCCGACGTGCCCGTGCGCTGCGTGCGCTGGATCGCCCGCAAGAGCTGGTTCGTCGCGGGCAGCGACGACTTCCAGCTGCGCGCCTTCAACTACAACACGCACGAGAAGGTCGTCGCCTTCGAGGCGCACCCCGACTACATCCGCTGCATGGCCGTGCACCCCACGGGCAGCTACGTGCTCACCGGCAGCGACGACATGACGATCAAGATGTGGGACTGGGACAAGGGGTGGCGGCACGTGCAGGTGAGTGGCGCACGAGGAGGTGCTGGTAGTGGATGGACTGGCACAGTGACAGGGCGAGCGGTGTGAGCTGCTCGCAGGAGAGGGCAATAGTTGCGCCGCCGAGCAGGTGCCAGCTGCCTAGCAGCCGAAGCCAGCCAGGCTGCTGCTTCGACACTCGTCGCAGGCTGCGCTGACGCACTCCTCGCTGCAGTCGTTCGAGGGCCACACGCACTACATCATGTCGCTCGCCTTCAACCCCAAGGACAGCAACAGCTTCGCCTCGGCCTGTCTCGACCGCACCGTCAAGTTCTGGACGCTCGGCTCCTCGTCGGCCAACTTCACGCTCGAGGCGCACGACAAGGGCGTCAACTACGTCGAGTACTACCACGGCGGCGACAAGCCGTACGTCGTGACGACGGGTGACGACCGGTGAGTAGGCTGGATGGCAGGCGCGCGGCCCTGGCCTGACGCGCCCTTGCAGCACGGTCAAGATCTGGGACTACATCAGCAAGTCGTGCGTGCAGACGCTCGAGGGCCACACGTCGAACGTGTCCTTCGCCGTGTTCCACCCCTCGCTGCCGCTCATCATCAGCGGCTCCGAGGACGGCACGGTGAAGCTGTGGCACTCCAACACGTACCGCCTCGAGTCGACGCTCGACTACGGCCTCGAGCGCGCGTGGTGCGTGTCGTACCGCCGCACGGGCAACGACATTGCGCTCGGCTACGACGAGGGCGCCGTCGTCGTCAAGCTGGGCAAGGAGGAGCCGAGCGTGAGCATGGACAGCAGCGGCAAGGTCGTCTTCTCCAAGGGCGCCGACGTGCTCAGTGCCAACCTGGGCTCGAGCGACAACGCCGACGTGGCCGACGGGCAGCGCATCGCCGCCGGCTCGCGCGAGATGGGCACGACGGAGGTGTACGCGCAGCTGCTCATCCACTCGCCCAACGGCCGCTTCGTCACCGTCTGCGGCGACGGCGAGTACATCATCTACACGGCGCTGGCGTGGCGCAACAAGGCGTTCGGTGCCGGCCTCGGCTTCGCGTGGGCCAGCGACAGCAACACGTACGCCGTGCGCGAGAGCGCCTCGTCGCTCAAGTGCTTCCGCAACTTCCGCGAGCGGCCCGGCCTCATCACGCCCGGCTTCTCCTTCGACGACGTCAAGGGCGGCGCGTTGCTCGGTGTGCTCGGCGCCGGCTTCGTCTGCTTCTACGACTGGGACACGGGCGCGCTCGTGCGCCGCATCGATGTTGATGCCAAGGACGTGAGTGCGCGTAGATCGTCGCTTCATTCTGCCCAGCTCACGCGCGACATGCAGATCTACTGGTCGACGACGAACGAGCTGGTCGCGATCGCAGGCGACGACTCGTTCTACGTGCTGCGCTTCGACCGCGAGGCGTACCAAGCACACCTCGAGTCTGGCGAGCCGATCGATGACGAGGGTGTCGAGGACGCCTTTGACGTTGTCTGCGAGATCCCTGAGGTGTGAGTGCACTGCGCGGTCTGACCATGAGCCACGGCTGACGCGTGCACACAGCATCCGCACTGCCAAGTGGACGGGCGAGTGCCTCATCTACACGAACGCGCAGAACCGCATCCAGTATCTCGTCGGCGAGCAGACCTACACGATCAACCACACGGACAAGGAGCTCTACCTCCTTGGCTACCTGCCGCAGCACGGCCGTGTGTACCTCGTCGACAAGGACGTGGCGATCTACAGCTACGCCCTGTCGCTCGCAGTCGTTGAGTACCAGACGGCCATCCTGCGGAAGGACTTCGACGGCGCACGCGACATCCTCGCCAGTGTGCCGACCGAGCAGCGCAACCGCATCGCACGCTTCCTCGAGGGGCAAGGTGAGTGCTAGAGCGAGTCTCACGGGTTTGTCGCGCCGCTGACCACGGTGCCCCACCCTAGAACTGCGGCAACTGGCACTCGAGGTCTCTGCCGACGCGGACCACAAGTTCGAGCTCGCCATCTCGCTCGACGACTTCGAGACGGCGCTCGAGATTGCACGGAATGGCCCGACGGCCGGCTCCGAGCCGCGCTGGCGCACCATCGGCGACAAGGCACTCGGCCGCTGGAACCTCTCGCTGGCTCGGGAGTGCTTCGAGCGCGCCAACGACCTCTCGGCGCTGCTGCTGCTCGGCACCTCGACGGGCGACCGCGAGCTGCTCGCGTCGCTCGCCGACATGGCGCTGGAGAAGGGCAGCACAAATGTGGCCTTTGCCGCACGGCTGCAGCTCGGCGACGCAGACGGCTGCGCCGACGTGCTGGAGCGCAGCGGCCGCATCCCGGAGGCGGCGCTCTTCTCGCGCACCTACGCGCCGCGCCGCGTGCCGGCCGTCGTGGGCAAGTGGCGCGAGGAGCTCGAGGCGACGAAGCGGAGCAAGCAGAGCGCCATCGCTGCCTCGCTCGCAGACCCGTCGGCCAACCCCGAGGCGTTCGAGGAGGGCTGGTCCGCCGCCCTGGCCAAGGAGGAGGAGCTGCTCGCCGCCAGCCTGAGCTCGCGGTCCGAGGCTGCAAAGCCGCCAACAGTTGTGCCGCCAGAGTCGGCACCTGCACCGAACGGCATCGCTGCGTAATGTCGCTGCGAGCCGCGTCACCTCACGAATGTAATGCTTGCCCGCTGCTCACGACCTGTCTGGAGCCACTGGCCGCGCTCTGATCCCGCCCGTTGCAGCGCCGCCCCCGATTTGCTCAGACTGCTGACTGTGCCGATGACGATGCTAGAATTGCCCTCAGACCTGTGCTCCACCCCGTCTTCACCTCATGTCCGTGCCGGTGGCGACACCTGCGGGCGCGAGGGGCGTCAGCCCAGCAACCTACAGCGCGAAGAGTGCGATGCGCTGCCCGCAAGCCAAGCGAGTGCTGCTCGTCGCATGCACACACACACAGCAAGGCTGCTTCGATCGCCATCCCTCTCGCATGCCGACGACTCACCAGGATCACACCGTCGCCGCGCACGAACATCATCTCCGACTGCCGCTTGACCACCTGCAGGCAGCAGTGTCAGCAAAGTGTACGCCGCTGTCCGCCCGACCTGCGCCCGATCTGCGCCGCCGCAGCGGCACACGTCGCCCGCCACTGCACACTCACGCGCACGCCGCTGCCCACCTCGCCCGACTCGTCGACGTCGACGACGTACGTGCTCTCCTCAACGTCGCCCATGATGAGATTCATGTGTCCGTCGTAGGCGTGCAGCGTGCCGCGCAGCTCGCGGTCGCCGCGCAGCTTGACAAAGACGCGCTCGGCAAGCGAGAGGCGCAGCAGGTCGAAGGGCTCGGTGATGGGCGTGGCCATGGCTGCGAGCGAGGAGGGGCCGAAGATGGATGTGGTGTGGAGTGAGGGCCGTGCGAAGCGAGAGCGGTGGGAGATGGCGCGCCGGGCTGGCTGACGTAAGCGCGAGACGCGCATCGCCCGCACACCGACGTCTCGCTGCGACGCGCCTGTCTTCCTGCTTCTACCACACCCCTGCCCTCTTCGCCCATCATGTGTGAGTCTCACCGAGCGGAGCGACAGATAGCGCACAGCTGAGCATATGCTCTGCGCAGCATTCGGCGGCGGCTCTGGCTTCTCGTTCGGCAACCCGACGGGCAACAACACCGCCAGCACGGGCACCGGCAACACCTTCTCCTTCGGCCAGGCGCCGGCCGCCTCGGGCGCCGCGCCTGCTGCCGGCGCTGCAGCGCCCGCTGCATCCACCGGCGCCTTCAGCTTCGGCGCTGCCAAGCCTGCTGCGCCCGCTGCTGGCGGCTTTAGCTTCGGCGGCAACTCTGCGCAGTCCTCGGCACCCAGCAGTGCCGGCCCGTCGAGCGGCGCCTTCTCCTTCGGCGGCGCAGCGCAGACCACGGGCGGCGGCGCAGCGGCACCCGCTGCAGGTGGCTTCTCCTTTGGCGGCGCGACCAGCGCGGCGGGCTCTGCGCCTGCTGCCGCAGCACCTGCACCCGCTGCGGCACCCGCTGCCGGTGCCTTCTCCTTTGGCGGCGGGTCGACGACGCCTGCAGCTGCTCCGCCCGCCAACCTCTTCAGCGCAGCCTCGGCCAAGCCAGCGGCGCCCTCTGGAGGCGGTCTCTTTGGCGGCGGCGCAGCGGCGGGAGGCGGTCTCTTCGGTGCGAAGCCGGCCGAGGCGCCTAAGCCCGCTGCGGGCGGCTTCTCCTTTGGCGGCGCACCCGCTGCAGCGACGCCAGCATCGAGTGCAGCGCCGAGCTCGGCCGCTCCCGCTCCGGCGGCTACTGGTGCCTTCTCGTTTGGCGGGGCGCCAGCTGCTTCGGCGCCCCCAGCCTCGACTCCTGCGGCAGCGCCTGCTGCTCCGGCGGCCAGCGGCGGCGGCTTCTCGTTCGGCAGCAAGCCGGCAGCTCCTGCCGCTGCGCCCGCCGCAGCATCAGCGGCATCCGGCGGCCTCTTCGGCAGTGCGCCGGCGTCTGGCAGCACCACGCCCGCCGCCAAGCCGCCGGCGTCGGGTGGCTTCTCCTTTGGAGGCGCCAAGGCGCCGGCCGCTCCTGCTGCTTCGTCCGCCGGCTCCACACCAGCTGCGCCTGCGCCGGCTGCGCCAGCAGCGGGCGGCTTCTCGTTCGGCGCGAAGCCTGCTGAGCCGGAGAAGAAGGCAGAGGCGAAGCCGGCAGCGCCGTCATTCGGAGGCTTCGGCGCGCCGGCAAAGCCGGCAGATGCGGCCAACTCTGGCAGCACCACACCCGCTGCGCCGCCAAAGACTGGCGGCTTCTCGTTTGGCGGTGCGCCTGCGGCACCGGCCTCGTCTGCTGCGCCATCTGGGTCTGCACCGGCACCAGCTCCGGCCGCAGGCTCTCTGTTTGGCAAGCCGGCAGACAAGCCTGCAGCTGCGGCGCCCGCCGCTTCCTCTGCCGCTGCTTCCACACCAAGCGCGCCGGCACCAGCGCCGGCCGGCAGCCTCTTCGGCAAGCCTGCCGAGAAGCCTGCGTCGAGCACGCCGCAAGCGCCGGCTCAGTCGCAGGCCACATCCGCGCAGAACTCTGCTCCCGTGCCGACTCCGTCGCTCCTGCGCGGCCGTACAATGGAGGAGATCGTGAACAAGTGGTCTGCGGAGCTCGACTCTGCCACCAAGGAGTTCGCGCGTCAGGCGGAAGAGGTCAAGGCATGGGATGTGTGCCTGCGGGACGGCGGTCGCGAGGTGAGGAGTCAAGGCGCAGTGTGACATGTTGCAACGCTGACGCTTTTTCCAGATTGCTGCTCTGATGTCCTCGCTCACTGCTGCTGAGGAGCGGCAATCGTCCATCACGCAGACGCTGGACTACGTCGAGGTGCAGCAGAGCGACCTCGAGTCGCTGCTCGACTCGTACGAACAGCAGGCCGCTCGTGCGCTCGAGACTGCCAATGGAGGGTATGGAGGCATGGGCAGCTCTGGCGGCGCACCAGTGGCGCGCAGCATGGAGATGGGTGCCGCAGACGCTGAGCGGGAGCGCGCGTGAGTGCGGTCTTCTCGCCGCAGATCTGACACAAGCTGACATGTCCTCGACAGCTATGCTCTGGCCGAGTCGCTCAACGCGCAGCTCGACGACCTCTCGCACAACCTCGGCTCGATGATCCACGAGGTCAATGCGCTCTCCGCTCCCTCGGGCGCTGGCGGCGCATCAGGCGACGGCTCGGGAGCGCTCACTCCCAACGGCGAGGATGCCGTCTCGCAGATCGTCGCCATTCTCAACGCGCATCTCGGCAGCCTGCGCTGGATCGACGAGACGGCCGAGAGCCTGCGCGAGAAGATTGAGAACCTGCGACGCGGCAACACGGCGCCCACACAGCCGTCGCAGTCCTACGGCGCACAGCAGAGCCTGCGTGGCAGCCAGCGCGGCGGCAGCGCCGCGCCGTCTTACCGTGCCTCTGTCACGCCCAGTCGGGAAGCCAGTGCCGGTCTCGGCGCCAGCCGACGAGGCTACGGGTTCTGAGCGGGCTGTCGCTATCTAATGCATGCCTCGCGTTCTCTCCACGCCGCTGGGCCTGCTTCTTCGCTAGATGACGTCCGTATGACACCCCGTGCCCATCTAGCTGATACGCCCGCCTGAAAGGGCCATGGACCGCAGGAGCAGGGATGGGGACTCCGGTGCCGAGCGATTGGTCTCTCGTCGCGCGTGCAGCGTCTTGTATGGGCAGCTCAGAGAAGAGGAAGGCTAAGAGGAAAGTCGCGATGGCCTGATCGGATGATGCAGTGCGGCGCGCCCCTGGCACAGGCGCAGTGCGCGCGGCGACGGCCCGCGTCGGTCCGAAGCCGCGAGGAGCTTCGTCAGGGGCATAGCCATGGCGCCGCCGCAGAGGAGCAGCGCCGAGCTTGGGCGATAGGGGCTCACCCACAACATGAGCGCAGCAGCAGAACGCCAGCCGCTGCCCATTCGGGGCTCTATCGATCGCTCGATGCCATCCGCAGCTGCGGCCCGTCGCGTCTACACTCGCGACCGGCGCTGTCTCGATGCCTCGTCCATACGAGGGCTAGGGGAGTGCACACTTCGAAGACGTTGCGAAAGCGTCGTACCGGTGCCACGGCTGCGGTCCATGGCTGGTCTGTCCCTCAGCATGAAGGGCGCGTCTTCATCTTGGGCTTTCGGGTCCACAGACCCGAGCGTGGTGCCTCTTACGGTGCTTTGCTCAGGTCCAGGGCCGAGGCGAGTGCAAGCGAGGGACATGGAGCGTGATTCGCTCTGCCGTCTGCGCTGCCAGCTTCTGCCTTGCCTTTGGAAGGCGCTCGTCTGCCTCTGCGTCTGCCGCTGCCACGGACGCTTGTCGTTGCTGCGGCGGGCTGAAGGTCTCTGGGTGTCTGCGCGGCCCAGCGTCCTCGTGGTCGACGGGCGCTCCTTCTGCGTTCTGCTCGGAGGCCGACGCCTGCCGCTGCGCCATCCAGAGGAGCTGAGCCTACACAAATAGCAGAAGCAGCCAAGCGGCTCAGGTACAAGGCCTTCCCCTGCCCCGCACGCGCCCTGGCAGGCGGCTTCGGCACCGGCGTCTGGATCTGGCGCAAGCACTCAGCAAGGTCTATATATGACGACACTCCTATAGGTAACAAGCGCACAGGCACGGCAGCGGCGCGGTGCTGCGGCGATTGAGTGGAAGGCTTCGGCCATGTGATGACGTCTACGCCGCGGGCGTCCTGCTGCGGCCTGCGACGAGGCTGCTCCTGTTTCTGCTGCGTCACAGTGCTCCCCTCTTGGCGTGACCAGCTCTCAGCGCACGCGAGGAGCTGCCGGCTGCGGCGATGGCCGTGCCGCGCACTCTGGGGTAGAGAGTGCATCGACTGCTGCGGTACGGCAACAGCACCCAGGAGGAGGGTGCCGCGGAGCTGAGTCGAGGCCTGCGGGGAGATGCTCAGGTGCCTGGCGAGGCGGGCCGCCGCAGCCGAGCGCCCTGGCTCGGTGACGGTGGCGCGGCGCCTATATCTCAGCGCCTCGAGGCCGAGCCGCCCGTTCACACCTCTCACGACTTGCCTCTCTACTTCCTCCACACACCACCACAACCCAGAGTTCCAATGCCCCTTACCAAGCACGAGACTGGCCGCGTCGTCTGCGTCTTCTCTGCCACGAGTCAGCGTGGTCGCGCGGTCATCAACGCTTTACTGGCAGCCAATCAGCAGCACTACCAGCAGCGTGTCACTGCCGAGTACAATGCCGTCAAAAAGCGGGAGATGCTCGCTGCCCAGTGCGTGCTCAATGGCCCAATACCGCTCTTGTCTCCTGCTGACCCGCTGCGCAGCGGCCTCTCGATGGCCGACGCCTGGCTGCTGCCATCGCCGCTTCCGCCTTCGCCGAACATGCTGCAACGCTCCTCGTCCCGCTCGTCTCGCTTTCTCGAGAACGGCTTCGAGGCGACGATGCCGGCACTGACGCTTGCCGCTGCCGCCACCACGTCGGCGGCCGCCGCGCTTGCGCTGCCCGGATCTGCGCTCAGCGCGCCGAACGAAGAGGCGGGCGCGTCGCTCACGCGCGCCATGGAGGCGAGCCTCTCGGCGCAGGGGGAGACCGTCGACGGCACGGCGCGCTGGCACATCCGTGCCATCACCCGCAGCAGCGACTCGATCCGCGCCGCCGAGCTGCGCGATCTGTCGCCCGACATCGAGGTCGTCGAAGCGGACTTGTCCGATCCCGCGTCACTTGCGCCCGTGCTCAGAGACGCATTTGCGGTCTTCGTAAGTCGCGGTCGCCTCTGCGTCGCCTCTGAACGTCGCTGATATCGTGCTGCAGCTGTCACCATTTTACCAGTGCTTCCCACTCTCACCACGCCTGCTCGAAGCGATCCGGCTACCGGGCGGCGTTCTGGACCAGGTCGCAGACGGCGACACGCAAGTGGTGATTCTCGATGGGGTCGAGCGCCCGCGGCAGGACGCTCTGGTGCCGGAGTCGATGCGGACGGCCGACGCCATCGCCGAGCGTCTCTTCTCCCTCGTCAAGGAGGGCAAGCTCGTCTCAGCTACGGTGCTTGACAACGGAGTGAGCATCGCAAGCATTGCACTGAGCGCCAGTCGAAGGCTGACCTTCCTCTAGATTCCATTCGAGCTCAGCTTAGAAGGGCATGGGATCGTGCCGATCAGCCGCGAAGGTTTCTTCGAGCTCGACTTGCTTGCACCTACCAATTCGACACTGCCCTTCTGCGCTGTCAGCGACATCGGACCGCTCGTCTCCCTGATCCTCGAGTCGCCGCGGGACCATGACCTCTTCCAGTGTAAGCCAAAGAAGCTCCGCTCCATCGTAACACCAACTGATCATCGCTGCAGGCAAGCACGTGGACCTCGTCAGTGACGTCTTGTCGCCCAGAGAGCTTTCGATGCAGCTCCATCAGAACTCGTATCTGTCCTGCACTCCTATTCGGCCGCGCGAGTACACCGACGAGACCTGCGAGGAGGCAAGCAAGCAGCTGCCGGAAGCACAGCGCGAGATGGCCATCTTCAGTCGCTACTGGCAGGGCTGCCCACGGCAACGTCGCCCTTCACGCGAGTCGTCGACTTCTCGTCGAGGCTTCGCCCTTACAACTTGGGCGGATTGGTCAGCAGCGTGAGAGGAGTGGCTACGCGCTTGGCCGCCAACGCTGACAGAAGACATGCCAGCAACATGAAGGCGATTCTTCCGCAGTTCGCCACTCCGTCCGCGAGCAAGGTCGCTCAGTCCCTGCAAGTCGCCGCCAGCACGGCCGCGAGGCTGCAAAACGCTCAGCTCGGCACCACGAGAGAGGAGTCCATGTTCCTCATCCCTTTCGGGAGTTCGGATCAGGATCTCGAAGTATGTAGATTCATCGCAGCCGCCACCATTCGAGCTCAGCGAAGAAACCCCTACTGCCAGATCGAGAGCATGCTGGCGAACGCTCGGGCGCAGGTGAGAGGGAAAAGGGAGAAGGAGAAGAAGTGGAGTACTGCTTTACTTATCGCCGCTTGCTCATTCCCGCGCAGATGCAGGCCGACGGTGAGAGCCGCTCCGCGCAGCCCTGCCGAACCGCCGCTGATCGCCCGCTTCCTCAGGCTCTCTTCCTGGTCTCGTCGATGACGCTGGGCCCCGGTACTCTGTGAAGGTAGCGTGGTAGCCGCACGTGCCGCTCTTGCTCCCCTGTTCCTCTACCGTGTTCCGTCATTCCCCGGCCCCGTCAAGGCCCTAGAGCTCCCTGTAATGCCTGTGCTGCTGCCTGCTCCACTGTACTGCTACCACGCCTGCGCGACTAGCGCTGTACCACTAGCTCCCGCTTTGCGCTCTAATCGTGAAGGGCGTTGCATTTCTGAAGTCGGGTGGCTGCGTGACGCCTGCCGAACCCAGCCTGAGGGCGCATCAGGCTGAACTCAACGGAGATCCACTTCCTCCGACTCGTCATCATCAGCGGGCGGTGCCCGTGCCGACTCATCCGCAGCGCTCAGGCTGACATCGTCAAAGCTCGCGTCCGTGTCCTCGTCGAGCTCCGGCAGCCTCGCCTCCGCCTTGTCCGCCGGCGCCGGCTGAGCACTTGGCTCGTCGTAGCTCGGCAGCTCCGTGTCGCGCGCCGTGACTGGAGTCTTCTCGCCCTCCTCCATCGTAGCGTCGCCCTGTGTTGTGGCGCCGACCACCTCTGTTGGCTCCGGCTCCTGCAGCGGCTCGGACGACACGACGGCCGGCGTCGAGTCCTCGGCCAGCGAGGCATCGATGCGTGGAATGCTGCCCGGCGTCACAACGTCCGTCTCGGCCGTGACGGGCGTCGCGGCCGTCGAGGGCGTCGACGGCGGCTCCGAGTGACCGGCAGCCTGGACAGCAGCGACGCTACCGCCTGGCGCATCAGCTTGCGGCGCGGCGGCCTCGGCTGCTGGTGCGGGCGCGCGAGAGCGATTGACAAGCTCGTGCACCGTCGCCGCGTTTGGTGGCTCTTGGCCGAGGTAGAACGAGGCGATTGGCACCATCCTGTGCCGAGCAGTCAGCGCTGGCGTCCCGATCCTCTACGCTGCTCCACTCACCGGCCCTGCTCCTTGCACGCAAAGACCCACTGCGGCTGCACCACGGGGATGCTGAGCTGCTGTGCCTTGAGCCACATGGTGCCCTGCTGCGGCCGGCCATTGGGGTCGCCTCGGTTGCGAGGATCGTCGCACACGTAGTGCGTCGTCTCTATGGCAATCTTGTCGGCGTAGCGCGCGCCCATGGCGTCGAGATGCTCGCGCGCCGCCTTCTCGAGCGCCGGGTTCGAGACGTGGCCAAAGCACACGCTGATGCCGTGCACGTCCGTCATCTTGTGCGTGCGCACCTTGACGACGGGCGACGTGTACACGCCCGCCGTGGTGGAGAGGACGAGGTGGAAGCCAAACTCGGCGTCGACGTCGAGGCCGGAGAGCTTGGTAGAGGTGTTGGTGCGCGGGTTGGGAATCGCCGCCAGCCGCCGTGGCTGCGGCGTGAAGCGGTCCGAGCGGTAGATGTCGAGCGAGAGCAGCGAGGCAGACGCAAGCTGCAGCTTGTCCCACTCGAGCGTGACGGACGTCTGGGTTACGTTGCGCACACGCAGCGCCGGCGCTATTCGGAGAGAACGTCAGCATGCACAGCGAGGCATCAGAGCAGCTGCGGCGGCGGATGCCTGCACACGCCCGGCAACAACGTGCTCTGGACTGCACCTGGGCCACCGGACGGGCACATGCGAGGTGCGGTGCATTCGGCGCTGCCATCGCTAGCCTCGTGCTTCACGTACACCTGTACTGAGTCCTCCTCCCTTGCCGTGAAGCGCCGCCCTCGGCCGCGCCTGAAGAGGCTCCCTCTCCGTGCTCGCTACTCACGCAGCGGCCGCTCCGAGCCAAACGCGCCCAGGATGTCCTGCTGCAGCTGCTCAAACTCGCGGCGGCGCGTGCGCTCCTGCGTCTCGTTGCGGCGCACGCTGATGTTGACGATGCTGCCGGCGGCGACGTCGGGCGGGAGGAGGAGCGAGGGGAACTCGATGAGCGACGCGCGCTCGCCGATGAGGATGGCCATGCCGGCATCGAGCTTGCCGACGGTGAAGGTGTACGAGTCGGACATGCTGGGCGGCGGCGGGTGTGGGCACGGCTGCGGATGGGTGGGCGGTGCGATGCCGGCAGCAGGCAGTGGACGGGAGGCAAGGCGTAGGGCAGCGTCTTGGGTGTCACTTGGCGCGTGCACTGCGTGGGCGCGTCGCTCTCGCGCGGCAGGCGCGGCCAAAGCAAGGCGAGCTTCCAGCGTCGCGCCGCCATCGCGCCGCCGCCGCCTTCTCCTCCACCACACCCTCTCCACCCCACGCACACTTCGCAGCCATGGCACGCAACAAGGAAAAGGCGCAGAGCATGCTCTACCGCTTCCGCGAGGCACAGGCCGCCGAGCTCGGCATCAACACGGGCCGCAAGAGCGGCGAACTGCGCCCGCGCCTCGCCAGCGCGTGCAAGAGCCTCAAGGAGTGCGAAAAGTGGCGCAGCGACGTGCTGCGCGACATCAGCCGCAAGGTCAGCAAGATCCAGGACTGTGAGTGGCAGGCCTGTGTGCAGGCGTGGCAGAGTGGAGTACGGGCTAGGGCAGGCGGAGCGAGCGCCGGGCGCTGTGAGCGAGAGCAGTTGGCGCGAGCGGCCCTGTGCTGCAGACACGATGGCGAGAGACAGGTCTGGACAAGGCCACATGCAACTACAAGGCGTGACAGACATTTGGCCTGTCATTCTCCCGTTTGACTGCGCTGTCTTGCTCACCAGCCCTCTCCCCCCACAGTCGGCCTGACCGACTACGAGGTGCGCGACCTCAACGACGAGATCAACAAGTGCATCCGCGAAAAGGGCCACTGGGAGCGCCAGATTGTGGCCCTCGGCGGCGCAAACTACCGCCGCGGCATGGGGCGCATGCTCGACGACAGCGGCAAGGAGGTGCCCGGCACGCGCGGGTACAAGTGAGTGCGCCTGGAATAGGTGGAGAGCTGGAGTGGTTATGAGGGCGGAGGAAGAGAGGCAGCGAGACTGCAGACGAGAGGCGCTCAGTCTGGACGCCGAGGAGAGGCAGCGAGGCTCATGGAGAAGAAACGCGGCGAGGACGAAGGCAGTGAAGCCGCAGAGGAGAGGTGTTGTGTTTGCGGAGAGGCACTGGTTGCCGTAATAGCAGAGACAGCGAATGGCGTGCGAAGAGCTCAAGCACTGATGCTCTCCGTCTGCAGGTACTTCGGCCGCGCCAAGGACCTTCCCGGCGTCAAGGAGCTGCTGAACTGGACAGGTGAGACTCTCTTTGCCTGACCAGCTCGCAGGGCAGCCCTGATACCCGCCCTCAGACGAGCAAGAGGCCGAGCTCGAGACGTACCGCTCGCAGAAGTACAAGCGCTTCGCGCAGCAGCCGCCAGCGTATTTCGGCGACGCAGACGAGGACGACGGCGAGCTGCTGGCGTTCGAGACGGGCGCGGAGGAGGAGGCATGGCGCGATGGCTGGAGCGGCTTGCTGGAGGAGCTGGGCGAGGAGCTCGAGGGCGGCCTCGAGGCGGTGCCTGCGATTCCGCGGCCAACGCCGACCAGCCTCGGCAAGCTGCGCGAGCAGACGGCAGCACAGCAGTCCGAGCCGGCAGCGCCCAAGGGCAAGGGCAAGCGCGCAGCCGGGCGTGGCGGACGCAGTGCCGCTGCGAAGAAGACACGCGGCGATGGCGCCGTAGCACCAGCTGAGGACGGCACGGCGGAGCAGGAGGACACGGAGATGGCCGACGGCGAGCAGGCAGACGGCGCAGCAGCACCACGGCCGGCCGGCGACGACGCACGCATCCAGGCCGTGTTCAGCGTGCTGGACCCCGCCGAGCTGCAGTTCCCGCACATGCCGGACCGGAAAGAGACGGAGCAGTTCCTGCTGCAGGCGCGCAAGAAGGCGCTGCGGGAACAGTACATCGGCTAGCCGGCCACTCCTCATCCTTGTACTCTAGCGGCTGCGAACCACACATGACAGTCACAGCGGATTGTCTGAGCGAGCGCGGTGCCCTTAAGAGTAGATTGCAGGTGACAGTATGATGACTAGACACAGCAGCAAAACAAGAGTCAGACGTCAGCAGGTGTCCGCGAAGACAGATGGCCGAGAAGACGAGGCAGAGGCTCAGATGGTGCTGCGAGGTCGCGACGCGTCAGCAGGCATCGCCGACGGGCAGGTCGCAGAGCCACTCACATGCATGTATGAGCTAGGCTCACAACCGGACCAGAGGACCGGCTCGCCGTGCTCGAAAATGGGAATGTTTTCGATCCTTGCCAGACGGTGCCCGAGGCAAGACTCACGTGGGGGGTATGATGCGATGATCTAGAGGGACACTGGCGTCAGCAGCTGCACGCGAGAAGGCATAGTGCAGGGCAGGCAGCGTGGGTCATAGAGAAGATTAATCGATCATGCGGCCTTCGCGCCACGCTTCCAGCCGGCGCCGCATCGACCAAGCCTGCCGTTGCATCCTGCCACGCACACAGAGCAAGCGCGGCCCAGCAGCCAAACGCCAAGGTCCGCCTCCGGTCATCCTGCTTTCCACTCCAACGCCCGAGGGCATCGTAAGGTATTCGCGGACGCCAGTGCTGCCCGAGGCATCAAGGAGCTGGAGAGAGCATGCTCCACGGTGCAGCAAGATGCGCAAGCAGGCAAGGAAAGAGCCATCCGACTGCAAAGCCCGAGAGCAGCGCAGCCGCGACGACGGGCAGTGGCCAGAAGACGTGACAGCCATCGTGAGAATGGATTTGAACTTGTTGTAATCACGCAACGCAGAGCGTGCCTCTGCTGGAGTGCGGCCCGGATGCAATGCTCACCTGAGAAGAGGCAACGGTGATGTGGGGGTCCATGGTACGATCTAGAGGGCTGGCGTGTCAGCTGGCTGCGCGCGAGACGCATGGGAGTAGACACAGCCCACGCCCGAGGTCGAGCATCAGAAAAGGTAAGCTTGGTATGGGATATCCGCATCGAGCCCGTCTGGCGCTACAGTAGCAGAACTGTATAGTAAAAAGTACTCATCACGTTGCATCGACCTCACCGTGGGCTGCACAAGACAAGAGGACGCTGCACTCACGGAGGATGATGATGGCTGACTAGGCGGCGTCGTCGGCCGGGCCGGGGATGGTGGGGTCGGCCAGCGCGGGCGCGACGAGCGGGTCGCGGCGCAGCTCCCACACATCCTCGCTGCTGCCCTCGAGGCGCATGGCGGCCGTGCGCTGGGCGCGGTGGCGGATCCAGGCGGCGCGGCGCGCCTCCTCGTCGAGCTTCTTGAGCGAGAGGCAGTGCTTGAAGTCGTCGAGCTTGGCCTTGCAGTCCTGTGCCGTGCCGTAGCGGTAGACGGCGCGCAGCTGCGGTGCGAGTGCTGTGACAGAGGCGGTCAGTGGCCGGCACGGTAGCACGCACACAAGCAGCGCAGCTCACCGAAGCACGCGGCCCACGTGTCGAAGTGCTCGTAGCAGTTCTTCATCTCGGCCGGCGGGATGGCGGCGGCGTGGATGACCTGCTCCTCGCGCAGCGTCTGGCGCCACACGCGGTCTGCCGCCGCCGCCGCCGCCGCCGCGGCCGAGCTGCTGCCGGGCTGCTGTGCGGACATGGCGGGTGCGGCGGGGTGTCGTGGTTGGGAGGTGAGTCGGAAGCTGGACGTGGCCGATGCTCTCTCTGCGCGCGCGCACGGCGCTCTCCTCTTCTTCGCCGCGCTGCGATCTCGGCCGACGGGCGCTGGCCGGCGCGTTCGCTTACGTCAGCAGACCCATGAGCACCGGCTGACAGGCCCCTCCGCGCCTCGAAATCGAGATTCGCCGGCTTCGGCACCACAGTCTGCTGGCCTGGCAGGTACGGGCCAGCTGTGCAAGCCTGATTGGCGCGCTATGGATCAGAGCCAAAGTGCGCTGACTGCGATCGCCAGGTTCCATATCGCGCAGTCGAGTCCAGGAGGACCTAAGCCGGGCGAGGGACAAGGGCCCGCCGCGCGCGCTTCTCCACTTCGCGCGTAGCGATGGCTCGAGCTTGGCAGCGCCGCGACGGCCGGCCGCCTCTTGTCTCCTTCCCGCATCCGCCGCGCCCCGCGCGCAGCCAGCCTTCCTCGCCTTCCCTTTCCCGTCCGACGAACCTCCTCAGTCAGCTGCCTGCGCTGCTCACACGACACTTGGCGCACCGCCCTGCGCACGGCGCACCGCGCCCTCGCCGCCATGCATCGCGCTCTGCTCCCGCGGCAGACCCTCGGCGCGCTCCGAGCAGGCAGCCGCCATGCCGGGCCCAGCAGGCTGGTGTTGCAGCCGCTGGTGGCCATAGCTCCGCCGCGGCCGATTTGCCGCAGTGCGCTCCTCGCACCGCCGTCGCGCGCCTTCGCCGCCAGCGCTGCTGAGCGCTCCAAGCATCGCTCGCGAGGACGCGCAGATGAGGTGCGGCTGGCGAGCGACCCGCGGCCCGCTCAGCCAGCAAAGGAGGGCACAGAGGGACAGCACGGCAAGGAGGCCAAGGCAGACGCATCGGGAGACCTTCTACGAGAGGCATCAGAGCCATCACTCAGTGGAGGTGGCCGCTCCGCCCGCCTCGATGGCACGAAGCCGGTCGCGACAGGGCCGGCAGGCGAGCCGGAGCTCAGCTCAGACGCCGTGACAACGGCTGCAGCTAGCACACAGAACGCCGGCATCAAGCCGAGCAGCATCTCTGATCCGGCGCCAGCGAAGAGCGAGAGCAGCGACGAGAAGGGCGAGGCAGAGAGCCACGAGATCCGCCCGTACATGTACGAGGATGGCCTGTATGCCAACTACCCGCGCTCTCTGCGCGAGCTGGCCACGCGAGCGGCTGCTGCAGGTGCAGCTGCGGGCGCAAGCGCCTCCTCGCTGGCGTCTTCTTCCGCGCACGCCAGCTCCTCGTCCTCTGGCTCCTCCTCGCGCGCATGGACGCGCCCCAAGGCGCCGTCGAAGGAGGAGCTGCTGCGCCTGGCGCGCGGCTTCTGGACGCGCCTGCGCATCCGCTTCAAGTGGTTCACCATCCGCGGCTTCCGCCGCTTCAACGTCGATGACTTGTCGGCGTTCTTCACTCTCGGCGGCCTCGGCACCATCATCTTCCTGGTGGCCGGAACGTGAGTTGCCCGCGGTGTCTTGGCTCAGCACTGCATCTCACCCTGCTCTTCTAGCACCACGGCCGTCTCGCTGGTCTTCGCCGCGCTCAACAGCCTGAATCTCGACGGTGCGCACGCCTGACATGGAGGTCCGCGGCCAGAGCTGACGATGCTGCTGCAGAGTGGATCGCGCGCAAGCTGGCCGACTATCTCACCGCCGAGACGGGCGTGACGGTCATCTTCGAGTCCGCCATCGTGCCCAAGTGGTCGTCGTCGCGCATCTGCTTCCAGAACGTCTTCATCTCGCGGCGAGCACACTTTGGCTCGCCCGAGGCGCTGCGGCGGGAACGCTCGGCGATGCGTGAAGGCAAGGGCAAGGGTCGCGGCACGGCACGCGCTGCTGGTCACGGCATGGCGTGGGAAGGCACGCACTTCCTTGAGCGCGAGGACCACGCTGAGGAGGAGGTGGCGCCGCCGATGAGCCGCGAGACGCGCGGCGACGAGGGCGACGGCAACTTCACCATGTTTGACCTCAACGTCGACAGCATCGAGGTGTCGCTGAGCTTCCGCCGCTGGTGGGACGGCAAGGGCCTGCTGGAGGATGCAGTGGTGAAGGGCGTGCGCGGCATCATTGGTGAGTGCAGCGCCAGGACTGCGCTGTGAGCAGCGCTTAGCTACGACGCGTTGCAGACCGGCGGAACGTGCACTGGGACCCGGAGAAGCCATACGACCCTCGCGCCGCACGACGCGAGCCTCGGCACGGCGACTTCCACCTCACCTCGCTCGAGCTGCAGGACCTGCTTGTCACCGTGTACCAGCCGGGCGATTTCCGCCCCTTCAACTACAGCATCTTCAACGCCAGCGTGCCGCGCCTGCGCAAGCAGTGGCTCTTCTACGATCTGCTCAGCGCCGACAGCATCACGGGCCAGGTCGACGGCTGTCTGTTCAGCCTGCACAAGCCGCAGCGCATGGGCCGCACCACGCAGAGCGGGCAGGAGGACAAGAATGGCCGATGGCAGACGCTGGTCAGTGCCGACAGCACTTGCTTCGGAACTGCCGCTGATGGCACCTCGCAGTCTCGCGTGCGCATCGATGGTGTGAGCTTCGACCACATCCAGAACCAGAGCGACCTGCACGGGCCCATCTCGTGGATCACGTCGGGCAAGTTCGACAGTAAGTCTGCCGCTGCTGTGCACTCAGCCTCCTTGCTCACGTCCTCTCCCAGTCGTGGCCGATCTCAAGTTCCCGCGCGACCACAGCAACGACGTCGACATCAACGCGATCCTCTCCGAGATCGTCGAGAATCTGACGCACGCCGTGTCCGGCGAGGCATGGGAGCGACAGGTGGGCGCAGTGGACGCCGACGACCAGCCCATCCCGGGCCAGCATGCGCTGTCTGGTCCCGCCATCGAGGCGCCCGTCACTGCGCTCGGCCCGGCGGCCGAGTCTGCATGGCGCCAGCAGCTGGCCGAGCGCGAGGCGCAGCGCGAGAAGGAGGAGGCCGAGCGTCTAGAGCGGCGACGACGACGCTTCAGGCGACGGCGCATCAACCGCGAAATGCTCAGCCAGGATGCGGCCGAGGCGGAGGCGGCGCAAAATGTGGCGCGGCGCATGGAGACGGAGCATGCCGAGGAGAACGGCGAGCCGGCGCACGAGCAAGAGCAAGAGGAGGGCCAACGCGCGGTGCCGCCGCCGGCTGTCGTCATTGACCTCGACGTGCGCTTCCGCGACATCAAGGCCGCCGTGCCTCTGTTCCACTCGGAGCTGGGCTACCGCACGCAGACGTTTGTGCGCCCCATCGTCGCGTTCATGAACGCAAACAAGGTCAGTCCAGCTGGACTCTATCACTGCTTCGATGTCGCTCACACATTTCGCATAGACTCTGATCCCAGTGCACTGCCGAGTCGTCATGGATCTCGTGAGTCTGATCGTGCTCCGGCTGCCTGCGCCGGCTGACATGCGATCACCAGGACGAGTTCAACGGCTCGATGGATCTCGCACAGACCGGCCTGCTGCCGCAGATCTCCGAGAAGGTGCGTCTGTCCCTGACCTCTCTTTTTGACCTGCGCTGACGGTGCCACAGATCTACGAGGCGCTGGCGAACCACGTCACCTCGCAGCAGGCCAACGGCGCCCGCCTGCGCAACGTCAGCTCGTGGAGCCTGCGTGTGGCAGCGCAAGGCCTGCTGCAGCTCGCCTCGACGATCCGCGACGGCTTCACACGCACGCCCACGACGCACACGGGCATGCTGACGCAGAAGAGCTACTGAGCCTGCTGCTCTGCGCCCCTCAGACTGCCTACGACTCCTGATGCCTCCCGGACGCGCTGCCCCTCCCGCCTCTGTGTTCTCCTGCTCCCCCCGCGTCACCGGCCTCATCTCCATCCTTTCCCCCGCTCAATCTCGTCTCTATACCGCACATCGGCCCCCCTTCCACGGACGCAGCCTGCCCACGAGTCCCGCGCTGCTGCATCTCATGTACTTGTGCCCTGCCTAGCGAAGCGAGTGCTTGCTTCAGAGGAGAGACTGAGGGAGACTCTGACTGAGAGGGGCTGGAAGCTCGGCGCGCGAGGCGAGTTGCAGTGCGTGCTTCAACTTTGGCGCGCCAGTTGTACTCGGCGGTGCTCGATTCTTCTATTCGCTGGTCGGCTTCGCGCCGCGCTTAGCCGCCGCCGCTTCCTGCGTCTCGCCGTCATCTCCCTGCTCCACACTCTTCTCGACGGGCTGCGCAGCATGGGCCGCCACTACTGCGACTACTGCGACATTCTCCTCACGCACGACTCGACGAGCGGTGAGTCTGCTCCACGTTGCGGGCGCGCGCAGCCCTGCTGCGCGGCCCAGAGCGCTTCTTCTGACGCGGCCCACTGCTGCAGTGCGCAAGGCGCACAACTCGGGCCGCAACCACCTGCAGAATGTGCGCGACCACTTCATGAACCTCGACCCGGCCGTGTGCAACGAGATCGTCGCCGGCGTGGCGGCGCAGTACGAGCGCGAGGGCAAGCAGAAGCCGCCGGCGCTCATGCAGGGCGGGCCGGGCTTTGGGCCGGGCGGCATGGGCGGCGGCGGCTTTGGCGGCTACCCGGGCGGCGGCATGACGTTTGGACAGGGACCGATGAGCGGAGGTGAGTGTGCGCACAGAGGAGTGGCAGGTGGGCTGCAAAGGGAGCGTGGCAGCTGGCGATGTGGAGCTCGGAGAGCAGGTGCAACGAGGGACGCGAAGCGGCGGATGGGCAGGGCTGGATCCGGCGCTGCGCGCAAGCGGCTGCAGCGAGCAAGCGTGGGGTCGCGTACCCAGCCGCACTGCGAGGCCTGCTGCTGTGCTGCAGAGAGCTCGCGAAGGACTCGGCTTCCAGCCGGCTGCTGACGTTCCTTTCTCGTAGGATTCCGGCCCGGGCCCTACGGCGCGCCGCCGCCGCGCTTCGGCGGGCCCTTCAACGGCGGCATGGGCGGTCCGCCGCCGCCGCTGGGCATGGGTGGGCCGCAGTTCGGCGGCCCGCCGCCGGCCTTCAACCGGCCACCTCCGCCGCTCGGCATGGCGGGCGGCGCCGGAGGCCCGCCGCCGCCGCTCGGCATGGTCAACCGGCCACCGCCTAACTTCAACGTGCCGCCGCCGGGCTTTGGGGGGCGGTGAGATGTACTGTGGCAGAGCGAGGGCTGGGGGCGATGACGTTGTAATTGTGAGATGTTGCCGAGCTAGTGGTACAGAGGATGCGTGACAGTGAGGGTGGGACCAGTGAGTGAGCAGTCTAAGTGGATGTAGAGGAACGAGCGCCATCACGCGCTACTCCTTGCGCTGCTTCTCGCTAGAGGCGGCCTTCTTCTTGCTCTTTCGCCGCTGCGCGTCCGCACTGGCACCCAGCGCGGCCGCGGCCTTCTTCTTGTGCGCCTCTTGCCGCTCGCCAAAGTGCGTGTCGTGCAGTTCCTGTGGAGAGAGCAAGCGTCAGAAGGAGGTGAGAGTGGTGGCGAGCATCGGGGAAGAGGGGGACCGGGGGGACGCTCACCATAGCTGCGACGCGCTTAGCGGTCGATACTGCATTGAGACGCTCGAGCACCTCTTCTTCGGGCATTTCGTGCTCCGTCATGGTCACGTCTGCCAGAAAGTGCATCAGTGTGCGCACGTTGCAGCGCGAGACGGACTGCTCCAAAAACCCACTGATGGCCTCTTCGATGCCCTTGAGCAGCTCGACATCCCGCTCGCCCACGAAGCTCACCGCCGTGCCCTCGCGTCCCGCACGAGCCGTGCGACCTACGCGGTGCACGTAGTCGCGCCAGTCGCGCGGCAGGTCCCAGTTGACGACGAGCTGCACCTCGGGCACGTCGAGGCCGCGCGAGCCGACGTCGGTCGTGATGAGCAGCGGCACCTTGCCCGCGCGAAACGCCGTGAGATTCTCGGCGCGCGCCGCCTGCGAGAGCGACGAGTGCAGCGCGAGACAGGGCACGCCCAACTCCGCAAGCATGCGTGCCAGCAGCGCGGCGGTGCGCACGCGCGAAACGAAGATGATCGTCGGCACGAGCGACGAGCCGGCGTCGGAGCCGCCTTCGGAGTCCGAGTCGTCGTCGTCGTCGTCGTCGTCGTCGAAGCCCGGAGGATGCATGAGTAGGTGGAAGAGGTACGGCTCGCGCATGTGCGACGGCACAAAGATGTACAGCTGCTCGAGCTGTGGCGGAGTTGTCGTGCTGCAACGGGCACTGGGTGAGCAAAACATACGCACGGCGTGAGTCCTCAGAGGGCGGGCCAAACGCACCTGCCCTCGATCTTCAGCACCTCGAGGGGCCGCTCGTCTGCGCCGCGCGGGCGCGTCGCCAGCGCCTCAATCTCGGGCGTGAGCGTGGCGGAGAAGAGCAGCGTCTGCCGCAGCGCGGCCGGCGGCAGAGCGGCAAAGATGGCGGCGAGCGCGTCGGAGAACGTCGGCGTGAGCAGCCGGTCGGCCTCGTCGAGCACCTAAGCGGGCGTCAGGGGTGAGCGGTGCGGTGCGGCAGGAGCAGACAGCACACTGCCTGCATCGGTCCTGCTCCCTCGGCCACGCATGCCAGGAGCGGGCAGAGTGCTGCCTGCATCGTTGCTGCTCCCTCGGCCACGCATGCCTGTCGGCGTGTCACTCACGACAAACTTGCAGCGCCCCAGCACCTGCGCGTCGGCATTGCCGAGCAGGTCGGCCAGGCGTCCGGGCGTGGCGACGACGATGTGCGGGCGCGCGGCGAGCTCGTGTGCCTGGCGCATCATGTCGACGCCGCCCTGCACGAGCTGCACGCGCAGCCCCTGGCGCGCGCCCGCGGCGACGGCGGCGAGCTGCTCGTGCAGCTGCGCGGCCAGCTCGCGCGTCGGCGTGAGCACGACGGCGGCGCCGGCGACGGGGTCGCGCGCCAGGGCGGCGAGGATGGGCAGCGCAAAGGCCAGCGTCTTGCCGGAGCCCGTCGGCGAGCCGGCGATGAGGTCGCAGGCGCGCGGCGCGGAGAGAGAGGCTGCGGCGGCGGCGCCCTTGGCCTTGCCCTTTGCGCTGCTGCTGCCGCCGAGAAGGAGCGGCAGCGCCTGAGCCTGCACCGGCGTCGGCACGGTGATGGCGAGGGCGGCGAGGGCGCGCACGAGCGGCGGCGCCAGGCCGAGGGCGGCGAAGGAGCGCACGGCGGGCGCAGGCGGCGCCGAGGTGGATGCAGCGGGCTGCGGCGAGGCCATGGCTGCAGGTGAGGGGAGTGATGGTGGGGGGATGGAGGTGGGAGCAGAGCTCGTCGTCGAGGAAGCAGCGCAATCCTCGCGGCCGCTGGCCCAAAAATGCACGGGACTCGGACAAGGCGAGCGCGCCGAGCGTGGGATCGGCAAGGCGCAGCGGTGACGGCGCGCGTTGCTGCGCCTCGCGCTGCGCCGGGCCAGAGGGCGCTTTCACTGGCCCGCTTCCTGTCTCCGCTCCACCACCTCACCCCATCATGCCGCCCCTCTCGCACGCACCGCCACCCGGCGCAAGCAGCAGCAGTGCCAGCAGTGCGCCCGCCGCTGCGGCGCCCGAGGAGCACGACGACGCCAAGGTGAGCGACGTCGCATCGCATCGCACCCGCGCTGCCCCCTCCACCTGCGCGCACGCAGCGCTGACGCCCGCCAGCAGGCGCAGCGGCACGCCGCCCTGGCACGCCAGATGGGCGCCATGTTTCTGCAGCACCGCGTCAGCGAGCTCGAGGCCGACGTGCTCCACCTCGCACATGCGCCCCCGCCGCGGCGGCCACTTGCGGCGCGGCGCGAAGGAGGCGCGGGCGCAGGCATGCTGCGCGGCAGCGGCGCCGCGCGGCCTCGCATGCCGCCGCCCGGCGCCGCACCCTCGCAGCCACAGCAGCAGCAGCGAAGGACACTGCACACCTCTGCTGTGCCGCGGCCGCCGGCAGCACCGCAGCTGCCGCAGCCGCCGCTGCTCCTGCTCGACGCCAGCGTGCTCGTCTACTCGCTGCGCAGCGTGCACGAGTGGCTGAAGCGCGCAGAGGCGGCGCAGTGCCGCCTCGTCGTGCCGACCGAGGGTGAGTGGGCATGGCATCACTGCCGGCACCAGCACGCGCCGTGGGTTATCGGTGGGGCTGACGCGCATGGCGCGGCCAGTCATCACGACGCTCGACGTGCTCAAGAAGGGCACACACGCCCTCAACGTCGCCGCACGCAACGCCACGCGCTTCCTCGAGGAGCGCATTGGCGGGCCGGGGGCGCAGTACGGCCTCGTGCCGCAGGCGGCGGCCGCCACCGCCGGGCCGCCGATGTCGCTCGCCGAGGCCGACGCGATGCGCATGGCCTGCGACTCCTCCACCATCACGCTCGACGCCGACGCAGCAGCAGCCCTGCCGTCCAAGCACGCCGGCTGGGCCACCGATGGCGGCGAGCAGGACCTGTCGCTGCGGCGCGCCAATGCCGCCCATCGCGCCGTGCTGCTGCTGGCCCTCTCGCTGCCCGACCACGTCCTCGCCGTGGCCTCGCCGCCCGCGACGCTCGCCTCGACGACGACGACGCCGCTGGCGAAGGTGGCACACTCGCACGGCGACGGCGGCGGCGGCGGCGGCGTCGGCAGCGGCGTGCTGAGCGAGGAGCGGCCACGCTGGAGCGAGCGAGTGGATGGCGCGCGCGCCACGCGGCTGGCACAGGCGCATGGCGTGCAGACGCTCAGCTGTCCCACCGCACGCAGCTGGCTCGAGCTCGACGCTCACTCGCCCGCCTCGAGCAGCGCCTCGCTGCCGCCGCCGCCCAGCAAGACGCAGCCGCCGGCGCAGCCGCGCAGAGCAGGCGACGAGGTGGCTGCGCCTGCGGCGGCGGCGCCAGACGAGCGTCTGGGCCGCGCTGCCACGCCTGTTGCCGCGAGAGACAGAGCGGCGGCGACGACGCCGGAGCCCGCCTCCTCCGCCGACGCCGCCGCCGAGGCGCAGGCTGCCAGCCGGCCACGCATCATCTTTGCAGAGTAGTGTGCCCGCGCTTT